CGTCAATGGAGCACGGATCCAAAATATCGGACCGATGATGACTCCGATCTGAATATCCCCGTTGGTTCTTAATAAGGACTTGATCTCGACTGTTTAATGGGCTTTTGAAAAATTACGAGGCCCATTACTATTAAAATCTTAAACTACTGTATAGCTCCATTGTCATCTCTTTAACTAACCACAGCTGTCGAGATTTCCTTACCGTTTGACTTTGAAGAGTCAAACTCAAAGCGAGAAAGATTTTGATAAATTTTGAGTAATCGTTCGTCAGTCAGCTGTGGAAACCAATCTTCTTCGGAGAATCGAAATGCTTCAGCTCCTGGTGGTAGCGTGTCTCTTGATCTTCGGGACGGAGACGGTCGTTTCGCACCAGGAATCCGGCGAATGGAGTTGTGAATCAGAGTCGGAGATCCAGGTCATGGCTGATTTTAGACCTGGGCTCATTACCCTCGATGGTCACAACGACGACTGGAAGGACATTGACGGCTCCGAGTTCCCGCTGCGACCTGCACTTGATCCCGACGCCGACCACGAGTATGACGCCGGCAAGATGACAGTCAAAGTAATGTGATAATTCGAATCGAATATTATGCATTTATATATAATCGGTTGCGAAATTATTTGTAGTTTGCATAAATTGGTGACTTTGACCATTGGAGAGACCTCATTGCGAAGTTTTGATTTGGATTGATAAATCTGGATTTTTTGGAATTTGAATTCGATGAATCGTTTTTTTATTTCGTCCCAGACATTTAATGGGTTTGATCTATCTTTGTAGGCATTGCATGATGGTCGAGATATGTATTTTATGCTGGAAATTGATGGAAACTACGCTTATGATAAAGGGTAAGTGTGTTTTCTTTTAAAATTTTATATCCGATTCACATTGATGGAAATTACGCTTAAAATTTAGTCATTAGTTGTCAACATAAATTGATGTAATGCTTCAGATGATATTTGAAATGATCCTTGATTCTGCATAACTTCAATCACTGCTGTAGTGAACTGCTTGCTTCTTTGAATCCAGTGAAAACAACAAGTGTCCTTCAGTGGCTCTCATGTTCCAAATTGGTGATCAAGCTACTTATCACAGTGTAAGTTTCCCCAAGAGTGTTTTGTCGAATATTTCATCTAAGATCCATGATTTTTTTTCTTTATATGAAAAGCAACTGACGTCAACCTTGTGCTCCACTAGATGGGTGGTTGTAAAGAAGGGACAGACTCATGTACCAGCAAGGCTTGCAGAGGCTTCGAGGTCGATATTATGCATTTCTCCATTGGAAATGCTATTCCAGGACGCCTTTACGGTGGTAATCCAATTGACAACGGGGAAGGAAATGGAGGGGACAGGTGATTTTTTCATTGCGATACGAACTGTGATCTCTCTATCATTCTATGATCTGGTGTTCAGTTTGTTGATTTTGTTCATTGAATGCTGCTGTGTTTTTTCATATGAACAGATTTGGTCATCTGGTTGACATTTATGCGTGGAATCCACATTGTCGATACCTTGATGGTCTTGGACCCTCAGGTACTTTCTCAGATCAGAGGGTGTTAGAGCATAAATTACCTTTTTCAAATGCTTTGTAGGTTAGTAGTCCTTTAACGTATTTCCCCAACTATGTGATCCCCATGGATATGCTTCTGGCAGGAAATGATTCTAGTGCACAGAACGACTGGCATGGAGCGTGGTGGCACAGCAGCTTCACTACTCAATCAGGTCGGTCTTGCATATCTACATAATCAGTTCCCAAAACAGATATGTAATTGAGTCAAAAGCTCGGTGTGTATAAGCATTATTTAGCCTTAGGCATATCCTCTGGTTTACTTAATCTTTGAAGTTTTCAATAGGTTATGTAGAGGAAGACAGCCCTTACACGCCAGATGGACAGAAAGGAACTTACTATTTTGAATTTTCAAGGCCGTTGAGGACTATGGACCGTCTCCAGCAGGTCAGTAGATCTTCTACTCGAGTAAAAACCATGTTTTCTGTTTACCATTGCCCATTGTGAATCAACATTAGCTTGTGTTTAAAGACAAATATCTTCTTTGTCTACAGGATGTTCAGTTCACGCTTGGCTCACCTGCCAAAATGTCGGTTGCGTTCTGGTACCCGATGGATAGCAAACCGTGGCACGGGTCAGGACACTACACGATCGGCTGTGATTGGATCCCGCTTGATATCTCCTCGGGATCTTCTTCGGGCCTGACCGCTTCAACAATCAAGGGATCTAGCGATGGAACCAGCATTTCTGCAATTGTGATGTCCATGATTTCTCTTGTTGTGTCGGGTTTTATCGCATATAGATTATATAGCCCCAGGAACGTTGCATTCACACCCATGGAAAACAATCTCTAGGAGAAAATGAGAGTTTACACGGTTATTGGTACCACATTCTGAGAGAGATTCTTCTTTTTTGCTTATAGTGAAATGGATTTTTGTTTTATTATATAGTTTTTTTGTGGCTGCTGCATAGGCATGTACACTCTCGCAACAAATCAGGAGAAAGTATCCGAGGTTTTCTCGTCGTGGCACTAATTAATGTACCCAAGATGGTAGATGCAAACTAATTAAGTACACAAGAGAAGGAAACAAAAAACTATAAGCAAGACTGATACCATGAATTTGTCGATAAACTATTGTGATATTAAATCGAATATTAATGTTGTTTCTTGTTATTTTCCTTTTAAAGTATTAAGTGCATATTGATGTTTTGTTTATGGTTTCCATATATTTTGCTTATGATATTCTTATGTTATGCTTATTTTTGTAAATTCTTGTTTTCTATTCTTATTTCAAATTTTAATAGTAAGAACATATACAAGATAAAATTAGAATCAAAATACTACAGTTAAACGATCATGAAAATCAAACAACAAGTCTCCAAGCTATCAAATACAAAGATTCCAGATATAGAATTATTTCTCCAAGTTGAACCTCTTTCTAGCCAACTTCTCAATCAGCTACAAAGGTAACGTCTTCCTCTTGTGAACACAAAATATGCCGTGCCGTCAAAGATATCTTGGATCAACTCGTCGAGAGACTTCCCGGAGAATGCCAAGGCGAAGTAAACTGTCATGATCATTACAAGACTTTGATGTCGTGTGCTTAATTAGTTACACAAGACTTTTATGTCGTGTTTAATTACTTTAATTTCTCTAAATGTGTGTGATATATTATTCAGTTTCTAAATACATTATCGCAATTTTAAATTACTTTAAGAATGTCTCATCCACAATATTAAATGTATCATAACAATAACGAGATAGATCAAAGACCAAAAAGAAATCAGATCATTAATATAACAAAAACAAAAAAGAAATTGAATATTAATGTTATTTCTTGTTATTTTCCTTTTAAAGTATTAAGTAATATTAATGTTTTGCTTGTGTTTTGCATATATTTTACTTATAATATACATCACGATGGTTTAATTGGACGGTTAGATCTCTCCAACTAAAAATAGCTATTTACAATTGTTGGATCTTACATTATATTATTACAGGAAAATGAGATTTAAAACAGTAAGATCATTTCGGTTTAAATACTGTATATTATCTAATTTAAATAATATAATTTTTTTTTTCATTTAGGTTATTTATTTTTATAATTCATTAGATTATTTCTTCATTTTGGTTGAAATACTGTATATTATTATAGTAAAATATGGTTTAAAATGGTAAAATCCTTTTGGTTGACCTACGACCACATTTTTCTTTAAAAAATGTAATTCCAATAGATTGTAAACATAGTACATATATTTGCATCATTGCATGTTTTGTTTTTTTTAAATACATGGTTACCAATAAATCTGATCTAAATTATAAAACAACATTAATTATAGTTTATAATGTTGCTTCCTTTTAAATATAATTGCCAAATTATTTATGTAAGCACTGCATTTTGCCAAACACTTTCTTCTTGAATCTTATACATTTTTATTGAAACTTGCTTTCTATCTCCATTTGTTGTATTTTATAGAATCGTGTGTATATTTTGAGCATATTTATATAATTCAGTTCACTATCCAAACTATTACAAATTTTTATATTAACAGATTGAAATGAAAAATAATTAACTACAATCAACATGTTTGTTACTGTAATCAACATGTTTGTTACTACACGTGGTGCCTACTAGGCACGGCTCTGAATGAATGTATGTTAGAAATTGTTATGTGACCATTTCTTTTCTTTTCATTCATCATCTTTTACAAACATTAAATTTCTTGTGTCTTTTCTCTCATCTCTCTGGTTTTCTCTTGCAAAGATGACAAGCACGGTGAACTAAAGATTTTTCCGGTCTACTGAGTAAAGATATTGGAGAGAGTGAGTAGTTTTCTGATAAAGTTTGCATTCCACCAGAGGATGTCAAGATCGAGACATTCAAGGAAGAAATAAGGTCGATGAGTCCTATGGTGAGGTTAGCTACGATGAAATACATGGCTGCCTTGCTTGTGAGTGATACACACGTAAGATGTAAGGAGCCATAAAGATTATGGCTGAGATGGCCAAACTACCTTCGGAAGTCAAAGACGCAGCATGGTAATCTAGAGCAGATTCCAATTCCGTACAACATGTAACTTACCTCCGAGGCTCTTAGTTGTCTACTCAAGAAACTGGAGGTTTTCGAGACTTCGGTAGAAAGCCACACCGTAAGATCGTTTTGCTTTTTTATTTTTATTTGAGCCCTTTCAGCCAATTCTGAGTGATCTATCTTGATTTTTAGATTGTTATCGTTTTCCAATTTTAGATTTGTAGGGAAATCTAATCCTTTCTGCTTGTGTGATCTATCCTTTCTGCTTCCAGTATTTAATTACTTTCAGCGATTATATTATGGAGTTTGGTACTTTTAATGCTTTTTTTTGGGGATAAAAATCAACATTGTTATGCTTTACACTTCATATATATTTTGGTATTACGTCCATAACAGTAAGCTATATTAGCGAGCACTCTCAACAAACTTCTGAAGAAGCTAAATTAATGAGTTTAGTTTGAATTCATCGTTTATGGAGCAAATGGAGGTAAAGTAAGTGATTCCAGGTATCAGGAACACCAGGGAGACACCAATGACTGCAATCTTGGACAGCTTGCGAACGCCGGTTTTCCGGTTTTACTCCGTAAATAGAAGGGTGAGCGTCGATTCTGTACTGAGATAAACCGCTAACGTTCAAGGGAGTCACCGGCGTTTTCATCTGCTTCAGCACTTCCTCAACAATGGTGTTTTTGCCCGCTGAGTCACTCAGCTTGAAGGTTTGATTCAACGGCTTCTTGGCTTCTCTGCAATGCCCTCCTGAGTTCCACTGTCCTCCACTGTCCAAAGAAACAATACAAATATATAATGAAATGGAGGAAAAAGAATGAGAGATCAACGACACAAGAGAGAGACAGGAACAAGAACCTGAAATGAGAAGGTGCAGCGCTTCTAAAGAAGACTCGAGTTTTCTTTGGATCGACGTTTTTGTCAACCCAAGATGACCAAGTCTGCATTGCTTTCTTGAAAGCTGTTGATACATCGAGCTTCGGATGAATCTCGTTTCCTTCTTGGTAATAGTTGATCCTGCAAACTCAAAAACAACTCAATCAGAATCTTGATCCCATTCTTCTTCTCCTTCTGATGCTGTTTTTGATCTCTTTAATTTAAAGCAAAGATTTTTAAAAGACTGACCCTGATTTGGTTTTGTAATGAGACCACCAGTGAGCTGTGTTGAACACTAAGATATCAGCACCTTTCCATCTGGAAGAGGTTCGATCCATAGCGTCGATTCTAAGCGTCTCTCTTCGCTTCTTCCCAATCTTTGCTCTGCCCTCTCGAACCAAGAAATGAGTAACGTAGAATTCCACTGTGCATTTGTAGTCCTAATTGAGTCACACACCAAACATCCATCATCATCATATTCATATTACTAACATTCATTTAGATTATAGTCATCAAGACATCAAATCAATCATATATACACATACCGCAAAACGGAAGCTGTAGTTGCCTTTCTCTTTGGTGATTCTCCGGTTGTGCGTCTCGTAGACTTTCTTGGGATCTTTCACAGCTTGAAACAACATACAAAGCATTGATTCCCACTGGTTCCTGTTGATTGAATCTCCAACGAACACTAGCCTCTTCCCTCTTATCATTTCCAGCATTCTCGTTGCATTGAACCTAATAAAACTCACACATACCAAATATGGACTCTCAATTTCCAAATCAGGACTATGAAATTGCCTAAAGGGAACATCTTTAATTTCCCAATTAAGCAAATTAGGAAAGAAGAAGAAGAAGCAAACCTCGGAGCATCGCAATCTCGAGGCTCCCATCTGAATTTGGTGTAATTAAGATCCAATCTTCCGTTGGTTTGACAACCGAATCCTTCGTCGATGAAGGGACAAGACGCATTCGTGTACAATGGATATTCATCGTCGTGGACCCATTTCCCTTTCGTTACATCACACTCTTCGATTCCTTTCTTCTTCTTCTTCTTCTCTTCATCGCCATTGTTGCTCGGAAGTTCAATCACTTTGATTGAAGTGAGATTAGCGATAATGACTTGGTCTTCCTTAACAAAACTCTCGCCGCCGCGAGCCTTTTGCTCAAAACCCGGAATTTTCGCGGACCCGGAAGTGTTTTCGGGCGGGTTGAAACGGGTGGAGACCAGAATCTGGCTCGCTCGAGAGGAAACTAAAGAAGAATCGGAAATGGATGCAATAGGGCTCAAATCGATCTGGAAGTTAGAGTCTGTGGTTGGGTAAAGAGACGAGTTCGATCTGATTAAGGAATTGGAGAAGAAGGTTAAGAAAACAATGGCGGAGGAGATTGTCGTAATAATCAACGCCAAGGCTCTTGTGGACTTGACAGAGAAACTCCATTGTCTCTCCATTTCTATCTCTCTCTCTCTCCTACTTTCTCTGTTGACTGGATTTGGAGTTAGTGAAGAAACAGTTTCATAATCTGTGTGATTAGATTTTTTTTTTTGAATTCGAAAATGCAATGTGAAGAAACGAAAAGCTTGAAACTGGAGTCGATAATGGTGGTTGAACCGTGGGGTATAATAAGAACAGGGGAGGAGAGATTCGGTAAAGAGATGATAATGACCTTCTTTACAAACTCGTGAGGTCATGAAAATACAATTATTAAACAACAAAAAAGAGGGAAAGATAATGACGATTTAAAGTATGGTTTTGGAATAGTTTATTTGTTTGTTGATTGCTGTCACAGATTGGATTTTGGATTATAACGTGGTGGGGACATTCAGGACTTTCGCTGGAGTTTTTCATGGAACATGAGCAATGCCAAATTGCCAATGGTGATCTTTTTGAATTTCCATAAATGCCCCCTTACGTTTTAATATGTGTAAATAAGAGAGCAGGCCCATACATTTTGGTTTTGTTAAGCCCATATACAGGCCCAATAAGAGATGGATGGGATAGTTTAGTGATTCTCTCTGCTTTCGCAGTTTCAATCTCATTTCGTTCGTCGTGGTTCTCTCTCGTTCATCTCCGCTATCGGACTCGGTAAATCCCAGATTCTTCTCGTCATCTCTGTCTCTTGCTTTAATTTTTTTTTTTTTTTATTGTTTTTTCCTCTGATACGATATCTTGGTTGGTAGCGTATTGAAGTATGGGAATCGATGTGATTAGGATTGAAATTGTAAACTTCTTTGGTCTCCCTTTTGATTGTCTCTCGGTAGGCGATTCTTTGGAAAACTAATCATTTTCTTCAGGAGAGAAGCGAATTTTACATATTGTTGTTTCAATTTCTAGATTCTGTGAATTAAGTTTACTTTACCCTTTCCGTGACCGTAAGAATGAATACGAAAGCCTTTTGATATCTTCCGCTGATATAGATCCCTAATTACGGCACAAGCATAGTCTCGAAAAGCATATATGAACATATATAGAGAGGAAATGGTGTATCTGACCCAGTGTCTATTTGTTGTTTTCAGATAGTGTTTTGTGAACTTGTCAGTTATGTTAATAATATTTGGGTAATTGTAGGGAAGGTTGAGAAGAAATGGCAGGACACAAGGTTGCGCATGCGACACTGAAAGGGCCGAGTGTTGTAAAGGAATTGATTATCGGACTGACACTCGGTTTAGCTGCTGGTGGTTTGTGGAAGATGCACCATTGGAACGAGCAGAGGAAAACCAGAGCTTTCTATGATTTGCTTGAGAGAGGTGAGATCAGCGTTATTGCCGCTGAAGAGTGAATGAATCATAAAGCCTCGAGTTTTTTTTATGGTTCATTGACAAGTAAGGGATTGCTTAAGAAATAAACAAACCTGAGATAGGATTGGTGATTTGTTTAACATATTATTGTTTTCCATTCTACTATTCCATGGTTAATTTTTCAGACATCTTTCTTGACTTTTCCTTTCAACAACAGATGAAGATTGTTGCATTGTTTGTTTAGTTCTTCCTGTTTCATCTATAAATTGTAATGGTCTCATCGTCTCAACACATTTTACCTGCTTCTATTTTATCGTCTTTGATAAATTTTTAATATTTTTTTAAAAATAATATCTAAGGAGCAACTGTTCTTAGAAAACGGCTTGTCCGGCTGCAAATCTTCAACGTTGTACTGGTTTGTTGTTTACCGAGAAAAACATTTCATAGTTGGATCGACTAAAATAAAACAATATCTCAGAATATTCGAAACGTGTAGTAATATGGTTGGTCCAAAGAGGATAAGAAATGGGGTTCACTGATTTAAATTCAAGCTCACTTTATATATCTTCTTCGCTCCAATTTATCTGAATTATCTCCTTTTTTATCAACCAAAAGCCTGCGTGTATTTTCATCTATCACAACGATGGCAACAATAGCTACTAATCTTAACATGGCAACCCAACGAGTCGTCGTCAACGGTGAGAATCGTCCCGTTCGTCTCGCCGGTCCGGTCCGTTTGAACAATCCGTGGAATCTTGGGTCGAAAACAACGAACCGGATGGGGAAATTAAGGCCGGTTAAAGCGACGCCGGAAGGAGGAATATCGGATATAGTGGAGAAGAGCATCAAGGATGCACAGGAGACTTGTGCAGGCGATCCTGTGAGCGGAGAGTGCGTAGCTGCGTGGGACGAGGTCGAGGAGCTTAGCGCAGCAGCTAGCCACGCTAGAGACAAGAAGAAAGCCGGTGGCTCCGACCCTTTGGAGGAATACTGCAAAGACAATCCTGAGACTAACGAGTGTCGTACTTACGACAACTGATAGTTTATCCATCAAATATGTTCCTGCTTCCGTCGTATATTACAAAAATCTTTGTTCCGGTCAATTTAGTAATGTGATATGATATGATAAAGCATTGTAATTTGGGAAGATTCATAAGCGTAGAAGAACGAACAAATTATAATCTCGATAGAGAAAAATATCAATTTATTAAGAAACACAACAAACCAATTACATTACAAGACAATCTTATCTTATATAGACGACACAAGACTAAATTGAAAATTACCGGAAAGCAAAGAGACTGAAGTAATATAAAAGATGACACACGAATCATTTCACCAATAATGACTATTTGTTACAAAAACTCGATCCATCACAACAAAAAGAAGAAGAAAAAACGAACAAACGATATGATGACAATTGAGTAGATAGAGCAAGACAAGAGATCTCAATGCTTCATTGGATCCTCAGCATTCAAACATATCAGCAGCAGCCATGATTGGTTGCATCGGACAAGGAATCTGCCACGGGTTAAGCATAGATTCGGGAATCTCTGGGATATCCAAAGCCTGACCACTAATATCTTCAACCATCTCAAGGACAGAGTTAAGTGATCTCAACCTGTCCGTTAACTCCGAGGCTTGTGCTCTCAAGACGTCGTTCTTAGACTCCATTTCGACGTATTTCCTTGTCGCTGCTTCAACTTGCTCGGTGATCTTGGTGTTATCGTTCTTGAGAACCGTCACTTCGTTGATCAGGTCGCCGAGTTGCTTCTGTTTCCTCATCCTTGACCTCCGAGCTGATTCTCGGTTTGAGATCATTCTCTTCCTTTTCCTCTCATCCGTGACCGTCGCGTACCTCGGATCATTGTCGGATTCAGGACTTGTCTGCCTTTGCAACGACCCCATTTCCGTTGACTTTTTGACTTTTTCCCACCCAAATTAAAAACAATAGAATATATAAATCTAGATTCCTATAACATAGGTTGATTTCCTCAAATTCCAAATCCCCGCTCTCTAAGTCTAGCAATGAATTAGTCAGATCAAACGAAATAAAATCTCGAATTAATTTTCAATCGAGAGCAAAAACAGATGAGATCGGAGACGATTACTTCATGAGAAAACGTAAGAATAGTACAGGTATACGACGGAGAAAGAGTGTAGAATGCGAATCCGACGAAACAGAATTGAGTAGCTCATAGAAAATCTAGGACCATTCCTGCTTTTTCAGATTCCCTAATTTCTCAAACCAAATTTCCCAAGAGAAAAATCATAGATCTAGATTTTAATTCAACACAGAGTAGATCTGCGAACGGAACGAGATCGAACGAAGGAGGAGAAAAATTTGAAAAGCGAAAGAGAAAATGGATCAATACTTTGCTGATTGATAGAGAAGACGATAAACAAAAAAGCTAAAGATCAAAGGGCAAACGAAAGAAGGCGATAAAGTAGTCCCAAGGGATCCTTTTAAAGGGGATTGGATGGTGACGATGAGCTGGCAAAGGCTTATTCAATATTTTAAAAAAATAATTAAAAATGGAAGATAATAACTTTTGGTAAATCTTTTAATTTTTCAAAGCACAAATGGGTGACTGACGCTAGCTGTGACGCCAGCTGGAATTTAATAAGGGAAGCACGTTTGTTGTTTTGTCCTTTCACGGGTGGAATATTCCACGAAGATGCCTCTTCAGAAAATATCAAATGTTTGTTTTGATTAGTACTGTATTTGTTAAAAAACTTGAGTTATTGTTTCGAATTGTTCCGCACGAAAGCAATGTTGAACACACATTTCATAAGTGTTATAATACAAAACGGCTATTAATTGTAACCAAAGTCTACCATATACTTTTTCTTTATACGTATACGTCTCTCGTTGGTTCAATGCCGACGTGATGATTACATCATCTTAGTGCCACACGGTTTTTAGATAATTTAAAATTTTGGTCACGGGCTTTGGGCTTTCTTGACTTGATGGGGTTAGCCGTTTAGGCTCTTTCAGCTCAACGAAGAAACGAGACAGCAGCCAACTACAAGAACGACACAGCAGCCAGCTCTAGATAAGAAAAACGCCAAGATTTTCGATTCAGAAGAATATTCTTTTTGACAACAAAAGTTTAATCTTTCTAAGAGTGGTCGGTCTTTCGTACTCATCATCACAAACTAGCTTGTTTCCTAATGGGTTTAACATTACAAAAGATGTGTCATAGTTTTGAACAATGAGTTGATGCTTTATACACATTGCCAATCTCTAGAATGGCAACAAAAAGACTACGAGGCCTTAAAGTAGAAGTCAATTCTGACTAAGTCTTGACTTTATCTCCAAAAAGAAGAGTGACTAACTACTGGTTACACAGAGAGCAGGGACTACTAGTGGAGTGCCTTGATCATATTCCTCCACTTGTCCTTGAGATCAGACGGAGTACGTGTTTGGTTGAACACATTCTCTCCCATTTCAAGAATTTTCCTCCATGGCATGTTCTTGTTTACTTGTGCTGCAAACTTCTCCACTCCCACCTGAGCCAACAACACATATCTCAACAACAATTCTCACGAGATACAAAAACAGCTTAGTGTTTATTATCATACCTTGAGCATTTCTTCTTCTTCGGGCGTCCAAAGTACTCTCCTTTTCTTATCCTTGTTAAAAAACGAAAGGTCCCTGCAAATATATGTGGAAATGAGACAAGATACTACTAGAATAGACCATGTTCCAGCGAATGAAGAAAAAGGAACAACCTCGCTGTCTTTAACTTAGCAGCAGCCACTGTTGCTGCGCTGGCTTCTCTCTCCTGCTCAGTTACATCTTCTCCATTTCGTTCCTCAGTTAATAAGATATCACTATCACTATCACTCAATTCTACCCTTCTTCTTTTTCTACTTCTTCCTTGCTTCTCATCATTCGGTTGGACCACGTCATGTTCTTCCCCTGAATCCGATGAAGCATCTCTTGTTTCCCCTGCCCCTGTACTGACTCTAGCTTCAACTTGAGCTCTTTCGTCCTCCTCCTCATCGTCTTGGAAGTGTTCTGTAGCAACCCTCTCTTCGTCTTCTGATGCTTCAACCTCCTCGTCTATCAGATTATATTCTTTCATACCAGTAACCACTTGTAACTTCCCTTCATCCTCTTCTGGTTTATGAGAATCCTTGTCAGCTTGATCCTCACTTGCAATGTCTCTACTCTTCCTTGAATGCTCTTCTTGACTTTTGGGAACACTTTCCTTAACATCATCCTTCTCTTTCTCTAGATACTTGAAGACTGCCTTTTCCGCCTCAATGGCCTCCTCTCTCAATGATTTGCACTTCTGTGATACAATTTTTAACCAGCAGTAGGGACAAAATGGATTCGAAAGATCCTCGTTACCACCGAACTCAGGAGTCAAACACTTGTCGTGATAATGAACCATACAATCCACCCCACAACAACGGATTACAAGATTGTCTGAGACTTCACACACGATACACGCATCGAATTCCAGCGTCTCCGATTTTCCTGTCTCATCACCTTTCTCAAGACGAAAATGACGCTTCTCGTGTGCCACATCATCTCTTTCATAATCATCATCACTAGTATCTGGATTAATCTCTCCGGAACCAAATCTTCCCTGCGAGAGGACATTTATGCACAATACATCAACTTTAAGAGTTACAAATTTTAAACCTAGTTTCTAAATTCAAGCTCCGTGCACCACACAGTTAAAAATCCAAATCTACGAGTTCACCAACTGGATCTAGTGTAAATTCATCAAATCAGACGGCTTATCAGTTCTAGTTCACCGTACTCTAGAGAACATTACCCTCTAATTCTTCGATTCGATCCGATTCCGAGAAACAAACGGAAACGAAAGGGATAAAAAGGAAGGTTACCGGAAGGGATCGAGAGGGAATGAGAGACTTGTTCCGAGACCTAGCCGGAATCGATTTCGTTCTCATCTTGATCTTCTTCTGCTTCTTCACTTGCTCATCAGTCGCAACGAACAGTCTTCTTACTCGAGAGTCCAGAGAAGATGTTTCTTTTTCTTTTCTCGATTGGTACGGTTTGCTTCCAATAAACCAAACCGAAATCGAGTCAAGCTGGCAATACGACGACGTTTTCACAGTTCCCAGTTTAACATTGTTTAAATTTCTCGTTTAAAGAGTAAGCTAGTTCATTTTGATACTTAAGAAATAAGATGTTGAAAGAAACCCACCAATTAAGTATTTTTAAAGGATTTTCTAATTATTCTTCTATTAAAGAACAATTAAAACAAAACTATTTAGAAAAAGAAAAAAAACAATATCCTGTTTCCAACAAAAACTTGAGCAAATTTAGGAAACGACTTCAAAATTGCATCTGGAGGAAGCTTTGGGCAGACTTTGGAGATCTGACATGAGTTTCATCTTTCCATTACCTGTTGCCTGAGAACAAACTTCCACTAGCTCAAGACATGACAATTTGTCCAAAATGTACTTCATTTGTATCAATTCTTCGAGACAACCATAATACTCGGTGATCTTTAGGACCTCCAAAGGACACGACAATAGGAAAGAATAGTCCGACACGCACTCACATAGAGCATCTTCTTCACAATAATAAACACCCTTATAGTGCAAGGGACCCTGAAAGAAGAAAATGATGGAAAGTACTAGATCAGAATCAACTTTTTATGAGTAATCAAGTGCAATTTCTTGAAGTCAGGGTCGAACGTTGATGGTTAGACTCTTAAGATTTGGAGATTTCTTTATCAACGTTGGCAGAGGCAACCAACAGAAGTTAGAGAGGTTAACTGTTAAATGAGACAGATTTTGAAACACCGGGACTTGATCACGGAAGACAGAAAACATCTGTAACACAAGAAAATCAATGATACTAATATAATTTAAGATTTGTAGTAAATTAAATATTGTCAGAGAGAGAGGAAGAACTATACCTTTGCTGTTTGAATGGTATACAAGTTGAGAATCTCAACATCTTTTAACCCGTTGAGCAGATTCTTTGGACGAAAACGATTTCTATCCGATTCTTCCCACATATAATTTTCTTCGGGACAAAGATAGAGCTTAGCTTCAACAAGGGAGCTGAAATTAACATTTAGAAACTCTCTTGGAACGTAATCCGAGTTGTGTAAGTAGGCAAGACCTGGAGTGTCAAAACTAATGCTCGTAAAATCAGAGTCATCAAAAGCATCCCACTCCTTACGTGTAACAGTGAGCCTCTTAAGGCTGAGACTAGTAACAGTGCGGGACCATTTCCAATGTTGCCAGTTGATATCACGCAAGGTTAGTTCCTCAAGCAGAGGACACGCACCAAGCAGCGTTTTGAACGCACAGCGACCACCAAACTCACGGAACATAACCGAGAAAAGAGAAAGAGTTTTGAGAGCCGGAAGAAAAGCATTCGGAGGGAGGATGTCAATAGCAAAACCAAACCCTAGTGACAGTTTTGTAATTGTCTTGCAAGTGAAGACTTGAAAAGGAAGTGAATATCCTTGTACGCCACCTATCCACAGTGCAAGATCCAAGACACCATGGTTTAACACATGACGTAGACAAGTGTTGATATGATCATAGTGAACAGACTCATCAACATCCCACCAGTTTAAAGAGAAGTTCCTTACACGGGTACTTGCTGGTAGAGCCAATACTCCATCCAAAAAGGTCTTGAAACGCTCTCCATCCTTATCCGAGGCATTCTCAATTTTTAGATCCGGTATGATGGTAAACTGATTGTGCCACCGCTTTGAGAGAACCGTCGTGAACGCAGCATCCTTCGCCGAAAGGAATGACACGATGTGGCAAATGATCTCGTCTGGTTGATTGCTGATTCGATCCATACTTGAGAAACAAAACACTTTCTTACTAGTCACAAAAGACTCCCTTCCCTTCTAATCGTCAAAACCCTAGCCCGCTTCTCCAACTTCCCTCTTCATATTTCGTAACTCGGAAGACATTAATTAATTACTCCACGACGCACAACCGCACCGTGTTATATGGATCAATCCATTGTAAACGTGCCACGTGTACGGTGTATCCCCCTTATTATTCTTAACCGGTACCTGAGATTAAATTTCTAATCCTGAATTGGTTTGATTTGTACCGATTTTCAAAACCAAGCAAAGGTTTGTGTTTGTAGACAAACAAAGAAGAAACCAAACCCCTTCCGGCGGAGAAAATTGTTGCATCTCTTGTGGTTCCTCTGTATAGTTACTTACTTGAATCCGTGAATCTTCTTCTGCGGAAAATTGAAGTAAAAGGGGAATGGTGCAGAAGCCGAGATTTCTGGATTGGTATTTGAAGATCGCGACTGGATCGGCTATCATCGGCGGCGGAATGGAATTCTTCATGATCAAGACTGGTTTCTGTAAATTCCCTCTCCTTTCCCCATTCTAAATCACTCGTTAGTCAAGTCTTAAGTAGATCGGAAATTAGGACTTCCTTTCTCGAACTAGCAGCAAATCGATTGACATGGTTTCTGTAAACAGTTGAATCTCTGAAATTTTAGGAGAGAAATGTTACACATCTGATTTAAAAATGCTTATTGAGGCTCAAGTTTTTACTAGTTTCTTGTGGACTTGTAATCTTGGTTTTGTTTTTCTTTTGTCCTTATGATGAAATAGTTTTATTACCAAAACTTGCAGACGACAGGGTTACTGTAATAGAAGCAGAGAAACGGGCGTGGGAAAATTCTCCTGAAGCTCAAGCCATGAGAGAAGCTCTTAATCCCTGGAGAAGCAAGGACGCAGAAACGGGCACAACGTCCATAGATCAGTGATGAACTCGTTAAGTTCCTTTCACTCACTCTCAAACTTGCAAAATGCTGCTTCGTTTTCTGTTTGTTTGAGATCATGAATTTACATTTGGTAGCCTAGATGTAGCAACTTTGAACACATTTACATGTTTTGAAGATACCAGATGCTGTATGTGTGTTTTCATTATCACATTTACACATTTACACATTCAAGGTTGAATGAAGTTTTTGAAATACTGTATCATGTTACAAAGAAATCACTAATAATGAGGTGTCGTTTAGACAAATGTTACAGAACAAAGTGCAGAAACATGTTTGAGGCTCGGCTTTTATAAGTAAACCATACATGTTGTGTCGATGATCCAAAACAACTTGTGTCATCTCTCTCCATTCCGAATATTGCCTTTCTTGATTCTTCTCAATTGGGTTCTCGTTGAGCCTTTTGAACCTCAAATGTTGGCTCATAGCACAAGTCCAAGCTGTGCAAGCGAAGTCATGTTTCTTGACCAATATATTGCAGAGATGAGCTAAAGTAGAACCATTTACAGTTAAGAGCCCTCCTAAGTCATCAAAACCGTGTACGATTGCCATCAGGACACATCCCTCTTTTTTCGTCATCTCTTCCCAAACCGCTCAGATTTCATTATCATTTCAGTTTGATCAGAGCGTTGTACGATTTGCCATCGGGAGGATGACGAACTGGAGTCAAACTCAAACTGACGTTCTCGTTTAACGTAAGATTGTTCATTGATACTTGTATTAAATGTTAACAGAAGGCCACGAAGCAAAATAGATTTGTCCGTTCCTACGATCAAAAAGGCCTCACAAAATAGTTACTTTAGTTTGAAACCAAGAATTTTCAATCTCTGAAATTGCACCAATTGTTGTCGTATAGTGCCAGGAGATAAGCATGCGACAATCTCGTAGATATTCTGCTATTCGCACTCGACAATCCTGGAGGAAATTTGTTGCTTCTATCAAAGGACACTGATGGAGACACTTTTGAAAGTGTAATTACAAACTCATCAAGTGTCTCAGTGTAATATCTCTAAAAAAACAAAATGTAATATCTCTAAAAAAAACGAGATGTGCATCACTTACCCCAAAACGCATAATGTACCCCTAAATCCACCAGCTGTTGTGCTTGTTCCTTCATGATCATTATCACTCTCTTGAACGATAAGATGTTCACCATCAAAGAGACATGTACCCTCTGTTTTCCAAAGCTTGCACCACACGGGCGAAGTCAGCTTATGTCTTTAGAGAGTACCATCAAAGTCGGATTTTCATCATGAACCGTAAAATTGTCAAGTGCCTAGAAAAGCATGTCCAACAACATTTTAAAACCTTTCGGATAATTTTCCCCTGTCAAATTATGTCAAAAATTAAAAACAGAGAAAAGGGTGTTAAGAGAGTGTTTCAAGTAGAGGAAATCACGGTCTGGTACGAATCCGACTCTGAGTCTGGAATGTGGGTCTAGACCTGCTGGTAATCATGGATGTTCCAGAAGAGGGCAGTGCCAGGCACTGCGAGAGTTCATACAAACATTTACGAAAATGGGATGACAAAAAAAAAAACCTGATCGATTGTGAAACGCAATTTGAATCAGATAATCTGGAAAAGAAAAACAAAACATACTTAGTGGTGATGCCCTATCGAGAGAAGTATCATGGATTCGTTTAGAGAAATGTGTTCTAGTCCAATCGCGTTCAGCAGTCAATAGCTCATTCTGGGTCCAGTCCATCTCGGCTCCAAGTGCAACAAAACTTCTTGACTGGAGAGCAAGAAGAACACTCAAGATCACAGTGTCTCCATCAATGTCCTTTGATAGAATCAACAAATCTCCTCCACGATTGTCCAATGCGAATTAAGAGCATTTCTTTAACTCTCGCATGCTGATCTCTCACCAACATTCTCCTCCTTCTGTACTACTGTACGCTTCCGTCCTTCATTCTGCAGACTCTAATTGTAATATTTTCTATTTTTCTTACGTACTATTTTTTTTTGCATGTATTGTAATGAACCCACCCACTGTTCAAAATTTGAACCTTAACTCAATAGTTTCTGAAAGATCAATCCACCTTTACATAACATAAGAAGCTGACGCAACGTTTTGGTTCATGAGTAGTCAAGACTTTGAAACGTTGAATAGATTTACATACAGGTATGTTTGTTCATATATATGGATAAATATGTGTATTTTGAAGGTGGAATGAAAGTTTTTGAAATACTGTAACATGTTACAAAGAAATCACTAACAGTGAGGTGTCGTTCAGACAAATGTTACAGAACAAAGAGCAGAGACATGTTTGAGGCTCTGCTTTTATAAGTAGCCCATACATGTTGTGTCAATGATACAAAACAACTTGTGCTCTCTCCATTCCGAATATTGGCTTCTTGATTCTTCTCAATTGCTCGTTAAGCCCTTTAAACCTCAGAAGTTGGCTCAGAGCACAAGTCCAAGCTGTGCAAGCGAAGTCATGTTCTTGACTCAATATGTACGTTTAAAAGCCCTCCTAAGCCATTAATCTTCCTTGAATCTCTGTTTGAATTTCCTTCTAGTCATCTGAGCCCATTTTGCAAAGATCTCTGAAGCAGCAAACTTCCCAGAGAACTTAGCTCTCTGTGCCAATTCCTCAAATATCTCCGGTTGTCCTCCTCTGTGGAAATCAGCAGCAAACTTGTTGTAATCAATCAAAGGAGTTTTCATTCCTTTGTCAAGCATCTCCTCCAAGTACCTACACGCCTCTCTCGACCTCCCTTCCCCTATAAGCCCTCTGATCAAAACCGTGTACGAGTTGTCATCAGGACAAACCCCTTTCTTCCTCATCTCCTCCCAAACCGCTCTCCCCGTCTCGTAGTTTCTCGCCACGAAGTAAGCTTTCATCATCATGTTGAACGTGTGTATCGTTGGCTCGATCCCGCTCTGTATCATCTTGTTGTAGATCCTCGTGGCGTGCTCCGGCATCTTCTGACTCGCCATCAGTTTGATCAGAGCGTTGTACGTCTTCCCATCAGGAGGATGTCCCTTCTCCTGCATCTCCTCCAGCAGCTCGTAAACCGTATCCAGCTGCTTCCGAGTCCCAAACCCCGTGATCAAACACGTGTAAACCGCAGCATCGGGTTGCAACCCTTTCTCAACCATTTCATCAAAGTACTCAACAGCAGTTTCCACACTCGACTGTTTGCAGAAGTCACGAATCATGATGGTGTAGCTACGAACGTTAGGGCTAGGTCCCTTGGCTCTCATGACATGGAACAACTTGATCGCATCAGACCTCTTCCTGCTCCTCAACAAGCCTTCAAGCATAACGTTGTGAGCTACAACGTCCGGTTTCAAGCCCTGATCAATCATATGGTTCCATATCCTAGCAGCTTCCATCAAATTCTTCACACGGCACCAACCATTGAGTAGCACAGTGTGAGTCATGAGATTCGGAGTAAACCTCTCTTTGAGCTTATCAAACAGAACCTGAGCTTCTTTCCCAAGCTTAGCCCTGCCGAGACTATCAAGCAAGCAATTAATCGTCTCAACGCCGATTTTAAACTTGTGCTTCTTCATCAGCTCGAAGATCCCAACAGCTTTCTTCCTCTCTTTCGCAGCAGCGAAAGCCTTCATAGCGATTGTGAATGTCTCCATCGTCAACAACCCCTTTTCACCCATCTCATTGAGCAGAGAAATCATCGTCTCGAACTGTCTAGTCTTTGCTAAAATACTCATCATTGAGTTGTATGTTGTTGAATCGTGAGCGAATCCTGGTTTCTCTGCAGCCCAGCAGAAGAATCTAAACGCCGGCTTCCTCGCGTGACGAAACCGTTGTAAAACCTCTACGATGAGAGATTGAGATAGATCTACATTCATTTCGTCGAGAACAGCTTCCATGTTTCTATCTAACGCGAACAATTCGTCAATCACTTTGCAGACTCTCTCTACTTCTTCGGGATTCGTACTTGAATCAACACAGCTGACCCCGATTTCATCTCTAACATCATCATCGTCTTCATCATTGTCGTCACATTCAGATTCAATTCCTTCATCAGGTCCGCTGCTACCATCGGAACTAATAGAAGAGAAACCTCTAAAACCTATGGAGGCGTGTGGGTGACGATGATAAACAGAAGAAGGAATCAGCCGAGAGATAGCAAATGTAAGTCGTACTTCCTCTTCTCCTTTCCGACCGCCGCATATCTCGGTCCCGCCGGTTATGCGTCTTTGACCGGAAATGAATTCGCTGGAGTTTGATGAAGAAGTGCGAACGAAGAGGCACTGGACTCGGTTATAGCTGATAGGAGCTTTCATGGAGCTTCTTCTCAAATGGAGATGTAACCATGGAGGAGGAGCCATCGAAGCTCGAGGGCGATTAGCAATGGCGAACTTGGAACTGATTAACGAGCTAAATTGAAGCTTCTTCTCATCTCGGTCCATTGGGCCTTGTTATATTAGAAGCTTTGATGAAAAGCACTTTGGCCCATTAAGGGCTCACCAATATGATTACATGTCAATAAAAGTGTCAATTTCTTAGATGTACTTGGAATACGTTTATGGATAATACAACTCTGAAAATCATGATCATTCAATCAGTATCAATGTAGCTTCAAGAACGAACTTGGTGGTTGAATGCGATAAATATTTTGTTAGGATCCGTTATATGAAAAAGTGGAGATTAATGCTAAAAGAGAAGACTTTTTCATAAAATAAACATTTGTTGATCACAAAAGAGCATATAGCTTTAAAACACACCGAAAAACATCAAATTGTTTCTGAATCACCACCACGTGAAATCCTCTAAGCTTCAACTCTTTGATGGTTGGAAGATAGTCGATGTCACACGACTTGAGGCTCATGTCACTATCTAAACATGGACTAAAGAAACGGTAAGGAATAAACCTGCACTAAACATGTACTAAATCCCACAATGATTGAATCTGTCGCCATCTTTCCCTTCAACTATGCTGTAAGGAATAAATCCAATTTCCTCACATCTGGTTTTCGAGAATACTCCAAAATCTAGGCGTTTGAGATTTTGTTTTTATCTTATTCAGCCTTAGCCTCCTTACGTATATAAATATTTCAATCCAAAGGAACATGCTAAAAATCTTTTCAATATCTTGTGTGTTTTTCTTAAGAAAAACGTATAAGATTTTGAAAAGAAAAGGATGACATAATTGATTTAAATCTAGATTTCATTTTTTTTTTTGTTCAAAAAATCTAGATTTCATAAGCCATAAATTTTCTATATGAAAAAAAAAAAAAAAAAAAAAAAAAAAAAAAAATCTATATGAACAAAATTGTAGTTAAATTCACATCTAGAAAACCTTTTTTACGATTGGTTGCATATTTCACAAGATTTTTCTTATATCTTATCTTTACTTTACAAAGAAAATCAGAGCTTCTTCGCATTCATTTCAGTCTATTGGGCCTTGGAAGCTTCGGTGAATAGTAGTATGGCCCATTAAAGGCTCCTTAATTCGATTACATGTTCATATTATTACCGTTATACCCTTGGGCCCACCAGTAGCATCCAATCGCAAACGCATAAAGATCATTAAAGGTGTCAATTTCTTATAAGCATGGGCAAATTATCCGTTATATTTGCTTCGATCCGTTATCCGTTCCGATTCGATCCGAAAAATCCGGATAACCGTAATTTTACAAAGCAAAGCAAATACTAAAAATTAATATCCGTTAAAACCGGAGCAAATCACAAATACTGAAATTTTAAAAGCCGGATATCCGATCCGCTCCGTTATACATATAGATATATCTATATATATAAAATTACATATATAAATTGGATGATTGTTATGTTTATATCTAAATTTTATAAATCTATATTCATTAAATTGATTATTTAAACACTAAAAAAAATTAAAACAAAATAACTACTAATAGTTTTTTAATTAAAATTATATTTTTGTGTTAAAAATTGATTTTTCTGAAATTTTTTAAATACAAATATTTTTTAAAATATTTACGGAGTGGATAATTCACGGATATTAAACAGAGTTACGGATATCCGGATCAAACGGATCGGAGCGGATAATCCGCGGATATTAAACAAAGTTACGAATATCCGGATTTTCGGATATCCGAAAATTTTCGGATCGGATCGGATCAGAAAATCAAATATCCGGACGGATCGGATCGGATCACGGATACCTGTTTTTTGCCTAGTATTTGCTCCGTGCCCAGGGCTAATTTGTTAGATGGAACTTGGAAGGTATATGTATGCTGCATCTTATCTTTGTTTTAGGGTCATGATATTTTCTTAATTTATTTTCTTGGGAGGGGACCGATTATTTTTTAGATATTATTTGTTTGATACACATCTCTTAGTCTACGTAATCTTTGTATACGTGTATGGATAATACAACTCTTAAAATTCATGATCAGTAAATCAGTATCAGTGTAGCTTCAATAACGAACTCGGTGGTTAAATGTTATTGTCAACATTTATGTATAGATTACCTTTGTCATATTTATTCGAGAAACTTCAGGAATTTTGAATTTATAATCATCTATCATCATATGGTATATATCAGTTCAAAAGGATGTAATAGTTCTATCAAACATAATTTATCTCTATACAAATTAATATCACCTAACACTTCAGTACGTATAGTATGAACAAAATTGTAGTTCAATACACATCTACAAAATCTTTTATGGTTGGTTATCAATCAAACATGGGTTTATATCTGATCTTTACTTTACAAAAGCTTTAACATAAGAAGTTTTCAGCTGTGAAATGAGTCACGAGAAGGTGTCCGCAAGCAATTTGTATAGATAAGATAATAACTAATTACTTACAAAAATCCAAAACTATATCTAAATCAACACACTTAATTCCAAAACAGGAAAGCAAGTGGGTTTTGCCTAGCTACTTGTATAAATAGAAACAAAATCGCAACCTCTTCTTCCTTCATATTATATATTTTCTTCTCTAATAATCATTGAAAGCAAACAATTAAAACAGTTTTTTTTTATAGTAAAGAAATGGAGGAAACGAAGGAGAGAAAGATTGTAGTAGCAGTGGACGAAAGCGAAGAGAGCATGGAAGCTCTTTCGTGGAGTCTTGACAATCTTTTTCCATATGGTTCCAATAATACTCTCATCCTCCTCTACGTCAAGCCTCCTCTTCCCGTTTACTCTTCCATTGATGCCGCTGGTTAGTCTCGTCATTTCACAACATTTTTGATTTATTAACTGTAGCCTCATAAACCGATCATCTTATACATTTTGTGTGGTCGGTTTTTTTCAGGGTTTATAGTGACCGGAGATCCGGTTGCAGCCTTAAAGAAATATGAACACGAGCTCGTGGAATCTGTCATGGCTCGATCTCGAACCGTGTACCAAGACTTTGAATCCGATGTAAGCTTAACAACTTGTATCTATATCTTTGATCACTGATTTGTTTTGTTGGATTATATATATTTTTGTATTTAAACAAGTAAAGATGAAGTAGAAGTGGGTAATGTGCAGATAAATATAGAGAGAAGAGTAGGGAGAGGAGATGCTAAGGAAGTAATATGCAACGCAGTTCAGAAACTTGGAGCTGATATGTTAGTAATTGGCACACATGACTATGGCTTCTTCAAAAGGTAATTAAATGTTCAATAATCCAAAGGAAACAAGACAAAATAATAAAATATATATATATATATCGATGGATGGTGAATTGATATAGTTTGTGTATGTAACATTGACAGGGCTTTACTAGGCAGTGTGAGCGAGTATTGCGCCAAACGAGTCAAGTGTCCTGTGATTATCGTGAAGAAAGCAATCTCAAATTAGTTTATGATGTATATGTTTCAAAGCAATTGATGTAACAGTTGAATATTAAAATACTTTCGCAAATTATATTATTTGTTCACAAAAGCACCGTTTAGTTAAAAAAAAAAAATTATACAAAGTTGTGAATTCGACTTTAACGTGATCATCATTTAATGGAGAAAAAACTGAAGCTTTCAAACCTAAACGAGGGCTTCAACAGGGTGATCCTCTATCACCATATCTTTTCGTCTTATGCTTGGAACGGCTGTACCACCAGATTGATGAAGCCGTGATTTAGAAGAAGTGGAAGCCAATAAAGCTATCTAGGGGAGGGCCAGACCTATCACACGTTTGCTTTGCGGATGACCTTATACTATTCGCTGAAGCATCTGTGGCCCAAGTGAGAGTGATCAGAGGAATCCTGGAGCGTTTTTGTGTAGCCTCGGGGCAGAAGGTAAGCTTAGAGAAATCCAAGATCTTTTTCTCTGAGAATGTGAGCAGAGATATGGGGAAGATGATCAGCGATGAAAGTGGAATCAATGCTACCCGTGAGTTAGGAAAATACCTAGGCATGCCAGTCCTTCAGAGGCGAATCAACAAGGACACTTTTGGAGACGTGCTGGAGAAAGTCTCGTCAAGACTCGCAGGATGGAAAGGAAAACTACTGAGCTTTGCGGGACGGATCACACTCACTAAGGCAGTTTTGTCCTCAATACCAGTGCACACTATGAGTACGGCGCTACTACCACAGTCTACCTTGAATCGATTGGATAAGACCTCGCGTTCTTTCATATGGGGAGATACGGCTGACCAAAGAAGACAACACTTGCTATCTTGGGACAGAGTTTGTGTCCCTAAGTCTGAAGGAGGTTTGGGGATTCGAAGAGCACAAGAAATGAATATAGCTTTGATTGCGAAGCTAGGTTGGCGACTCCTAAATGATGCTGCATCCTTATGGGCCAGAGTATTGAGGAGTAAGTATAAGGTGAAAGACGTCAAGGATGCAGCGTGGTTTAAAAAGGGCGGGAACTATTCGTCTACGTGGCGGGGAGTATTGAGAGGAATGAGGGACGTCGTAATCCCGGGGATGAGCTGGGTGATTGGAAGTGGACACACAACTAGCTTCTGGAGAGATAAGTGGCTTTTAGGTGAACCACTGTTGGCAGTAAGAACGACGGAGGTCCCGGAGACAATGGTGGAAGCGCGTGTATGTGATCTATGGCAGAGTGGATTGGGTTGGAAATGGCATCTGATCGAGCCCCACGTTTCAGGGGATACCAAATTGCGATTGGCGGCATTGGTAGTGGACGAGATATCAGGAGCTCGAGACAGGTTCTCCTGGGGATACACGCAGGACGGTGAGTTCTCAGTGAAGTCTGCATATGACTTTCTCACTGCAGATGGTCGGCCAAGACAGAACTCGCATGGAATGTTTATGAGGGCGTGGCAAGCGACAGTACCGGAACGCATTAGGGTGTTTCTGTGGTTGGTGATGAATCAGGCCATCATGACGAATGCGGAGCGGGCCCGAAGCCACCTGTGTGACACAAGCCTCTGCCAAGTGTGTAAGTGTGGAGAAAAATCCATAATTCATATCTTACGAGATTGCCCGGCAATGGAGGGCATTTGGCGACGGATTGTACCTATACGGAAGCGGCGAGAGTTCTTTGAGGCACCGCTTTTATCCTGGCTCTACAACAATCTGGGAGGAGAACTTGTGCTTAGCGACTACAAGTGGTCAACCCTGTTTGCTATAGCTGTATGGTGGGGATGGAAGTGGAGATGTGAAAACGTTTTTGACTCTAATAGGAAATGCAGGGACCGTGTGAAGTTTGTGAAGGATATGGCTAAAGAGATTGCAAAAGCGCATGCACGGGACCATAGTGGATGCAGGGGTCAAAGGATTGAACGAGAGATTAGATGGGAATACCCGATTCAAGACTGGTGGAAGGTGAATACGGATGGAGCCTCTCGCGGGAATCCGGGTTTGGCGACAGCTGGAGATGTTCTGCGGGACGCGAATGGAGCGTGGGTAGGTGGTTTTGCGCTCAACATAGGAATCTGCTCTGCCCCACTCGCGGAGCTATGGGGCGTATACTATGGACTGAACTTAGCCTGGGAGAGGCGCGTCCCGCGACTGATACTAGAGGTGGACTCTGAAGTGGTGGTGAAGATTCTTCATGCAGGGATCAATGATGCTCATCCCCTATCCTTCCTAGCACGTTTGTGCTACGGCTTCTTTTCGAGTGACTGGATAGTCCGGATCAAAAACACATATAGAGAGGCGAACCAAGTTGCAGATGGTCTCGCCAATTACGCTTTCTCGTTACCCTTAGGTTTCCATCTCTTTACTTCTGCAACCTCTGAGATTTCAGGGCTGTTATTAGAAGATGTTAATGGCTCTTCACAAATCCGATTTGTAAACGCTTAGCAGTTTTAATAAACTGGGGACTTTGTCCCCTGTGAGTTACCAAAAAAAATCATTTAATTTGTGATTCCCCTTAATGGGCTTTTTATTATTAAAGAAAATTGGCCTGAAAAAAAAAAAAAAAAAAAAAAAAAAAGACTAATTTTATTTTACGTGAAATCGAACCAAGCAAACCCTTGAGGCATTAACACAACTACACAAGGCCCCCATCCTTGATTACTTTGATTCCACAGAGTTGGAACCTTAAAATTACTTTTTCTTCCCTCTCGATCAATCCTTAAAAACACAGAGTTGGAACCTTAAAATCACAGAGTTGGAACCTGAAAAACCAATTATCTTGTCTTCCCTGTCGATCAATCCGTCGGAATCATGCCTTACCGCGAGAGATTCGACTTCGGAGGTAAGATTAAGATGTCTCTTTCTCTCTCTCTCTCTATATCGTTGATCGAACAGCGACCCTTAGATCGATCTGTAGTTTTGGATTATTTTGAGTCCTTGTGTTAAGGTATTTATTAGAAGAAACGCAAGCTTTGTGTATGGCAGAGTAGCTCTGAAGTTTGGTTATTTCTGTTTCAATAACTCGCAATTAATGCCCTTTTCTTTATATGACCATTGTCCCAGCTGCCCCAACATACGTATACTGGGACACGGTGGCTTGCCCGGTCCCCGAAGGTCTCGATGCTGAAACTGTTGTGGAGAACATTCATCTAGGGCTTTACAAACGTGGTTACCGTAATCTGAGTAGAGTCAAGGTTTATGGTAATGTACGTGAGATGGCCGCTGGTGCCTTTGCCACAGCCGGACTCCCCATGGGTCACGTTCCCCCAGGTCAATTCTCTCTCTCTCTCTTGAGTTTCACACACACACACTCTCTCTTTCTCTCTCTTACTCATATATAAACAGCATGTCTTTTGTATCTGTCAGGGAGCTCATGTCGTAAAGCCATATTTGTTGACTTTATGTACGAGTTAATTGGCCGAAGGGATGCATTAAATACGCTGCTAATCATGGAGGACATCTCCGAAGACGAAGCGTTCGAGTATGCTATTACGTATATGCGTATGGAAAGAAGGTTCAATTTTCTTGTAGCACGGCCTAACAAGGAATCAGAAACAAAGAACATAGTTGGTAATCCAAAAGCGTGGCTTTGGTCATTCCTATCTCTTGGAGGAGACGAAGAAGAAGAGGAAGAGGAAGAGGAAGAAGAAGAAGAAAAAAAGCCTCGTTCTTGAGCCCTAATGATTGTATATACCAGAAGAATGTACTGTGTTGATGCTTTATTATTTGATTGTCAATTTTCTGGTGTTTGGAAAGACCAAAGATGATCAGTGTTATCTGTATCTGTGTTTTTCTTTATTATCGTATGATCTTGTGTTTGATTTTTTCTGGAAATCAATTTAGACAAAAGGCCAAGATGATGGGGATAAAGCATCATTTTGCTAATACTCGTGAAATTTTTATATGGAAAAAAAAATCATTGGCGGTGAAGCGGTTTGGTGGACCTTGTATTATGGGCTTTAAGCTATATAAACCAACCTGCGTTGTGTCATCCGGAGATCAAAACCCTAAAATTCCTTCTTCTTTTATTCTGATCCTTTCGATGAAGGATCCGCAGAAACGAAAGGCTTTCCGTCTCGGTACCATCGTCGGTAAGATGGCTCTCCCTTGATCTACATAATACATAACGTGTCTAGATCGATCTGGATTAGATGCCTTTTTTTTTGTTCTCATGTCGATGTTTTCTTTGATGATTTGGATAACTCTGATTCATGAGTTTGAAAGTTAATCTGATTGTTTAGTTTTTTGGGTAATTTGTTGTTATTTTGGAAAGACCTCTCCGATGTGAAGATAGGCGTGTTCTGGAACATGGTGGAATGCCCGATCCCTGAGGGTATGGATATTGATTCTGTTGTGGCCAACATTACCAAGTCCCTTAAGTCAGAAGGTTTTTCATGGTACGGTCACCGTCTATGCTTATGATGTTGAATTTCCCCTCGAACCAAGCTATCGCCATCCCAGAGTGATTCATGATGACTTACCCTCAGGTGGTCAATGATTCTCTCTCTCTCTCTCTCTCTTTTATCATATCAGCTTGTATATTATATATTTTAACACTTTATATGTATATGTATCTCATGCTTTCAGGAGATCCTGATGAGAACCTCATGAAGCTTTTATCAGAATGTCTTTGCTGGGCAGTTAGGAATCGTGCACCAGAAAATATATTGCTAATCGTGGGTGACATAGAGGGGCATGACGAGATCACCAGAGCGTTTGACCTAGTGACAAGGAAACGATACAATTGCATGTTAGCACAGGCAGTGGACTCTGAGGCGTTCCATCATTTTGCTGTAGACAAAGCATGGACTTGGGACACCCTTTCATCTGGAGAACCCGCTCTCTATCACTCCCGACATGATACTGCCACTAGTAGCTCACCCTCACAGAGTGACAAGTCTATGCAAGCACAATTTATGGAACTAAAAGTCGAGGAGATCCCAAGTGACGAGGCTGCTGGTAAATACAACAAGTTTCTTCAGAGCATTAGTTGTATGTTTGCATTGTCGACCTATGTATATATATATGATGATTCTTGCTTTGGGAAACCCTAGAAAACAGCTCTTACAAGTTACAACGTGGTCATAGTAGCGAGTATTGCGTCAAACGAGTCAAGTGTCGTGTGATTATCGTGAAGAAAGCAATCTCAAATTAGTTATGGTTTTATATGATAGAAATCAGTTGATGTAACAGTTGAATCAATCTTGGTGTGCAACATAACCGATTGAAAAAATACTTATTGTAGATTATGCTAGGAAATTTGAATTTAACGGATATCTGTTTCTTGAAATACTAAAGCGGAGAGGTACCATATATATGCGTTTCTTGACCTCCAAGCCAGCAAACTCATCCTCTCTTGATACTAAATACAGCGTCGTTTTATATCAACATAAAAAATGAAATCTATTTAATCAAAGTTGTCGATGGTATCGAATTCGCAGCGAGAGAAGGAACCCTAAAGTTGCTTTATCGTGATCTCGTCTTTCCCTCTCGATAAATCCGTCTGGAAATCATGGGTGACCGCGATATCTACGATTTCAGTCGTAAGATGTCTCCATCTCTCTCTCTCTCTCTATAGCTCATTGAAGCGCTAGATTTTGTAGTTGTGGATTCTTTTCATATATAATTGTCTAGATCTGGGTTTAGATGCTTATATTTTTCCAATCGTGTTTTTGTTTTGTTTTGAAAAACGTCTCTCGCAGATGCCAAAACAATCGTATACTGGGACACGGTGGATTGCCCGATCCCTGAAGGTCTGGATGCCCAAACTGTTGTAAGGAACATTTATCAGGGGCTTTATCGATCTGATTACCGTGCTGAGCCTCATTTCATGGCTTATGGTGATGTACCTCAGATGGCCTCTGAGACTGGGGGCTTTGCCAATATCGGAATCCCCATGGTTCACGTTCCTGCAGGTCAATTCTCTCTCTCTCTCGAGTCTTTACACACTCTCTCTCTCTCTCTCTCTCTCTCTCTCTCTCTCTCTCTCTCTCTCTCTCTCTCTCTCTCTCTCTCGTTTTATGTACCAAACAGTATGTCTTTTGTATGCTTCAGGAACAAAAGGCGGATGTCGTGATGCCATTTTGGTTGACTTTATTGCGGAGACAATTGGCCTAGATTATCCATTAAATTCGATGCTAATCTTGGGGGACATCTCAAGAGACCTAGTGTTCCAACGTGCTTTTAATTATATGGGTATGACACCAAGTCTCAATTTTCTTTTAGCACAGCCTACCCTGAAATCAAAGAAGCTAGTTAATCTCGACACGGTGTGGCTTTGGTCAAGCCTATCTCAGAAAGGAGCGGCTTTCAATGAAGATGAAGAATAATAAGAAGAAGAAGAAGAAGAAGAAGAAGAAGAGCCTCGTCCGGATACCACCAATTCTGAGCCCGAATGATTATATATATATATATATATATATATATATATATATATATATATGTGTGTGTGTGTGTACTGGATGATCAATATTTTATGTTTTTGGAATTTACTCGAACATAACATTACAAATCAAACAGTTCAATTTAGACAATGGCTCAATATGATGGAAAAAGCATCATTTTTCATTAAAAAAAAAATATATATATATATATATACGCAATTTAGCACCATATTCATTGGTTTATTAGTTAGTCCAAGTAAGCATAGTAGAAAATCATCATCGCTCAAACTGGAAGAAAATTGACTGTGAAGCGGTATAGTTGTTGGACCTTGTATTATATATGGGCTTCTTAGGTGTAGATGAAACCCAGCCGGCTATAAAAACCAACCTTTGATTCATCATCCGCAGGCACAGAGGGATCGAAACCCTAAAATTACCCTTTTTTCTTCCTTTCTGATCCTTTCGTAGGTACATCGGTAAGATGTTGGGCCCTGGCAGTGGTCATGGACGTGTCAGCAAGTACTTCGGTAAGATGTCTATCGCCTTTTCATAACCCTGGATTAGATAGCTTTTTTTTAGTGCTCATGGATGTCTAATGGATCTGGCGATGATTTCGTTGATGATGGATGAATCTGAGATCCAGAACTAGTATTCATGCATGAGTTTGAAAATTAATTTGATTGTTTAGTTTTGATTAATTAAGTTAATCTGACTGTTTGATTTTGGGTAATTTGTTGTTATTTTGATCTGATTGTTTGGTTTTGGGTAATTTGTTGTTATTTTGGAAAGACCTCTCGAAGGTGGAGACAGGCGTGTTCTGGAACATGGCGGAATGCCCGATCCCTGAGGGTATGGATATTACTACTCTTGTAGGCAACATTACCAAGTCCCTTAAAGCAGAAGGTTTTAATGGAAGGATCACCGTCTATGCTTATGATCATATATCTCACGAAGAACGAAGCTATAACGATGCCAACGTGATTGCTAGTCGCTTACACTCAGGTGGTCAATGATTTTCTCTCTCTTTTTTTTTTTTTTTACTACTTAGTATATATATATTCTAACACTTTATATTTATATGTATCAATGTTTTCAGGAGATGCTGATGCGAATCTCAGGCTGACTATATCCAGCTTTCTTTGCTGGGCACTGAGGCGTCCTGCACCAGCAAATATAATGGTCATCGTCAAAGACATAACGGTGCATTCTGGGATCATCAGAGCTTTTGACCGAGTGACGAGGAAACGATACAATTGTATGGTAGCACAGCAGGTGGAGTCAAGGGAGCCCTTTGACGATTCTATAGATAAAGCATGGCTTTGGGATCACCTTGCTTTTGGAAAACCTGCTCTCTCCCCACCACTTACCAGTAGCTCTACCTCACACTCACAGGGTGACAAGTCTATGCAAACACAATTTATGGAACTAAAACTCAAGGAGATCTCAAGTGACGAGGCTGATGGTTAAATACAACAAGTTTCTTCAGAGCATTTGACCTAGTGAGAAGGAAACAGTACCATTGTATGTTCGCATTGTTGACCTATATATACATATGATGATTCTGGCTTTGGGAAACCCTAGCTAGCAAACAGCTCTTACAACGTGGCCATAGAGTATTGCGCAAAACGAGTCAAATGTCGCGAGATTTATCGTGAAGAAAGCAATCTCAAATTAGTTTATGATGTATATGTTTCAAAGCAATTGATGTAACAGTTGAATCAATCTTGGTGTGCAACATAACCGATTGAAATACTTATTGCAGATTATGATAGGAAGTTGATTTAACGGATACCTGTTTCTTGAAACACTAAAGCGGAGAGGTACTATCTGTTTCTTGACCTCCAAGCCAACAAACTCTTGATACTAAAAACAGCGCCGTTTTATCAACATAAAAAATACGCAATTTAGCACACCATATTCACGTTCAAAAAAAAAAAAAAAAAAAAAAAAAAAAAAAAAAGCACACCATATTCATTGGTTTATTAGTTAGGCCAAGTAAGCATAGAAGAAAATCATCATCGCTCAAGGTGGAAGAAAATTGACTGCGAAGCAGTATAGTGATATAGGATTATTTACATTAGTACTAGATAGTCAGGTAATTGGCTAATTTCCTTTTTAGTTTTGGTTTTAAGCTTTTAGTCGGTTTTGATTTTCTTATAAAAGGATTGTAATTCTTCTTCATAATACACATTCAGAAAAACTTCTCATTCTTCTCCCTCGGTTTTCCTATATCATATAGTTGTTCCTTGTTTGCAATTTAGGTACAAGCCTAAAAACCAACCTTTGATTCATCATCCGGAGGCACAGAGATCGAAACCCTTAAATTACCCTTTTTTCTTTCTTCCTTTCTGATCCTTTCCTAGGTAGATCGGTAAGATGTCTGGCCCTGGCCGTGGCCGTGGCCGTGGCCTTGGACGTGTCAGTCTGTTCAACGACCTCTCGGAGGTGGAGACAGGCGTGTTCTGGAACATGGCGGAGTGCCCGATCCCTGAGGGCATGGATATTACTAGTGTTGTAGGCAACATTACCAAGTCCCTTAACGGAGAAGGTTTTAATGGAAGGATCACCGTCTATGCTTATGATGATATATCTCGCTACGGACAAAGCTATACCGATGCCAACGTGATTACTAATCGCTTACACTTAGGAGATGGTGATGAGAATCTTATGATGACTATATCAGATTTTCTTTGCTGGGCAGCTAGGCATCGTGCACCAGCAAATATAATGGTAATCGTGAAAGACATAACGGGGCATTCTGGGATCATCAGAGCTTTTGACCGAGTGACGAGGAAACGATACAGCAGGTGGAGTCAAGGGAGATCTTTGATGACTCTATAGATAAAGCATGGCTTTGGGATCACCTTGCTTCTGGAAGACCCGCTCTCTCCCCACCACCTAACAGCTTTTGGGAATATGTAACAGCTTTTCGCATCCCACCACATCCCGATTTCCCCTTAGGCCCTTGGGAACCTGTTCGTGTTTATCGAAATTCTGCTCTCATCCCACCACCTACCGATAGCCTCACAGAACTTGAAGAAACTCTCATTTTTGATGATGAAGGACGGATCACCGGACGACGTCTATGCAAGTCTATGCAAACAAAATTTATGGAACTAAATCTCAAGGAGATCTCAAGTGACGAGGCTCATGGTTTAATTCAACAAGTTTCTTAATTAGTGAGAAGGAAACAGTACAATTGTATGTTAGAGAACCTAAATTTTGTTTGCTGAAAGCCTTTTATGTTGTTTACAACTAGATTTATGCTTTTGACGACTTTTAAACTCAAATCCGGCCGATGTTGTCTGTGATCTGTCTAACTGTGTGGGGTCTAAGGCAATGGCTGTCTATGATCTTTTCTCGAAATTTTTGAAAGATGAAGAAGACTTGACTTTAATAATGCATAGAGGGAAAACCCATGTGAATCGAGTTTGACATTTAACAATCACAATGTCCTACAATGAAGACTAATCAATTTGACATACAGATGTACCATAATGTGTGTTCGTATATGTTGTTTTACATGTGTTATGTCTGCTTGCGAGCTTATCATTGCTTTCATTTCAGTCTTTTTAGGTGTTGGGAAACCAAAACAAACGAATCTCTCCATAACTATGTAGTAGTATTTGTTCTGATCCTCTTCAAAAAAAAAAAATTAAATTAAAAAAAGTCAAAAGAAAAATTAAAAGAAACGTGTTATTGAGCACCACCTTATAGTGCATCCTTGATCTCAGCCTCTTCGCAACGCTTAAGTCGCAACGCAATATCCATGCATATATATATCACTCTAGCTATAACAGTGCAAATAGGCTTAAAGATAAGGTTTTGTGACTCAAATTATAGTTATTTTTTACAAATTTTTAAATTATCTGCAAACTTTAACTTTTTATAACTTTTTCAGAATTTCTCCTTTGGATCGATTCTTGTCTACGTGAGCAAAGTTGAAAATTTAATTTTTGTAATAAAAAAGTATTGGTAATTACTACTTTTGTTATACCGGTTCGATAGTTTATCTCTAGTTTAGTAGTAACTTTTCTTTGTTACAATTTTATTGGCCGTCTTTTTGTTATTCGCAACTTTTCAGCAAAGCACAGCCAAGCTGGAGACTGGTCCTATATCCCCTTTCTTTTCTATCTTCTCTTCTTATCAGTTTTTGCTCGAATATGAAATTTATCTTTCTCTTCTTATCAGAAAAAGAACAAAAAAAAAGCTATTGAGTTGGTTTTTGGGGTTAAGGGACGCACATGGAACACTCATTCCCACGTGATATCTAAGCCAAGAACACGTGCCGTCCTCTGAATTCTCTCTGACTTTTTATTTGATTGGTTTCAGTTCAAAACCCGAAGCTTTTGGATCAAAAAGAGGTCTCTATCGTATGAATTTGAGCCAAACTAGATGATTGGTTTGATGCCCAACGCAATATTCCCTATTTTATACTCGATATTTGAAATTATATAATGACCTTCACTACACAACTAGTATTCAACAATAGATTCTTACCTTAATATTTGCGCTAACTTTGACACTTATGTGGTTCTATATAAAACCCATGTCTTGGTAAAAGTCTCCAGTAGACAATGCACCCATCATTTTGCAAAGTCCAAACACCCAATAGTATCAAACAATGATAAGTAAAATATATTCGGACGACGTCAGTCTATGAATTTCAAAATATTTTTGGCTTTTGTTGGACTATACATGCATTCCTATAACTTGGAAGGTACTGCATAGTGTATTAAATTTGAATTCTGAAACCATGACATAAAATCAGATAATAGAATGGATGTAACGAAAAGATATGACTACATGATATGAATGTACCAGAATTAACATATACGATACTTATATACTAACTACTATCATGAGAAAACGTAGCAAAAAAATTAATATATATGATGCTTATACCACAAGTAGTGATCGTTTCGAAACCAACTGACTTGCTATTTGTAAATCATAGTCTTCAAAGATTCAAGCAATAGCCTTCTACGAAAGTATATACAAAATAATTAAGACGCATTTTATAAAGTTGCATATATGTTAGTAGAAATAATTTTGTTAACAAAGGCTAACATGAATTTTTTCAAAACAATATTGGATAGCAGTTATATCGATGACTCGATGTATATGAATTGATTATGAAGATGGATATGTACGTAGTAGTATTATATTGGGTATCCATACGTCGTCACGACTCGTAACATGCATGCCCCTTGAGATGCTAACATGTTTAAAGAACGGGGACCGTTACCCTTATGTAGACCCAATTCTAAATTAGATATTTAACTTATACGTACTACTACTAATTAACCACAATCAATACGTAATTGTCTTTCTAGCGTTTGTTAATTATAAAGACAGAGATTCGTTAGGTCGTTTAAGTCAAGCCATCCTGGCATAATCGTCCCAACCAATGGCATTGTGTTTGTGTATAAAAATTGTATCACCCTAATTATTTCATATAAATTATTTAGTGTTCGAGACTGTTTTTGAAGTCTTTAAAACACGCCCTTATATGTGACATTTACCTCTACACATTTTTGTCCTAAAGAAAAAAAAAAGGAGAAAAAAAACTTTCAAACTAAAACATCAGACTATATACAACCGAGCGATATTTGATTTGTCAAAAATACAGAATTCTCGACTCAAACAATAAAAAATAAATATCCCTTTAACTTTACTACAGTTTGTTATTTATCAAGAAAATACATGATTCAGGGGAAAACTATACTTAATTTAGCCAATAACAAGGGTATAATTTGTATCCAGTTACACACTATATATTTTGCCTATACGTCCAAAAAAATATGGAATGATTAAAATTGTTGTACCTATAGTATAATCATTTTTTCGGCTGCATTATTATTTTTATTATTGTGGTCATATTAATTCAGAAAATGCAGTTGACAGGTCCTATAATATTACTCATTTATCAACAGGTTCCCAATCATAAAGGCTAACCGTCCCTTGCATATTGATTTCAGACCATATATATGATTGATGCGTACATATACATATGTTGACATCGCTTTGTTTTTGGTCCATACAAATTTCGACATGATTTGCAATAGCATGCTGTTTTCTTCTATAATTTCACGATTGTATAAAATCAGAAAAGCTGAAGATCCATCGTTCAAGTGTAAACATGTATCGAGAACTAATTGAAACTCGTGTGTAATGATTTCACCAACGCTCTAAAATATGCACTGCAATGAAATTTCTTGGCATGGCCAACATCTCATTATGATCAATATTTATCGGCTCCATTCTAGAATTTCATTTTTGGCAAACAATAATAGCCAGAGAATCTAGAGAAGGAAACAAAACTTGAAGGATATAGTAAGAAATAATTAAACATGATTACTGAAGAGATGGGTGGTGAAATAATTCAATCATGCGTCATACTATGACGATTTCATAAAGACAAAATGACAAATCACAATGATGCACTAGTATCTTAATCAACTGCTGATGAATAATTACTCCAAGACCTTAATTGGATATTTAGATTTAGGAAAAAAGTATATTACGAAAAGGAAATGACACTAGCTAATATGGTTAAGAGTAATTACAGGAGATTGTGATTGAGATAACAAGAGATATGATTATAAGACAAGTAATTAGTAATAACAAGAGATATGATTTTGAGATTACACGAGATTGATTGACAAAGATTCTTATTATAGGAAGCGAATATATAACAGAGAATATGTAAAAGGGAAATGGTGCCAGCTATTAAGTTGAAGGATCAAAACTTTCTCTCAGGTCAAAGCTGTCATCTCTCTCTCACCTCTCTCTCTCTGTCTTTTTCTCTGTTTCTTTATAAACACTTCTCTTTCTTTTCTTAAATCTTGGAGGAGAAGAAGCAAAGAATTTTGGGGAAAGAGTAAAAAACAGAAAAAGTTTCTGGATAGTTTGATCTATTGACCCAATCAGAAACCTATCTCTGCAACAATGGCTGTCCTTAACGGCGGCAAGAAGCATTGGTGGTTCACACACAAGAAGGTAATTAAATTACCAAATCATCGTTCTTTCTTCACTATACTGATAAAGAAAAACATTTTAACTCTTTTCTTTTCTTCATTTTTGTAGCTTGTTGATAAATACATTAAAGACGCAAGGGCTCTAATGGCGAGCGAGGACCAAAACGATGCCGCTTTAGCCATTCGTATACTTGAAGAGGCTTTAGCGATCTCGCCGCGTTTGGAAATTGCGTTGGAGCTTAAAGCCAGAGCTCTGCTTTTTCTTCGTCGTTACAAGGACGTAGCTAATATGCTTCAAGATTACATTCCAAGCCTGAACCTCGCCGTGAACGACGAAGCTGATGGATCCGTTTCCTCCGAGGGCTCTTACTCTTCCTCCTCCTCCTCCTCCTCTCAACTCTCCCGGAAACTTCTCTCTCCTTGCCGTGACTCCTCCTCCTCCACCTCATTCACGTGCTTCTCTCTTTCTGACTTGAAGAAGAAAGTAATGGCAAGGATCTTTAGAAACTGCGATAAAGATAAACAATGGAGGTAATAATCTTCGCTAATCTTCACTATATTAGAGTTCTGATTTTTAGTAAAAGTTCAAACTTTAAATTTACGTTACGAGATTTAATCGGTAATCTTCAGAACTGGAAAACGGTACAATATTTTTCAGTAAATAATAATAAATTCAAATACAACTGCAAATATCGCGGTTTGTAGTTCAATTAATTTTTATTTCTTTGATAATGATATTGTTTTGGTATTAATATCGGAGTGTAATTAATTATTTTATTTTTTTGAAATTTTCAGATATGCTGTGTTGGGACAAGCTTGTTGCCACCTAGGATTAATGGAGGACGCATTGGTTCTTCTACAAACCGGAAAACGCCTCGCAACCGCCGAGTTCCGTCGTCAGAGTATATGCTGGTCCGATGACAGCTTATCTCTCCTTCTCTCTGAATCATCGTCATATTCTGCTTCTCCTCCAGGCAAAGTGAGCGAATGCGAAACCGTCTCTCGCCTTCTCGCCCACACAAAACTCCTCCTCCGTCGTCGCGCCGCCGCATTCGCCGCATTTGACGCAGGCCATTTCTCAGAATCGATCCGCCACTTCTCCAAAATCCTCGACGGCCGTCGTCGCCCGGCGCCGCAAGGATTTCTCGCCGATTGCTATATGCACCGCGCCGCCGCTTACAGATCCGCCGGGAAAATCGCGGAGGCGATTGCCGATTGCAACAAAACGCTAGCCCTCGAGCCATCGTGCATCCACGCGTTGGAGACTAGAGCCGCGCTTCTGGAAACGGTTCGGTGTTTACCGGATTCGCTTCACGATTTAGAGCACTTGAAGATTCTATACAACACGATCTTACGCGATCGGAAACTTCCCGGACCACCGTGGAAACGGCACAATGTGAAGTACAGAGAAATTCCGGGGAAATTATGCGTTTTGACGACGAAATCGAAGTTTTTGAAAGGGAAAATCGCGAATGGAGAAATCGGGAATGTCGATTGCTACGGATTGATCGGAGTAAAACGCGGATGCACGAGATCGGAGCTCGATCGAGCGAATCTCTTGTTGTGTCTCAGGCATAAACCTGATAAGGCTTTGTCGTTCATCGATCGTTGTGATTTCGTCGATCACCAGGAGGTTGATTCCGTCAAAGATCGAGCGAGGATGTCTTCGTTGTTGCTTTACCGTTTGATTCAGAAAGGTTATTCCGTTTTGACGGCGGCAATAGCTGAGGAGGAACAGAGGAAGATGATGATGGCGTTGACTCAAAAGTCAACGAAAATGGTTGAAGACCACGAACCGGTTGAGAAACCTGGTTCAATGAGTATAAACGGTTTCTCGGAAGTAAAACCGGGAAATTCAACCGCGTATCAAGGAGTTTTCTGCCGAGATCTTGTCGCGGTTGGGCATTTATTATCGAGGACCGGTTTTAACCAACCGATTCCAATGAAATTCCAAGCCCTCAGTTGTTGAAAGCTCAACGGGAAAATTTTCGAACCAACAAGTGGAAACGATGCCGTTCCGGGCGAGTGAACATCAATGACGTACGCATATGTATAATGTGATGCATGTTAGAACTACATCCACTCGATATTTTTCTTGTCAGTTTTTGTTTTTAGTTTTCTTTCTCCTGCTTTCTCTGTACTTCTGCAAATATTATGCTTTGAATAATTAAGTTTGTCGGATTAAAATTTAAACTAGCACTAGAACTCCATTCAAAGTGTGACACACATATGCATGAATGCTAATCGAATCATTTCTAATATTTTAAGAGGGTTTCCTCTTGGATTCATTTTCAATGGATAAATGAGTCTGACACAACAAATTTATAATACCGAGATATCTTATCTACAACTACAAAGTTTGGCTGCCATAAAATGGTATTAGTATGGTTTATAACTTTATTTTAGTGAAATTTTAGATAAATAATGATCCAGTTTAATAATATTTCGAAAGATGGTGGTTTTTATTCATTTTTTAAGAATCTTGACAAGATTTAGGAACTAGTTCAGTTTTTATTATAAACTCTCTCTCATATTTTAAAATTTTGAGTAGGGAAAAATATGAGAGAGAGAGCTTAGAGCAAATGCAGCGGTCATACTCTCTAAGTTTTTTAAAAAACAAATTTTTAATAAAATAAATTGATTTTCGAGAAAAAATAATAAAAAATGATTTAAAAAAAAATAAATAAGATCCAATCGAATTGTGACACTTATCTAGCCTGTGTCAGAGAAACGTTTCTGCAAATCTCTGTTGGAAAAGACTTCTCTACCTTAAAGCTCTTTATATAGATAAATATTTTCTTTTTTCTTTTTGTTTTGGTTAAAGAAACCCACTAAATATTATAACCACTGCATTTGCTCTTAGAATCTGCTATGCAATTATTTTATCTGCCATTTTTCACATTTGGGTTTCAGAATAATCACTGAACGCCACAGAGAATACTATGCAACTTAATTATTAAATCAACATCATCATCTCCCATTTTTCCTCTTGGATATACACGCACAGATTCTTTGACTAAGTATATAACCAATCAATATACATACAGATAGGGGTTGTTGATTTCTTTCCCATATTTTATGATATACGTAAGAAAATCGGGGTCATAGACTCGATAAACAATATCTTTGGTCATATTTAACAATTTGTCTAAATTAATAGTTAACAGTTATAACCCGTTTGTTTCATCGTAGCCGAATTGGTTCGTTCTTAGCTTGAGTTGGGTGATTGTTTTCCAATTAACATACAAGGTATGAAAACTAGAAAGGTAAGAAAATGGAGGGAGCAAGAGATAAAATAAAAAAGCACGTGATGTATAGGATGTTGGAGACATTGGAAAGAGGATCAGTCGTGGCCAGGTATATGAATAATGAATATGATGATGTCAGTGTGTATCCATGTGAGCCTATCATCTCTACTTATTATTACTTGTCGAATACTTTATTTATTTATTTTTGTACTCAAATATCGTATTGAACGTTTTGAAAGAAAAAAAAACAGTGAGGTATATAAGACTGATTAGCCTTTGGTCAGAGGAGCAGAGATGGAGTATTTTATTTTTCATGAGATATAACGAATTTCTAGCCATAAAAACAAACAATCGTAGTTAGTCTAGTCCATACTCCACCATGACTTGTATAAAAAACTAATAGGTTATGTTTAGTGGATGACAGAAAACTAGATCGAGTTTTCGGATCTGAAGTAGCTTACAAGTTAATATACAAGCAAAGATGTTGAACATGTCTCTGACTGAGTTATCCAACTACCATTAAATATAGTAGATTTAAATTGTGACTATGAACGACTTTAATTTAAATGGGCATGGCCAAAGAGATAAGTCACTAAAGTATAGTAATAGAAGACATCACAAATTCACACCTATTGGTCTGTGGACTGTAAACGAGTTTTTTGTTTTCTCTTTCCAAAGCTACACAAACTAATATACTTCTTTTCACTAAATTTAAACTACATAAACTAACATACTTCATCTCAAAAAGACACCATCTACTCCGTTAAATAAATACAATTTTAAGTGAAAAAATCTTAAACTATGAATGAACCTATAACTTTGTTTGCCAGAAAGACGAGAGATTCTTTCTTCCATTTTGCTAACAGCCATTCGACTTGATGACGTGATTGATCGATCGAAACTAAATGATGAGTTTTTACATTTACGGGCCTATAACCTTATTGTGGCCCAACATGTAAGTAGTTGACTGTCGCGTACATTCAATGAAGATATTTGAGTAGTTTGACTTTAATATCCACAAGATCTGCGTTGCTTTTCTAAGTAGAGGGTAATTTAGTAAACAGATAGCCACTAACCCAGCTCGACGTGAAAAAAATACGTGTCGTGTCTTGTATCTCGAAAGTTTGAAGACAGACTCTCCAGCTACAATTTCCGAGAAGAGTGATCGGAGACATCATCGGCGATGGGTTGGCTGACAAGATTTCTAGCAGCGGTGGCGTTTTTAGCCGCCGGAATTATATTCTCACCGGAGACATTCGGATCGCTGTCGAAGGGAGAGAATTCGGCGAAGCTGTTGATCTTCCTGAAGCTAGCTCATCTGCTCAGCTTCGCTACAGCTTGGGGCGCTGCTCTCTGGGCTACCTTCATCGGAGGAATCATCATGTTCAAGTGAGCACACCTTCTTCTTTCACTCCAATTTAGTCGAATTCTCTCTCTGAAACCCGCGATCATCTTCTCCAATTTGGTCGAATTTGGGAAATTAGGTAATATGTGAAGTAGTGTGATTGAATTGGTTTTGATTGATTAGGAATTTACCGAGGCATCAGTTTGGTAATCTTCAGAGCAAGATGTTTCCGGCGTATTTCACTCTGGTTGGTTCTTGCTGCGCAATTTCACTCTCTGCTTTTGGGTATTTGCATCCATGGAAGTCATCAACTTCTGTGGAGAAGTATCAGCTAGGGTTTCTCATCTCTGCTTTTGCATTCAATCTCACCAATTTGTTCGTGTTCACTCCCATGACCATCGATGTAAGTTGTACACATTAATACACCACTGTTTTTTCTTTCAAATGCGTAGAACAACAAGATCTCAAATGAAAACCAATGGTCCTCTACTTACTTTGGTGTAGATGATGAAGCAAAGGCACAAAGTAGAGAGAGAGAACAACATTGGAGATGAAGTTGGGTGGTCCAAGAACAGGGAAAAGGCAAAGACTATCCCAAAGCTTGCTGCTATGAACAAGAAGTTTGGAATGATTCACGGCCTATCTTCGCTTGCTAACATCTTCTCTTTTGGAAGCCTTGCTATGCATTCTTGGTATCTAGCTGGGAAGTTGAATCTCTAAAGTTTTTCTCTTCTACTCATCTCTCTCCTGAGATCCTTGTCACAAAGGTCTCTGAGTTTTTAATGCCCCTTTCAATGAATAATCTCTTTGCATTTCTTTGTATATGATTCTATCGGTAAGAAAAGACTTCGAAACATGAAAGAATTTGCTACAATAATATCATTTCCTTCTTCTTTGAAATAATTGATGTGTGAATCCTATTACAAGAATAGCAGGTCTGCCTAAGTTTCATTTGAAGAAACTAAAATGTGCTTGTGAATGATGAAATATTACACCACAGACGTTCATAGTTAACAATCTAACTGGGATAAAGAAGATGATCACTAGTTGACTACTCCTAGATGCGACAAATCTAGCTATGAGTTTCAAAGAATCTCTCCCACCACATATCATGTTTACGAGTAAGAACTTGGCCTGCCATTGATCCCGCTCAGCCTTTATCTGCTTCAGCTCCCTCCGGATCACATGCCTCAATGCTTTCAGGTAAGAGCTCATGTCATGGTTTCTCTTGATTTTCCCTTCAGACCCATAAGAGCTACGGTCGCTGAGAATCTCTAGAGGGTGTGGTGAATTGAAGAAGACGCTCTTTGCAGCTCTTAGTCCCTTCTCTGTTTCATCGGTATTCTTAGAGGTTAACACATAGAGACCACTTCCTGGGGGAAGCAGAGGGTGTGGGGGAGAGAATCTCTCCGATGGTTGCAGAATCAGGAGCTTTCCCATTGGAGAATACAATAAATTCTGCAGAAGAAAAAAATTAACAAAACAGAGTAAGCCAAGAAGCAACGAATCTGAAGCAGAACAGCTTAAGATGTCTGTCATTCATTTTACCTGGTTATTCAGACACGGATGGTTCCGGAAGTTTCTATTCAATGCCTTGAGAAGATTTGCAGCTCGGTTAGGGTAATTGCAGGAGAACGCTCGGGGAACAATGTCTCTATGCATTGAGATTCCAAGAAGATGACTCTTAGGCAATCCGAGTTTCTGAAGAAGCCTATCGCCTCCGCACATGATGCAAGGCGAGCCAAAGGTGATCACTGGAAGCAGAGAAGAAGCCGGGACTTGACCTCGGATCAGAAGCATGAGGTTCACTAACAAGGACAAGCTTCCACCTAGAGAATGTCCACTAAACCGAAGAAAAGCACGGTTCTTGCCACGGGAATTGAGGTGGGCGTGAACTTCCGGTAACATCTGTTGGTATATTCCCTTTGCAGCTTCGTAAATGCCTCTGTGAACAGGCACATCAAGCTCCTCAAATGGTACTGGCTCGAACAGAAGGTTCGCTTGCCATGAAGCCAATGAATCTGATCCCTGAAAAGATGTTTGTAACCTTCTTAAGCTATTCTCATTTTGGCAAATCTTAGACCGTTAAAGAACAAATTGTACCTGAATGAAGAAGAACCTTGTGCCACTTTTATCATCGTCGCATACGAACCACTCGCAAGGCGGTGAATGGTTTGATTTCAGATCATCAGCCACCGCCTGCTTAACTTCCTCTTTCGCTGCCACAACGGCTGTGACGGAATCAGCAGTGGCCATTAGAGATGCTTCGTTCTCTTGACGTTTGGAGGAACCAAAAGGAAGCACAGACTTTGAATGTGAAAATAGACGAGATGCTGCAGAAGCAGCTATTCTGTAAGCAACTGTTGGGTCGATTAGCTTCTTCTTGACTTCCTCTTCCTCCTTGTTGCCATTGCTGCTCTCCTCTTGTTGTTGATCAGAAGAAACCTTGAGACTGCTCCTCTTCTCAATCGAGGAGGTCACAAATCTCAGTTTCTGATATTTCAACAGATTCTCAGGCTGTAACAATCGAAAACTAGTCAAAACGAAGGATCAATCAAACAAAAACACAGAATTGAGATTTTGTTTTCAATCTCTCTCAGTTTACCTTGATTGTAGGGATTGAATAAGCCAAATTTCCCAAATAGGACAATTTCGCAAACATCTGAGCATCGTCCAGAGGAATTTTCATGAGCATCTTCGAGAATTGTTCTCTACCAAACACCATCTCCTCCATTTCTTCTTCTTCCTCCTCATCATCGATCCTGCAGAAGTCGCAATCGTCGCATAACTCGTTCTTCTTCGATTCCGTCACTTCTTCTTCCTCCTCTCCACCGCCGCCTCCTGATCGCTGTCGCTTCCCCTTCCAGATTGACCCGACCTCCAAAATCTTCAAAACCCAGTTTCCGTTTCGCTCTTCTTCTCTCTCCAACCGAACGGCGTCGTCTCTCGCCGTTCCATTTCCTCTCCTAGCGATCCGTAGAAACTCAAGAGGACGACGAGAAACCCGAGGCGACGTCGTTTTCTTCTGCGGCAGAGATCCAGTCGCAGATTTCTCCTCCACAGAGCCTCCGATCACGCGTATCAGCGACGGTCCCACTAGAATCTTCGGAGATACTCCTTGCACCGACATTTTTAAGAAAATACCGTCCATGAAAAACTCTTTCGTTAATTTTCCTCTTCTCTTCCTCTTCTTCTTCTTCTTCTTCTTCGTTTATGTTAGAGGACTATAAACATACGTATACGGATACGTATACGAATTGGTGGAATTTTCCGGCGATGGCGTGCAAGTTTGAATGAATCTATCGTCGTTTTTTGTTCTCTTCTCAGACTCCTCCTCCGATCAATCTCCCTTTGATAGAGATGTCGATATATAAATATACATGTATCTTGTATGTTGTATGTGTATCTGGAGAAAGCAGGTGAACGAACTTTTAACACGCCTTAATGCGGCATAAGCTTAGGATATTAATTCCCCTGGGGTAAACTAAATTGATTGATTTAAGGCTTAATTATGATTAATAATAATGTCGTAGCAAAATTTAGTAGAGCGATAGCGATATTGAGGACACGTGGACGGTGAAGAAGCGTCTATGGGCCTGACTCTCCCGAGTTTCTTGGAACAACAAAACCAGGTGTTTTGGAACTGAGAGTTTTGGGGTTTTGACGTTTTTTAAGTTCACTATAAAGTGATTTGCAGTTTTATCCCTTTCTCATTAACAAAGGAAGGTTTTAAGCTCTGGTCGTCCTAATTGTATTCTTCAAATTCTCGAAGAATGCTTAGTTTCATAAGAGGATACAATTTATGGACTTTTCTGTCATCGGAATTTTTTCTTTTTATTGGGTCAATTGTGAACTAGCACATGAAAAAAAAAACAGTATTGGAAACAGAATTCACATAAATCATACCAAAGCTTAGATGAATAAATATGCACTAATTTGATAAAGAAAAGCAAAAGATATATAAAAACACAGCTTGATCAAAAACCTCCTCCTGGCTTTTCTCATCTTCCTCTTCATCTCTCCATTTTTCTATATTAAAACCTAGTCATGTTACATTCGGACCATCACATGTTCTCTTTAAACCCCCAAACTTCTAGAGAGAGAGAAATAGCGAGCGAGAGGAGTACTAAGCAAAGACTTCTATAATTTTCTTCTTCTGATCATCGGTGAGAGAAGAAGGAAACAAAACCTCAAAAGTGACAAAGAGGTTGCCCTTCTTTGTGCTGTAGTGAAGTGGCATCCCTTCTCCTTTCAACTTCTTCACTTCCTTGGGCTTTGTAACACCCTGTGTCACACATCATTTAACCCCAAACCCATTAGTTATTAGTTGTGTCACCAAACTAAGACTGTAATGGTCTCACTGTTAAGTTTTGGAGTATATTAGTGTTACCTTGGAACTGATGTCAACCTCGTGATCATCCAAGTGTTTGAATGTTTTCTCAAAACCAACTAACGCCTCAACCTGAAGGAAGATTGAGTAGACTCATAAATTGTTTGTTGGTCTATGATGAAGAAATAGATACACAATATGTTGTGGAATTTATTTTACCAGTGTAATGTTGACGTTCATGTGTAGATCGTTGCCATCTCTCCGGAAACGGGCATGTGGTGCAGTATTGATTCGGAACTGCCAAATGTACGATAAAGGTTTAATTCTCTCGGATCTTGAGGTTAAGTGAAATCAAGGATTAGGTAAGAGGCGCTAACCTTAAGGTCACCAGGTTCACCGTCAAGAAGCGGTTCACCATCTTCATAGAAAGACACTTCCTGAAAGGAGAGATCGATAAAGCTCACAGTGAGTTTATGAGCTACTTTGAAGTGAGATGTAGTATCTATAAGGTGGGCGTAGAGTATTAAGACTTACTTCACCGTCTTTCATTCCTTTCTCGATATCAACTGTGACAAAGTATCCTTCCCGTTCGTACTTGATATTTGGGCATTGGTCACATACCTGACATGAACCAGAGGATTATGCTTTAAACAGATAGGCTTAAATTTAATATTGGGTTTTAAGAGACTTGAATAGATCTGATCTGCCTTACCTGCTCTGTCATCTGTTGGAACATTCCAGGACCAATTTGTCTGTGATAAACCTCATTCCTGCAGTTGCACTTTCGCTTTCCAGGAGCTGGTTTTATCACATTCTTCTCCCTCCATACCTGATCATTTAAACGTGGGACACTCTCGTTGAGAAACCAAAACTTAAGGCAAAGACTTTTCATACGCATTTCTCTCGTAAACCAAAACAATTCCCGGAAGAGATTACATGTATAATTAATGATGACAGGGAGTTAACAAACCTTCACAGAGCCTCCCATGTACAAATCTTCGAGAGTCGCATCAAGTTCCACAATTACGTCATCACCCTTGGCAACCTTCTCTTCTTCCTCCATCGAACCTCCACCAAAAAACCTAACAGAAACAGTAATAATCTCTCTACATTAGGAATCTGTAACATTTTTAACACCCAGGGATAAAACATTATTCAAATTTTAGGAACATTTCGCATTACAGTTAAGAAACTTTAAATCTACATCTACGCTAAGATGGGTTAGATCAAATGAAAGCTCTAGAAAAACAAATGTTTGCCAAATCCTAAACTTATGTGGAATCATGTTCCACGATTCGTGGAATCTGATAAACCATTAAAATCTTCTAATAGAAGAGTAGACAACAATGCATGTCAATGCCACTGGTCTTTATTCCACTGATTACTCTAATGCTTACCATATAGACCCTTAGAGACTGGGTAAATCTAAAAAGGAAACTTACTGGCTAAATATATCCTGCATATTCATGCCCCCTCCTCCTCCTCCTCGTCCGCCATTTGCAGCAAACTGTTTAAGCCCTTCTTCACCATACTTGTTATATATCTCCCTCTTCTCCTCATCCGATAAGACTTCATAAGCTGTAACATGAGCACAGACACCACAAAGTCAATTTCAAAAACGGAAAACAGTTTATCAGGAATGCAGAATTGGAAGCTGCGATTAGAAAATCACCGTTGTTGATATCGGCGAATTTGCGAGTCGCTTCCTCGTTTCCCTGATTCTTATCGGGATGATACTTCAAAGCGAGTTTCCTATAAGCTCTCTTGATCTGTTCGTCAGACGCACCTTTCGGCACTTGCAGCACATCGTAGTAGCTCTTCCTGAATCACACCGCAGATTTTTCAATCAAAACGCCAAAACATAAAACAGAGCATTCATAGACGATTACACCGCACATTCTATGAGCTAAGGCTACTGAGTAATCGAAAGAGGTGCTTACCCGGCAAGGACACAGATGGCGTAGAAAAGTGTAAACAATGCAATACACAGATTCGACCACCGAATCGCCATGGAAATTGAAATCAGGAGAGAATCAGATCTCCCCCAAAGGAATTAGCCTCCAATCTGAGATTCGTTTAGACTGTTAACACGAAAACTCTCGGATTGAACAAGAAGGAAGATCTCCTTGGCGTATTTCTAATTGGGAACTCGAATCTCTCTCTCTCTCTCGTTTTTTTCTCTCTCTCTCTTTCGCGGAACGATTTTAGAATTCGAACTCCATCGTCGGGTTTACGTGTACATTTCGATGCTTAACCAATCAGGATTTAGTCTCTGACAAGCATAACCAATAGGAATCATCCACGTGGAAAAATCACCGTAGATTCGCTGACTGTGTTCTCTTCTTCGACTTCATCAGTAGTACTCGTAGTATTTCTTAACAAGGCCCATTTACAATGAACTAGGCCTGTAACTCTACCGATTAAATAGCTAATATTATTATTTTTTGCATATAAATTTGGGTGCAAAGAAACATAGACTGGTTTCGGACACATCACACATCATGTCATGTCAGGTCTCTTGAACCTACGGCTAGAGGTCCCAACCCATTAGGCCATTACTACTGTTCTCTTTCAACTGATAACCATAGTGTTTAATTGTCCACGTTATACGATATGAGGACAAATCACTGAGAAGAAAGTAAGTAGGATTATTAATAGTGTTAGAAGACTAATATAATATTATCCAGATCTAGACAGTTATGAAAAGGCATTCATCGAGAGACATCTTACCCCTGTAGGCTCGTCTCCTCGACGGTTCCATTCGAAAGGATCAGAAAACGAGAAAATACAAAAAAAAACTTATAGTAATTCTAGGGTTCCTCCGAATGAAATAAGGTTGGTTTCTACACGTGTTTTTTTTTCTGTTTGATATTACAACCCATGAGGCAAACACAAAGAGCCCATAATACAAGGTACTCCAACAACGAAACCGCGATGATGATTGATGATGATATTCGTTACCAGGTTTAATAACAATAATATTGCCATATTTGTATTGTACAACGTAACATAACTAAATTTCGCTTATTGAGAATGGTTTCTTATATTGTTGCTGAGTAAAGTAGAAAATTACAAACATAAAGTAGTTCATCAAGTCAGTTATTGCAAACAACAGAAGTGATATAATATCAAATGATCTTCTAATCGCTATCTGAGGATTCTGAGCCATATAAGAATTGGCAAGTGCGATGCGGTTTTCCATCATCTTCAACAGGACCTTCTCCGCGAGCTAGGCTTGACCAATCCCATACCGATTCGAGAGGTTTATATACCGACATCGATGACACCTCAGGCTGTGCGAGAAGGAAATTGAGGTTATCCGCTTTATGCAAAAAGACAAAAGGGTATTTGAACTGTCGGAGTTCTGAAATGTCATCCACGATTAGCATCAGATTTAGATTCAGATCTCGTCTAATTCCCTCGTACAAAGAATCAATCAAAATGTTTGTAAGACATGCGCCTTCAGATTCTGAAATATATATAAAACAATAAACACATACATAAGTCATATAGAGAGAGGACGAGAGAGAACGAGAGTGTGTGTGTGCGTGTGTGTGAAAACTCCAGAGAGAGAATTGACCTTTGGGAACGTGACACATGGGGAGTCCGACTGTGGCAAAGCCACCACTTTCTTCCACCATCTCAAATACATCACCATAAGCCTTGATTTTTTGCAGGTTAATGTAACCTTCTTCATAAAGCGCCGTACTTATGTTCTTAACAACAGTTTCAGCGTCGAGACCTTCAGGGATCGGGCAAGCCACCGTGTCCCAGAAGACGATTGTTGGGGCATCTACGAGAGGTTTCACAAGTTATCGAAACCAACAAAAAAAAAAAGCTTGACGTTTTTTAATCAATACCTTACACATATGGGAATATCTACTTATCTCTAGCTAGTTTTCTTAATCAATCACAGAAATCCTAGAAAAAAAATTGAAGAAGCATATATAACCCAAAACAGCGGATTTAGCTAGGGAGACATCTTACGGAAGTACGAAGAAGCCATGATTCCGACGGATTGATTGACCGTGAAGCCCCAGATAACGAAATTGTGTAATTTTAGGGTTTGATTTCATGTTATGAAAAAAATTAGTCTTGTTTAATTTAACTGTTCAAACAAGGCCCATTTACAATGAACTTAATGGGCTTAGTTTAATTAAATAGCTAAAATTATTATTTTTTGCTTACATATAAATTTGGATGCAAAGAAACATAGACTGGTTTCGGACAATCATGTCATGTCACCAGACTCACTCACCACAACGAGTGGTCCCAACCTATTACTACTATTTACCTTCAAGTCTTCAACTGATAACTGACAAGATTAAATACGATGTGTGAAAAAAAGGAGTAAATATGGTGTTTAATATAATTGTCCACGATATGAGGACAAATCACTGAGAAGAAAGTACGATTATTATTGTTAGATGATTGATTGACACAATCCAACTTCAAAACTTATGAGATACATTGCTTGTTTTGGTAATTCTAGAACTTAGCTACAAAATATTCATTTAGAGGAACGATAATAGTTAATTACCAATTTACCACATTGGATGGAAGGTGAAATGAGACATTAGTAGTATATATCTCATGTGCACATGTCTTATAGCTCGAGCGGACCATTTGGTGGGGAAAGAAACGAAGTTTCAATTACATAACATATTCGATACGAATACGACTATAATCTGACCCCTCTGACCAATGGGCACATTCATTAGGTTATATCATTAAGTAACAAGAACGAGCCAGTTTGTGGTGTACGTAACGAGTTCACGACCGTGGATGAGCCACGATCTCCTTCTCAGCACTGACTTACGTGGCTTGTTTTATCACCTGAGACGTGTCACCATCTCCTTAGCCAATAGCCTCTTCTTGAGTCCTCTTCGTCTCCTAATTAATATTTCCCCTATAAATATGAATTACCGACATCAATCACTTTTTTGTGGCGTCGGCACTTTTACTAGTATATTCATATCTTGCGATGACTTTTAGGGGTCAAGTGAAGTGACTGAAAGCTTCATATATAGTGGCCGGAGGTAATGGGACGAGCACCGTGCTGTGCGAAGGTGGGAATAAAGAAGGGGCGGTGGACGGCGGAGGAAGACCATATTCTCTCCGACTACATTCGATCCAACGGCGAAGGCTCGTGGCGTGCTCTACCCAAAAATGCCGGTAAGAACACACACTCTCTCTTGATCGCATGCATATTGTACGAGCATCTTCTCTTAATCATTTTACTTTGTTGCCCTTGAATTATAGATCTATGATTTAGCAGCATTTGATTTGTTTCGGTATCATTTTTTTTGTTTTTTGTTTTTTGTTTTTTGTTTTTTGTTGTCATTCACATGTCAACATTGCGAATCCTAATATTCTAAGAATTTTGTGTTAACTGTTCAGCCAAATGGCAATCTTGTTCTCATTTCTCAGACACTATTCACACACGGACTACTACATATAAAATATAGGGCTGACTCAATTTTGCTTAAAACCTGACATGTAATTTTTTTTATTATTAACTAACTAAAAAGGGCTGAAAAGATGTGGAAAGAGCTGTCGACTGAGATGGATAAACTATCTGAGAACAGACCTCAGAAGAGGAAACATAACTCCCGAAGAAGATGACCTCATTGTTAAGTTGCACTCTACTTTGGGAAACAGGTAATTTATTTAATTATTTGTACAAAATATGATTATTTTTGTTTGGTTAATGTTGAATTTTATTTCTATATGACGTCATTTATATTTACTATAGAAAAGGACACATTCACGTGATCTAATTCTACTGATCAAAATGAAACCAAAGCTATTAATAACACTAATAGCTTTCGTTGTCTAATTTCTTTATCTCTTAGTCGAGACACGATGAGTTTTAAGCACTTGGTTTTTTATACATGGGTGATTAAACATCAACCATCAACGTTAATGCATTTGGAGCGATCTTATTTATTTTGTTTAGCGCAAATTGATACCTTTCTATATTTGGAAACACGTTTAAAATGTTACTACATACGTCGTCTAGATGAATTAAAAACCGAGTTTGGAATAACGTTAAACCCCTTAATTAATTAATGCAGGTGGTCGATAATTGCGAGTAGTCTACCAGGAAGAACAGACAACGAAATTAAAAACTACTGGAACTCTCATCTCAGACGTAAACTCCACAATTTCATCAGGAAATCAACGGTCACGAATGTCGTCGACAATGCTCCTCCCCACCACAACCACTCTCTACCGTCGCAAAAGCGTAGGCCCGGTAGAACCAGCAGATCCGCCATGAAACCAAAATTTATCCAAAGCCCTAAAAACCAGAAAAACACTAAATCTCTAAAGGCAAAGGCAACCAAAAACGACGTAGTTTTGCCCATTGCTGCACGAGGGAATGAAGAGGGAGGCGAAGAAGACGCATTAAATGTGGAGTCAAGTAGTACCTTAAGTGGAGCCGAGGAGGCTGGTTTAGGACCATGTTTCGACTATGAAGACGATGGTAATTGTAACCCGAGCATTAATAGCGACAATGGAGTTATGTTCTTCGATGACGACATCCTTGATACTTGTCTTTTATCGGACGTGTTCTCACATGAGTCGAACAATACTGAAGACTCTGACTCCAAGAGAGGGTTCTCCACTGGGCACGATAATAACATCGACGTGGTAAATGATACAGTGGCTGATGAGTTTGTTGACTGGGACTTTGTTTGGAAAGAAGGTCAAAGCCTTTGGGATGAGAAAGAGGGTCCTGGGTCGGTTTGGTCGTGGCTGTTAGATGGAGAGAAATTGGAATCCGAGATAAGCCGACAGAAGGAATCTAACGACGATATTGAAGAACCGTTGGATGTTGACGAGGAAAACGCGATGGTTGCTTGGCTTTGGTCTTGAAAGATTTGACATCATGTGGCAGGACTTCTCTTCTCCTCCGTTTGTTTTGATATAGGTCCCACGTGGTAGGATCTTCTTTGGTTTAATTATGAATAATCTAGCCAGGTTCCTACTTCCTACTTCTTGTGGAAATACGACTTTTGTCTGTGAAAAAATAAAACAAAATGAAGGGAATCATCTCACTTATTTCCAGTAGATAACGAAGTACGGTTGTTATTTTCCATTACTAAATCAACTTTTTAAGAAGAGGCGTACCATTTTTCAATACTCAAATGACCAAAAACGTTTAATACTTAAAACCCCAACCGTTAAGATATTTTCCGACTACAAATCTATAGTTTTTTTTTACTTCCATACACGTAACGGTAGTACCATAAGAGAAACAAAAGAGGGATCGATATCGTACGTTTACTAGTAGGGACGATTATTTAGTCCAACCAACATCAATAGCCTATAATAATGCCTCACGTGATGACATGCACTTTTGTCTCTTTTTTTCTAACGGTGGCCATATCATACTTTAATACTCGAAAATAAAAGCTATGTTTGCGTATCAATTTGGCACTGAATTAAAGAAGAAACATAAATGAATACAAAATATGTAAATCAAGCAGTCAATTTTAAGCTCTCTAAAGTGCTAACAAATAAAGCAGTGATGCCTTCGAATAAATTCCCAAATTTGAATGAAGATACTATTTGGTAAAAATACAGTTAATCTATAAGTTCCGATTGATAATGTAACCTGAGTTATTTTTTAGTTCCGATTGGTAATTCCGTAGAACGGTAGAACATGCATTGTGTATTTTGTCACCAAAAACATAAAAAAGCTTGTAGGTCTACATTCATCGAATCACATCACTATTCTACAGTTACACGGCCGAATGCTAAAGTAAAAAGGCCTAAACTTGGCCCAATGAATAAGACCCAGTAAGAAAACAGTAAACTAAAACACGGCGTCGTTTTTCGAATGTTCCCTCTGCGTTTGCTGGGATTCTAGCTAGCTGGGGGTCTCTTTCTTCCCGGCGGAGCGACGACGATGTTTGCGGCGAGAGTACGAGCTTCTCTTAAACCTTTGCTCCATGGAAGACCTAGTTCCTATTTAACCAGAAACGGTACGTCAATTCGTTATACCTCCTGTATTTATCTTTCGCATCCGAGAGATTTTCAGATATTTTGAATCCCTGGAAATGAAATTTCTCGAATTGGCTATTTCTGTGTGTTTTTCAGGTGAAACTGCAGCGATTACGAAGCGTCTATCTCTTGATAGGTGAGTTTTTTAATCTCATTTTTCGCTCGATGGTCAGGACTCGGGATTTTAGCAATGTCAATTATGTATGGTTGCTTGTTAGGGATTTAGATTTTAGCTCTCGTTGTTGACAGATTCAAATATGGAGAGTGGACTCAGACTAGCTTGCGAATATATGGAAACGGAGTTGGAATCAAACTCTTCAACAGCTCATTTCATAGCTCCTCGGAATCTCATGTAGGTAGGCTTCTTCTTCACCACAAGTCTGATAAAATCTGTGCTCTATTGAGAATGAATTTCGAGCCTGTTTTCATTTGCAGGGGTGAAAACTCAGAAAAGTGCGTTGTTTAGTACTCTTGAGGATGATTTTTCCTCAGAGTTGGGTTCTGTAGAGAAAGACGGGAATCAGAATATGGTTGTGAAGCTGTTAACTACGGCGTTAGAGCCTTTTCAGATTGACAAGGAAGAGCTTTCTCAGGTACGTTCAAGTAAAAGCTTTTAGCAGCAATGGCTTAATTTATCCAAAAAGATTAAACTTTCTTTAAGTTTGCTTCTTTTTTTAATACCAGAAAACGAAAGGCAAGAAGAAAAAGAAGAAGCCTGAACAAGATTCTGATACGATTTGCAAGCCAAAGTTGTTGACTGAGAAGCCATCAGTTTCTTGGGTATACTTTTATTACCATCTGGACAAGATTGTTGCTTTATGCAGCAATCAATGTTTGATTAACAAAAAGATTGAATGCTCTTTAACTTTGCTGAGTCCATTTTCTTATCAGGAAACTAATGGCAAGAGGAAGACTGAAGTACATGCTTCTTCTCCAGCAAGAAATGTTAAGGATTCAAAAGTTTCAGTCTCCGTGCCAAGCGAGTCATCATCTCCAGTTCCAGATAAAAAGTCCAAGGCTCAAAATATAATCAGTTCCGGTTCAAAGGCGAAAAACGAAACTAACTCCAAGGCCTCAAAACATCCTGCTTCGCTTGCTGTGATAAGGATTAGTAATCTAAACCCGAAAACAGCTGATTCAGTCATACACTCGATGTGCTTGAAGATTGGCCCTCTCGAGGGGATTGCTAGGATTAATGAAGACACTGCTCATGTCTTGTTTCGAGCTAGAAACCAAGACGAAGCAGACTCTTTACTGAAAGAGTAAGTAATACTGAAGAAAAAACAGTCTTGTTTGAATTTTGATTCGAAATTCTACTTCCTTGTTGTATTCCACTGTTACTTAGTTTCTTGTCAATTTCTTTTCCCAGGCTGAACGATGCAACCGTAGATCAATCTCAGTGGAGGGCTGAGATTGCACCAGAAGACGAAGAAGCTTCTAGAGATGAAATGGGTTTGAGAGTCAGTAGCTGTTTCGAAGATTTGGAGAAGCAAATGACCATGCAACGCATTCTCTCGAAAGACTTGGAAGTTCTGCTGCATTTGGTTACGCATCTGGAGAATCATCCAATGTCTCGACAAGGCACTTGAGCCCCCTCGCGTCGATAAGGATAATCAATTGAATTGTGGGTTAATTTTGTTGAATTTGAAACTAAGGGAGTGTAACGAAACTATCAAGAAACTAAAGGGGGTAACACAGTTTTTTTAAAAACCGTGTTAATTAATGTTCGCGGGAGGGAAGTGTTGTTGTCTAATGTACTCAGGCCCATTATTTCCTCGACTTATCTTATTCTTTGTACAAAAACTTCAACTTACTTTCTCGCTACCTTCATCTTAGCATTTTAATTCGTTTTCTATATTTTAAATAATTCTCATTTTTTCTTCAAACTCTTTTTCGTTAATTTGAAATTAATACTAATTTAAACAAAATTAATGTGATTTTCATTATATATATACATCTATTAATAAATATAATTTACACCAGACATTGGGATAGAAAGTTCCTCTCATAAACAGTGAGACAAATCAGATCAGAACAGCTAAGTGTACAGTTACTTACGATAGAGAGCTGTTTGCGATTGATTGAAGTGACTCGTCCCACGTCACTTTTGCAACTCGTATTTTTGGCCCTTTGATCGAAATATTTTCTCCTCTTTTTATTTTCTTCTTCAAAATTTTAAATACTTTGCTATGACATGAGATGAGACTGACTGACTATTCTTAAATTTTAAATATCTCCTACTACAAAAGAACTCTCAAGTGCGTTAAAAAGCATTAAGGTCCCTTGACATGACTGTCTTTAATGTAATCTGGCACACATAATTTAATCTTATTGGATTTTTATGTAGAAGAAAGAAATTAAAAAAAGGAAGTGAGATTTTCACTTTTCATTTTTCAGAGGGAGTGGGTCATGTTAAGTATGGACCTCCTCCTCTGTGACTGTTCTTAATACACTTCGCTTACGACAACTCACGTGGCCCTTTTTCTTTGTTTTCTAAAATTCACAGAATAATAATCAGTGAAGTTACTCTACTATTACTATATAGTATTTGTGTAGATGCAGCATTGGGCCCAAAAACGAGACAAGTTCATGTGGGTTGGAATCGTAGATTTCAGATAGATAAGACAGCTAAATGTTTCTCTGATGTGCGGTGTGGATCTTAGGTCGCTATACGTGCACGTAATCTCCATTTAATATTCGGTTATTATATTCGACGACAACTATTGCCGCAGCCGTGGCAGCAGAAAACGACACCGTTTACTTATTAATTGTCTCTCAAACAAAAATTCATTATTTGCTAGCCTCTGAGAGTTTCTGCAGCCATGCTTTGTGGAGCAAAGCCTGAAGAAGTCATCAAAAACCATAGCCACATAAACGAAGGAGGTTAGCTTCACATTCCGATATAAATCCCATCGACCATATAACGTTGTGTATATCTAACTTAGTACGACACTATAAATTTGATTTGACACATGTAGATTCCATTAAATCACATTTTCTTATCAATAACTTAAGTTTCTTTCTTTATTTTTTGCTCTTTATGCTCAATTCGGATTTGCTTTTTCTTTATGAAATCAAGTAAAGGTGCAGTTTGGATTTACTTTAGGTCGGATTGGTTTATCATGGAAAAGGTAAAGTATGATATGGAAATATCGTGTTAATCAAGTAAGTATGAAAAGAAAAACCATACATTATTACTCACGGTAGGGTTCTTATCAACAAGGGATGATGTAGTTTCAAGTCTAAAGAAAATATCCAAAACAAAAGTCCCAAGAATGAAAAGCTATTGTTAACTACAAAAGCATATATTATTAAACAAAAGGCCAATTAGATAAGACTTGAAAATGCAGTTTCAATCACCAAATGTTTAATAAGACAAACCACAAATGGGTCATGTATATGATGAAGATGCTCTCTCTTAACTCTACACACGCATTGCTCCAAAAACCAACTCACTCATGGCCCCAATCTTATATTTTTTTTTTTCTTTCTCTTCTGCAGATCTCACAGAGTACTTACAAAAATTATTGATCTCTCTCTCCCCCCAACAAACTAGAAAAACCCCACCACCATTATTATTTATTAACCTTAACTTCTTGACGCATAAGAATAATAAAAGTCACAAAACTGTTACAACAACACGACTGTAAAAATTTAAGATTTAAGATTCTGAAACCATTCCCAAGAACTAGAGAGAATCATTCATAGTAATCAAATCTCAGAACAGAGGGAGGCGATGATCTTTCTTACATATACTATTTATAACTTAAGGATGATTACACAATCCATTAACCTATACACAAAATAGAACATTTGCTTAACAAATTATTAATAAATCTATGACTTAACTTGGATGTTTAACCGGATGAGACCGGGTTTAAGCTGCGAGCTAAACCGTTCAAGGCGCTGTAGCCTTTGGAACTAAACCCTAAACAGCCGAAGAGTCCATGCCTGTATGGCAAATACGTCCTCTTCTTCATCTCCTCTGCTTGAGCTCTGTTCGTTGTGTAATGCAGCTCGTGAGCCGACGGCTGTAATCCTCTCCGTTTCGCTATCCCATTGGTCGGTTTTCCGGCGATCGGAGCTTTTTTCGCCGGTGGTTGTTTCTGCTTCAGCTTCTCTGTTTCCGCAATCGGTTTCTCTTCCTTTGAGACGGTGAGAGGTTGAGATTTGAGTTTCTTCTCTTTGAAGTTGGAAGGAGAGAATGAAATGTTGGACCAGAACTTCTCCTTCGCGTTACCTCTTCCTTCGCTCTTGCTACGATGAAGCAGATCCTTAAGGAATATCCACTTCTTAGAGTTTCTACCGTAAGAAGACGATCGTGAAGACGAAGCAGAACAAGACGGCGTCGTTTCAGATGACGGCACGTTATCATTACTCTTCTCTCCCTCTTCGTAGTCGTTCTGTAGCTTCCGTATACACTCCTTCACTTGTCTCTCTCCGGCGACTTCTTCTTCCTCTTCGGTCCACTGATACGCTGCGTTTCGGAGCGGAGAGAGAGATCTTGCTTTTCGGTGAACAGATCTGCTTCTCAGCTTCAGATCTCTCCCACGCCTAATCACATCACCGTCTGGTTTCGGCTCTTCGTCGTCGTCCTCCTCGGTTTCCAGATCTAGAAGCGGAGCTAAGATCTGAGGCCGTTGAAGATGCGAGGAGAGCTTCATCGGCTTGATCTGACCGTTGGCGAAGAGCTCTTCCGCGGAGGTCATTGATACAGTGCCCAGCGGACCACTGCTCGAAGACAACCGAGACGAGAAATCAAATTCGAAGTCGCCGGACGACGGCGAGTCGAGCTTTGGATTCTCCGATGAAGAAGCAGAGCAGAGGAAGAAATGCATCGGACTCGACGGTGCGCTGAAGAAATAACCCGGCGGTGGACCACGACCGGGACTAGACGGAGCGCTGACGAACGGCGTGGAGCAAGCAGAGCCAAGGTCGTCGCTGAAACGCGGCGTTTCTGAAAAATCAACGGTTTCTGGCTCGCCATGGTCAAAGCTCTGAGGAAGAACCATTGTGGCAAGCGAGAGAGAAAGACGTAGAGAGATGAGAAAGTGGATCGATTGTGACTGTGGCTTGTTTCTCAAGAAAATGCAGAAAACAGAGAGAGCGCGAGGAGCGAGGTGAGAGGAGAGCAGATTATGCAGAGTGTATGTATGTAATGTTATGAAGCTGCTTTTTAATTCTTACTATTTATTGACAATTTTTTCTTATATTAAATTTAATTGCGATTCTCAAAACCTTTTTTAAATTATTTATGATATTTTCCTATAGGCAAAAAGTAATTACAGATCTTTTGCGCAAATTGAAAATTGTTTTAATCATCTGACATGTTTGTTTGCTGTATGCATGAATAAAAAGTTGAAATCTAGGGGAGTGAAATTATTTTCTTATACGTAGTTAAATTATTTTTATGAATTTGATAATGTAGGTAGTGCTATGGTTGTTGCTTTGGATTCTGCAGGCTGATCCAATAGAATAAAGAGGAAGAATCTACGGATGTTTTTGGAATTTACAATGCTGCTTTACGAGTTTGCCCATACCGATCTTTCTCAATTTCCCTTATTACCCTCGAGTTATTATTGTCTCAGAAAATATTAAAAAATCCATTTTACGCCTAACTAATCCTCAAGTGACATTCAATGAGGAAAAAGATACATTGAGGTCGGCTTAGAAGATTTTTCCTTGATCTGTGTTGTAAGACATAGCTCAAATTTCAGTTTAGTTTTTCAAATTATTCTCCAACGCCCAAGGAATTTTGATTTGAATTTCAAATGTAGTTATGATCTTCATAAATGAAACGAGTGAAATACCATGATCGTGTATTTACTATATTTACAGTGGATCACTAAATGGTTTCAAATGTTCTCCTGTTTGAATTTTGATTTTTTTTTTTCTGTTCGTATACTTATTTCAAGAAGTAAACAATAATACATTCATCTGGACGTTTTAAAATAAATGAATCAAGGACGTGCATAACAAAAATTCCGGTTGACAAAAAAAAAAAAAAAAAAATTCCGACAAACTAACGGGACAATATGGTAAATCAATAAAAGCTATTTTCCGTAAAGTTTAATAAAGAAGACGTGGCTTCGAGTGATAAGCTATGATCGAGCGCATAAACATGTCAATGGGCTATACTGATTTAACGGACCAAACACCTTGAGTATTAATTGGGCTTTAATAAGATGTAAAAGGCATAATTTGAACCACAAACTGGACTGTGTTTGACATGAATCGTTGTTGACTAATTAATATTCATACACAAACGACACCGTCTTGTCTTGAAGATCGAAATCAAAACAATCCCTATGAGAAAAAACTCATTACCTTTGACATTGGATAAAAACTGTAGTCGCCGGAGGTTATCGCCAGCAACAGCCCAAGGCATTCATTATCCGCCGGAAATTTTCAAAACAACAAAAAAAATTGATTATCCGTGTATAATCTGAGAGCACGTGTTCTTCATCCAGCGAAACCCTTTCTTAACCGTCGATTTAACTTTTCCTTCAATCTCGTAAGCCTTGTAAGTCGCGATTCTCTTCTTCCTTTTGGATTCGGAATCCATGAATCTCCACTGAGCATTCGTTGTAGCTGCTCCTGGAGGAGGCGGAATCGACGGTTGAAAATCGGAGGAACCGTATCGAGTCGAGTGGGTTTGGGTTGCTCCACGAGCACCGTAACCTTTACCATTAACGATCTCTATCCATTGATCAACGGCAAGTGTTCTTTGGTTCGACCCGAACCCGTCCATTTCTCTTAACTCGGAGCTCCGTCCGAATCGGAAAGTTGCACGATCGGATGGTTTTCGATTTGAAAAGTTAAATTAATAAATGGAGAAAAAGTGTTTACATGGTGAGAGGTTCTCCGATTGATGAGGCGCCTTTTTTTTTTGAATGATTGTTATTTTATGAGGCAACAAAAGAATCCGTGGTAAAAAAAATAGATAATTTAAATGAGTTGTGTGACAATTGATCTATTTCGGCCCAATTTCGGATGCTTATATTAGGCCCATATACGATCTCGTTAATTTATGAAATTAATATCATTGCATGTAGTACGGCTACGAAAGGAGCCAATGCACATGTGTGTCTGTGTGTGTGAACATCACACGTGCGGTGAAGCTCAATCTCACGCTCAGCGAGGGAATATATCGATTTGATAAAATAACAGCTTAATTAATGGTGATGGGATTTTTCGGTTATTTTTCAAAGTCAGATGTTTCCTACGATAATTATTGATGTATGTAGTTATGTACACATGAAACGGATGTACCATCACGACCTAAAACATGCTACAATTAAATTTTGATCGAGATATTTTTTTACATAAATTGTAACTGAAAAAACACGAATAATGCAGCACGTAATACTCTTTACATGCGTGTGTGTGTGTGTGTCTCTCCATCTTACAATAATCTTCTTGCGGTGAAGAATGATAAGAAGATGATCCAACGGTCAGGAATTAGTGGAGGCTTGTCACATGGGCCATGGCCCATGGGGGGAGTGTCGTCACAGTTCGCCATTATTGCAAAAGCGATCCACTCCCGCTAAACGCCACTGCGCTTATGACTTATCGGCTATAGTATTCCGCTAAAGCAAATGCTGAGAAATTAATTATACTAGCATTAAGACAAGAATCATCGATAGTAGTTGACAAAAACAAGGAATCAACGCTAGTTGACAAAATCAAGAAAAATCAACGAATAACGATGATGCAGCTTCATTATTGAGACCATTCCTTTGGATAAAATAAATTCGACTGATACATTATTGAGACCATTCCTGTGCTGACTGTTTTTTTTTTCACTGACAACTACTAAAAATGTGTCAAATTGTTAAGTGACCAAAGTTGTATCTCATCATATCTTCGCTATATGAACGATGAACAAACACCAAAACACAATAATTTGGAATGCTTGAGTTGATATAACTATATCTTAACTTTTTTTTTTAGGTGAAAGATTTTTCAAAATTATAAAACCAACGAACAAGAAAAATTATAAAACCAACGATGAAGAAAGAATTCGGAGGTCCCGATCAAAGGGTTAACGATCGTTGTTAGATTTATTACTACTAGCTATAATCGTTACATTGGAAATGAAAAGTATTAACCCAAAACAGAATAAAGAAAACGACTATCAAAATCATACCGAAAAGTATAAGCTTATAATCGCATACATATAGATGCGTGTAACTAATCACGTGTCTACTACTGCATACACACTGTGTATTTAGCCATTTAAGTCTATGTATTCATTAATTACTATAAACCCCAACTAATGCATCTCTCGTTCTCTCTCTCTTAAATTCTTCATTCGTTATCTCATTTCAAGAACATAAATACACAAACAAACACACATATTTTAGAGAGAGAGAGTGTGATGGAGATAACGCCTAAGAGATATTGGCGGAGGTGGAGAGGATACGAGAAGCTTGATGGATCATCGACGGCGTCAGAGACGAATCAGGGAAGAAGGAAAGAGAAACGGGTGAAAATGGATCCGACCCGGAAGAAACGTTTTTGGAGGATAAAGATCGTGCCGAAACTGAGAATTCTCAGAAAGGCATCGCCTAAGAAGCTCTTGGTTTGGCTACGCGATTCTTACGTTAAGATGATGATGCGCTTGGCCAACTCGCGGGTCGTCGGGTCTTCGGGATACGGTGGATCCGGATTCGGGTCGGGTCAGATGAAGGAGTACGATGAGAGAGTGCTCGTGGAGATTTACAAGTCGATATTGATGGCGCAGGCGCAGGGGAATCTCGTGCACTGCGACACAGCTAATAAGCTTCCTTCTTCTGAACCTGCGATTGTCTCTGTTTCTCATGCTGTTAGGTAATTACCAAAAAAAAAACAAAAAAAAAAACAAAGAAACAATTATCCTTTTTTCTTTATAAATAAAAAGAGAATCGAAATTATTGACTTGTTTTAATACTGTTTCTGGATTGCTGATAGCAAAGTTGTGATTTTGATCTGTAATCGAATTTGCAGCAAGAATATCAGAAAATAGAAAGAAATCAAGAATACCGGTGGAATGTGGGTCCAAACAGTAATGTGGTTATTAATGGGTTTTCCATTTATTTAATAAAGTTTTGTTGAATCTATCTATGCTTTTGAAATATAAAGATTCGCATTTACATCGTAATTCGTAACTGTGATGTAATTGTGTATGGTTGTATAGTTCGTTGTTGTATCGATCATGTCCTATGTCTAATCTTTTAAATATAAAATCATTTATGTGATATTAATCTAATTTTGCTGACTAATTCGTGGAAATTCAGTTGACCACTTTTGTTCAGCTCAATAATGAAAGAAAGTGTTATTGGGTGATTGGTTTCATCCGCGGAAACCTTCTAAGTAAGAGGGAGGGTTTGTGGTTGGGTTATCTTTCAAGTGGATAAATGATGGATCTAAATGAGTCACCAAGCATGTATTCCGTTTCTTCAATATCTCAACTAACCAAAAACAAGAACTAAAGATACCTAGTCATGTGATGATGTGAACTAGTGGGCCTATAAAGAGCATCTTAATTCCGAGTGTTGCACAATACACAAAAATATGTACCTTCCAGTATTTTCAAAAAAGTTTGTAAGTTAAAACAACATATGGGGCTAGATTGCCTATTGATGATGATGAATGAGAAATTGTTTAAAACAATGTGAGGTCCTTTAAAAGAATACCATACAGTATTTGGGATAATCTTAGTTGGTGGTATCATATTTGAAGATACAATTACTAATTCGTATTCATACAAAAATATTGGACTCTCAATAACAAACCAAGATATGTTTCGAGCCTAAAATGCTATATTTAGTTTAATCTCAGGAGCTTGGGCTTGAGAAGTTTCGAGCCTAAAATGGGCCTAGAGGGTTTTTAGATAATAGCTATTTTATAATTAATTTTTCTTCATGTCGAATAAATTTAGATAATAAAAAGTTTGTTTGATCAATCACATTAAGTACCAAAGTACATTCCGTCAAAGAAAAAGAAAAAGGTACCAAAGTACAAAAGCATCAGGTGTTAATGTGATGTTGCTCATTGTCACTGCTGTCGATCATTGAACACATTACGCTTCACTTCTACTCAATAAATTCCGCTTAATAATGTTTTTGTTCCCGAAGCTAATAATTGTTCAATCGTATGGGGCAAGGCAAGCAATGATCATAACGAATTTCTACGATACGTAGTCTTAGGTAAATTAGCCATTGTAGTGACCCAAGTGTTAGCGACTACATTGAAATTTCATATGCAACTAAATACACTACTTTATTATTCTGTCCCCCAACAATTAATAGATTCAATGTACACGTCTCAACAACACATTAACAGTTTAGCATGCATGAAATTAAAACTAGCACTATAACTTCCTCTAAGTTTTGTAATATAATACTCATAGGAACTGAGTTATTAATTAATCAGGGAGTTGACCAAATAACATAAAGTCCCATTAGCTCAGCAGCGAATGAATACTGAAACGCTATCGTGGCACATGGAGTTTCGCGGTCGGTCCATAAAAGAAAACAAGAATTACATACATAATATGAAACATTTGTTTAGTGATTCTATAATCTTGTACCACACGAACAGTTACACATTTTTATACTCGGACTGAATTGTCCGATTCATTTTCTAATAACGTTTTGGAAATATATGCTATAGTTATACAGTGACATATGAACCATTTATGGTTGTTATCAATAGTGAAATATGAGTTTACGTGTGTATTTGAATCGTCTTTGTCTCCCTCGATGAACATAGTTGTCTTGTAGATATTTGTTAATTGAAATAAAATTGGACATTTCAACTGTAATACTGGGATATTATTCTCTGGGTTTGAATAGGCTGCATACGTGTACATTGCCGACATTTTTTTCTACGTTTTTTTTCCCATGTTAATTACGATATGATAATTCATTTCAGCGATCTATTAAAATTAAAAACAATATATATCGCTCACACAAAAGTATAATCCATCGTATATCAGTGATCTGATAACATAATTGTCTCCTCAAATATGCAGACAAAACAAAAAACCCAAAATAAGCGAGGCGACAACTTGAACTGAAAGATATGAGCTAACATTTTTTTCTCAAAAAGAAGAAGATATAATCTAATTCTAACCAGTTACAGTAAAAAATAAAATATCTGATATGAAATATAAGATTTAGTTGTTTGTAATTTTGTTCTCATTCAGTCATTTGTCAACATCAAAAAATCTACACACAAGAAATAGAAAAATACAGTTCATATAGTTCACAGGAAAGTAATGCTCCTATTATCTACCACTCATGAGTTGAATCATGGGTTCACTTGATCCGGAGATCTCCACTTTATCGTTTCAATAAACATATTACTAGTATAAAAGTTTCAAATGCTTGAGAAAAATGTAATGAAGTTATCTTGGTACCGAATCAATAATTATTGAGTTTCATTGTATGATAATCCTCTAACTAACAGTTACTTGTTCCATTTGAATCAAAACACCAATTATTTAATTAGTGACAGTTCTTCATACCCACGTTATCAATAACTAAATAATACTGTTGGTTTAGTTTAAGTAAACAATGCAAATTAGACGTCAATAGTCAAATACACCACCACATAAATTTTGGTTAAACAGACCAGACCAGGTTATCCGGACTATTAGTCAAAGGTATAAGCCGCATGAGATGGTTTTGGTGTTGACATGATCCATTAACCGCCGAGCAGTAGTAATAACAAACAGAGTTTAAGCACCTAATGTTCAATCAAATTATAAGATACTCAAGTAACCATTTAAAGTAATAAAATATCCAGTTTGATTTTTAAAATCATGATTTCTATCCATTTAAGTATAAACTCAATGTTTGGATATGTAAAAAAATCATTCTGAGCAAGTTAATATTTGGTTTGATTTCAAAACTCAGTTATGTGTATCCAAACTGAACACCTCTAAATAAATTCAGTGTATTTGTATGGTATACAAGAGATTTTTTTCCTCTATATACGTCAATTTCAATCACACGTTACAATTTTATTTGAGATAATTAGCCTGTAGACAAAAACAAATATATAAAATGATCTATGATTAGCCACATACAAATAAGTAGAATACAATCTGTTTGTTGGCTAAGGAGAAATTGAAGGAAAAAGTCTGAAGGCATATCTCTCTCTCTCTCTCTCTCTCTCTCTCTCTCTCTCTCTCTCTCTCTCTCTGCTTCTTCCATCGTCTCTCTCGTAAAATACTAAAATAGAGAGAGAGAGCCAACGAAACAAAAAAAAGCACAGGAGAGGGCGTTAAAGAGCAGACGGTGGCGCACCGTAGCACCGCCCCTCCTATCTTGCGCCTTTCTTCTTCATTTTGGGGTTTTTTTTTCCGATTTCGGATTATTATTCCTCTTCTCCTCTCTCAGGTCGCTTCGATCCCACGGCATAGTTTCTGATTTTGATTCCAAACTAAAATTCCGATTCTTACTTCAATTTTGGATTTTTTCTTCTACCTTCTTCAGATGCATTCACCTTCTATATCTCTCTTTTGAAAAACTCTGGCGGACATCAAAGGAACCCTAGCATTCCTCCGGTCTTATCTCGCCTCTATCGCCGCCGATCGGTGGTTCGATTTCAAATCCAAGAAGAAGAAACGGCGAGGTGCGATTCATCGTCTCAGGATGCTCTGGATCATGAGATTTTCCGGTTTATTCTCCGCCGCTCTGGTTATCACCGTCCTCTCTCCATCTCTCCAATCGTTTCCTCCAGCGGAAGCTATCAGATCCTCTCACCTCGACGCTTACCTCCGATTCCAGACCTCCGACACACCGCCGCATAGATTCTCTTTCAGAAAAGCCCCGGTGTTCCGCAATGCCGCCGATTGCGCCGCCGCCGACATCGATTCCGGTGTCTGCAACCCTTCTCTGGTCCACGTCGCGATTACCCTCGATTTCGAGTACCTCCGCGGCTCAATCGCCGCCGTGCATTCGATTCTCCAGCACTCGGCGTGTCCCGAGAGCGTCTTCTTCCATTTCCTCGTCTCCGAGACTGGCCTAGAATCCTTGGTTCGTTCGAGTTTCCCCGAATTGAAATTCAAGGTTTACTATTTCGATCCGGAGATTGTGCGGACTCTGATCTCAACCTCGGTGAGGCAAGCGCTCGAGCAGCCATTGAATTACGCTAGAAATTACCTGGCTGATCTGTTGGAGCCCTGCGTGCGCCGCGTCATCTACCTGGATTCCGATCTAATCGTCGTCGATGACATCGCCAAGCTCTGGAGGACGAAGCTGGGATCGAAAACGATCGGAGCTCCGGAATACTGCCACGCGAACTTCACCAAGTATTTCACATCGGCGTTCTGGTCAGACGAGCGGTTCTCCGGAGCTTTCCAGGGGAGAAAACCGTGCTACTTCAACACCGGAGTGATGGTGATCGATCTGGAGAGATGGAGGCGCGTGGGGTACACGGAGGTGATCGAGAAATGGATGGAGATTCAGAAGAGCGATAGGATTTACGAGCTGGGGTCTTTGCCACCGTTCTTGCTGGTATTCGCCGGAGAAGTAGCGCCGATAGAGCATCGGTGGAACCAGCACGGGCTCGGCGGAGATAACGTGAGAGGGAGCTGCAGAGATCTTCATCCGGGTCCGGTTAGCTTGCTTCATTGGTCCGGTAGTGGTAAACCGTGGTTCCGGTTAGATTCGAGACGGCCATGTCCACTGGATACTCTTTGGGCGCCTTATGATTTGTATGGACACTCGCGCTGATTCTTCATCTTCTTCATCGTCATCTGTTACATTTACATATGATTTGGGGTTTGTAGTCTCAGCTGGTAAATTCTCCCATCCCCTTCCCGTCGCACAAAAACGATAAAAAAAGAAAGAAACACTTTTTACTCGATAAATTCTTTTCTATCTCCATTTTTCTCTTTGAATTTTTCCGAGTTTGGAATTTGTTCTTCCTCTGTATTCTATTCGATTGTTCGTCTTCTGTGCATGAAATAAAAATATGAAAACAAAGGACAAAAAAAACCATAGGATACATTCAGATTTGTTGAGAATCTTCCTTGTACAGATTTTTTACCATATGTTTATTATTATAAATTTGTCATTTTTTTCTCCAAGTCAGAAAGATTATCCCATCGTTTATCTTCTAATCCAAATTAACGGTTGTTCCCAATATTCACCGACAATCTCTATTTGTTCGGTCTTGTTACTTAAATCTTGGAATTGGGAAGAAAGATAATGCTTGAAAGTTAGAAAATGAAGGAAACATGGCAAAATCAAAAGAGGGAAGAAGGACACGACACTTGAGAAGAGTACATTGTGGTTGATGGTGTCGGTCTCTTTGCTTACTTCACTTTTTTTACATCTTTGTGTTTCTTTAATGCTTGACTCTCTTTTTTTATTAGTGGGATGATGATTGTGTGATTTTTTAAACATTACATTATAAAGTGTCACACTTAAAAGCCAAAAAAAACGAAAGTGTAACACTTTGATATTTGTTTTGTCGTCCTCTGGTTGGTTCTCAGCCATAAAGTAAAAGGACCTTACTTTTAGTAATCAGATATAAAATCAGAAATGTAACACCTTAGTATTATTTCGACATTTGTTACTACCATAGTGGAATTATTGGTTTATTTAATTGATTAATTATTTGTCTCTGGTCTTTTTTTCCGATGCAACTATTTTAGACGATTTCGATTTATAATTGCAAAGGTGGCAGCTCCCCTTTATTTCAGAGGTAAAAAACGAATTTTATTGAGTTTATTCTGCCTTATTTGCGTATGTGATACGGAAAACTTGGTTTGATTTTTGGAATCATCATCCATAATGATAGGGTGATAATATCATAATCGAAAATAAAGGCCAAAAAGTAGAGTCCATTTTTTATGATGTGGCATATAGCTTTATAATAAGAAGATAATATTAAAACTCGTTATCGTTTGTTATTTTGGGTTCTGGTTGAATGGGTCCTACACAAGTGTTTACCTGTATCCACGTGGACAAGTTGCTGTAACCTTCTCCTGGAATCAGCTGGTTCCATGTGCTCCGTGTCACTCTCCGACCTGTCTCTCCTCCACTCGTCTCCTCCCAATATTTTATTTTTTATTTCTTAATGATAGAAGAAAAAAGGAATCACAAATTTGTGATCATATCGTTCAAATTTTATTTCGACACCATCGGATTTTAATTCTTGTAGATAAATGAGGCCTAGTGTTATACACTCTCGACTCTACACAATAGTTGACCGACCACCAAATGTAGTCAAGACAAGACTACAATAGTTGGTGGTATCTTAGAAAGTAAAATTGATTAGGAGAGCTATTTGTTATTGTTTGATTATGATTTTTTGGCCTTTAGTAATTAAATCCCAAAGTCCATTACATCGACACAGGGATAGTATACTAGTAATAAGTTTGACATTGCACCATCAAAAGTTAATATATGAACGACTAATAAGAAATCGCATAGTTGAATCAATTGTTTAGAGTTCGTAGTTATGTTGTGTCTGGTTTATAGTGATCTTGATAGTTATGTGTATATATATAATAAAAAAAAACAGAAAAAACCGTAATGAGGCTCTGTAATACAAGAGTACATAAAAATTCGTATGAGTATTGCCACTGAGATTACCCATGACTGAATCTACTTTATCTACGCAAGTGATTACAGATCACTCTCACAACTAAAACCATATGTTCGACCAAAGTAAAAAAACTACTAGGCCTATCGCAAATCGCAAAAAAGGTATTGCGACTCGCGTTTGTGGGATTCAAAGATCCTGAATCTATAATAAGCAGAAAAAAACATAAAAAGGGGCTAGAGAGAAAAAGCTACGAGAGATTACAGATAGATGGATTCATTTATCACCTTAGATCAATGAATCAAAATTGACCATTGAAATCGTTGTTGTAGTCTGGTGGCAAAAAATACTCTTGTAGATCGTGGGATAAAGTTGGATAGATGAGTCCAGGGATTTCCGTGGCTGATGACGCGTGTCCATGTTCTTGATTGCTTGTCATGGAAGGTAACGGAGGAGAAGAATGGTAGTACTGCTGTTGTAGCTGCTGTTGCGGTAGTTGTTGCGGCTGGCGAAACGGTTCCATATAACTGCTGTTGGACATGAAGTGGTGGTGGTGGTTCGTTGTCAGGAAACCGCTTGGTGGATAATGGATCGGTGCGTTCGCGGTGGCATGATCGTTCATATAATACGGTGGTCCATTGTGGAGATTGATGCCGTGAGAGTTTAGGAGCGGTTTAGAAGCCGTGAGAGCGGCGTTTGGCACAGCGTTATTGAACCAGCCTGAAGCTTGTCGAGCCTCCTGGTTCTTTTTGTTGGCACCTAGACGGTACTTCTGTCATCGCAATCGCTGTAAATTGTTAGCCCTAGCTAGCGGTTGCTTGTAGATGACTAAAAGAAGTAAGAAAGAATTGTGAAATAGATATCAATTACCTGAAGATGACTGGCTACGTTGTTTCTAGTGAGTCCTTGGACGTTCATTTCTTCTTGCATGTATTTGAGAATCAGCTTCGGAACAGCTTCTGCGTTTTGCCAATGTCGAAATGTATAAGATAGCAGTTAAATATCAGTAATCAATAAACTTACTATTTAGTGTGAGTAATTATTACTTTCATTACTTTCAATGGTGATTCTTTGGATGGCTTTTTCAAACTTTTCGTGAAGCTCAGGAGTCCATGTCATCCGCGGTTTCTTAGTGTTCCTTTCTCCTTTTCGATCGAAATCGTCTTGCTCTCCGCTATCTTCGACGTTCTTGGAGGAGCCTTCTTCGGTACTCTGGTAGAGGTCGTTATTGTCTTGCCCTAGACCGTTGTCGTCGTCATCAACTGAATCTTTCGGTGTGATTAGACCGGATTTTGACATCTTCTTGTGATAAACATGTCGCCAGAGAACCGCAATGACCTCTTTGCTCACAGGCTTCACAAGAAAGTCACACGCGCCGTACTTGATCGATTTCATCACTGTTTCCTTATCATGGCCATGAGACATGACTTTGACACGAATAGTTTCACATTAGGTCAGATAATAAATGGATAATAAATGTTCTAATTAAGATGCATATCGAGAGAAGAATATGCTAAAATATTGGTGTTAATAATTTACACATACTTACTTACTACAGGTAAATCCATCTCTTTACCAACGGTATTGAGAGCTTTGAGTCCGTCAACTTCGGGAACATGAAAATCCCAAATCACTAGATCGATCTCATGCTTACTCTTCTTCAAGAAAGCGAGTGCTTCATCTCCGTTTCCATAGCTCGTTACTGAAACATCAAATTTTAAACATTATCATAAACCCTAATCTAAAACCTTAGACCTAATTCGTCACGGAAACATTGAAAGTTACAGAAATTAACTCTGATTAGATACCTTGGTAGGAGAATTTGGTCATGATACTTGTCATGAGACGTAGCGATTTGAGATCTGAGTCGACCAAAAGAACCCTAATGCTCGTCGACGGGAACTCTTGGTCGACGGGAGATTGGATTTCATCGTCAAAGGGCTCTTCTTGTCGCAACAAGTCGCGAGAACTCTCGTCGAGTACGTTTGATGAGAGTGACATTAAGAGAGAAAGATTAAGCTTCTTGAAACGCAAGGAATTGGAGATGAAGAGAAGAGAGAGCAATTAAGTTGAAGAAGGGTTAAGAGAGAAATTTATGAGCGTGCGAAAAACAAGGTGTGTGTATATATATCGATCACGTGCGAAAAAAGTGAGAATTGGCAAGTAAATATTCTGTTATTAATTAGTAGCTCATAGACTTCCATAGTTTGTTTTATGGTTATCTACATAATTATCATATAAAAATAAATAAATAAATGTTTAGGGCATGTATTCCAACTGTTTACCTAACGGAAATTAAAAAGTTGTTATCGATCTCGAACTTTATTTTTCTGTGTTTTATTTAATCGTTTAAACTTTTACTTAGTGGCGGCCATATCATTAAGTGTTAAACTCTAGACGGGACTATGGTAATTAATGGTAGACATGCATGGTGATATCCTAGGAATATATGTCATCTGCTCCATTTTATCCGGATCAACAATTTGTCAAGCATTGCTCTGCAGTTAACAATATATCCGGACGCTACCGAGACCAAAATGAGCTAAAATCTGAATATTAATCGGCTTTGTAAAACTTTAAAAAAAAAAAAACATTAAAAACATATTACGACTTTAATATTTAAGCAAAAATTTGTCAATATTTCATATATGTATATTTTTTTTAAATAGTGGAAAAGGAATGTGCACTTGGAAAGAAAAAGAAAGAATAGGAAAACACAAACTTACAAAAAGAAATTAATATGGTTAAAGGCAAAGCAAATCACATAAAGTTACGGCCTTATTTTTTCTCATTTTTGGTAAAACAAAAACTACAGTACATAGGCCTCAATATGGTTTGGCCACGTCGCTAGCAGAGGAGGACACCGAGACTTGAATCCACTGACTGTCAAAGAAACGCACGAGCAGATCATGAAGACGATGTAGAAGAGTGCACGACAAGGATGAGCCGCCGCCATATCCGCCAAGCTTGATGGAGCTGTGATCAAGTAATTTGATCATATCTTTTTAATGAAGAAAAATATATATTGTGATTTTTTTTTTTTTTTTTTTGTGATTTGTTAACTCATCTTTGGTCATCTGTTACGTGTTCATTTTTTGTTTCTTCAAATGATCAAAAGAAATAGTTTTATTAACTATGTTTTCAAAACGGAGATTTTCTGCTGGTCTTGGGACTCATAAAGCGGATAAATCAATCATATCTCCAAATAGATCCATTGTGCCCATATAATTTGTTACCGCCAAGTTCTTTCAAGTTACCAAGTACGACAACCGAACTCGCATTCTACAAAACCATTGTTACTTGTGAGAGTTTGGTAATCAAACATTCAAATAAGCCACATAAGTGAAGAGGTACTAAGGATTTTCAGTAACCAAATTTTATCAATCTCAATACAAGGCCATTTGCAACAGTATTTAATTGGTCGGAAATTAAGGTTGTGACACAAATCATCGATGTAGTCAAACGTTGAAATGCAAGCTTAGCAGCTTCATCACTATTTAAACGTCAAAAACATGAAATTAAAACAAGCAGAAGGCTTTATTAATATCGACAGATTAAACAAACATGCATTAAGAGCTGGAGCATATATCACTGTAACAAGTTCAAAACTCAACAATAAACTACGACAAATTAATCTTTTACTGTTTCATTCAATACGAGAGTAAAACTTTTTGTAAAGTAAAGACGATAAACTACGAATAACATTTGGTAAAACTAATCAATTAAGTTTGTATAGAGTACAAATCAGACTCGCACAGTTGAAATAAAAGTAGAGATCGATAAGGGACATGTAAAATGTAAGCAGAGTTACTAATAAAACACCTTCTGGGATTAAATAATTAAGAAGGCATTATCAGCGAAACTTGCAGCTTTGGTTTAGGCCTCCCATGAATCAGATAAGTATTTCATTAACTTAGCTGGGATTAAGAAGGGCCCTTTGATCTCTATTTTCTCTTCTCGAATTTGAAAACGGAAAAAACATATGAGATTGCAAGAAAGAAGAATCCTACGGCTAAAATCTGATTGATAAACACGAAATCGAAAGAGAAAAACTGAACGCCTAAAGAATAAGAATCACACGATTGATTCAGTCGCCGCTACGGCTTGATCGTGAAATAGAGGCGACGACAAATATATAGATTTTCCTTTCTATCAGTTAGGGTTTTAATGTTTTGGGCTCAAATATATATGGGCTTTTTGGGCTCGCTGCTTGTATTAGTTAATGGGTCTATCGGAGTCCATTTAACGTCTTTTTCAGTTCTCCGATACGTTTGGTCGATGCCGTGTGTGTATGAATTATGATGATGGTTTGTAAATGGCGAACATGTTATTGATCGTGCATCACACTACTATAGTCCCAAACATGATAATCAATTACTCACCACCTTTCAAGATAACATTTTTAAAGTTTTTGAGTACGCTTAACATTTTCTTATAAAACCCCATTTGATGAAATGGTTTTCCTCATCCCACTTCAAACACAATAACGACGACCTTAGCTTAAGGCAAAAGACTTGCCTCTCACTCTGCAATGGCGTTCACACGCGCCTCCTTTGCCATTTGCCTCCTCCTCTCTTTGGCCACCATTGCCACCGCTGATTACTACTCTCCCTCATCTCCTCCGGTTTACACTCCACCTGCCTACAAACCAACCCTCCCACCTCCGGTTTACACCCCACCGGTTCACAAGGCCACACTCCCACCTCCGGTTTACACCCCTCACAAGCCCACACTCCCATCTCCGGTTTACACTCCACCCGCCTATAAACCTACCCACCCACCTCCGGTTTACACTCCACCAGTTCACAAGCCCACACTTCCACCTCCGGTTTACACACCACCCGCCTACAAACCCACCAACCCACCTCCGGTTTACACTCCACCGGTTCACAAACCCACACTCCCACCTCCGGTTTACACTCCACCGGCTTACAAACCAACTCTTCCACCTCCGGTTTACACTCCACCAGTTCACAAGCCCACACTTCCACCTCCAGTTTACACACCACCCGCCTACAAACCCACCCACCCTCCTCCAGTTTACACTCCACCGGTTTACAAGCCCACACTCTCGCCTCCCGTCTACACTACTCCCCCGGTTTACAAGCCCACACTCTCGCCTCCGGTTTACACTACTCCACCGGTTTACAAGCCCACACCCTCGCCTCCGGTTTACAAGCCAACTCCCTCACCTCCCGTCTACACTACTCCACCACCGGTTTACAAGCCAACTCCCTCACCTCCGGTCTACGAAAAGTCTCCGAGCTATTCTCCTCCACCTCCATATGTTCCAAAGCCAACCTACTCTCCACCAGCCAAGCCATACGTCCCAGAGATTCTTAAAGCCGTTGATGGCATCATACTATGCAAAAACGGTTACGAAACGTACCCAATTCAAGGTATAAATAAATGCATACTTAAAGGCTACGTGATATGTATAATATATATTATCACAACCCAATTACTAATTAGAAAATCCGGTTAATTGCATTCATGTAGGAGCAAAGGCAAAGATTGTATGCTACGAGCCAACATCTTACGGGAAGAACAAGGAGGAAGTGATCTACAGCGATCCAACTGATGCTAAGGGTTACTTCCACGTGGTGTTGACCCACATCAAGGACGTAGCTCACTGCCGTGTCAAACTCTACACATCCCCGGTCGAGACTTGCAAGAACCCGACCAATGTCAACAAGGGTGTCACCGGAGTTCCCCTCTCCATGTACGGATACCGTTACCACGCGGACAAGAACTTGAACCTCTTTAGCGTCGGACCTTTCTACTTCACCGGTCCCAAGGCTGCTCCCACCACCCCCAAATACTGATCACGATGATCACATTATATATGAGGTCGCTTTAATCAATTTATTATTTGAGTTTTTCCCCGTGAAAAATGTTCTTTTGTTTGTTTCTTCCAATTTCATTTGATATGTTGCATTACCAATGCAATCTATCTTTTTGGTTAAGCTTTATTTATTAATTTTATATACTAAAAATGTAAGAGGGACATCATTGTTTGTTTGATTTATGCGACTGCTTATATATGAGAAAATTCATATTTATTTATTTTTCCTCGATGATAAAAGTTATTTTGGTAAATATTACTTCCCCTTTTAATTTGGATGGCTGTTGCGTCAAGGACTCAAGGTGTGTCTACTGATCGAACACATAAACAACGATTTGTCCATCGGTATCTTTTAAACCCAAGAAACAATAGTTTACGAGTCTAATGCTTTATCTAGTCACTAGGAGAGAACCCGCGCAATACGCGGGTTTATTAAACCAAATATTTTTAATTTAATTATTCAGAACATTAGATTCGAATATATCATTTGTTTTTTACTCGAATATATTAGATTCTGTAAGTTTTGCATTTTTTTTTTTTCATATAGTTTTAAAATTTAGTTGTTATTTACGTGAAATCTTATATAGACTCATAGTGAATAGTTTCATATGTTTTTTGTTCTTTTATACAATAATTTATCGACTGGAGTTGAGTTCTTCTAATTTTCCTTATACTAACAATCATTATAATTGATTATTATCCTACAGACTCATAGATAATAATAATTGCAACCCTTTTTAAAAGGAAATGAAATGAGCTAATTAGCCAGTAAGCCCATTTAAAGCTATCATGGAAACGAAGAGGTCCGATAAATAATCAAGCCCATCAAAACGAACAGCATTACACATAATTTTGATTTAGATTTTTTTTTTTTTTTTTTAATACGAAAACGACGTCGTTTTGGTGTAAGACGGAAAAAAAAAGATAAAGCGCAAAACGACGTCGTTTTGGTGTTAGGCGGAAAAAAAAAATGAGTGCCACGTGTCAAGGCTTGAGAGTGTCCAAGCCTTATTAGTTGATTTTTTTTTATTATTCTTTTATTACGAAAACGACGTCGTTTTGGTGTAAGAGGGGAAAAAAAAAAAGATAAAGCGCAAAACGACGTCGTTTTGGTGTTAGACGAAAAAAAAAAAAAAAAAAAAAAAGTGAGTACAACTTGACGCTTGAGAATGTGCCTTATTAGTTATGTAGATTAACCACAGATTAACTGATTGCTCTATTTTAATCGTGCCACCAAGTCTCTCTAGCTCGCACTTGTATGTGACATATAATAGAATTAGTATTTTCATATTGCCTTGTAAAATTCAACGCTGCACGTCTAGCAAATCGGTCATGAAATCTATAATATCATCGTGCACCAGGGTCTTGCTGCACTATTATTCTAAGCTTGATCTTGTCAACAATGACTTTTTCTTGAGAACGTACGCTTTGACTGTGTTCGAATCAAATCGACGTTACTCATAAGTGTATTAACCAACGGCTACTTATTGTTGATCGATCTACAAAGCTAAACTTGCTGTGTTGTCAACAATCATCATTTTATTTTATAAAATTAAATTTTGTCACAATCCCCATTATTTAATGTGAACGAGGTTTTTCCTTACTATTTTCAATAGTAGTGTGGGTTATAGAAAAAAGAGAGTCAAATATCTTTTCTGCTGGTCGACATATGAATGTGATATCAATACATATTATATATACGTACAATAAAGTGGTAATTCGTCCCCACAAATCAATTTGAAATTGAAGACATGTGCGGGAGAAATAGCTTTTATAAAAAACGGGTAAAGCTAATTCTTCGTTGTTTATTTTAAACTGAAAAATAAATCAGATTCCACTTTCGATATCTAATTCTTTACCCATGCGGCCATGCATGCACACACCGCACGCTAGTTGGTCGGACGGTCCCACTTAGAGCCTTTGAGTCCACGTCAGTTTGTGTGACGTGTCAGTCTGTAAGAGAAAACTCCATCTGCTACACTACGGTACTACCTAATACCACAATGGTCGTATGTATATAAATATCCAGTCTCAAACAGGTGATTTAATTTTAACTTGCAACTTGTTAATAACCACTGTTAACGAACAAAACTGGTGCTTTCTGAAATTCAAATACATCGCTGAAAAATACATATGGGAAAAACTAACATTATTTTTACATTTACGTGAAGCACTGAGTAAGGACTACTAGTTTCATAAACGGGGACATTCAGTATTCAAAAAATCCTCAGCAATTTCGAAGGATTTGCGAATACATTGTATGTGCATTTTCTCACATGCCGGGCAGGTTTTACGATTGAAACAACAATTTGAGTCAAAACGGTAAATGAAATAATGAGGTAAGGTTTTCAAATAGATAACAACATTGTTCAAAGCTAAAACTCGGTTACTAATGAATAGAGATTAAAAAAAGGAATCACAAAAATCAGATAAACCTCGATCGGTTTCGTTGAACTGTCAATTACTTCCAGTTATTTTAATTACACTTCTCAAACCAACCAATTAAGAGAAAAGAACAAAGACAATTTGTTGTGGGAGAGCTTCGCTAAGCGATTGGTTCTCTATTCAAACGACACCGTATCATATGTACATACAACATTGCTCGAGCAGCTCCGTTACTTTTTATATAAAATCACTTCCGTCCATTTTCCCCAAACGTTCTCTCTTTGGAGGGCACGTGTCTTCATCAGAAACCAGTAACACAAATCTGCCCGCTTCCCCAGATTACCGGGTCAGTTATCCGATGATTCTTCAGAGTCTGAAGAACAGTCGATCTATTGCCCACCCGGTTCCCTAATTATCGGGTCGGATTCCTCAGTCTCCAATTTTGCAATTATTTGAATGTGGAGGGAAGTAATCAAATACTCCATAACCTCCTCAATAGAACCTGATTATTTGACCCGTCATCTCCGGGTAGACCCGAATTAGAGCTGTCAAATTCCCTGGGAATCTCCACAACTATACTGACTAAATCAATCGGTTCTCTCTCACAAGCTTCTGTCGGAAATCTCATCGGCGAACCAGAGGACGAAGACGGCGTCGAGGATTCGGAATCGTCCGATGAAGATGAACTTCCGGCTTCCATATCTTCAATTGGCTTAACCGATGGAAATACAGGAGCAACCGGTTCTGAGATCCTCGAACCGGATTCGGTTACCGACTGCTCGGTTTGAACCGGAGCCCTACAAAGCGGACAGCTAGATCTCGACCGGAACCACGTGTCGATACAGTCAACATGGAACACGTGGCCACATTTGGGAAGGACACGTCCTTCATCATCTTCTTCGAACTCCGATAAGCAAACGGAGCACTCTTCCAGTGGCGACTTATGGGTTTTCTCGGAATAGACGAAGATCGGGATTTTCTCGAGCACCGTCGGATCGAGAGGAGAGAGGGAGGATGATTGGGTGGGATCTCGAGCGGCGGAGAGAGATCTGAGATGAGCACTGATACGGCGGCGAATACGGCGGTTTTGACGCCGGAATAACCATCTGGCGTAGCTGTGAAAACAGAGGATTAGAATTACGGCGACGAAGAGGATGACTACGGAACCGAGCATGATTTTTCCGTTAAGGGCGTAACGGGAAGGTCCATGGGTCATGTTTCCCCATAGTGTCTTGCTACTGCCTTTGATGATGCCCATTGTTTTAGAGAGTGGAAGAAAACGAAGGTTTTAGAGAGAGAATGAAGTGAGTGGGTGAATGAAACGAAGAAGAAGAAGGCGAGAGTGTTAAGTTTCGAATGTGTTTGCTTCTGTGTGTTTGAATCTCTTTATTTATAGACAAACTATGAATTATTGTGTCCTCTTTATTTTATTATTATTTTCCCTCCTTTTAAAATGTTTTTTCTTTGGGATTTCTTCTTGATTTTCAAGCAACGTTATAGAAGTATATTTGCTAATCGGAAGTAAAATGATTTAAAAAGTGATAAAAGCTTTTGCGACTTTATTTGGTTTTCATAGAGTTGAACATATATTTTTTTTTGTCTAATAGCTCTTTGAGCTTTAAACCCACTTGTTACTTGTTAGATGTCGAGTTCTGATAAATATCGTGGAGACATGCTTTGAGCAAGTCTTTGACCGTAATTTCCTTTATGATTTTCAACATCTTGCGTGCCATTTACTTTTGAGATTATGAAAATGTTTTTCCACGGAGAAGCTTAATAATGCTGTCGGCATATACATCACAGAACAATTGAGAAGAAACTTATTGACAAATCTCCTTAGTAACGCAACGTCCTATTTAAGTTCAAACTTCAAAGTGTCATAAATCAATGCACATATATGATATTTCTTGCACATTTCTTTGACACTATTTAGTTTTCAAAAAATACATGTACTAGAAGTGGAGTTAGTAAGATATAGAAGCACACTAATAGGCAAAAAGAAAATGCATGGTCCAAACCAATGGAAACGAAAACTGAAAAAATCATAACTAAATAAACCGAAACGAACCTTAAAATCTAGTTTGGAATAGCTTTTGGACTCCATGAGACATGAGTCATGGGACTCAAGCGTGGTCTCTAAAAGTTTTGCTTAAATGCTAAGAGAAAGACTGTCCCAATCTGGCGGCTCTTTATTTGTTTACTCTTTATTTTTCTCTCTTTTAAAAATGAGAAAATTAGATAAATAAGTATTTTTTAGAAAAAATTCCCGTCAAATATAACTTTATTTAGGGGAGTCTTTTTCAGAAAAATGTCTTTAAGACCATTTTTAGTTTTTTACACATCAGAAACCTACTAATATTTTTGTCGTGAAGAGGATTTCAAATGGCCCTTCCTTGCTAACGACCTTTGATGCCTTCTCCTTTTTTAAGTCTTGTTTCTACTTTAAATAACATTGGAATTCTTCTCTCTTTTTCTCTCAAGTCGTATTTCCACTTTCCTCCATTTTATTACAATTATTATTTGTTGTTATATAATAATAACAAATGCTGTTCCCGAGAATTAAATTAAATATCTAAGACCTTTCTAAGAACTTCCAATGTCATCAACGGCACGGAATGATTAGAAGATTCCTTACGCTCGGTACAGAATATTCCACTCAAAGCCTTGCTTTACGCTTACGGTATTTTACTTGCATGCAAACAAGTACATAACAAAATCGTATACAGGGGCCAGAGATCATCTAGTACGAATTGATTCGATTACACGACTCACGAATTGATTATTTTCGAAAACATCATTCTAATTAGGGCGTATACTCAGACTTGTTCAGTGTTGTGTAATGTTATCTCATATTTGTTGATCAGTGAAAAAAAGAAGGCAAAAATATTATATCATGAATAGGATACGGTCGGATCATTAGTCAAAACATTCCACAAGTTGAGAGAAAGCTCCAAATGCTAAATATAAAAAACCCATGTGCCGTGCGCGTGCGGGCTAACATGAAAATATCATTACTTTACTTTACACGACTGTTGAAAGTTACTCACCTTCTTCTTGTTTTAGGACATTGCAACTTTCTTATTTTCATACACAAACTATATTATTATATATACACTGAATTATCATAAAGTTCCCAAGAATCCAATTCGAATATCAATATGCAAGTCAGATTATCACCTTTTTTTATAAAAAAGAAATATCGTTGAAAGATTTATCCACTTAAATTGTATTAAAGCTGACAGGTTTCTTAGTAGTCAAGAAAAAGAGGGAAAATAAAAAGAAACAATTGAAAAAGAGTTAGGTCGAGAAATGGATGATTCAGAAAAAAGTAACAATGGATTCATAAGTAACAATCAAGAGTCAAGTGTCAAGAGTTAGAATTTCACAATGTTTAAAATACTGTTAGGCGCACATTGGGTGTTCGAACCGGGATTAGCGTGTAGGCTGATTTATCGACGTATAATATCTACAATCTAGTATTAGCATTTCACGATTTTTTAGCTTTAAGAAGCTTTGTAATTTTACAATCAACCAAACCAGTGAGAAAGTCGTAAAAAATTGATGTAACAGCCAGTGAAGTTACACTTCGCGGGAAGTAGTGGCCAGCTCATTCACTCCCTTTTCAAACTACTTTTTTGTTTTTTTCTTTTCAACTTTAACTTTTTTTCGTTTTAATTTTATTTTATTTGCTTCTTGTTATTTTTGTTAAAAATATGGAAATGTTTTATTTCAATTCCGTTTTTCCGATACGGTTTAAGTTCCAAATATGGAGACGTAAAAGCAAAACAGTTATGAAACGGCAATGATCAAGTTTAACGACCTCACAAACATGCCGTGGGGAAAAAGCAAAGAGTAACTTCTTTTTGGTTAAAAGGAAAGAGTAACTTTTATGTGGATCAATCAAATGTATTGATAGAGAAAACCCAAAAGATGAATTATAAAGGATATTTTATCTAATCCAAAACTGGATAATGTGCAGAGTTGCACGTGAAAGAAAAAAACTTAGAAAAAGAGTCAAAAGACAAATGAATCTTGTTAACACATCATGTTATTTCGTCGGAATATTCCTCTTGACGCACGAAGATTCCGATGAATAAACCGAATTATATTATGATCACTCGGTATATCAACTAATTAGTCTTAGTAAGGCCTATGTTTCTCTAAGATTGTTTGATCTTCTTCAAACTCATAATTATAATCGAGGGTTTAACATTAAATGAAAGGAATGTGTATTACACAAACATTTGCTCAGAACTCTTTCGATGATTCGAATGGCTTCACGAACAGCGTTGCCAAAGGAAACTTGTGATTATTGAAATTTCATAAATAAACGAAGAAAGAGAGAGAGAGAGAGAGAGAGAGAGAGAGAGAGAGAGAGAGAGAGGTGTGGGGTTTCAAATTCCGGCGGATCGGAGAGCATACTCTTGAACCAATGCAGCAAACAACGACCGTCTCTGCAGCAAATGAACCGGACTATCATACTCTTTCGCTTTCCCTGCAGTTTTAATCGCAATCGTTAGAGCACCAAAATGCATGAAACAGCTTAAGAGAGTTAGGTTTATGCTTTCTTCTTCTTACCTGCGTCTATGACAAGAACTCGATCACAGTCCATAACAGTTGGAATCCTATGAGCGATGCTGATAATGGTACAATCCGCGAAATCCTCCCTTATGATCTTTTGGATCATAGCATCAGTCTGAGAATCAACGGACGCTGTTGCCTCATCCAGAAACAGAATACGGCATCGTTTCAGCATCACCCTTCCCAAACAGAGCAACTGTCTCTGTCCAACACTCCAATTCTCGCCACTATCCGCCACTGTCACAATATTTTTATCCACTGTTGTTAATTATCATCTCACGAAATGTTTTGTATATGATGAATATAAAACGTTTTAACTCACCGAGAGAATCGAGCTTCTCGGGCTTGGAAGCAACGACCTCCTTAAGTTGGCATCTCTCGAGACTCTGTTTTCAAAAACAGAGCAATTTTATGCAAATGTTGGATCAAGAATCGGAAAAATGGTTTAAACTTTTTAAAACCTCTAACCTTCCAGATTTCATCATCAGAGTATTTCTCAGTTGGATCAATGTTACTCCTCACGGTTCCTTCGAAGAGAACAGGCTCTTGAGGAATGATACCGAATCTCGACCTGAGATCATGAAGTCCTAAAGTGCAGATGTCGATCCCGTCTATGATTATCTTCCCACCAGATGGTTCCACAAGTCTGAACAAGACCTGGATCAAAGTAGATTTACCACTTCCTGTTCTTCCAACCACACCAACCTTCTCTCCTCCTTTGATGTCTATCGTAAGTCCCTTGAGCACAAGAGGTGTGTTTGGTCTGTACCGTACCTTGACATCATCAAGACGTATGTTACCTTTGTAAGGCCAAGTTGGTGGTGGACGGTTCTCTTTGATCTCCCATTTCGCTTCCGAGGGAATATCAGTGAACTGTTTGATTCTCTCTACTGAAACCATCTTGTTCTCAATGAAACAACTCAGATATATCGCCCAAAACAGAACCGAGTTCAGTGATAGTCCGTAAGAAAGTGAAAGCCCAACATTCTCTGTATTGAACAAAAACAGCATCGTAAGGACAAACATAAATGTTTTTGCTAAAACTAAACAAGCTTAGTCAACAGCCATAGTACCTGGTTTGATAATGTTGCTTGGTAATAAGACCATGAAGAGAGCTGAGATGCAGAGTACCCAGCTGCCAATCAGCTCTAGACGAAATCCTAGCCACTCGTTTGAACCATTGTTGTGGAAGTCCATCCTGAGATTGGCATTGACTCGCTTCACATTCTCCTGCCTGAAAATAAGCTGTTTCTTGAAAGATCGGATGGTCATCACTCCGGCTATGCTCTCTGAGAAATGGTGGATTACTGGAGCCTTTGTGATCGAGTCAAGCCGAGTTAGTTCCCTAGATGATGCTAGGTAGTAGCCCTGTTGCATCCAAAAACATCAAATGAGATGTCGTATGAACATACTAAAACATCAGATGAACAAACAATATCATATATTTTGGCGACTTACTCGGTACCAAATGTTGAGCCATCCAAGCGGAATAACGAAGAAAACAGTTGGCCAAGCGTATTGGCAGGTTACGATAAAGATGCTGAGAAGAGTAGTGTACATTGCAGCCACTAGTCCTAACATGAAGGGGATGAAGATATCCACATTGGTCTGATCAGTGGATGCCTGCCAAAAACATATCAAAATAAATGAGAGACTGTGACTTTAAATTGAAACCTCTCACTCGTTTTCTAGATATTGATATGGAGAGAAAGTTGTCTAACCCGGCTGAGAATTCTTCCGGATGGCGTGGTGTCGAAGAAAGACATTGGTGCGTGCACGAGACTGTTGAGAATCTGTTTGAAGAAGATCTGAGAAGTCTTGAGGCCCAAGTGAGTGAGGTAAAACGCCCTGAGGCACACAAGAACAATGGAAACAGCAGCGATGATGAGATAGATTCGGATGAAGACCGAAGCGTCGAATGAAACCTCTCTTTTAGCTGATGTTTCATAGGCAAGCCAGTAATCGCTAGCCATTATAGAGCCTTGCCAAGCCACGGAGAAGAAGAGAACGAGTATGATCCCCCACCAGCCGTAAGCTTCGGTCAAGTAGAGTTTGTAAACCTGAAAGCTCACTTGTCCCACAGCTCTCTCTTCATCTTTGATCAGTCTTGATCCATCTTCCGGGATGTTGGCGCCGAGGAACGACTTGATGCTTTCATCGTTTAGCTCGCTTAAACGAGGAGACTCCATTGAAGTAGTTCTTTGCATTCTTGGAGACTCCATTGAAGTGGTTCTGTTCATTTTTGGAGATTTTGGTGTTGTTGGTCGATGACGAGGAGAGTCGATTGAAATAGTTCTCTGTGGATGACGTGGAAGCTCGATGGAGATACTTCTCTGCGTTCTTGGTGACGCCATTGGCGCATTCGATGCAGCGGCTGATGCTGAGCCAGCTTCAACTAGCTCCATTGATGTCTCGTGCGCCGCTACTAACTCCCCAAAATCTAAACCGGAACTCACTAGTTCGTCGTATTTACCTGATTGCACAATCATTCCATCTCGCATTACCTGTAGAATGCAAACCACTCACTCATCAGCAAAATCCTAAAACTTCATGCAAGTTTTTAATCTTTTTGTTCCATCAAACCGTACCAAGATGATATCAACGTTGTGAAGGAAGTCTACTTGATGAGTCACTAGCAAGACAGTCTTCCCTTTCAATGCTCTTCTTACACATTTCTGCACAAACATCAGAAAGAAGATTCAGCTTTTTTTTTTTGCTTTTATGAATCAAAAGAGAAGATTAAGAGCTTACCTTGAAAATGTCTGAGCCGGTATGAGCATCCACAGCGCTAAAGACATCATCGAGTAAGTACACATCAGATTCCTGATAAACTGCTCTTGCAAGTTGTATCCTCTGTTTCTGACCTCCACTAAGGTTAATTCCACGTTCACCGATCTCAGTCTTATCTCCAAACTCCATCATCTGCAAATCTTTGTCTAAACAACAAACATTGAGAACTTCTTTATACTTGCTTGAATCCATAGGAAGACCAAACAAGATATTGTCTTGAACTGTTCCGTTCTGAATCCACGACGTCTGCGCTACATAAGCCGTCGATCCACAAACCCGAACCGTGCCTGAAAGTTTGTGCATTTCGCCAAGAACAGAAGCTAACAAGGAAGATTTACCAGATCCAACGGTGCCTACAATCGCAGCGAGCTCTCCTTTCTTGACCTCAAAGTTTATGTTTTCAATCGCAGGCTCGTCATCTTCATCATCCCAGCTAAAGCTTCCATCTTTGATCTCCACAGCGACATTCCCATCACAGCCCTGACTCCTCTCCACACTTTCTCCCGAAAGCTCTCTGCTCGACATGAAAGCGTCGAGTCTTCCGAGAGAGATCATTGCCTGCGAAAGCGCGATCATAGACTGCGGAAACGTCCTGATAGGTTCTTGAAGTATCTTGAAAATGGTGGTTGTGGTGAACACCGTGCCTGCGTCAAGCTTGACTCCCAAGAAAACAGCGGTTGTGAAAGTGAGCGCGGAGATCAACACCGGCGTGCTCCACAGCACGATGATGTTTCCGGCGATGGAGTAGAGAAACTTGGACAGCCAACCAAACTCCATGTTTCGAAACTTGAGGATCCTCTCGTTGAAATGACCTTCCCAAGCTTGAAACTTGATGACTCTCATGTAGTTAAGCATCTCGTTAGTCGCTTTCATCCGCGAATCACGATTCATCATGAGGCTGAACTGATACCTGTTGTTCCGTTTCGTTCCCATGAGGATGAAGACGAAGATTCCGGTTAAGCCGATAACCGTAGTGACCACGGAAGGACCAAGGACGCCGTAGAGAAGCACAAGAGCCACAGCGACTTGCAAAGGCATGAGCCAGATCGCGTGAAGCTGAAGCATCATGTCAGAGAGCTGCTGCGCATCGACGGCCATGTAATTCACGATCTGACCAACGCCGTGGTTCTGGCGAGCAGAGCCGGTTAGCTTCAGTCCCTTCTTGTAGAGAGCGGTTATGAGAGTGGATCTGATGAGCATGCCTAGCTTCTGGGAATTGAAATTGAACTGGTGAGTGGATAAGACCTCGACGAATTTGGCGATTAGGAGGATGAGGACGAGGTAGTAGCCCTCCGACGGCGAGGATCCTTTACCGGAAGTGAAATCGACGAAGCTTTGGATGAGAACGGGACCGACGTAGATGACGCTGAGTCGGATGATGGCGAGAACCGCGGTGAGCGCGACTTCTTTCCAGAAGCATCGGAGGAGAGTGGTGCGGACTGGGTTTCTCGAGTTCTCTTGCGGTTTGGGCCATTTTGATTCGAAGAGGATCGCGAGCTTCTCGGCTCTGTGCTCCGGTGATAGAGTCGGGACTTGGTCGAGGCTCAACGGAGATTTGTAGCCTTTGCTCAGCAACGGATTCATCCATACCCAGAAAGTTTTCGATAGGAGTGATGCGGATGCGTATAGAGAGACGTTTTCGAGTTTCTCTGAAACGGCGTCGGTTGGTTTCGCCGGAATTGTGACGCTGTTAGAGGTGGTTATTATTCCGGTGGATCCTTTGGCGGCGGCGATGAGGAGAACGGCGGTTAGAGGGAGAGAGATGAAGGAAGCGACGTCGTCTGGTAGAAGACTCGCGGCGGATGAATCGTCGGAGAGAAGATGGAAAATCCCGGAGACGGCGAAGAGAGTGGTGACGATGAAACTGGAAACCCAGTAGATTCGCAGCGATGTGGGATGATTAGAAGATGCGAATCTCTTCTGGTGGAGAACCAAAACGGCGATGACGGCGTAAGTAACGGCGTGGATTAGCCAAAACAGAGCGTCTACGAGCTTCAGATTGGTCCGGGTGGTGAAGGCTAAAACGCAGAGCACGAGGGAGCAAAACGACAGGAGAATAGTGACTGCGAGTGTCGTTTTGAACAAGCCGGTTGTTCTGGTGATTGTTCTTCTTGCGATTAGAGGTTTCCTGACGTCAGCAGCTTCACCGTTGGTTTCTGTGGAGGAGGAAGAAGAAGAACATAGTTTTTGGAGGGCGAAGAAGAAGAGGATAAGGAGGAAGAGGAGGTCGATGGCGGAGGAGAGAAGTCGCTGTGGGCATGGAGATAGCAAGACGAATCTCAGCCATTGGATTGGAGCCGGAAGAGATGAAGATTGGTGTATGACTGTTGAAGAAGAGCAGGAGAGATTAGAGACCCAGGAGGAAGAAGAAGAAAGCCACCGCATTTTTTCGGGAAGATAACCTCCAAGGAAACTCCTCTGAATTTATGATGATTCGGTTTTGGTTTGTTATACTTGCTTACAATAGTATGATCCAAGAAAAAAACAAATTTCGTATTATTTTACAGTATACTAAACATGAATCAATCGTTGGAAAAGAATAATTTACGTAGCCGACTAGTGAAAGAAGACAAAGGTGGTACTAGTCTAGTCAGTAGCTAAAATAACATTTTTAATATCAAAATTCGAAAATTATCGTTAAAGTCTAGATTGTTATGTGCACTGCAGGACACGTGTGAAGAGATTAGTTATAAAATTGAGTGGAAACGAATTATTGTTGGCAAAAAAGAAGAAGAGTGGAAACGAATAATATTGTGGACTTGGGAGAGTGAGAGTACAAAATGGATGTCACTTTCATAAATCTCGTGGATTAATCTAATCGTTGTTTTATAGTTTGATGTCCATGTGAGTCATGTGACGTTAATCTCATCCTCCTTAAAAAATAAAATTATTCTGTTTAAATTATGAAAACTGACACTAATATCTGCAAACATAATCAGTAAAACTGTATTGAAAGAATATGAGTTTGATATAACAGTATACTGTATGATTTGAAAGTTTTTTCCTGTATTTGCGCATATATTTTTCTTTAAAAGCTGAAGCTTTTTTCTGTCTGCTGTTATAATAGAATACTTCATTTAGGGATCCAACGGTCGTCACTTCAACTAAAATGTATGGTTTAAAGAGAATGTTCCCATTTTTTTCTTGATCTTTTGGTTAACAGTTGTGTCTAGGCTTCCTACAAAAGATATTGGTAGTTCCAAATTATGTTTCACTACTCACTTGTGCCTGTCTGTAAAAAAATGGTATGTCATGCGTGACGATGACCTCAAAATATATACATCTGTGATCTGTCTTGGCCATAACTTGGATCTATGCCTATGTACTCATGGAAACGCACATAGATTCTCTTCTGCTGCGTCATCTTTTTCTTTCTATGCTGTTGTATCGAATAACATATCTTTTAGGTGTAGGATTCTGTTTCTTTATAAGGCAATGGTCTTTAGTCTCTATACAACAAAAATAAATATCATGAAAAGAGAAAACATGCTCGCCGATCTATTTGCATTTTGCACTAAGAAATTGAGCTAAATATTAAAAAAAAAAAAAAAAGACTAACCTAGAACGCATTACTATAAGAATAAGTAAACCCTTGTTACAAAAAAAAAAAAACTACAATATAATTTCCTGGAGAAACACTACACGTCTGACGTCTCCATCGTCGACCAAAAGTTATATCATCATCACGTTGAAATGATAAACGTCTAAGTTGGTGGCAAACAAAAAAATGTTTAAGTGATGCATTATTGCTTCCATTTGCTTCACAATATTTCAGAATTTTCACTTTGTATTAGTAATACTACGCAAAGCTTTTTTTTCAACATATGAAAATGGCAGTAATGATTATCATCGTTGTTAATCACATTACATGAAAAGCGGCATTTAGTTTCTTTCTGTATATGAATGAAAACAGAGCTGAGACCGAATACTTTCCTTTTTCTGTCGTTTTGATCGTATAACTGATAAGTTTGACGATAAATGCTTTGTATGTTTTTTTTCCTTTTTCTCATCAATGAAGCTCATAACTAACCTTTCGCTTTACTTGCACAAAATTTAGACGATTTATCAAACGCTTATCTATTGTTTATTAATTTTTATATCATGATCACCTCATATCAGTACCCGACATTTTTTGGTGATAGGTAGGACCGTTTTGCCGCCACGCGGTCTCTTGTCTTCTATCCAATTTCACAAAAAACATTAAAGACTCGTGTTTTTTCCCCCTCAAAATGATAACTGTATTTTGGTTTTACTCTTTTCACAATTTAAGGAGAAAATATAGGGATTGGGCTAAAGCCCTTTATGGAAAAGGCTTGGTCGATTATCAAATCGTTTACAGTTTGTATTGCACGTAACTCAAAGTATAAATTATATATGATCAAATATTCGTAGAAAAAGCGTCACACTTAAACATTTTTCACATAGTTACATATATGATGGTTGGTTTTGGTTCTTGATTTAGGTTTTGATTCCAAATCCGAAGGGGAAGAGAGGGTCGTAGTTCTTGTCGCCAACGTTCATTGGAAGCTGAGCCACATTCTTCATCCACGTGCGAGGTAACGTGCCGGTGAAGGGATGATCACCAAACAAGACATCAGCGACTCCTTGTCCTTCGGTTCCTGGTAGCCAAGCGACTGCAAGAGCGTCGATCATGTCAAGGTAAGGCTCGATCACGAGCGGACGTCCTGTTACAAGGACCACTAGACACTTCATGCCATTACCACACGTGTGGCTGATCGTGTCTGGACCTGGATCGGCTAGGCTCAGTGTGTTGCTGTCTCCTCTAGTCTCTGCATAAGGAGCTTCACCTACGACCACAATTGTGTATGCTGCGTCAGCGTGAAGCTTGGATGTTTCTTGGTTTGGTTCCGCCACGTAGACAACTTCGGTGGTGGGATCTACTGTCTTCATGATGCCTTCCAAGATTGTGGTTCCTATATATGTTTTGAAGCAACATTTTAGAATGAATATCTTCTCTATTTACTATATAGACTATCAAATAATAAAGCATTCTCTGCATCTTTGTTCCTAATCATATTACCTCTGGTTTTACCGGTGGGGAGTCCCATGAATTTGTTACGGCCGATCTCTTCTCCGGTTCCGTTGAATCCCTGCCAGGTGAGAGTAAAGCCACCACATTGATAACCCATGTTGTTAGCGTGTTGGCCCACGACAAGGATCTTCTTCACCTTCTTCGGGAGCGGAACCACTTTATCCACGTTTGTCTTCCCGTTCTTTAGAAGCACAATTGATTTCCTCACCGCCTCTCTTGCTACTTCTCGATGCGCCTACAAAGTTATGTTAAGATTCCCACATCAGCTAGGTCTAAATTGGTAGTACAAAATTATGATGACATGGTCGAAAAGTCAAGTTGAACTAACGTCAGATCCAAACTCGGCGGCAAGAGTTTCCTCAGCGATTGGCTTCTCAAAGAGACCGATAGAGAATTTGACTCTCAAGACCCTTCGAACAGCATCGTCTATACGGCTCATAGGGATGTATCCACCGTTCACTAGTTTTGTCAATCCCTCCAAGTACTCTATATACGCAAATGGAACCATAACCTACATTTTAAAACCCACTCATTTCAGAATCTACCATACAAAAACCCGTTTCTTGATTCTTGAAAGTGAAAAAAAGAAAAAATAAAATAAAGAAGAGCCAACCATGTCAATGCCGGCATTGATGGCGGTTTCGATAGAGTAAGTGTAGTTTGCTCTAGGTGGATCTGTGATCCTATCGATTCCAAGCCAATCAGAGATGACAAAGCCTTGGAATTTGAGAGTGCCCTTGAGGTAATCAGTGATCATTGCGCGGTTAGCGTGCATCTTAACACCGTTAAGACTAGAATAAGAAGCCATGATTGATGCAATCCCTTTCTTGACCGCAATCTCAAACGGAGGCATATGGATACCATAGATAGCGGCGTTATCACCCACAGTGTTGTTCTCATTGATTCCTCCCACTGTTCCTCCATCCCCAACGAAATGCTTGGCGCAACCAGCCACATTAATCCTGTAGACACACGTTTTCTCACATTAGAATATGTCATTAGAGATTAATTTAGATTAAAAACAGATTAGTTCTTAGAGTTACTTGGAATCAGCGAGGTAAGGAGCATTTCCTTGTAAACCATCCATGATACTTTCGGTCATCATATTCACAACCTTAGGATCTTCACTGTAGCTCTCGTAACACCTTCCCCATCTAGGATCTCTGCAAACCTGTTCCATCCATTTTATCATCCAGCGTTATAATTTTTTTTACATATCTACTTTCGCGTTTATATCCACAAACAAGTTTCAGCTTTAAGCACGTACCGCAACACAAGGAGCAAAATCTTGAGCGATTCCTGTAGCCCTGACTTCTAGCGCAGTTATAGCTCCAATCCTTTTAACAAGTTCGGGATCCCTTCAACAACACGCATTCACATACAATTAGGGTTTCTGAAACGGAAACTACAAAATTCTGTCGGTATAATGTTATGCAGAAATGACGTACCTGGTGGCACCAAGACCGACGTTGTGAGGGAAAATGGTGGCATTGATGAAAGTGCTGTGGCCATGAACAGCATCAACAGCGTATAGCATAGGGATTCCGAGCCTCGTCTCAAGACTCAGTTTCTGCATTGTGTTAGCCACGCCCAACCGCTTCAATGGAGTTGCTCCGGTATCATAAGGATTGCTCAATATACTTCCTATACTCAGATCCATCGTTCACCAATATTATATAAATTCACCAAAATGTTCATGTAACAAAAATATACATATTGTTGTATTTGTGCATACCGATCATGTACTTTCTGAAGAGTTCAGGGCCCGAGGGAGAATATGAGTAGTTGAACCGATCAACTTGAGTCATTTGACCTAGTTTCTCCGGTAATGTCATCCTTGATAGCAAATCTTCAACTCTCTCTTCCACATTCACCTTTGGATCCTTGTACTTTATGTATACCCTTGAGGGCCTTGAAGGCCTTGATCTTGAGGGCCTTGAGGGCCTTGAGGGCCTTGAGGCTGCGGTGGCGCCTCCATAACTCCCGGCGAACAATAGCACAATCGCTGCCGAGAAAAAAAGGCTCCTGACGCCGTACGCTGTCGCCGCCATTGATGGAGAGTTGGAGACCCTCCTTAATCAGATAATATTTTTGTAAACGATTATTTGTGTGGTTTTTCTAAATGTTGAGCTGAAATGAAAATAAAACAAGGAAGGAGAATTTATAGCAAATTTCTTTAAAGTGGCCGTTAATTACTCTCAAACGGTAAAATATATTTAGCCGTCTATCACTTTTGGTGCTCTAAAAACGAAAAACAAACAAAACGAGAAAATGATTAATTCTGGTTAAGACAGTGTGAGCTTGATGTTAAATGAATCTAAACCGTTCGATGTTTACGTTTCATCAATACTATTAAACGACTTGCCAGTTTCTGTTACGAAAACAAAATATCGGTAATTTAGGCCGCATTTTATAATTGGGCCTTTTAAATTAGTGTGGCCCAATTATATTTTTACCACTTCAAGTGTGTTGTTACCACTTACCACGAGTGACTGACTTACTCATCCGCACCAAGTATACGCGTCACAGACGACAGGCAGGCATGTTCTGTCTGACATTTAACACAATTTCAAATATTACTTTACTTTATTTAATCCAAAATTAAATCTTCAATTAATGCTTTTTTTCCTCTTTTTGAAGCTCTTTAATCTCTTCGTTGATCTTTCCTTTTACGAGGTTGAAATTCCAAAACGCGTATGGTTTTTGTCCTGATTACAAATTACAAACCAGAGAAATCTCCTTGAAATTTTCCTTAATTTCCATTGATTTCTTTCTGTCTCTTTAGATTTCGTATCGTGTGTCTGATTCTCGCTCGGGACCAGATCTGTGTGTGGAAACCAGAAGAAGATGATAGAGAAGTGCATAGGAACGCATCGGTTTCGGAGATTACAGAGGTTCTTGCGTCAAGGGAAGGTGACGCTTCTCTGCCTCGTCCTCACCGTCGTCGTCATGCGTGGCATAATCGGAGCCGGTAAATTCGGTACGCCGGAGCAAGACATCGAGGAGATCCGCGAGCATTTCTTCTACACGCGCAAACGCGCCGAGCCTCACCGCGTCCTCGTCGAGGTCTCAACCAAAACGACGTCGTCGTCAGAAGACGGAAATGGGAACAACTACGAGACCTTCGACATCAACAAGATATTCGTCGACGAAGGAGACGAAGAGAAATCCGAAGACCGGACTAATAAACCGTATTCGCTCGGTCCCAAGATCTCCGATTGGGACGAGCAGAGGCGTGATTGGCTCAAGCAAAACCCGAATTTCCCGAATTTCGTGGCGCCAAGCAAGCCCAGGGTGCTGCTCGTCACCGGTTCAGCTCCTAAACCGTGCGAGAATCCGGTTGGAGACCATTACCTATTGAAATCGATAAAGAACAAAATCGATTACTGTCGAATTCACGGAATCGAGATCTTCTACAACATGGCTCTGCTCGATGCTGAGATGGCTGGGTTCTGGGCTAAGCTTCCGTTGATTCGGAAGCTGCTCTTGTCTCATCCTGAGATCGAGTTTCTGTGGTGGATGGACAGTGACGCCATGTTCACGGATATGGTTTTCGAGCTTCCATGGGAGAGGTACAAGGATTACAACCTCGTGATGCATGGCTGGAACGAGATGGTTTACGACCAGAAGAATTGGATTGGTTTGAATACTGGAAGCTTCCTGCTTCGGAACTCTCAGTGGGCGCTGGATCTGCTCGACGCTTGGGCTCCGATGGGCCCGAAAGGGAAGATCCGAGAAGAAGCGGGTAAAATCCTGACCCGGGAGCTGAAAGACCGACCCGCGTTCGAAGCGGACGATCAGTCGGCGATGGTTTATCTGCTGGCGACGGAGAGAGAGAAATGGGGAGGCAAAGTGTATCTGGAGAGTGGTTACTACTTGCACGGTTATTGGGGGATTTTGGTGGACCAGTACGAGGAGATGATCGAGAATCACAAACCGGGTTTCGGGGACCATCGCTGGCCGCTCGTGACGCATTTCGTCGGGTGTAAACCGTGCGGGAAATTCGGAGATTATCCGGTGGAAAGGTGTCTCCGGCAGATGGATAGAGCGTTTAACTTCGGAGACAATCAGATCCTTGAGATGTATGGGTTCACGCATAAGTCGCTTGGGAGCCGGCGCGTGAAACCCACGCGAAACCAGACGGATAGGCCGCTCGATGACAAGGACGAGTTTGGGCTGCTTCATCCGCCGTTCAAAGCGGTCAAGCTCACCACCACCACGACTACGACGACGTGAGCATGAATTTTAATTCAATTTTTTTTGGCGTTAGGGACTCACGTTATGTTTTATTCTTTGTTTTTTTTAATTTGTTTGTAGTTTTCTAAATTAAGTTGTACTATGATCTTTGATCTCCCATTGATGGTGGAGTCGTGTATGGAGTATTTAATGATTTGTTCTCATAAAATTGTTCATTGTAGAGATAAGTTCATATTCAGTTTGCTAAATGATTTTCTTGTAGAATTTGACCGCTTTGAACTTTGACATACATACGTTCATAATAACAGCTGGGTTAGCTAGAACTTTTATTTATCAATATGTGTTCCCGTGACTTTTGAGTTATATACTTGTGTACCCGACACGTTTAAAAATTTACAGTATTAGCCAAAATTTAATAATATTTGTCATGTACCCAAACTGGAAGATAGTCTTATGGTGGGCTGACTTTAGGATATTACTGTACATTCTGCTGTAATGGAAGATAGTTTTGCCTTAAAGAGACGCATTTTCTTTTGAACATTCCTTCTTTTTGTTGTTCCTTGATTAACTTCAGTCGTTTTTGACTTTTTGAGCTCCCATTGATGTGGAGTGTACGGATTGATCAATGGTTAATTCGGTTTATTTCTTGTAGACAAAGATATTACAGTTATTTCGGGGATACTCCATTTTTTGGTGAATTATTGAGTTTTTAGTTTTAAAACTGTGAATTCGTTTACAAGGTGACGGTGGATAGTGTGTTATACCAACGCCGCTTCCTTTGTGGGATGCACGACTATAATTTATTCTTACTAAAATACAAATAAAATCACCAATACCAACTTTACTGAGATACAGAGAATACATCATATTATAATCTTAATCCATATTTTATTTTATAGCCTATCAATTGCCATCTGTGTATGCACCGCAATTACCATGATAAACGTCGTCTTCAAGAAACATCCTCGCGATCCTCCCATTGCCACCACACGGCCAAAACCCATCAGGCTGATGCTCATCGCCGGTGCCGTACATAACCCTGAGGATCTCTTGCGCTGTCCGGTCATAAGAGAGAGAGTATGGATTGGCGGCGAGGATGTTGCTGGTGGTTCTATTCTCCGCTCCTAGCCACGGTGGCACGCACAAGCCTTCGTCCTTTATCCCGCACATACCGAGTTCGTTACGGAGGTTAGATATCTCGTTGGTCAGCTTAGCCACCGTGATCCCGCCGTATTCTTCCACCGTCTCGTTCTGTCTCTCGTAAAGGAGCGTCCTTATAACTCCGTCTTGACCCGATTCCACGCCCAAAAGACCCGCCACAAGCTGATATACTAAACTTCATTAGTTACAAAATATTAATTTGATCAGTATTATTAGTGTGTCATTAGTTACTCAAACTCATTTTTAGTCGAAGTGTGTCCACTATATATATTAGACACATGTACAATTTTGGATATAAAATGTAAGTTTGCATTAGATTAATTTTTCGTAGAGTTTAGTAAAGTTTTTACTAAACTTTTCATGTTCTCGTGATTGAATATAAGCTATCATATTTATCAAAATTTAAAATAATTTCTAAGTTAAATATGATTTGAAAATATGTGACTATAGTTATTTTAAAAAATTCTGAATTATATGAATGATCATAAATGATTACCTGTTTGATATTGAAGTAGACAAGGTAAGGAATGGTCCCGACATAACCGGTGAGGCCAACATAAGGGATATAGTATGAAGCTAAGAGAAAGTTGCGTGAATTCGCATAAGGATCGAACCGAGGGTTCGATCTTCGTCCAACCGCTCGGTCCATGAACATTGCAAAGTTCTCTCTCGTCAGATTCAACAGCGGACGTGGAATCCCTCCCGTCATATCCGCAATCGCCCTTCAATCAACATACATCTTAATGAACTGTTCATTTCAATTAAGATTTGTATGGAGCGATTAATTTAATCATTTACCTAAGATGGCCGATTTCTTGATAACCAAACTCCTCGATGATTCGTCTAGTTATAGGATCAAGATTGGCTTTCTTGGCGCCGATCGGGGCTGGTCCACCTTTAGCAAGCGTCGCGTTAAACGCATCGAGCCCTTTTCCGGTAGCACCTTTCAAGAAGAATTCGGCTTCCGTGTACTCCAAGTTCATCGCGAAATGAACACGATCAATATCGGTCACTGATGATATATTTCCGGAACAACTAAGATAACCGGATTTAGCCGGAGCTGCATCTGTGCTTGATAGTACGATAAGCAAGACGAGAGTGAGATAGAGTTCAAACATATTTTTCCTTTTGTGTTCTTTCATAGTCAATGTGTTCAAAGCATGTATGCACGAACTTAGCTTTATACAGGAATATTGTAATTTCATTTTCTTAGTAACAGTACTTTATATTTTTAATTAATAATAATTAGTTAGAATTTTCTTGAAGAGGACCTACGTGAACACTAAGTTAATAGCTTTTTTTTTGGTATAAATGGAATATTGACAAGTTTTACTTAGCCGCTAGCTATTACGTGGGATAATTAACATGAGTTATCTGGTTCTGTGGGAAATATATATTTTTAACGACACGTCAATTTTATCCGCTTAGTATTTGATGATTTGTTCCATGGGATTGGTTTATGATCAATTGAAATTTCTTCTTACACTATATTCTTTGTTGAAAAAGGCAATTTTCTTTTCTTTTTCATAGTCCACCCGTTTGCCTTGAAAATAACTTAGATTTAGGGGTTTTTGTTTACTCTCAACCGATCCAAGCTGGTGTATGGAAGATATGGCAAAAAAGGGAAGAAGACGTGGTAACTCTACATGGTGAATAAATGAAGATATCGATAACCTAACAAGTTTGAGATATTTCATGTTTGTTAAATTTCCTTTTGTCAAGGAATATTATTAACCAAACCACAGGTCAAAGAACTCAAACGAAGAGTGTATTCATTTGTAACAACCAATCTAAGTCTCTAACTAACTCAAAACAGAGTATGTTGTTTATCTTAGATCTATATACGTAAAAGATGTGGTTTGAGTTAGTAATCACAGATAGCGTCTACTGTAAATATTTTGCTAAAAAAAGAGGTGTATTTCTTTCTTAAAACTATGTAACAATATTTGTTTGACTGCAATACGTAATTAGCGATGCAGTAGTTGCCGGGAAACAAAAAGTTGAAACTTTTTTACAAGCTCTGCTCACCCCATTTGTGGTGCTTGTGGACAAAGAAACCAAAAGCGCATCTGGTGTAGTGGTATCATAGTACCCTCCCACGGTACTGACCAGGGTTCGATTCCCTGGATGCGCACTTTTTTTTTTAAAATGTTTTAATCTTTCTTTACGTAAGAAAATAAATATCTTAGTCAAAGATTTTAGACACTTTATTATGCAAATGTTCATACACAAAACAAGTATTAATCATTATTGTTAACGAAAAAAAACAAAAAAATGAAGAGGAGAAATAGAATTGGACTTGTACGTGTTGAAGAATTCTCTTTGATGGGGTGTGGACGTGTGGTGGACCAAGTGGTGCACATATGTTTACAATAATGATTGTTTTTAAAATCAAGAAAATGTTAACTCCACTCACTCTACCATACTTTCGTTTCAAACAGAATAATCGATACATAAAAATATCTTAGAAATCAAAGATCTTTTCATGTAAGTTCTACAATGAATTTGGAAAAAGCCGAACAGAAACTAGAAGATTCATCCCAAAAGGTTTATTATTTTACGAAATAAAGTCTATTCTACAACTGAACCATCATGCTGTGTTAAAGAGTAATTAGAGTGAATGAATGTGGAGTTGTTTAGCAATCTAAAAATGGAAATACAGATTACAGGATTTGAATGTATGTCGGTCACACGACAAATGTAAAGATAGTCGAATATTTTAATATTTTTTACTGTTCCGTAAAGTTAAGTAAAACGTTGAATGGTGATTTAAAGGCGTATCCTCAGCACTAAACGAACAACCTATTATCCAATCCTCCATTCTCAAGTCAAGCCATTCGTTTCGTTAGTTGTCGCTTTCAACGAGTGGAAGAAGCAACAGAAAAAGAATCGGTCGGGTCAGTCGCTACTTGTTAAGAAGATCCAAGAAAACGACTTCGCGTAACCTTCATTTATTTATTTGTTCTCTTCTTCTCTCTCGAAAGGCAAGAAAATAAAAGTAGAAATAAAAAAAAAAAAAAAAAAAGATGCAAACTTTTTCTCTGTTTTGTATTTCCCTAGTCATCGTTTTGGCAACAGGCTACAGCGATGCTTTCACCAGAAATGATTTTCCTGAAGATTTCCTCTTCGGAGCCGCCACTTCTGCTTATCAGGTTCCACTCTTCTTATTTTCTGCCGTCTTCATTTTTTTTTTCGTTTTGGGATGTTAATTTGGAATTTGTGGGGAATAGTGGGAAGGAGCTGTTGATGAAGATGGAAGGACTCCTAGTGTCTGGGATACTTTCTCCCACTCTAGTAAGCAATTTTTTATACTGGCGATTCATAAATATCATTCGTCTTTATGGCTAGTTAATGTTCATAAGATGTGATGGTTATCATAAATATGAGTTTCATATCTCTTAGGTTACTGTGTATCTTAGAATTCGTTTAAATAGACTCATAGATCTTGACTGCATTTTTTTGCAGATAACAAAGGCAATGGAGATATAGCATGTGATGGGTATCACAAATACAAGGTCTCATCTCTCTCTCTCTCTATTTTTTTATTTGCTCAGATTACTTGTTGAAGAAGTTACTGTATGTCTCTTCTCTTGCTCTGTTTTCTCATTTTTCATATTATTGTGACATATACAGGAAGATGTTAAGCTGATGGCAGAAATGGGCTTAGAATCATTCAGGTTCTCTATCTCATGGACAAGACTCATACCTAGTATGTAACTCACTCTTTTGGTTTCTTGAGTTACAAGTAAGCAGCGATCTTGTTTCTGTAGATCTGTAAACCCTATCTTGTCTCTGTGTGATTTCTCAGACGGAAGAGGACCACTTAACCCAAAAGGTTTAAGATTTTACAAAAACCTCATCAAAGAACTACGTAGCCATGGTGAGAATATTTTTCTCTTTAAACTCAAAATTGCAATTAAAGCGAGCTCTCATAGTTTCTAATAGAGAATTTTTTGGCAAAAACAACAAACAGGAATCGAACCACACGTCACACTTTACCACTATGACCTTCCTCAGACTCTAGAAGATGAGTACGGAGGATGGATCGACCGCAAAGTCATGTAAAAGGATTTAACAACAAAAAAAAAGATTCTGGTGCAACATAGTCAGTCTTATTATTTACTTTGTAAGATGAATTGAAACAAAGAAATTTTTGTTGTTGCAGAAAAGACTTCACTGCTTTTGCAGATGTATGCTTCAGAGAGTTTGGAGACGATGTGAAGTTTTGGACTACAATCAATGAGGCTACAATATTCGCCATTGCTTCTTACAGCGAAGGATTTGCGCCTCCAGGACATTGTTCTAACAACGAGTTCTTCAATTGCTCCACTGGAAACTCTTCTACTGAACCATATATTGCAGGCCATAACATGTTGCTAGCTCATGCCTCTGCTTCCAAATTGTATAGACTAAAGTACAAGGTATCCCCATATCTCTTTTTTTTTTTGCTCTTAAAAACCCTAAACCTAAAATCCGTATGAACATAATTCATGTGATGGTGCAGAGTAAGCAGAGAGGATCCATAGGCCTTAGCATATATGCATTCGGTTTAACTCCTTATACTAACTCCAAGGACGATGAAATCGCAACTGAGAGAGCAAGAGATTTCTTCTTTGGCTGGTGAGAACAAAAAAAGTTGTCTTTGTTTCAGTAACATTTTAGATCAAAAATTTGAAGATATAAACAAACTCAAAGGATGTTGAAGCCTTTGGTGTTTGGGGACTATCCGGAAGTAATGAAGAGAATATTGGGACCGAGGTTACCAGTTTTCACAGAGGAAGAGTCGGAGCAAGTCAAAGGATCATCTGACTTTGTCGGAATAATCCACTACATGACGGTATATGTCAAAAACAGTAAACCCACACTTTCTCTTCTTCCGACCAGAGAAGACTTCTTTGCAGACATGGGCGCAGAGACTATTTGTAAGCTTCTTTCTTTACCATTTTTCATCATCAGTCAATTGAAAAAGGCCTCTCTTTTATCTGACTCCTCTACTTCTTTTGGACAGACATTGGGAATTCTACATTCTTTACGGTACGTAAGATCTGCAAATCTGCACGCAAACAAAAAAAAGAAGCTATTGAAAAGGAACTTCTTGAATCTTGAGATTTCCCTAATTCCATTGTTTTTTTCTTTGTTCTGAAGTGGGATGTTATGCCATGGGGTCTTGAAAGTGTCTTGGAGTATCTAAAGCACAACTATAACAATCCTCCAATCTACATTCTTGAAAATGGTCCATTTCATTCTCTCTTTTTCTTATTACTCTGTTTTGTTTTTCGTCTTCTTGAAATCACACTTTTGTTCTTAGGTAACGCGATGAAACATGGTTCGACGATGGAAGACTCAGAAAGCGTTGATTACATTAAAGGTTACATTGGTGCTGTGCTCAACGCCATCAAGTACGATCCGATCCTTTTTCTTCTTTTATTCTTTCATACTAGCATCGATTGGTTTATATCCGGTTTAGTTGACTCTCTGATTTTTTATCTTCATTGGACTGAGTAGGAATGGATCGGACACAAGAGGTTACTTTGTATGGTCGATGATTGATTTGTACGAGTTGTTGAGTGGATACGAGTACAGCTATGGAATGTACTATGTGAATTTCAGCGATCCTGAGCGCAAGAGGTCTCCAAAGCTCTCTGCTTCTTGGTACACTGGTTTTCTCAATGGTACAATCGATGTTGATCCTCAAGATATTGCTCGGTTCCAGAGCAACTTCTCTGGTTCTTCTTCACTGGAATTGTAATGCACTTATCACTTATATATGAATATGTCTAAGGATTATGGTGGTTGAAAATGGAGTTATATATAAAGTGAAATATGTTTTTGACTTATAATTATGTACTTTTTGGCTTTGTCCGGAATGGTCCACTGACCAGTGACCACCACTTTACAGTGTGCAATAGTGCATAGAAGTTTTCTTCTCCACTCATTCTTCTTTTTCGATCTTGTACATAACAATAAAAGATTCTGCACATGTGATGAAATTTTTAGTAACTTGGCATATTTTTGTTACAAAAAAAGTAAAATGATTTTTCGTAATTAGTAAATGGAAACCAATTGTACGTTCCATTTTACAGAATTTTGATAAGTTGTATTGGTGAGTTAAGTAGATATTTTCTTGAGTCTTCCTCCTCATAGAATCGTCCGTTTGTACAGGTGGAAGAAGAAGGATCAGAAAATTAAAATCTCGCTTTATCAACAAAAAAAGAAGATATCGGTGTTTACTCCTTTTATTTCCAAGAAAACGATTAAACCATTCAATTATTTTTGTGTTGAAAATAAAATAAAAAATGCAAAAGTTATCTCTGTCTTTCATTTCTTTGGTCATCGTTCTGGTAATAAGCTACAGCGATGCTTTCACCAGAACCGATTTTCCTGAGGATTTCGTCTTCGGAAGTGCCACTTCTGCTTATCAGGTTCGACTCTTCTTCTTCTTCTTCTTCTTCTTCTTTTGAGTTCTTCGTTTTATTTTCTTTTTGTTTGACCAAAGTTTGGGATATGGAGAAATAGTGGGAAGGAGCTGCTGACGAATATGGAAGGACTCCTAGCGTCTGGGATACTTTCTCCCACTCTCGTAAACTTCACTCACCTCTTCATACATTTTCGTTTAAAATCCTTTTTGTTCGTCTAAATTTGTTCTGAGAATTCTTAATTGTCATTAGTCTTTTCTTATGTATGTTCATACGTTTTTTACAATAAAAATGTCATTTTCATATGTCACAAGTTACCGAGTGGTTCAATTTAATATACGAATTTTACAGAGAACTCGTTTGATTAAGACTCTTACTTCTTGATTGATTTTTTTTTTTTGCAGATGACATAGGTGATGGAGATATAGCATGTGATGGTTATCACAAATACAAGGTCTCATCTCTCTCTCTCTCTTTTTTTTGCTTTGCTCAGTAGTTTACTTGTTGAAGAAGCTACTCTAAGTCTCTGCCTCTGTTTTCTCATATTTGATGTTATTGTGACTTGTTCAGGAAGATGTTAAGCTGATGGCAGAGATGGGTTTAGAAGCATTCAGATTCTCCATCTCATGGACAAGGCTCATACCTAGTAAGTAACTCACCCTTTTGTTTTGGTTTCTTGAATTACAAGTAATTAAGTAGCGATCTTGTTACTTACCCTCCTTTTGTCTCTGTGTGATTTCTTAGATGGAAGAGGACCCATTAACCCAAAAGGTTTAAGATTTTACAAAAACCTCATCAAAGAACTACGAGGCCATGGTGAGATTGTTTTTTTCTTTTAACCTAATCACAGTTAACCCTAATTTGATAGCTTATGCTAGAAATTTTGGCGAACAGGAATCGAACCACACGTTACACTTCACCACTATGATTTTCCTCAGTCCCTTGAAGATGAGTACGGAGGATGGATCAACCGCAAAATCATGTAATTTTCCTGATCTAACAAAAGGTCTTATTATGCACTACTTTTTGTCTTGCAATGAAATGAAACAATGATTGTTGCTGCAGAGAAGACTTCACTGCTTTTGCAGATGTATGCTTCAGAGAGTTTGGGGAGGATGTGAAGTTTTGGACTACAATCGATGAAGCTAACGTATTCGCCATTGGTGCTTATAGCCAAGGAATTGTGGGGCCTGGACATTGTTCTTCTAACAAATACGTCAAATGCTCCACTGGAAATTCATCTACTGAACCATATATTGCAGGCCATAACCTATTGCTAGCTCATGCCTCTGCTTCCAAACTGTATAGACTAAAGTATAAGGTATCCATTTTCTCTATATATTTATTTACGCTCTTAGTATATATTTCTCATAATTTCATATGATATTGCAGAGCAAGCAGAGAGGATCCGTAGGCCTTAGCATATTTGCACTCGGTTTCTTTCCTTACACTAACTCCAAGGATGATGAAATCGCTACTGAGATGGCTAAAGATTTTTTCTCTGGCTGGTGAGGATTAAAAAAAAGTAAAAAGAACTTTTCTTAGTTTCAGTAACATTTTAGATCAAAATCTAATGATATAATAAAACTCTTAAAAGGATGTTGAAGCCTTTGGTGTTTGGGGACTATCCAGAAGTAATGAAGAGAAACGTGGGACTGAGGTTACCAGTTTTCACAGAGCAAGAGTCAGAGCTAGTCAAAGGATCATCCGACTTTGTAGGTATAATCCACTACACGACATACTCTGTCAAAAACATTAAACCAACACTTTCTCTCCTTCCCAACGACATTAGCTTCTTCACAGACATGGGCTTCGAGCTTATCTGTAAGCTTACTTTCTTTTCCCTTTTTTTTTTATCAATTGAGAGTTTAAAGACTATTAGCTGAGGATTCTTCTTCTTCTTTTGGACAGACACTGGTGCTTCGGTCTCTTCGGTAAGACCTGCAAGAAAGCTATTATTGTTCCATCTTCTTGATTCTATTATAAGTTTTACTAATTCAGTTGGTTTTTCTTTTGAAGTGGAAGTCTGTTCCATGGGGTTTTGAAAGTGTGTTGGAGTATGTGAAACAGAGCTATAACAATCCTCCCATCTACGTTCTTGAAAACGGTCCACTTCATTTCTCTCTTTTTAGTGAAACCGCATTTTCTTCTTCTAATTGCAATTATTTTATATTAAAAAACCACAGGTTTTCCGTTGGAACACGATACGACGCTGCAAGACTCAGAAAGAGTTGAATACATTCAAGACTACATTGGTGCTATGCTCAACGCCATCAAGTACGATCCTCCTTCTTCTTCTTCTTCTTCTTCTTCTTCTTCATCTTTTAGTCTCATGTAAAAATGTGATTGGTTTTACTCAACTCTCTGGTTCTGACTGATTAGGAATGGATCGGACACAAGAGGTTACTTTGTATGGTCGATGATTGATTTGTTCGAGTTATTAGCTGGATACGAGACCAGCTTTGGACTGTACTATGTGAATTTCAGCGACCCTGGTCTCAAGAGATCTCCAAAGCTCTCTGCTTCTTGGTACACTGGTTTTCTCAATGGTACCATTGATGTTGTTCCTCAAGATGTTACTCGGTTCCAGAGCAACTTCTCTGGCTCCTCTTCATTGTAATGTAATTATATGCATAACTACTGATTCCGGTTCAGTTCGGTCCTGATTTGATTTGAGTTCGTCTACTCAGTGACAAAACACAGTGCTTTGGTAAATGGTTTCATTATCTTTATATGTGAGATCTCATTAGATTTCTGACATAGTGCATACATGTTTTCTTCTCCACTCATTCTTCTTTTTCGATCTAGTAGAGAAAAATATCTAAAAAAAAATAAAACATTTTTCACATGTAGCATAATGTTGACTTGAACGGAAGCTTGCATTAAATATCTCCAAGAGGATAAGATACAACTGGCCACAGTGAGCCAACTCAATCATTCAATTTTCTCTTTATTTCCAACTAAATTATTCAATTGTTTTGTGTTTCCTTCTTCTTAAGAAAAAAAAAATGCAAAAGTGCTCTCTGTTTTTCATTTCTCTGATCATCATTTTGGGGATAAGCTACATTGATGCTTTCACCAGAAACGATTTTCCTGATGATTTTTACTTCGGAGCTGCCACTTCTGCTTATCAGGTTCCACTCTACTTCTGTGTTCTTGGTAATTTTTTTCTATGAATGAGTCTTCAAAATCGAGTTTTTGTGGGAAATAGTGGGAAGGAGCTGCAGATGAAGATGGAAGGACTCCTAGCGTTTGGGATGCTTTCACCCACTTTGGTTAACTTCATTCAGATTTATATTTTATTTAAAATATTTTACATCTTTAAATTATATAAAAGAAAACTTGTTCAGAGAATTGTATATTTTGTAGTTAAATGTTCATAGTTTTTTTTTTGTGATTGACACTTTGAAATGTGAATTTTCTGTTTATTTATCTGAGAATTCGCTTGATTGGATTCATAAATCTTGCAGGTGACAAAAGTAATGGAGATATAGCATGTGATGGTTATCACAAATATAAGGTTTCTTTTTTTTTGCCTTGCTCTGTTTAATACTTGTAACTTGTTGAAGGAGTTATCCTAATTAGTCTCTTGCTCTGTTTTTCCAAATTCCATGTTATTTGTGAACTTTTCAGGAAGATGTTAAACTGATGGCAGAAATGGGTTTAGAAGCATTCAGATTCTCCATCTCATGGACAAGGCTAATACCTAGTAAGTAACTGCCTCTTCTGGTTTCTTGACTTACAGGTAACGATCTTGTTTCTGTACATCTTTAAACCCTGATTTGGTCTATGTGATTTCTTAGATGGAAGAGGACCAGCCAACCCAAAAGGTATAAATTTTTACAAGAACCTCATCAAAGAACTACGAAGCCACGGTGAGATTTTTTTGTTTCTTTAAACCTAATCGCAGTTAAAGCCAAATGATAGCTTCTGACAGAATTGTTGGCACACAGGAATCGAACCACACGTTACACTTTACCACTATGATCTTCCTCTGACTCTAGAGGTTGAGTACGGAGGATGGATCGACCGCAAAATCATGTAAAGGGATTATAAAAAAAAAAAAAGATTCTGGTCCAACATAGTCTTGTCTTATCTTTACTTTTTAAGATGAACTGAAACAAAGAAAATTTGTTGTTGCAGAGAAGACTTCACTGCTTTTGCAGATGTATGCTTCAGAGAGTTTGGAGACGATGTGAAGTTTTGGACTACAATCAATGAAGCTAATATATTCGCCATTGGTGCTTATACCGAAAGAGTTGTGCCACCTGGACATTGTTCTCCTATCAATTGCTCCACTGGAAACTCTCCTACTGAACCATATATTGCAGGCCATAACATGTTGCTAGCTCATGCCTCTGCTTCCAAATTGTATAGACTAAAGTACAAGGTATACACATAATATCTCTCTCTTTTTTCGCTCTTAAAAGCCCTAAACCTAAAATCCGTATGAACATAACTCATGTTATGGTGCAGAGTAAGCAAAGAGGATCCATAGGCCTTAGCATATATGCATTCGGGCTAAGTCCTTATACTAACTCCAAGGACGATGAAATCGCAACTGAGAGAGCTAAAGATTTCCTCTACGGCTGGTGAGCAAAAGCAAAAGAAGTAGAAGTTGTCTTTGTTTTCAGTAACATTTTAGATCAAAAATCTGATTATATAATCAAACTCAAAGGATGTTGGAGCCTTTGGTGTTTGGTGACTATCCGGAAGTAATGAAGGGAATATTGGGATTGTGGTTACCAGTTTTCACAGAGCAAGAGTCAGAGCAAGTGAAAGGATCATCTGACTTTGTAGGAATAATTCACTACACGACAGTCTATATCAGAAACAGTAGTCCAGCAACTTCTCTCCTTCCCGGCGACAGTAGCTTCTTCACAGACATGGGCGCAGAGATTATCGGTAAGCTTACTTTCTTTTCCAGCAAAGTCCATCTTCGACTCTTTTAGCTGATGATAGTTTTTCTTCTTCTTTTGGACAGACATTGGGAATTCTTCCATCTCTAAGGTAAGACCTGCAAAATGCTATTATTAATCAAAAAAATAACAAAAAGCTAAGGTAATACTACGTTTTATAATTGAATTGCTTTTTCTTTTTCTTTTTCTTTTTCTCTTTTTGAAGGAGATTTCTATTCCATGGGGTTTTGAGAGTGTGTTGGAGTATATGAAACAGAGCTATAACAATCCACCTATCTACGTTCTTGAAAACGGTCCACTTCATTTCTCTGTTTTTTGTTAATTCTTGAAAGCGCACTTGCTTGTTCTTTAGCTTCTTCCAATTGCTAAATAGTATTTTAAAAAGCAGGTTTAGGTACATTACACAATTCGACGCTGCAAGACTCAGAAAGAGTTGAGTATATTCAAGCTTACATTGGTGCAATGCTCAACGCCATCAAGTATGATCTCATGTAATTGTGATTTGGTTTAAGGCTTGTTTGCTCTACTCGCTCATTCTGACAACAAAAACATTTTTGACTGATTAGGAATGGATCGGACACGAGAGGTTACTTTTTATGGTCGATGATTGATTTGTTCGAGTTATTAGATGGATACGAGACCAGCTACGGATTGTACTATGTGAATTTCAGCGATCCTGGTCTCGAGAGATCTCCAAAGCTCTCTGCTTATTGGTACACTGGTTTTCTCAATGGTACAATTGATGTTGTTACTCAAGAAATAACTCAGTTGCAGAGAAACTTCTCTGCTTCTTTTTCCTTGTAATAATGTAATGTAGTTATATATAACTACGGATTTAGTATATGGTTTCATTATCTTTACATGTGAGATATCATTAGATTAGATGTCTCATTATATTTCTGACATTGGGCACTTGTCACTTTTTTTTTTTTTAACATCTAAGTATTATGGTGGTTGGAAATGGAGTACATATTCGCTTACCAGAACTAAAATCTGTATTGACTTTTCTTGGAAGTTATTAAAACTTACCACCCACCCACCCACCCATCCACTGACCAGTGGACCACCACTTTATACTGTGCATAGATGTTTTCTTCTCCACTCATTCTAGCTACTTTTTCGATCTAGTACATACAAATATCTAAAATATATAAACAGATTTTTCACATGTGTGATTATAGATCAAAAGAACAAACGCATCTAGGCCTGGGCCTAAAAACCGGAACCGAAAAACCCGAACCGAACCGAACCGATATTGATGAAACCGAACCGAACCGAAATCGGCATAAAACCCGAACGGTTTTTACATTTCTAAACCCGAAAAACCGAGACCGAACCCGAACCGAAACCGAAAACCGAATGGATACCCGAAATACAATTATATATAAATAATTAGTTATATTTCTTTTTATAATAACCAAATTATCTAAATTATAATTTTATACTGTATATATTAGTTATATTTAGAAGAAAATAACAAAAAAATTGAAATATCCTAAATCTTGTAATAATATTTATTTAAATTCAATTTTTTTTGCAAAATTTAATTTATTTTCATATAAACTATTGGATGTTCCGGAACCCGAAACCGATCTGAACCCGAATGAAACCGAACCGAACCCGAACATATAATGAAATAAACCGAACAGTTTCTATATCTCTAGAACCGAATAAACCGAAAACTGAAAAAACCCGAACCGAACCGAACCGAAAAACCGAACGCCCAGGGCTAAACGCATCATCGCACAGGGCACAATTCTTTAGGAAAAAAAAAAGAAAAAAAAAATAATGACATGGCACAGAGCTTTTGTGCAAAATCGTCAATTCCCAGAGAGATTTTGGAGATGATTCTGAGGGTGAGCTGGTCCATGTGTCGCCACCTAATTCGCCAGTCGTTTTTCTTTCTTTTTTTTCTTCTAAAAATCACAAAAAAAAATCAAAATTCTTTTCTTTTATTTTTAAAGAGATCCAAGTTAGACTATGCGATGCTTTTGTTCTAATGATTTTAAGTTTTTAACTAAGTTGGCATGAGTTCGGCTTGAACGGAAAAGGTAAAAATAATCTCAATCAACTAATTTTATTGTTTTCCTTTTCGGATTCTAAATAGGATACCAAATTACCAATTACGTATAGTTGTACGGAAATTTTGTAATTGTGGGTATTGGTGGTGAGTCACATCATAATGATTACACTTGATTTAATATAGAGTTCCCTTAATTTGGTGAGAAGCAAGTCTTTGCGACTTTAGCTAGTTACAGACTTACAGTATATGGCAAGATGAAGCTTTGTTGTTAGAAACCAACAAAAGGACCGTAGACGATTGAGGCAATATTGATGAGAGAGTGACAATTGACAATATAATGTATAAACATCCATATAAAAACAAAAACAAAAAAAAAACATTCATATAAAAAAAAAATACTTTGACAACTAAATATATTGTTATATAATTATATAGACGATCATATCAAAATACATGCATTTATATACAACTAAAAAATTAAAATATACGTATGTAAACAACCAAATTACCATAGAGAAGTAACCTACATTAGAACATGTTATGAACTTATGTCTAGCAAAATTAAGCACTTTTGAATCTGATTAAAAAAGTTGTCGGCAGAGAATAAACGCTTAGAGGGGGGCTTGCATCATCAGTGAATATATTTCGTGAGTCTTGGTGAGATAGAAGAAGAAGAAGGATCAGAAAATAAAATATCGCTTTTTCAACAACAAACAAAAACATCTCGGTCCTTTGCTCTTTATATATTTTTAAGGAAAACGACTGAACCATTCAACTTTTTGTGTTTCCTTCTTAAGAAAAAAAAAATGCAAAAGTTCTCTCTGTTTTTCATTTCTCTGATCATCATTTTGGGAATAAGCTACATTGATGCTTTCACCAGACATGATTTTCCTGAGGATTTCCTCTTCGGAGCTGCCACTTCTGCTTATCAGGTTCGACTCTTCTTCTTCTTCTTCTGCTGTGTTCTTCGTTTTATTTTCTTTTTTGTTTTTTGGTTTGACCAAGTTTGGGATTTGGAGGAAATAGTGGGAAGGAGCTGTTGACGAAGATGGAAGGACTCCTAGCGTCTGGGATACTTTCACCCACTCTGGTTAACTTCACTCATCTCTTTATATATTTCATTTAAAATATTTTATATATATATATATATATATATATATATAAGATTTGTTCAGAGAATTGTACACTTTTGGTAGTTATATGTTCATAGTTTTTTCCCAAAAAAAAAATTCATAGTCATATATCACAAGTTACTGTATGGTTCAGTTTAATTGGCACATTGCAATACGAATTTTCTGTTTATTTACCTGAGAATTCGTTTGATTGAATTCATACATCTTGCTCCAAGTTTCATCTGTCCAAGTTTCTTGCAGATGACAAAGGCAATGGAGATATAGCATGTGATGGTTATCACAAATACAAGGTCTCATCTCTCTCTCTCTGCTTTGCTCAGTAGTTTACTTGTTGAAGGAGTTATCCTAATTAGTCTCTGGCTCTGTTTTCTCAAATTTGATGTTATTTGTGACTTGTACAGGAAGATGTTAAGCTGATTGCAGAGATGGGTTTAGAAGCATTCAGATTCTCTATCTCATGGACAAGGCTCATACCTAGTAAGTAACTGACCCTTTTGTTTTGGTTTCTTGACTTACAAGTAAGTAGCCATCTCATTTTTGTACATCTTTAAACCCTCCTTTTGTCTCTGTGTGATTTCTTAGATGGAAGAGGACCCATTAACCCCAAAGGTTTAAGATTTTATAAAAACCTCATCAAAGAACTACGGAGCCATGGTGAGATTATTTTTTGCTTTAAACCTAATCACAGTTAAACCTAATTTGATAGCTTATGCTAGAAATTTTGGCGAACAGGAATCGAACCACACGTTACACTTCACCACTATGATTTTCCTCAGTCGCTTGAAGATGAGTACGGAGGATGGATCAACCGCAAAATCATGTAATTTTCCTGATCTAACAAAAGGTCTTTTTTAATGATGAATTGAAACAAAGATTGTTGTTGCAGAGAAGACTTCACTGCATTTGCAGATGTATGCTTCAGAGAGTTTGGGGATGATGTGAAGTTTTGGACTACAATCGATGAAGCTAACGTATTCGCCATTGGTGGTTATAGCCAAGGAATTGTGGGGCCTGGACATTGTACTTCTACCAAATCCGTCAAATGCTCCACTGGAAATTCATCTACTGAACCATATATTGTAGGCCATAACTTATTGCTAGCTCATGCCTCTGCTTCCAAACTGTACAGACTAAAGTACAAGGTATCCATTTTCTCTATATACTTATTTACGCTCTAGTGTATATTTCTCATAATTTCATATGATGGTGCAGACTAAGCAGAGAGGATCCGTAGGCCTTAGCATATTTTCACACGGTTTAACTCCTTATACGAACTCCAAGGACGATGAAATCGCAACTGAGAGAGCTAAAGATTTCTTCTGTGGCTGGTGAGAATTACAAAGAAGTTTTCTTTGCTTGAGTAACATTTTAGATCAAAATCTGATGAATTTGAATTGATGATATAACCAAACTCGAAGGATGTTGAAGCCTTTGGTGTCTGGGGACTATCCGGAAGTAATGAAGAGAAACGTGGGATTGAGGTTACCAGTTTTCACAGAGCAAGAGTCAGAGCAAGTCAAAGGATCATCCGACTTTGTAGGTATAATCCACTACACGACAGTATATGTCACAAACAGTAAACCAACACCTTCTCTCCTTCCCAACGACAGTAACTTCTTCACAGACACGGGCTTCGAGATTATATGTAAGCTTACTTTCTTTCCCATTTTTTATCAATTGAAAATTTAAAGACTATTAGCTGAGGATTCTTCTTCTTCTTTTGGACAGTCACTGGGAATGCTTCGGTCTCTTCGGTAAGACCTGCAAGAAAGCTATTATTGTTCCATCTTCTTGATTCTATGATAAGTTTTACTAATGCAGTTGCTTTTTTTGTTTGTTTGAAGTGGAAGTCTGTTCCATGGGGTTTTGAAAGTGTGTTGGAGTATGTGAAACAGAGCTATAACAATCCTCCCATCTACGTTCTTGAAAACGGTCCACTTCATTTCTCTCTTTTTTTTTTTTTTGAGTTCTTACTCTGCTGAAGCCGCATTTTCTACTTCTAATTGCAAATATTTTATATTAAAAAACCACAGGTCTTCCGTTGGAACACGATACGACGCTGCAAGACTCAGAAAGAGTTGAATACATTCAAGACTACATTGGTGCTATGCTCAACGCCATCAAGTATGATCCTCCTCCTTCTTCCTCCTTCTTCATCTTTTAGTCTCATGTAAAAATGTGATTGGTTTTACTCTACTCTCTGATTCTGACTGGTTAGGAATGGATCGGACACAAGAGGTTACTTTGTATGGTCTGTGATTGATTTGTTCGAGTTGTTAGCTGGATACGAGACCAGCTTTGGACTGTACTTTGTGAATTTCAGCGACCCTGGTCTCAAGAGATCTCCAAAGCTCTCTGCCTCTTGGTACACTGGTTTTCTCAATGGTACCATTGATGTTGTTCCTCAAGATATTCTTCAGCTGGAGAGCAACTTCTCTGCTTCTTCCTCTTTATAATAATGTAGTTATATATATAACTACGGATTCTGGTCCTGATTTGCTTTGAGTTTGAGTTCGTCTATTTAATGACATTACTCAGTGAGTGATTTGATTATATGTGGCTTGTAAGACCAAAATGGGTCGCGTAGATTCTGGAAGACAGTAAAAATATAAATATTTATTGTTAAGATAATATTTAAAGGATCAAAAGCGCATCTGGTGTAGTGGTATCATAGTACCCTCCCACGGTATTGACCAGGGTTCGATTCCCTGGATGCGCACTTTTTTTTTTTTTTTTTTTTTTACAACAGAATAATAACTTAGAAATGTTTCCTTACTTGTAGAATGAAGCGCTATGCTCAACGCCATTACGTTTAAATGACTTCTCAAATCTAGAGATGACACAAACTGACGAGACTTGAAATAAGTTTTGGTTAGAGATCAAAGGTTTTACAAATTATGCGATACGAACCGTTCGTTACTTGATTATTGTTATACACACATGAACTATACATAAACACCATGGTTGCACCAAATCTCACCACTCAAGTAGCAGAGACAAAGAGATATATAGAGAGAGAGAGAGAAAGAAAGAAGAATACAAGCTTCTAGAAAACAGAAGGCGGTTTTAGACAGTTGTGATACTCAAGCTGAGACATTTCTCCACCGTTCACCGGATCAAACTGGCATCTGTAGAAGCTGTTCAAATACAACAAACACCATATTCCAATCAGATATGCGCAATACACACAAGACCAAATCATTAGTTCTTTATAAACTCAACTGTGAATTCAAGTTTCTCAATGGAATTGCAAGCTTTATAATTTTGCTTACCTCCCATCCATGCCAAGGATAACAACAGTGTTCTTCTGATGACCAAAGGCGACTATGTACTGTGTTCCTTCAACCAACCTGAACTGAGCTACCGACCATTCCGAGCTGAAATACTTTGGCAACACTCCTAATAGAGCAAAAGAGTCATGTATGAATACTGGATCAAGTGGTGAAAGCAACTGAGTTTGCGTTTAGGCCAATCTTTACCTTTGAATAATGACAGAGACGAGGATGGGGAGGATGGGCCAGAGCGACTAGCATCAGATGCAATTCGAGGTGTGTCTTTCACCTGAGAGCCTGAGTTGACTTTTAGACCGAAGACATGGACTGTTCCTTTGTCACTTGACACCGCCAACCACTGAGCAGTTGAAGAGAATGCCAAACTATAGATCTCTGCTCTATCTGCACCCCTCCTTACCTGTACGGTCACATCATGTTAGCATTAGTATTGTACCATGGACTCCTAACTCACACGGCACTAAAATCAGAAATAAGAATCACAAATTTCATAGGCTTGTACATGATGAGTGATTTCACCATCCTGTTACAGACGATAAGATAGATGATACTGAAAGTTATTTTTTTTCTGTAGAGGAACCGATGCAAAAGAGCTTAATTCAGTGACTCCACAAAGAAAAGAAACAAGATAAGCTGACATATCACAAGATGAGCCAAATGTTTTCCAAAAGATGGATCCTTTTCCAACAACAGGTCTCACCCTCAGCAATATATCACAAGTACCCTCTCAAATGTTGGGTTTTGAGGTGAAAAACGAAAGGAATCCACAGAGAATAACACGCTGGATTGAATCAACTTTAGACAAGTTCAAAAATATCGGCCTCTAACACACATCCAATAATAGCAAGTAATTCAGCTCACAGCCACTGAGGGCTATATAGAATCATAGATGAACTTCTCTGCATCAAAATCCAGTCCTACTCTACTTTGCATACTTCATTCTCAGAATCAGAAACCACCAAATTTGCCAGGATTCTTACATCGACAAATAGACAAGTATCCATAAAGAGAAAGGCTTTCGATTAATTCATAGCGTTATATATTACCTCTTGCCGCAAGGTGCCGTCAACAGTATTGAACACCCGAACCAGAGTACCCTTGGAGCTGGCCGTGGCCAGCAAATGGCCATCCTGCGTGAGAGCGAAGCAAGCAATCCTAGAATCGTGAGCCATGATGAATTTGGTGCGTTTAGAGGCGTAGTGTTCGATCCGAACTTGTCCTTTCTGCAAACCTGGGCACACCAGTACCATCGAGCCAGCTCCCTGAGAAACGGCGCACAAACCCTTAGGGTTCGCGATGGTCTCAATCTGATGCAGCAGCTTCAGGTCCGCGAAATTGTACACAAAGATCTTCTGCTCCAGGACGACTATAATCCGATCCCTCCTAAGCCGAACCGATCGAACATCAGACCTGAAAGAGAGTTCTCCGATACATCGGCTCTGGTGATCGTCCCAAATCATGACCTTGTTTGGCGGATACTGGGGATCAGGTCCACCACCTACAAGGGCTAATATATTGCATCTGAACAGCATCTCCACGACAGCGACCCCACCCCCACGATCGAAATCACGCCGGAAAATCTCGCGAAATGGATCGCAATTAAGGATCCGAAAGCCGCGATCGGTTCCGACGGCGAAGCAAGCATGGTCCTGGTTGAAGGAGAGGTGGAGCAAGGACGGAGGAGGAGTCGCCGGTAAATTTGGAGAATTGGGCGTTTGAATATTAACGTCCCGGTTAGAATCCGGAATCCGATCAGAATTCCGATTAGGCTCGTCGGAGTTGAGGCTCATGGAGGAGAAGGATTCGAGAGACTCAGTGTCGTATCCAGGATCGCGGTGCGAGGGAAAAGTAGTGTCGGAATCAGAGGCAGGCGAAGAATCGGGATTAGGGTTGGTATTTGGCCAGGGAGAAGAAGGGGTTGAGGAGACGGTGGCCATGGAGGAAGGAATCTGAAGGAATCTTAAGAGAGATTGAAGAAGAAGAAGAAGAAGAAGAAGAAGAAGCGTGAAGAGGGAGGAATCAGAAAATGACTTCGTGCTTTGCTTGTTGCCGTCGTATCTTTAAGGCGGCTACTCTCCTTCTTATTAAAAGAAGAAAAGTGGATAAAATCAATATTTGTTTGTTATCACAAAATGGGGATACAATTGAAATATAGTAACTAATAATTTTTACTCTGATTCAGTTTTTTACAGCTCATAAATTTATTTACTTGTGAATAATACGAAGTTTTCAGTTTAAATCCGTTGCTTCACGATTCATACAAGCTTCTGTTTAACTTCAATATATTTTTCATGTTTATTTGAATTATTCCTTTTTGGAAGAAGGATATAATGTAGATAATGTTCTATTTGATTTGTTAGCAGAATATTTACCTGTTACATAAATCTCTCAACTCATGTCTTTTTTTTCCCATCTAGAATTTTATTAAAAACAATAAGTGATACATTTTTAGGGTACATTGTTAAAATACTAAACTGGTGAAAAACGAAATTTTTCCAAAAACAAAATCTATACACGGAAGGTAAAGCTAAGACTACAAAGTAAAACACCCACGAAGAAGAACTTCACAACTGTAGAAATCTTTTTCAAAGAGCCAAAAAAATACCAAATGTCAATCTACGGTAATAGAGACCTCCCTGCAATCACAAACAAACAACCTTCTAACTCGACCAGCCTTCCTAACCCGGACAACAGACTTGATAATCCGGATACAGTGGTGTCAAAAACAAAATATAAAATTAAACTAAATATTTAGAATCAATAGATTATTACATTAAAAAAATGAAAGATTTTAAGTTTAGATTTATGGTTAAACCAAAATTCAAAACTAGATTTCAAAAAATAATAAAAGGGTTTATGGGAAAAAGGGTTTAGGGCGGATTAGGTTTTAGGGCATATTAGGTTTTAGGGCAAATAAGGTTTTAGGGCGAATTAGGTTTTAGGGCAAATTAGGTCCGCCCTAAAACCTAATTTGCCCTAAAACCTAATCCGCCCTAAAACCTTATTTGCCCTAAACCCTTATCTACCCTAAACCCTAGTCTGCTCTAAACCCTAAACAAATTGTAATAAACAGATTAACAGATCAGTTCTCTACATATTACACAGTGATGATGATCATACTAATTTACTATACTTCTTCATGCATTATTTGTGATGCACAACAACCAAATATTATGTCATTCATTCACCACAAGATATTTATCCACAATACAAAGAGAAATGGTCAATTTACATAATCCAGATCACAAGAAAATGAGATGGTTAACTTTATCCAGATCGAAAATCACACACCTGTTTTGTTTGCTACAAAAAAAGTAAGAAACAAACAAATAGTGGAATACTAATAAAACATTTGGTCAGATTATAGAACCAATGATGATGTGTTATATAAAGTACAATATACATTCTAATTAAATAGCCAAGATTGGAACCTGAGGCTGAATCAAGCTGATGAAGCTAGTGACCTTGGAACTCTCATGCCAAATCCATGCTTGACCTTCTCAATCCTGAATTTCAACAGACAATACTCAGAATCAACTAAAGATGAATTTAAAAACTTCATTTACAAAGAATGTTGTGCTTACGTTGGAGCTAATTTGCCAAGACTCTTAAGCTCTTCACCAGAGTCTCCATCAAGAACTCTTCCTGATATATCAACGATGTAAGAACGGTTCTTGTCTCGAGGAAGACCTCTACGTGAAAGCAACTCAAGGTCTCTCTCGTGAAGCTCTGAACTCATGTCTTGAAAAATGGTTTCTTAAGATTTTTTTTTAATATATGTCCAATATTTTCAAGATTTTAAATGAGTAACAATTCACATAATAAAGCAACAATTTATGATTCTGTTAAAAAAAAACACACACACACAGCACGCAGTTCTTAGAAGAAGATAAAACAAGTTGGGGGAAATGATATAATCAAATGTGAAGTCTACAAAATCTCCCCAACGACGACTTAGCTCCGAGAAGTTGACACGTTAAAATCTGTAAGGACTCATCGGTGGATATAGTACCGGTTGTGTCTGCGGCGGAGTCACCGAAGGATAGCCTTCAGGCGGACATGATAAGCCAGGAAACATTGGTGGATACATTGTAGGTTGACTTTCCGGCATGTAACTCATCGGATAGCCATGAGGCGGATACAACCCGGAGAAGCAAGTTGGCGGCAGAATCTCCGGCTGAGCTGGTGGAGGATAAATCGGTGGCTGAGAGTGAGAAGGAACGTGGTTGTAACTAAACGATCCGACGCTTGGAAGCAACATACTCAACACGGGTCTGTTCGAAACAGGCTGGTACGTCGCTGCAGGACGCACTGGCTGCTGAGCTAAGTACCTTTGGCAGACACCACCCGTCGTCACAGCCACCACCGGAGCGGCGAACGAATAAGTGAAACTAATATCGCCTCTTGGTTGTCCGTCAGGCTTCTTGATATTATACGTGACGTATCTTTGACCGGCTTTATCGTTTCCGAGATGATCCAGAAGCTCCTTCACCGGAACGTGGATCTCGCCGATGTCTTTATCTCCTCCTCCACGTTGCTCGCATTTGATCTTGAAAGTGATCACAAGACGGTTCGCCTGAGCTAAGGCTTGGTCGATGGTGAATTTCATGACGTCATTGACCCACGTGGGGCTTGTTCCACTGTCTCTTGCCACTTGTGTCCGCTGCTCACGTTGATCGGAACATTTGGGGTCGCCGGATAACTTGACGGCCACGAAAACACCCATCTTCGAGACGTTCTTGAGCCCCTTTGCTGATGTCACCGTTATATCTAGAGATCTCGTCTCCATTTTGAAACTAGAGAAGATAAAATGCAAATGCTGCTTCTTCTCTAATCTCCACGGACATTACATATAGAAGTTGCAGAGAAGACTAAGAGAAGGTCAATGACAAGTTGACAAGTACTAGAGAGGACCTTTTCATTATTCCATGATCCACTATTCCGTTTATAAATTCAAAGATTTTAATATACCTGTAAGAGTAATTATTACCATGAAAGAAGGAGTCTTGTGTTTGATGAACAGCCAAAGGCAGATTACAACTCAGTCAAAGGTAAATAGACAAAGGGGGGAAAAAGACAGAACATCCATTGCAAAAGCAAACTGAAAACAATCAAATCACAACATAGAGAATCTTCACGAATCCCTTTTCTGTTATTATTCTTCATCTTGGTTGCGAAAGAAGCAAACTTGGAGCAGGAGGAAAATTCTCAGATGCTAATGATGAGTATGAGTGCCATCTCCGGCATCTTCGCCTTTCCTTGAAGCAGCTCTTAGTTTACGTTGTTCCTCTTTGTAAATCCTGTTTCTCCGTTGGAACTACAACACATATACACAAATAACCTATCCCAGATTAGTCCATCATCTACTATAAGCTTATACAGTTATACTAAACACAGAACAAATAATCTATAGTGAGTGAAGACAAAAAGCTTCTTCTTCTGTTCTCTCGGGAGCTTGTATACATTCCCTAGAATTTAGAGAGCCATATCTATGATGATTTCAACAGATAGAAAACATGTGTTTCAGTTTTCCAGATTGATCCATTTGAAAAGGAACACAAGACGAGAGATGAAAGGTAAGCTTCACCTTCCAAGTTCACATAACAAAAGCTGAGGAATTCGGGGAGTCAGATAAAAGCCATGAAAGGGAAGCAGGTTCTATAAAGCCTAATCTAGTAATCTCTACGAGGGACCTTAATATCCACATTCTACTTTGTGAGATTGCATATTCATTGAACCCATAGAAAGTTACTTGTTTCAAGCAAATAAAAGCTTATGTTTTTAGTTTGAATTCAGGTTGGGGGTGGAGATCATTTATCGAAGAGACGAGTTACAGAATTTTGGAACATGATCCAAAAACCATTATCACAACTGACTGATCTAGGGATTCGTACTGATCGATAACAATGGAAATCAATCAAATCAGTGAAATTGATCAAGCAATCGAAGCGTGAATTGAAGGTTGCAATTGAAAACAAGACGCGAGCGAATCGAGAGAAACCTAGAAGAAGAGAGAGGCAGAGTACCTCTTTGGAATGGTGAAGACACTCGAGGTAGTCTTCGCGAAGAAGAGTGCAATCCTTGGGCTCTCTGCAGTGAGACATACATTCGCTGAAATCCATCCAGAAATCATAACATCTCCCTTTGTTCCCCGTTATTCCCCACCCCGACGCCATTTCTCTTCTTCTTCTTCTTCTCTCAATCCGAATTGCAGAGATTCGTCGTCGACTGACTTGTTCCCCCTGATTACAATTTAGATTCCAACGATCCGGTCGATTCCGGTTTATCCAACTAGAACCCGAAACATCCTTAAATAATTGGGCTTCAACTCAATAGGCCCAATCAACCTGTACACTTTCTATCACACATTCAGAATTCACAAAGGTTGGAAAAAAAGTCAAAAACCATTCTTCTTCTTCTTCCATATACCGTATGTATGTTGATGATTAATTGGTATTATTCAGCGCTAAAATTAGTTATTCTTCTTCCACATATGAACATTATGATGATTAAAGGGGATTGAGATTATTCAGCACAAAAGTTGAAGAGATATTAGCTGAGCTAAGTTAGATAACCGATAACTAATCTTATCTAAGAAGTGGAGTATTCTTAGTACACTTGAGCATCAAAGATGTTGGTCTTTAGCTACTCAACATTTCACGATCCATAGAGTAAAGACAGCCAAAACCAGCTTGTGTTCAATCCATCAAAACACTTCAGGGCTTCACGAGACGATAAGCAATGAACCTATCGTCCCTAAATAGCATCTCCGCGTCTTGAGGAAGAGTCATCTCCGGCTTCCATGGACGACAAACCACATGTTGACCACTTGGTATACTCAGGTGCCCTGTTCCCATTATCAGCTTCTTCTCCACCTCTTCTCCACATGGCGTTGTTTCATCACCACCGTTTGTGACACTCTCAGGCATAGGCAAAGATGCACAAGAAACGTTGTTCATCATCTCTATATCTATAGTAGCCGGTGCACTAAGGGTACTATCGTCTGTAGGATTCTGAGGCACAGGCGAAGCAACAACATCGTCTGGTGGATTTACAACATCTGGAAGTTCTGCACAGGAAACGAAGACTATATAACATGAGTTTTCAATGAACAACAACCATTTTGACCCCAATTAGAAGAAAACTGTTGGCTTTAACAAACAAATACAAAGCATAATGTTTCATGTAGTGTAATAGGTTTCAAAGAAGACTAACCATCTTCATAAACTTCAATCCACTTCGATGGGACATCAGGGGTCACGGTCGCTATCTTCTTGGAAGGTTGGGAAGGGATCTCTTGTTGAGTGCTTTTCTCATTTGAACTGGCAGCTTCTTGTCTCTCACAAGGCAAAGAAGGCGATGAGGTCTGGTTCGAGTTCCCTACAATATCTGAATTCATACAACTTGTCTCATTATTTATCAATATTACGCATCAACTGCAGATTAACAAGACTTTTGGTTCATTTTCTAGGAAAAAACAGAGGATGTTAAAAGGTTTATAATCACATACTATTTGTGACACTCATGAATGCGACTTTAGCAGCGCTCATTTCGGCTAACTTTTTGGTTTTGGCCTCTTCTCCTGTGAAAAACTTGCCACCAAACTCAACAGTTGAAACAAAAGTAGGCTTATGTGATGGACCAGATGTGGCACTTGCATACACTGGTAAAAGATAATTTTCCTTCTGAGCAATTTCTTGTAAGAGGTTCTTGTAAGCAACATCAATTCCCTGCATAACCAAACAAAGAAGAGGCAAAGAGTATAGATTAACATCGAAAAGCTAGCACGAAACTGTGTTCCAAAGTAAAGTGGAAACTAGCCTCTGGATTCAGCGGCGTCAATGAAGCCAATGCTACTTTTGCAGCGGCGTGTTCAGCCGCTTTTAACGTCGGAGAGAAATCTTGGCTCTGGAAAGTCTGTCCACAGACTGTGACCTTACATCTAAACCGAGGAGCATGAGCAGCTCCTTCGCGCTCTGCGGCATAGACCGGTAGATCCATGTTTTGTTTCATGGTATATGATTGCAGCTGACTCTTGTATACATGATCCATCTCTCTATCTAACTTGTAGAAGCAAACAAATTCTCAGATATCTGCAGAGAAAATACAATGAAGCTTAAGCATCACAACCAAATTCAAAAATTGACTGACATGAATCAAAATCTCAGACAAAGGGATATACACCTAATCTCCACGAGCAACCTAGCGAATGGTTTGAAAACATCTACTTTTGTACTTTTGAACTCATATACATTTCAGTGAAATTCATCAAACCTTGAAACGTTCAAGTTTCCAGCAAAAGTTTTTTTTTTTTTTTTAAATACTTAATAAGACATAAATGGCAAGCGAAGAGACAAGATTCAGAATTGCTTAAAATGATATAGGATTATAGAGTTATTCCAACTCGTGATGCAGAAACTATCATCAGACTGATAATCTAGGGTTTCGTACAGAGAGATAACAGTGCGAAAGCAATCAAGGTGTGAAAATTGAAGATTAAAATTAATGGATTACAACACACGCCCAGATAGAAAGAAACCAATAGAAGAAAAATGCGTACCTCTTTGAAATGACGAAGAAATGAACAATCCCACCGCCTTGGTCTCTCAGCGATGGTATTCACTGAACTCCATTAATTCCCTAACTTCTTCCTCTCGAAGGATCCAGTTTAAACGGGTTAGATCCGAAGTACCAATTAATGGGCCAAACATGTGGGCTTGAAAAATAAACGTTTTGAAGGGCCCAGTGAATCTCGAAGCCGATCAGAAGCTTCTCGGAAAACATTTCTATTCGAATTTTAGTTAAGGAGACGACGGCGGAGGAGACGGCGCGGACGATCGTAAGGGTTACAAGGAAAGAGGGGAAATGGTGACCGGAGAAGCTTTGATCGCGTACAGAGCTCTGCTCAGAGCTACGAGGAAGTCATTCGCCGGGGATTCCGAGATGCTGAAGGCTTCGGCGTCCGAGATCCGTAAGAAATTCGAAGAGAACCGCCACGTGGCTTCCGGTTCCGACATCCCTCGCCTTCTGGAAGAAGCGCGCGAGGCGACGGAGTTCATTTCCACCATGATCGTCCAGGCGAAGCTCAACGAACGCGGCGGATACGGTACTTCTACTGCATTTCGCACACTATCTGTTTGTTGAAATGCGTGATTGAGAACTTACTTCGTTGGTAATTTTGTTGTGTTGTAGAGGTGAAAGCAAGTCAGGAACACGCGGGAGCGACTTTGGAGCTTCCATCGGAGGAGATGCTTCAGAAAAAATCTGTATGAGTAAAGTCTCAATGACTGACCACATTGAGACTGTTTTGTTTAATCGGAAAAGGTGGAAACTTTTTTTGTCATTCTGCGTTTGTTCTCTTTTTACATCCAAATCAACACTGATTTAAATTCAATAAGAATCTCCTCACTTACATTTTTTGGGTATAATTGGTCCGTTTCAGATCCATTTCATGAATCAATAATGAAAGTGGAAGCCTTGTGTTTGTCTAAGAGACTCATTTCATGGTTACATCTTTGTTTATTGCTAGTTTGGAATTGGATTCTTTCCTACATCACATTAGGGCTCATCTCTGTTGCTAGTTTCGTTGTGTGAATCACAGAATTTGATAGGAAGTTTGAAAAAGAGTTGATGCGAGAACAGTGAAGCTACTATGATCATTACTCTTGTGTTCAACCAGTGAGAGAGTAGAATCATTTGTACGATATGGGGTCACATAAGTATGGTTCATTTTCCAAAGAGAACCACCATACATACAGTCCTTTCTCTCCTTAGCCCCCATTCATGAGTGTCCATGCTCACAAGTCCTTTATGTTCTTCATGGTTTAAGTTGAGAGTTTTAGCTTTCTGCAATTAGTGTCTCAGATCATTGGTTTTTTTCTGGTGTGCAATCCTTAGATTCTTGTGTTGAGGAGCTGAGTCATTGTCTTTTTCTTTCATAGGAATCATGTGAATCGCTATAACCATGTATACTTCATTCTCTCAATTCATGTGAGTTTAATTCAATTTTTTAAACTGTATTCATAAATGCTCACGCATTACCTGATTATGTGTATAAGAAGAACTCACGCACGTCCTTAAGAAAGTAGCCATGTCGTGTGGAAAAAAGAAAGGATTCGAGGAGATATGGTCATGGGCCTCATGGCCATGACAAAACTACAAAATCTAGCTTTTTAATAATTTTTCCTAAATTTTTATTACGATGTGAAGATATACTACTACATACCTACAATCTCATTCCGTACACTGCTACTAGGCTACTAGCTGATCTATTTAAACAACTAATTCAACTAATTACTTATATTATACAACAATCAGTTGTAGGAATAGCAAGTTTTATTCACAAGTGGAAAGCACCATACTTTTTTCCCTGAAAAGTAACCTTCAAATTTTTGGCTTGCTAAATTTTCTTATCGCGTCATTGTAGAAAGAATGCTGAAAATCATGTTTTCGATCTTTGTCTTACTGCAATGGTAGGGTGAAAATACACATCAATGATTACGCAACGAAAATAATATCGAGAAGGGGGGGCATAAATTATCGATCTCTCGTTTTAGTAGGTTGGAGTAGTTGTTGAAAATGGTAAAAAAAATATTTAGTAAGCAGATTACGCCAAGAGTTAACTTAACACGCGAACTTATATCGCCAAAACAACAAATCTAAAACATCGAACATACCCTTAATTAATAATGCTTGTGATCATAACTCCGACACCTACGAATGGACCGCCATGCCTTTTTTACCTTTCAATTTTTTAACCTAACCAAAACCTTAAATTAAATTCATACGTGCCTATATATACATTCTCTCATTCACTCTCTTTCTCATCTACACCCATTTCATATATTATATATATAAAGATTACATTTTCCTCACAACCCATAAAAACCCACCATGACTTCTTTTATCACATTTGCACTTCTCTTCTTTCTCTTTTCACTCAATCCAACATCGTCATCACCGGCCAAACGCAACAGCTACGTTCAAAACGCATGTAGCGTTACACACTACCAAGATCTCTGCGTTCAAACGCTGTCGCCGTTTTCATCGGTCGCCAAGAACAGTCCCAGTAAATGGGCTCGTGCCGGTGTTTCCGTGGCCATATCCGACAACAAGGACCTCCTTAGATACCTTCTCAAAACGAGGCGTTCGGCGTTTGGGAAACGCGACCGCGTCGCCTTGTCGGATTGCCGAGAGTTGCTCCAAGACTCTCTTGATAACCTCCACAAGTCGTTAGCCGTTCTCCGGAGCCTCAGAGCCAGCGAGTTTCAGCGACAGATGAGTGATCTTGGCACTTGGCTTAGCACCGCCCTCACTGATAAGGACACGTGTCTTGATGGGTTTGAAAATACGTCGACAAAGTCTTCAACGGTCAGGAAGCTGCAGGAGAAAGTCACGACGTCTATGTATTTGTCCAGCAATTCCCTCGCCCTCCTCAACAAGCTAGTGGCTAATGGTTTGTAAACTCTTAAAATATAAAGCTTTAACTTCGGTGTATGTGTAAGATCATCTTTGAGACGTTAAAAAATAAATAACAGTATCATCATTTATCGATAAAGGATAATAAACTAACTATAGTTGAATATTATGATTATTGAGACGCGTAGCATAAGCAGGCACAAAGTGTATAGGCGTGTCCCTTTCAGGACGGAATTCTGATTTAACTTGCGATTCATTGGACCCAAACAGTCATTATATGTTACGGGCCTAATGTCATCAATTGGGCCCAATATTATTAGTCCACTTACTCCAGTATTGTCGTTTTTATTTGAAGCTAAGCCACCTAACGTGAGTAAACGAGCATGTCGTAAAGTCAGACGTGAGAAGAAGAGGTCGCCAAGTCGGTAGCAACCATTTGAATACTTAAAAATATTATGTCAATCACTCTTTTGTACTTCTCGGTGCTCAATTCTCATAAAGTAAAATTCACTCAAATTTTGCCTTTAAAAATGCAGCATACTGGCATTAAAAATTCAACAAACTTAGTTTTGTTTTTTACTGATATCATTTAATTTATAAAACCTTTGATATAAGTACAATATATTCATATGCTTCTATGATAAATCGTCTAAAGCGGACCAGTTTACAGAATCTTGTTGTTAGCTTGTCTTATTCCATTGGTTTCAATTAACAGGTCGCTAAATCCAATTGTTATTTTATAGAAAAACAAAGAAAACAAGCAATTATATGTCTAGCCATCACGAATCCAAAAAAGTTTGGCAAGAAAGTGAAGGAGATGTGGGGTGAGATAGTCAACCGCCACATTAGGATCACAAGTCAACATAAACTCAATGTTCCACATTAGAATCCAGAGTTTTTACGTGAAGTAACGCATTGGACGGGTCGTAAAAACTACATATTAACATATTTCCGTAGGTCTATACGAAGCTGTAAAGATGCAACGGATGATTGCATTAGTATTTTTGTTTTTACAATTCATACATATTTAACGTACCATTAGCTCCAAACCATGCGTGTTGCAATTCGCAATAACGTCCTATGTTACTTTGTTCTTATTGTTTTGATTTGTTGTATTTGTTTTTTTTCCCCTGTTAAACGAATTTAGATACTACCGTTTTGTTAATTTGTCCCTATACCACCCATGTCGGGTATATATATGAATCCAAAATTGCACACAAAACGACTAACGATGTTGTTTTTATTCAGTTTACAATTTTCCTATATTTCCACTACCAACTCCAAATGTTCCCTTGATATTTGATATTTTTCTGTATATGGAATGGACCAATCCAATTATATTATGTGTAATTCTCACAAGGAAATTATCACAAAATAAACAAATTTCGTTGACTAGTTAATCAAACGAACTGTGTTCAGCAGAAAAAAATCAAATACATAGTTAATTGAGTAAAAACAACATGGCCAGGTAAAACAACAAGAAGTCACATTTACAACTCGTATAAACTTTTTCTACAATATATCACGTTTCCCAAACCATTACGGTCAACAACGTTATGAATGTGATCGATTATGTCAAAACTGTTACATATAGTTTGTTAGGACATGCTTTTTCTTGCAACTTACTAATTTCTAGATATTATGTTATGTTGATTGTAAAAAATTAAAAGGAAAAGGTAAAGGTAAAAATAAAACGAACGTCGAAATCACTCAAAGCTACCACCAATTTGGCTTTGAGTGCTAAGTTAGGGTTTGGCATTGACTTTGTTTACGTGACATTAGCAGTACCTAACGAACCTTTCACATCATTATTAATTACATAAAGATATTTACAACATGTCTTTAAAAATTGTAACAAATCATACTATTATATGGTGTGTTTTCTTGTTGTTGCAAATAACGGACCAAGTAACAATTTTAATGTCCGATTTTGAAGGAAAGTCCAAGAAAGTAAATAAATTGCCAAAATATATTTAATTAGAATCGTTTAGTAAGCGAAATGGCATAACCGTAATAAGAGTGAATAATCAGCCTTGAACTGTAACGCCTCCGCTACTTAAATACACAAAGACCCGATTCGCATTTCACGCTCGTTTCAAGCTCGACTCAGTTCCCGGCGAGTTCGACTCGGTGATATTTTTTCCCAGAAATTAAATAGAGCCCTGAAAATTTTCCTTATTGATTGAATTCCTCTCTCTCCCTCTCTCAATTCTAGATCTAGAACTAGTCTTTCGTCTGTCTAATTGAGGTAGTAGACAACGAGAAGGAAGCGATATGGCGAGCGAGCTGATCAATCGGAGACACGAGGCGGACCAACCCGTCGCCGATGCTTACTACCCGAAACCTATCAAATCGTGGTTCTTAGTGACCCGTCCGATGCGTTACATGCTCCGAGAGCAGAGGCTTCTCTTTGTTCTCGTCGGCATTGCAATCGCGACGTTGGTTTTCACACTTTTCCCTCGTTCCACCCAATCCGTGGACTACTCGGATCCGTTCTCCGGTTACGGAATCAGGACCGACGAACCGTACCTCCCGGCGGTGCAGGCTCAGAGGAAGCCTAGCCTCGAGTACCTGAACCGGATCGGAGCAACAGGCGGGAAAATCCCACTCGGATTGAAACGCAAAGGGCTAAGAGTCGTGGTGACCGGTGGAGCCGGGTTCGTGGGATCGCATCTGGTGGATCGGCTGATGGAAAGAGGAGACACCGTGATCGTCGTCGACAATTTCTTCACGGGTCGGAAGGAGAACGTGATGCACCATTTCGGCAACCCTAATTTCGAGCTCATCCGTCACGATGTCGTCGAGCCGATCCTCCTTGAGGTTGATCAGATCTATCATTTGGCATGCCCTGCCTCCCCTGTCCACTACAAATTCAATCCCGTCAAGACTATCATATCCTTTCCATTTTCAATTTTCTCGATTTCAATTTTCCATGGAATTGTTGCTGCTTGTTCGTTCCTTGACTCGAATGAAGGGTATACAAGACGAATGTGGTAGGGACGTTGAACATGCTTGGTTTGGCCAAGAGAGTCGGTGCCAGATTTCTCCTGACGAGCACCAGTGAGGTTTACGGTGACCCTCTCCAGCATCCTCAGGTTGAGACTTACTGGGGCAACGTTAATCCCATCGGTAATCCCCATTTCTCTTCCTTGTTTGTCAATTTTTAGAGTTTTAGAATTTAGCGGTGTCATCCAATTGGAATCTGAAAACGAATCGCTAACTCATTCCACCGTAACGTGACACGACGACGTTTCGTGCTGCTCTGTCTTTTGTGCTTTGAATTTTCCTTCTTGTGTGTCGGAAAGTGCGCACGTTAGGAGAGAGATGTTGAAAAACAGATGTTTTATGATGCGCCTCATGCGCTTTCCTTTCAGATCTGGTCCCCATCTCTGTTTGACCGTAAAAAAAAGTTTGGGTCTTTTCTGATCGTGCGGCTCTTATACGTGTCCCTATCTTAGACGCAGACTCCACATTAACTGCTAGCCTGATATTCAATCCAAAATCTCAGAGCTTTAAAAGATTTGCTTTTACAGTCACTTTTTCTATTGGCACAGTAATTTTACCGACAGTGACTATTCACTCATTCAGAAGTGTCGCATCTTAAAGTTTTCTTTGAAATGTTATTGAATTTTCGAAAACTTGGAGAATCATGTTTCTTGTGGTTCGATTGATGACTGATTGTGATTGTAATGGTTGGAACAGGTGTTCGTAGTTGCTACGACGAAGGGAAGCGTACGGCAGAGACGCTTACCATGGACTATCACCGTGGTGCCAATGTTGAGGTTGGTTAAATTCTTTCTTTTTCAGCCTCTCTTTCCAAGCAAAGAAGAGATGGAGAGCGTTTCAATGAATGTGTTTTTGTGTCTGCCTTTGTGATTGGTCATAGGTCAGGATTGCTAGGATCTTCAACACCTACGGTCCAAGAATGTGTATCGATGATGGTCGTGTTGTCAGCAACTTCGTTGCGCAGGTTAGTTGATAAATCCACTGGCACAAACATATAAATGATTAAAGAATGGTTTCTAATGAATACTGAGAGTAATGATGGTTTGAATTAATAATAATTGAACAGGCACTAAGGAAAGAACCATTGACCGTTTATGGTGATGGGAAGCAGACAAGGAGTTTCCAGTTTGTTTCTGATCTGGTAAGGCCTTTGCTTTTTCCTTCTCAAAGAACATTTTACTTGCTACAAATTTCCATTATAATATCTTTTACTCTGTTTTTCTTTGTTTTGATCCGGAGGTATTAGACTCTAAGTTCCTTTTTCTGTTAAGTGGAATATGTAAACTACTTTATTAGGGTGGCATTCTCAAAAGGAAAGGGATTTACTTGTGTGTAGAATGATATTTCTATTAGAGAGATAAAAACAAGGGAAGTTAATTTGTTTCAAGTGAGGTCACATGTTATTGTAGCAACGAGTGGGTATAGTGTGGGATCTAACAACAAGTACTTTAAAGCATGAGACCCAAATATCTCTGACAGACATCAGAAACGGTCCCCACTTTAGCAATGTTATGAAAAATGGGTATCAATATCATGTGACAGAGGACCAAAATGGGGTCTGAACTTTATTGGTCCTGGTCATTTTAGTTGTTAATTTTGTACTGACTTGTGTGTTTTGTGATTCATAAAGGTCGAAGGTTTGATGAGATTGATGGAAGGAGAACACGTTGGGCCGTTTAACCTTGGTAACCCTGGCGAATTCACCATGCTCGAGCTAGCTAAGGTTTCTTTCTTACATTTTAGTACCCTTTATGATTTCTGTATATTAAATCCTGGATTCTGAATTTTCTGATGTCTTTGATTTGGTGGCAGGTGGTTCAAGAGACGATTGACCCGAACGCAAACATAGAGTTTAGACCAAACACAGAAGATGACCCTCACAAGAGAAAGCCTGACATCACCAAGGCCAAAGAGCTTTTAGGTTGGGAACCAAAGATCTCTCTTCGTCAGGGACTCCCTCTCATGGTCAAAGACTTCCGTCAACGTGTCTTCGGTGACCAGAAGGAAGGCTCTTCCATGGCTACAACCACCACCAAAACAACCTCAGCTTGAGGCCATACGCAGATGCAAAGCAAAGTAGCGGCCAGTCTTTTGCTTGCAGCTACCAATGTGGAAAGAAGAAAGAGAGCTTTTGTTTCTTGAATTTTATTATGTTTTTGTTTGCTATTCTGGATATTATATTCGTGTAGAGTAAGAATTTGGTGGCTTTACTTATTCATGGACCTCACTACAGTTTAAAGAAGAAAAAAAACTTTTTGTCTTTTGCTATCACAAAGTTTAGAGGCATTCATTAATCAGTGCTGCGTTTAAGTATTGATACAGAGCAAAAGTGAGCACAAGGCAAACACCAGAAATAAGAAAGTCATATTCATAATGTTTCCTCATTGCTGCAAACATTAGGAGATAACTAGGATTTGAACATATGGATAGCAACCACGACGAGAAGACATGTCAATCTCAATCTCTCTCTCCCTCACTTCGGGTTCCTGAGAACTATGATGACAGAGTCGCCACGAAGAAACATCTTGCTGATGAACCGATCTCTGTTGACGGGAAGTGCTTTCTTCTTTCCTTTTCCGGTTTTTGGTACCTATAAAAACCAGAGAACCCATGAAAGAGATGCAGTTAGTTCTCTATACATGAGTTGAGTATAATAACAACATAGACAGAAAATAGATGCACAAGTTTTACCTCAGTCCACATCTCTCTGACGTTCTCCAAAACCATGTTGCAGTGCCTGTCAAAGGCTCTTACTCGGCCAAGGAGCTTCCTGTTGTTGCGGCAATTGATCAAAACCTGAGTGTTGTTCTTAACGCTCATCATCAGAACTGAGAGTGGTCCCGTGTTGAATTCCTCCTCTTCGGTCTTTCCCTGCTAAGATACAAAGAAGTCAAAAAGCATCAGGACTATGATCTACCTTTGAGGAAAACTAAAGAGCATCTATCAAGAATGCAGCCGGTAAAAGATTGCCTACATTATAACATCAAGCAGTGATCAAAACCAGCAACATTCACATATCCAAAACTCTTGATGACCATCTTGTGAGACATGACACCAACAAGACAATTCTCAGAATAGCGTCTTTCTATGTTCACTAGCATAACCACTATTAGATACATAACCATAAGATTTCCAAAAAGATTCATCAACAAATTCCGAATTGAGTAACCGTAAGATCCAAAACCGATACACAGGCAAAAAAAAATATCAAGCAGAGGATTAATATCTAACTGAGTACCTCACAGCCCTAAAAAGCCAGACTAGAGCTCTGAAGAGTGAGATGTCACATGGAAAAAATAGCCAATTAGGGTTTCTGTTTGTTATCAGATTACGAGCTAAATCGAGAAATCAATTAAACGAGCGAGGAAGAAGTTTTCTTACGTTGTTGTCCACGTCCATCGCCCCACTCATGCTGACTTGAAGCAAACTCCGTTCGACAAAATTCTCAAGAAAAAAGATGGAACCTGCAAAAGGATTAAAGTGGGAAAACGAGGAATTAAGAAACAATATAACATATTACCATAGAAACGCAGATCGGAGAGAAATTAGGGTTTTTACCAGCTGAATCTCGCTTTGCGGTTTCCAAAAATCTCACAGGAAGAAGAATGCGGAGATTAAAGAAGAAAGAGTACAGAGAGGAGAGTATAAAGGCCCACGCACACAATTATTTGTCATGGCGGTTAAAGAATGGAGTATTAAGGCCCACAAACATAATATTGGGCCTTAAGAGTTTAACAGCTAAAGACCAAAGATTAGTTGTTAACTATTCTTAGGGGCAGCCTGGATTATACTCAAACGCGCACTACTAGCGAGTAATGTTGACGCGCCTGCTATACACATATTTTGGCTTCATTTGTTAGATCGTTCGTTGTGTTTCGTGAATCGTGACAAGTGTTCTATGTAATGTAATTTAGTGATAAAAGTTTTTTGACCCAAGATATTATTTGTTGATATTACAAAGTATTCCAAAGAAAATGTATAACAAGAGTCTTCAATTACACATAATATGAAAGACAAAATAAACATAATCATCCACCAGATTCTTCTCTGATTGATTTTTATTACATAGAAGATCGATGGACCAGACGGCGTCCACCACCGTTTAACCCGCAAAGGAGACTAGATTGTGGCCGTTTATGTTTCTCTTGGCCGTTACTAACGGTAAAATCTCTGACGGGAGTAACGGTGAGAGAAGCGGAGTCTCCGGTACGGAGGTCAAGCCAAGCGATGATGTCAGCGAAAACGAGGTCAACGTTAGCGTCAGGCTCGCCAGAAGTCAACCCATGCCACATGCCTGGATAAAGCTTGATGGTTTTGTCCTGCGTGCTTGCTTTCTCGAACAGAGCTTTGCTGATCTCTGGATCAGTCACAATGTCTGCTTCACCGTGGAGGACAAAGAAAGGTAATGTGATCTCGTGGAGAGTGTCTTCGAGGTTCATGCTTGTTCTAAGCATTTCGAGCGCGGTTTTGAGTCTTGGCTTGTCTTGATATATCAGCTTGTTGTTCCTTATCTACAATTTTTACGAACCAACAACACTCTTTTTTGAAAAACTATGTATCTAGTGACTAATTAATTAGTATTGGTTTTGATTTTACCTCTTCACGCTTGACCGGATCTTTGAAAGCTGCGTCGATGACATCTTTAGTGGGAACAATCTTCCATTTTGGTATAATCTCTTCCACTCTCGTTAGCAGATTTATGACAACTGGATGTGGTTTAACCTTCTCTGATATCTGCTCACTCACACACACACACACACACACAGCTAGTTAAAATCATATTTGGTCTTTGAATGATAAATATATATAAACTCTCTCGTAATTAAATGATTGATTTGATTTGATGGTATAGAGAAGAAACGTGAGACCTTACACATGGGAGCGACGAGAAGGGCACCATTCCAGAAAGAAGGATCTTTCTTGTGAAGCAACAAAGCAACAGCACCTCCCATGGATTCTCCATACAAGAATCTACCTTTCTCTCTGTATCCTTCCTTCGCTGAAATATCCACAAAACAATTAGGTGCTATTGATAAAGTCTTATTGATGGAGATAGGGAGCAGAGACAGAGAGAGGTAACAAAGGAATAGGATTATTGGTACCAGAGATGGAGGTGTAATAGTCGTAGCAGTCATTGACTAAGTTACTGAACTTTTTGATGTAGCAACGAGCTCCTTTGGACCGACCATGCCCTTCGTAGTCCATTCCAAACACTGCATATCCTGCTGAAGCCAGCCGTATCCCGCATTCTAATGAAATTCAGAAGTAAACAACTATTATTATTACACCAAATTTTTTATATGTGTTCATGGTTTTTTGCTTCGTATTATAAACAATGGTTGGGTAACTAATAAGATGAGGCCAACTGCTATTGCTCACCCCTGGTTTTGGTAGTAGAGGTAAGAATTTTATTACTAGATCGAATTGACTATTCAGATTAGTTTAACAGAGAATAATTAATGCACTAGTTTTCAGTATTAGTTGTGAAAGATCACAATCAATTAAGTTAAGGGTCACGAGTTTCTCGTTGTGCAAACAGAGCGAAGAAAACAGCTTTATAAATTTATAGACGTGGGGACTCTTATGTATTCTCTCGAGGTTTCTTGTCGAACACTTATTCATTTTTAGTTAGGTAGACGCTCATGTTCATAATAAATCACTAGACACCATTAATTTCTGAGATTATTTACCACGTGTGGATAAACTCGGCCACACCGGCATTCAGATGAATTAGAGCGAATATATAAACCATTATATTGAAGATAAGGATAGTGTAACGTTTTCCCAAAATCAAGGGGAAGAGAAACAAGAAAATAAATACCAAAGTTACATGGAGTATATGTGAAGATGGCCAAAGAAACACGTGGAGAATGTAAATCAGATAACAGAAACTAAGCAGACGAAAGTGCAATTACTTCCGCAACTAACAACATATGGTTCTTCTTCTTTTTTTTTTCAATATAATAACAAAAGATCTGCGATTAGATATGCCATGAATACAAATGGTTGACGCCACCACATACATATGTTATGTAACTTGAAGTAAAATACTAGTAGTTTCCTAGCTCGATAACGTAAATCATGGATCGCCATAGATGTCGATGATGATTATATATATATTCGATCTAATGCCTGTTACTATATATCCGATCTAATGCCTGTGAAACAAACCGATTCTGAATTATGTAATCTTACTACACAGATCATAGTTTTCTACAGACTAGTTCATTTTCATGATTCTGAAATTCCAATAACGTAGTACTAATAAACATTAATGTTTTTCCCTGCTCAGACCAGACAAATAAGCATATGTACACACATATGATCAATTAATATAGACGACTATTTTTGTTTGGTTTTTCAAACTTAAAATGGGGTTGACAGAGGAGCATTAAAATAGAAGAGACAAAGCTAAATGATTAAAATACCTCTCATGAAGCCACTACACTCCATTCCATAGCCTGCACATTGACCAATTATTTTTAAAAATAAATAAATTGAGGATTTTTATGAATCAGTTAAATGAAAATCCCTAAAAATTAGGCAGATTTAACTTAACAAAAGATTCGATCAACATGGGGGAAAAAAAAAGGAGGTGATAGTACCATGGCAGAGGAAGATGAGAGCTTTGGGAGAAGAAGAAGATGGAATCCATCTGCAAGCGAACAACTCAACGCCTCTCGAGTTTCTAATATATTCCTGTGTAGAAAGTTAAAGGTAAGAAGAACACACGAATGATCCATCAAAAGTGATTTTCGTTTTTGTTTTCTGAAACAGAGATTCTTTAAACAAGTAAGCAATGATCCAGAGAGAGAGACCTCTTGGTAATCGAACTTTAACTTCATCATGCTTGTGTCGATGCTTTCAATATTCCTCGATTTTCTTGCTTGCTGCTTAGAGGGAGAGAGAGAGAGAGAAACGAGTTATCAAGGAGAGAGAGAGAGAAAGAGCTAGACGGAAGAAGATTGAAAGCGGTTATCGAATTTGTAGAGTCACTCTTTTTCTCTACTTCTTAAATTTTATTTCTAATCAAAAATAATACTATGGAGCATTTAATTTTATTAGTGGAAAATCCAAAATTAGAAAAACTTTCGAATATGTGACGTCATGCTGGGCGTGTGAATCAGAGCCCATTCATAGAATTTCAGTTCACAAAAAGCCTTTTAGCCTCACAATACTCATTTTCAACTTATTTTATAAAAATAGCCGAGTATGGTGATATAATGGAGTGATGGAAGACGGTGGTGGAGATTAATTTTTTAATAATCAGACTGTTTTACTAAAGAAATCTCCACTAATGAACATATGTAGTTGTGTACAGTGACAGTGTATGGCGTTTGGTATTCTGAAACCCGAACACAAGACGCTCGTTTCAGTATGTGACCAGAAGCTCTAAGTAGAACTCACTAACGATGATGAATAATCCACATGTGAATCAAATTATTAGGACAAATTATAACTAGAACTCTAGAACTTAAAACAAGACAACGTGGTTTTCATTTGCAAAGAAATGACCAATAAATAAACTCGAAAGCAAAATGTATAACAAAACTGCATAAAATCCTTAAAAAGTGTTGTGAAAACATCCAGAAGATAAGAGAGAGCATGAGACTTAAAATCTTCCAAGAAGTAGCTAAACAAAAGCATGATCATATGTTTCTGAAAAACGGGAACAAAAGAGAGAAGCTTAGTTCAATCTCTGGGCAGCCTCCTTGGCAAGAACCCTCTCCTTAGCTTTGGTCTTGGCTTGAGACTTGGATCCCATAATGCCTCCTCCCCACTTCTTCCTGTACTCGTCGAACTTGTCGTTGAAGTTTGCCTATTCACCAATCACAAAAACACGTTAGCGACATACAAAGACAACAAGTCTCTATGATAATGTATTGTTGTAGAACTTTTCCAAGCTTTTATATATACCTTGATGGCCTCGAGGATTTTGCTGAACTCAAGCTTGTCCTCGTTCTTCACAGAGGTCAAACACAAGCAAGCAGCAGTCTTCTGGTGAACGATCTGTAAGCAGATGGGAGAAATGAGCATAGATCAGGATTACAGTGAAGAAAGGAGAAACACTCACTAAGTGGAGAGTTGGCGAATTATGGTACCGTTCCAAGACGAGATTTGCCCTTGACAATGCAGTAAGGAACTTCCATCTTCCTGCAGAGAGCAGGTAACCAGACGACCAGCTCAATGGGGTCAACATCGTGGGCAATCACCACAAGCTGAGCCTTGTTCTGCTCGATCAGGTAAGTCACGTGGTTGAGTCCGTACTTGACCACAATAGGCTTCTTGGATTCGGAAGGCTTTCCCTCAGCTTCAGCTTGAGCCTTCTTCATAAGACGGTCCTTCTTGGTGGCTTTGTCCTCTGGCCTATACTTCATCAGAACCTTGAAGAGGTTTGTTGCTGCAAATCACAACAAAATACGGTTTTTGAAGCAACTAATCGTTGAAACTAAAAGAGAAGCAACAAAGAGAGAAACATACCGAGATTCTTGTCAAGAGTCTTGGTGAACTGGTTGAGAGCTGGAGGGACCTTGAGCCTCTGCTTAAGGATACGCTTCTGTCTCTGAAGACGGATTGATTTTGGCCATTTGATGTACCGAGTCAGATCCTTCTTTGGAGGTAAAGCTCCTCCGATTCCGAATTGCTTTGGCCTTCTCTCAAACAACGGGTTCGTCACTTTCTCCTAAGAATAACCACACAAATGCAATTAGATTCCATCACAAAAGATGATTCATTTGACAAGATTGAAAACAATGAAGAAGATGAGCATACCGGCTTCTTCTTGGCAGCCACTTTCACTCCCTTTTTTGGTGCCTGTCAATCAAAATGTCGCACAAACAGATCAAATAAACAGTAATAAGAATCATAAACGAGACTCAAACACGATTTTTATATCAATCATAGCTCGAAGAAGCAACTAACTATGAAGCATTCACTAGACAATGTACCAAATCAAACAAAGGATTCGGCTCTCCTCTCGTGAACTAATTTATGCTAATCGTATTCCAGATTCAGAGAGAAAGATTCAAAGACGATTGCGGAGGATATACCATATAGATTGGCTAAGAACAAAAATTCGAGTATTCACCAGAGGGAGCAAAGAACGAATACATAGAAAACAAGCAAAACTGACGTTTATCTATCATAGAGAAATGGAGATTTAGAGAAGCACAAGGCGTGAATCGACATACCATGGTAGTCGATTTCTGGAGGCAGACGGCGGAAAGAGGAATATCGGCAAAGACTGAATTAGGGTTTTATGCTATCACTTTATATAAAGCCCACAGCGGTTGTTAATTACATTTTCGGACACGTATGCCTACTTTTTATTCAACCTAATAACTTTTTTTTACGGACTGTCAACAGTAAATGTAACTATTTTCTAGACCAAGCTTAAAAATTGTTTAATGAATTATTATTTTTTTCTTGTTTAAAACAAGTTTTAATTTTTGTTACAATGAAATTTACATATTTTTCACATTATTTCAACAACACCAACATCTGTTATAAAATGGCTTTTCTCATCTAAATAGGTTGAATATGAGAAGAAGATAGCGAAATTACAGTTGATTCATTTGTTAATATATCAGTTTTGATGTTTGATTTGTATGTTTATCTTGCAATAAAATTATACATTTTGCCACTATATAATCAGACATATCAGTAACCAGTCACCACCGATGCAGAAACGGTTTTGGGTTCGACGGATTGTTTGTGTTTCATTTAGAGTACAAAGGCAAGAGACCAAACTGGTGGTCTACAGAAAACCGACCATCCACTGGTCCAGCCAACTAATCTTTGTGTGTGAACCAGAGAGTCCGGTATGATCTCCCACGTTCCAATTCCAAGACACACAGTGTGTCTTGATGAATCGACTTGTCTGAGACCTGCAGGCAGAGAAAAAGCAACAGCTGTGAACAGACGAATAGGGTCGTTTATGATGTCCGAGGAATGTGGATAGGAATACGACGAGCCACGCTCCTCGAGTTAAGATAACAGCAAAGATTGGTAGAAACAGACAGTGTTGTAATTTGTAAATTCACCTTAGAGTTGTTTGAGATCAGCCTTGGTGCAATTAGCCAAAACACTAAAAGCAGAGACGAGCCCAGCCGTGGCAACAACGTGGGTCCAGTTTCTTGTCCCAATAGCAACAGCTGCTCCAGCCACAGCTCCTCCGACCAAAGCATTCACCTGAAAAGGTCCATCCTGTTTAATCAGAGATTCACTCACTACTACGGATAAGACTCTCAAGTCTCTCTCTCTCTTCAAAAAGATATGTTTTGAATCTAACCCAATCATTCTTGCCACGATATCGTTGAAGACCACAGTGGGTCATAGTAAACACACCACTTACTATACCTGAAAGTGAAAGATAAAACAAAAACATGGGATGGGTTTATATGATCACTCAATGTGGATGCACCAAATCTACATAAAAGGAAAAGCAGTCCACTAATCAACAATTTAGAACTAAACTAGATCTCTACCACCAAGTATGCTATAGCTGAAACTGAGAAGCAATCAATTGAAGCCAACTAATCCAAAAACTTAGAACTAAAGTATATGCACTGTTTCACTTGGCAACCAACACAACACAGAGCAACATGATCTTCAAAAACAAGATGAGAGTATCAATCTTATCTCTAAACCCATAATTCCATTACGAAATTAAAATTTACAAATCATCCAATGAGCTATGTAAAATCAATTAAAAGAGAGGCAGATTACCGCATTGAAACCCGTATCTGCCAATGGATTTTGCCTACAAATCCAATTAAAACGAGGCAATTGATCAGTCCGCAAACCTGAAGAGAAAGCAAGAGAGATTCGCTTACCACATGCGAAGCCTGAGATACGCCGCTCAAACCTGGCGAAGCAAACCAGCAACAGATGAAGGAGTTAGGAATGAATGAGAGAGTATTATATCTTTGGTATGGAAATCGATTCAAGAGCTATTAGTTTTGTTTCAATACCTATTTTACGAGCGTCACGAGGTCCGGCGCAAAACCCATATAATCCACCGGCCTGAGCTTCAACCAAAAAAATAAACAAACTGAATGTCTCCGAAATGTAGCTATAAGCACAAACTGATAGGAGATTCTCAAATTGGATACCGTCGCGACGCGGATGACTGAATCGACGGCCAGGGAAGAGCAAGGCACGGCGGAGAGCAACTCTTCCTCCATCTCGACTCTCAACTATGCTAAAAGTTCAATTGACCCAAACCCTTTTGTCTCCGTAAACTGAGAACTGAATCAAACCGGGACCATCTCTTTCCAAGGCAAAAATGTCCCACATCGGTAAGAATATGATGGACGGATTCACAGTGTTATATTATATAACACCGAGAAAATGACTGTATTACGAATGATCTCGTATATGAGTTAAAGATATTGAGTCGTTAAATTATTGAATTAAGTAATTGAGTGTTAAAAATTTGGTCTATGTCCCTTATACCATATTTTCTATGTCCCTTATACCATATTTTTAGCAATTCTAGTTACTGTATATGTTAAATCAGATTTTTTTTTTAACATATATATTATTCTTATTTACAGGAAAAAATAATAAAATAACTTAATTTGATCATTATCTTATTCTGTCTCGAGATGGAAATTTGGTTTCACACTTTTGTCAAAATTGTGGAAAATGGTTTGTCTCAGCTCATCCAACCCAAAAGAATAATTGGGAAAAGTAAGATTGGGCTTCGGGTAACTGTTGCAGGCCCAGTCAAAAGGGGGTTACGTAGTTGACAACGAGAGAAGAAGAAACTTATCCCTTGTTTAACGAATTTTTCTTGCTTATGAGAAATGGTAATATCTTATGCAAATCCCATTTTTCATATTCGCTACTTAAAGCTCGAGTCTTTCGTATGGAACATCATCATTCGTGCCAATGTTCACAATGTCTCGCCTGCTCGGCGTCATTCTCCGATCTCCGTCTACCTCCGTATGCGCCACCATTGCGTCACCCCCGATTTCCATACTTTTCCGTTTCTTCTCCCTTCTTTTGACAATCCCATCCATCTTCCTCTTGGTCAACGAATCCATGCTCAGATTCTTCTTTTTGGACTTGACAAAGACCCCTTTGTCCGTACTTCTCTCGTCAATATGTATTCTTCTTGTGGCGACTTGGCCTCTGCTCGGCGAGTTTTCGATGAGTCTGCCTCAAAGGATTTACCGGCGTGGAACTCTGTGGTCAACGCCTACGCCAGAGCCGGGTCGATCGACGTTGCTCGGAAGCTGTTCGACGAAATGCCTGAGAGAAATGTGGTTTCGTGGAGCTGCTTGATCAACGGGTACGTCATGTGTGGGAGAAACAGAGAAGCGCTTGAATTGTTCCGAGAGATGCAATCACCTAAACCTAACGAAGCTTTCGTCAGACCTAACGAGTTTACAATGTCGACTGTGCTCTCGGCTTGTGGGAGATTGGGTGCGCTCGAGCAAGGGAAATGGGTTCATGCTTACATTGACAAACACAGAGTCGAGATTGACATTGTCTTAGGCACAGCTCTCATTGACATGTACGCCAAATGCGGAAGTCTAGAGAGAGCAAAAGTTGTTTTCGATGCCTTGGGAGCCAAGAAAGACGTCAAAGCTTACAGTGCTATGATATGTTGCTTGGCGATGTACGGTCTCACGGAAGAGTGCTTTCAACTGTTCTCTGAGATGACGACGAGTGACAACATAAACCCAAACTCTGTAACATTCGTGGGTGTTCTCGGTGCTTGTGTGCATCGTGGTCTGATCAACGAAGCAAAATCTTACTTTGCAATGATGACTGAGAGATTCGGTATCACTCCATCGATTCAGCATTATGGGTGTATGGTTGATCTCTACGGAAGAGCTGGTTTAATCGAAGAAGCAGAGAGCTTTATAGCGTCTATGCCTATGGAGCCTGACGTATTCATTTGGGGATCTCTGTTAAGCGGATCGAGAGTGGTTGGTGATATCAAGACTTGCGAAGCTGCCCTCAAGCGTCTCATCGAGCTAGATCCCTTGAACAGTGGAGCGTATGTGCTTCTCTCTAACGTCTACGCCAAAACAGGGAGGTGGATAGATGTTAAGCGTATTAGACACGAAATGGAGGTAAAGGGTATTAAGAAAGTTCCTGGGTGCAGCTCTGTGGAATTAGACGGAGTGATTCACGAGTTTGTTGTAGGAGACGAGTCTCAAGAAGATGGCGAGAGAACTTACGCTATGCTTGATGAGATAATGCAGAGGCTGAGAGAAGCTGGATATGTTTCGGACACTAAAGAGGTTTTACGTGATCTTGACGAGGAAGGTAAAGCGATGGCTTTGTCTTACCACAGTGAGAAACTGGCAGTCGCTTTCTGTTTGATGAAGACGAGGCCTGGAACTCCGGTGAGGATCATCAAGAACCTCAGAATCTGTCGAGATTGTCATCTTGTGATGAAGATGATCTCGAAGCTGTTTGGTAGAGAGATTGTTGTAAGAGACTGTAATAGATTTCACCATTTCAGAGATGGATCCTGCTCTTGCAGAGACTATTGGTGACATGATTGCTTAGTTACTACACAATCGGAAAGAATCTTGCAGGTTTCGAAATCAAGGAGGAACAAAGAGAATAGATATAGTAATGATTATTATATATGGTTTTCGTATTAAAGATAAGTTCCATCATCTTTTGATGAACAATGTACAATTTATACATTAAGGCCACTCAAATCAGAGAAGGCATATACATACACTCGTGAGTAAGAATTTTCAGTAAAAAACAAACATATTGGTTTAGCTACTACAAGAGAAGAGGAACCAAAGCCTATTTCAAAACTTCGCCGGGAAACTGCACCGGAGAATAAGATCGACAAGTTGTTGGAAACCTCGGGAAAAACTTATCAGAAAGCTTCTCCAGCAGAGCAAGGCGGCAAAACTCTATTTGTAACTTATACTTTCGTATCTACAAAAAAAGACAACACTGCCAAGAGAAAGAGAAACAAAGGAACATCAGATTTGTGGTGTTTGAGTAAATATAAGATTTAACTCAAAAAAATGCAAATTGAATAAGATGCAAGCAACTCTTTCTTACCTCCTAAAACTGATAAAGGTTATCACCGCTACAGGAAAAGCTACTATTACTCCACACTCTCGTAGTCTTATATTTTATTTTCTTTCTTTGTAATACCCTAAATGGCTTTGTTTAGAATCTGCAGAAAAACATTCAGATTAGGTTTGAGCACAGAGCTTGTAAAACCAAAAACTATGGTAATTCATGTATCAATGGCAAAGGATGTACTGACCTGATACTGGGAGAAGGATCTTTCTCTGTATAGGAAAATCCAGAACCAGAAGTTACACCTTGGTTGCTCTGTATAATCCATACATGGTTCTTGGATAAATTAGTTGGAAAGGAACCTTGTTATTCTGTATAATGTCATTGGTTGCTCTGTATATCAAGTTCCTTTGTCTACCAGGAACCTCTTTAGAGCAGACTCTGTCAGCGAAACTCTTCTTGGATTTTGTACAAATGATTGCCGGATCCCCCAAAAAAGCTCAAAATGCTGTTTGTGGATGGAATTGGACGCAGAGCCGCAATGCAACAGAGGATTTGTTTTTCAGCAACAGAAGATTGCCTCTTCTTCGAAGTTTTCGCAAATAAGTTGAGTTGTCTTTCACCGGTTATTGGCCTTCATTGCAAGCTTGACTAAACGTACCAGCCCCTCTATATCTTGGAAGTTGAAATCAAGGGCACTTTTAATGGATAGAATACCCTCTCCTTCTTGTTGGGCCTCCCCCAAGTTCTCAGTAAAAGCTGCCAATGCCACACGTGATTTCCTTGAGGCATCCATTGCCTGATTTACGTCCTGAGCCTACAAACAGTAGGGAGTAGCTGAGATTAATCACACTGGCCTAGGTCTAAAGAGCATCCCCGTTGCAAAGCCAACACAAAAGATCGCTTCATCTTCCACTAAATTAACGAAATCAATATCCAAGTATAGCTTGTGGCAAAGTGAACTTGCAAGAGGCAATTAATACACTTACAAATTGAAGTAGACGTAATAAATTAGAGCGGTTTTGCGCAGAAATGACTTGGTTCCCAGCAACTAAAGGAGAATTGATGCCTCTTGAGATGCCAACTTTGTCTGCCGCTGCTGCTAGATGGTTCACGTTATCAACATCCGAGGCAGAAGAGGAAGGAGACTCGCCTATTAGGCAGTGACAAGAAGATTACAATGTGCGCGAATTTTTGAAAACATAACAAGGGATTTGGCCATCTCTGACTAGCTGCTTACCTTGAGGAACCATTTGCAAAGAAGTCTGCAATTCATTTCGATATCTGTTTGCACTGGTGTAAGAGGAATTAACCACTCTCATAAACGCGGCCTCCATGCATTTGTAAGCCAGAGCAGCAGCTCCCACATCTTTTGACTTCTCATACTCACGGGCACAAAATCTATCATCAAAAAAAGAGGTGACGCAAAGGTTTTAGACTTCTCATGGAGGAACGTTTTTTCCTTTTTCCTCACAATTTTAAATTACCCGCAAAGTAATGCTGTGCTACTATAAATCTTCATAGATTGGAGCATTGTCTCTCCTTGTCTAGCACTCTCGTTGCTGCTCATCTCCAAGAGAAACGCACCATGAAGAAACTTGAGGCAAGCCTGGAAGTAAAGCTCAATGAACTCAATGTTTGATACAGAATCCTGCAGCGACAACAAAAGCAAGACCATCAGAACAGAATACAAAATGGAAAGAGAGAATACACTGCAAATGAATTATGAAAAAAAAAAACCTTGAGACGGTCAGCTGTATGTTTCAAGTCCTTAGCTTCTTTTAACATCAGGGCCGCCTGCGCGGATGTTACTTCCTTTCGCAAGGGGCTTGGAGAAGGCTCGTTTTTTCTTCTTATTTGGCCTGTTGCCTTCGTCACATCATCAGCTTGAATACTATTCCCAGCTGACGTGCCGCATTTATCGACTTTCTTACGGGAAGAAAGTATAGAGGAATCCCCTTGGACACCTCTAGATGGTGGCCGTGATGGAGAAGCTAAATCTGCTCTACTACTCCTTTCTGATATTCTTTCGACGTCATAAGGCTTTGGAATGTTTGGTCTCACGACCAAATCCACTCTACTGTCTGGACTACCGTCGTATATCTTCTTTTCATTATGTCTCGGACCCTCCCGTGAATCAGGCCTAATGCTTTGGCTCTTGTCTTTGGACCGAGAAGATGAACTTTTTCCTGACTTCTTCGCCAGCGACTCATTGCTACGTCGGTGATGATCGCTAGACTGTTTTCCTTCACCATGAATATGATTCAGTTTTCGTGGTAAATCATTGTGGCCACCATTCTCAAAATTGGCATCGAGAGAAGGTTCAGCGCGTTCTTTGCCTTTCAAAGATCTTTTATTATCACAAACATCAAGCACAGAAGACTCATGGGATCCATGTTTGTCCTTTGCTCGCGTTTGCGATCTATCACTCCCACCATCATCTTCACCTTCACCATCTGAGAATCTTCTCAAACTACCTGCTGCAAAGACGTTGCCATCATAAGATTCTTCTTTCTTCTTTCTAGCAGATACACTTTTCTCTGGGTTGGAAATCCTCATAGGTGAGGAAGACACGGATTCAACAGGCGAACATTTAGCTTCGTGGGAGCTGTTTCTGGGTTTATGAGAATCAGAAATCTTAGAAGAACTTGAGGTGGCCGCAATAAAGTTCTGAACATTTCCATGCTCTCTTTTCGAATGACTTCTGTTTTCCTTCTCCGACTTCTCCGGCTCCTTTTCTTCATTAAGAACTCGAGCTTTCTTTCGTTCATGATTCTTGTTCTCACTGTACACCCGAGAACCATGGCTTTCTTTCAGTTTCCTCTTTCTACTGCCCCCTGTGCTGTTGCTATTTCCCGTGTCTGAAGCTCCTCCTTCCTCTTTTGGCATTATAGAGGAGACTCGGGGCTTAGGCTTTTTATCTGCTGACACGGCAGGGACACCACTACTCGAGGTAGGACGTCCATTTCCGTGTTCAGATTCATCAGGAAACAGAAAACTTTCAATCTTCATTTTCTTGGCCAGCATAGACCCATCTAGATCTGCACTTCGTTTGTTATTCACCTTCAAGCTCCTCGACTCATCAGAGTGGTGATCCACTGCTTTTCCTCTCTCTTTCTGTTTCTGTTTCTGCCTATCTCCGTCAGTCGAGTCACTAAGTCCATGCGAATTTTGTATAATTCCGTTTCTGGATGATGTTTGGATGGTCTTCTTGTTAGTTTCAGCACTCCGAGAAGCTTCTTTATCCATTTCATTGTCTATCTTTTTAAAACCCTTCTTCTTCTTTTTTGTGTTGTCATCTCCCTGATTAAACTGAGGCTTAGGGCCACCGAGATTACTCTGCATTGGAGCTTGAGTCTCAGGGGCAGGGATCTGATACATTGCATACAGAGCTTTCGTTGTTTCATCTTCAGGAACACTGCAATAGTTCACTCCAGGCCTATAACACACATTACCACAAAGAGAATCAAACTATGCCAACCATTCAATATATCACACGACAAGATAATTTAACCAACAATAGAGGATTATGCTTAAAAAAACTCACAGCCAATTAAGCATTGTGCACATCCATTTCTCAGGAAGGTCTTCTGGGAAGACGCCAAAAGGAAGAAGTCGCCACTTTCCACACTTGTCACAAGCAACCCAATGTTCTTGTATGATCACGGGATTTGCTTTCGGAAGAGAAGGATCAGAACGAAGTTTGCTCAATATGGGTCCAGGACCAACGTTTTGAGATTCTGCCAGTGGGAAGCTTGACTTCTCGGGCATATCTTCTAAGGCCGGAAGTCTCTTTTCTGACATTGGGAGACCTTTTGCTTCCAACGAATAATTCTGTTCCTCTTCTTCTTCAGAGTCCTCAATGTCTCCAAAAAAGTCTTTGTAAGTGTCCTCAGTTTTTTTGCCATCATTTTGTGGTTTCAGGGCTACCACTTCCTTCTTCTCCACTTGACCATTCATCTTTGTCTCATAAACAGCAGAGCTTTTCTGTTCCTTAAACTTCGATGAAGACTGAGGTTCCTGTTCTAGCTGATCAGACTTCTGCTTTCTCGAAGAATGTTCTGGCTCAGCCTTATGACCACTTTTCACCTTTTTTACTGAATCGGAAGCTTTGCTTGCTTTGTCTTTGCCAACTTTCCTCGAGTATCCTGAAGCATCATCATCACCAAATCTAATCTGTTTATCTTCCCGAACACTTCCAGCTGAACTAGTCTTTGGATTCTCATGATCTATATGACGAGTTAGACCCCACGGTCGTCTCTCAACATCACTCCCCATTTCCCCCCTAACAGCGCCATTGTTGTTTTCCTTGGATGTATCAAATAATTTATTGTTTGTTTCCGTTGGCTCCCTGACAGTGGCATCAGTTCCATCTAACAGGCCCTTCTTACTACGAACATTTGTCTCCGCGGAAAAGTTGTTGCTCTCCACCATCTTTCTTTTCTTCTCTACTGATGGTTTCTCTCCAGCCTTCTGAGGTTTCAACCCGTTCGCCGTAGCAGAAGAGCTCTCAATGAGAACCCTCGACGGTTCGGGTTTTTCCCTTTCGAGGAACCGAATCAGATCATCAGAGAGAGGAGATAGCAACTGGCTATGATCCACAGGAAGGGATGTCATTACCTGCAAATCGGAATATATCAACACAGTAAGCATCTTACAACAAAGGAGAACTGTTTGAGTAATGCGAAACAAATCAAAAGGAAACTCTCACATTAAGAATACTGGTGGGAGAGTCCAACGGAGAATAGCCTTGAGGTTCCCCATTCATCTCTTCACTACCTGAAAGACTATTATTATCTAATGACAGAGAAGGCGAGACATCAAGTCCGAGGCCACTGTATATCGCAGCAGCATTCTTTTCTGTAGATAAACTATCTGATCCCATCTTTATCCGAAGCTTCAGAGAGTTCTGTTTACTGAAGACACCAGGTTTCTTGGTTGCAGATTCCTGTCTGGAACTGGAATTGGGTTTCTTGGATTTCATTGACTTCTTGGGGATTCCAGAGGCAGCAAGCCCAGATTTCACCTTTTTAGGGACACTAGACGAAGCACCATTACCACTCTGGGACTGAGTGAAGAAAAAAGGTAAGAGATTACGTCTTATGGCATTTACAAAGAGCAAACCGCAGACAAGAAGAAACATATACCTCCGCTAGTAAGATGTTCGGAGATCTAGTCCCAGCAGAACTCTGAGGTTTTGCTGGCGTTTTTGGATGAGACCAAATAGGGGAACGTTGATAAGTTGGTAAGAAAGAGCCATAGCCACCAAATTTCGCCCCTGTAATCAAATTCAAAAGGACTAGTTTCACACTTTGTGGACCAACGAAGAAGAAGAGTTGCTGCCACACATCAACATACCAAGATTGTCAGCTGAAAAATCTCCCTCGAAGTCTTTCTGGAAGTGTCCAAGAATGTTTTGAACCTTCTCATCCTTCAAAATAAACAATAGAGAATACAAGTCAAAAACTGAAGCACAAATTCAAGACTCTTAAGATGTGGATGCTTTACGAAACCAATGTTTCGATGCTACTGAAGTGAAATCAAAAAAGCATTTTGAAACCTCTGAAAACTTTTCCAATAATACTGTAACCGATGAGTTGAAATTTGTTTGTACATGCTCTGTAGAAATTCTATCAAATCAAAACTATACACGCGGCGCCTCGAAAACTAAATACTTCCAAATGGAAGGTATATAAGCCTTCAAATAGTTTAACAATTTGAGCAATTTTCGAAACTGTTCTACGAGCAATTAAGGTGTTGTTTTTGTTGCAGTTGATATCATAATGAAGTTACCAAACAAAATGTATCCATAACATTTAAACACATACCATATGAACAGCATACACATATTTATAAGCTCCTTTAAGTTTAATACCCCTATCAAACCAATGCAATCTAATTTCAAAGAGAGGCTAAGTAAACACAACACTGCAACATTAGCACTTACGCAAATCATAACCAAATTCTCAATAAGATATTAAAGAGGAAGATTAGTCATATATCATATAAGAAACGAGAAGAAAGTCTTACAATGTAAGAGAGATCGTTATCAGGGTCTATGCTTCCATTATAATCGTTAGTAATATTGTAGGAGCAAGCTTCTCCTTCTTCAAGCTCAGACTCTTCCATTCCTATTCCTCAATAACTTCACCACCAAACCCTAGCCTTAACCCTAGCCCCTTTCTAACATTGCAATCGCCAATCCCCCAAAAATCAAGCGCTGAAATCAGCCCCAAATCCTCCGGAGAAAACTACACCGTAACCCGAAACTATTCGTTAAGGATCCACGAAACACTAAAACCCAACCCAGATTCCTCCTAAGGATTTTCCCTAGCTTGATCGAATTTAGCAATCCGATCAGGAACACGACAGACAAAGTAGACAAACCCAGAAAGTATGATTTTCTATCAATTCCAAAATTTCAACAAAAATTCAATCGGAAGATGAATATCCGATCGAATGAGAGCAGAATTGGGATTTGCGTTTTCCCCAGAAGGATCAACTGTGTATCGATCTCTTTCGCTGGACAAATCAATTCAGCATCCAAAAAAAAAAACGTAGAATCTCCCGGGTTTTGGTATAGGGCAGCCGCGGTTTTTTTTTATTTCATTCACTTTTTTTATTTAATTATTTCCATTTTTTCTTCTCTACGTGTAAGAAACATAAATTGTAAATTATACTGTCTGAAGATTAAAAAGGAGGAAAATAAATAACGATTTAGCACTTTTATTTTATTTATGACTCTGATTAAGATAAATATCTTTAGCTTACGTCCCACTTAGCTGGTGTTGGTGGTCTGAAATCTAATCTTTACAAAAGGCGCGTCAGAAAGTTCCGGTGCGTGTTTTTAACTCGCGCTTTCTCCTTTTTGTTTCTCATCGTATATTCTTACACATATCCCTTTTTTTCCTATTAATGATGATTGTAATAAAGAGGTGAGATTAATGATAACAAACTCTGGCACATGTACATATTTATTAGCTTCTTGATGAAAGAAAACAGGTTTTCATAACTAAAAGATTGTGAATCACACATATAACGACAGAATCCTATATTTACGAGACTGAATATTCATAAAGTAAATGTAATTATGTTAAGGCACTCACATTATCATTGATTTTGACATCCTATTTCCATCTACTATTGCATTTGTGAGATAAGATAATTGAAGAGATACAAAATTCGTGTCAAACTACGCCTATTACAGTATAGAAATTTTAAATCAAAATGTCAGCAACTACAGACACAACTCTTAAATAACGTGTGCAATCATACTTGAATAACGTGCGCAACCATTTTTCATTTTGACATGATACGATACGATCGATTAGTATTTGACTATCTGTGGAGTTTTAAAGATAAATGTTTCAAGACAGTTTTGGCGTCAAGACAATCATTTGTTTTTCATACTTAAAATAGTACGTGCGGTGAAAACAGAGTATATGGGTAACAAACAAGTGGAGACTCAAGCTTGAGAGCATTGTTCTACGAGATTACCAAGACATTCGTGTCATGGCTGTGGCTATGGACAATTTTGGCTTGAAAACAATATAAATTGTTTTTTGTACTTACTGACCGTTCTTACAAGTTTTTATCCTTTTCTTTGATAAGAAAGCTTTTATCTTCCGAAATCCCAAGTCCTAACGTTATACGAAAAAGAGTACGTACGTACGGTGAAAGAAGAGGTAGTATAGGTGCCAACAAGTGGATCAGGATGACTGAGGTTGGATTTGACGAAATTACCCCGCCATTCGTGTGGATAAGGACCAAATGTGGTAAAGAAGTACTATCATCGGTGAATGGGTAGTTTCGTCCTCACAGTCAGAGCGAACAAATCTGATACTATCAAAGTCAAAGACATGGGAAGCCTTAAGAATCAAACACGTTAAATGCGTGCTCTCACGCTCTCCAACACGTACACATCTTTTTATTGTTCACCAACTTCACTAATTAACACATGTTTTTCTTTGCTCTTCTTTTTCTTTTTACTGTTTCACATAATTTTTGGACAGATTAAAATAAAGATTAACGAAGGAACATTACGTAGTTAATGCAAGAAATTAAGAATGGCCCGCAATTAGGTATGCTCAACCATATTGATAGAAATCATTCATATGCTCAAATGTATATATATGAATAAATAGAGATTTTTATAACTGTGATGTTTGTTCAAAATATTTTCATTCGAGGATTAATCAAGAAGCAGCTACAGACTCGGACAGCTCTTCCATGAGTTCCTTTTGCTCCAAAGCAGCACAAGCCTGCAATAAGAATGGAGCAACATTCTTTAAGATTCACATAAAGTGATCAAAATGTTTTAAGGTAAAGGGTTTAGGGTCGGGATTCTACCTGCACTGCATCCTCCAAGGCACCATCAAGAAATGTTGGAAGCGCAAAGTTCATCTTCAGCCTATGATCAGTCACTCTGCTATCCTGTAAATTTCAGAACATAAGCACTAGAGAAATCATCCTGTTTACAAAGCAAGGCTCTTAATAATCAGTGTGTTACCTTATAATTGTATGTTCTTATCTTCTCTGAACGAGCTCCAGTACCAACCTGTTTCCGCAAAGTTATAACATAAAAGCAATATAAGATGATGAACTTGAATAAAAAGGTCATGGTGGGAATATTAATATAACAGTGGACCTGAGATTTTCTGTCATTCCTTATCTTCTCTTGTTGTTCCCTTAGTTTAATTTCATACCTATATATGGAAACATCTCGTCTCATCATGTATATAAATAAGAAGACTAGGGTGAGACTTGAAAGGAGAAGAAGAAGAAGAAGCTAAGAGTGAGTTCCATGAATGTTGCTTACAGTTTTGCTCGCAGAAGCTGGAATGCACGAGCCTTGTTTCGAATCTGAGTCCTTTCTTCCGTACAGAAAATGCGTATACCTGATGGTTTGTGGACTAGATCTATCGCCGTCTCCACCTTGTTCACATTTTGCCCTGCACCAAGACCCACCTCTTTTTCAGTATCCTTAGCAAGTGAAACAATAGTAAGCGATAATTCTTTTGGATTTTTAGCCTGACCTCCAGCGCCACCAGATCTTGCAGTTGTAAGTTCGATGTCCTTCGGGTCAATCACCACTTCCACTTCATCAGCCTATAATAAGAAGAGAGACAAAGCAGAGATGACAGTTTTGGACTGGATACTAAGATTCAGTCAGAGTATCGAAAAAATGCTAGTTTGACCTCAGGCATGATGGCAACAGTGGCTGTAGAAGTGTGTACACGGCCCTGTGTTTCTGTTTGAGGAACACGCTGGACTCTATGAACACCAGATTCGTATTTCAGCTTGCTATAGACGCGACTCCCTTTTATTTCCATCACACACGTCTTGTAACCTCCATGTTCAGCCTTTAAAAGTAGAAAAGTATACGAGTGAGAAACAAAGTCTCAAAGTTGCTATGCTCTTCCAAAACCGTAAAGATGCTATGCTCTTTGTCTTACCTCAGAGCATGAAACCAGAGAAAACTTCCAAGAGCTGCGCTCGCTGTACCTCTGATACATCCGCACCTGCAAGCAAACGAATAATTGCAAAGCAGAATGATACACTTGTAAGATACGTAGCTTTCAGTTACTGCATTTGCTTAGCCACTAAATATAGGATCAATCACACTTTACGGTTGTTATTACGAATGCAAAGCAGATTGAAACAAAATGGTAAATAAACCATCAGATTGTGTTTCTAATATCAGGATATTTTAAAGCAGTGGAGATAAGAAGACCATAGAATCAGACAGAGGAGCAGAAGAAATAAAGGAAAGCATGTACCTACAAGGTCACCAGTCCATATTGCAGCTTCATCGCCTCCAGTTCCTGCTCTAACTGTCCAAGGAAAGTAAATTATTTTACTTGTCCAGAAGTATACATAAATTTGACAATGGAGGGAAGTCGAAACAGAATATCAGAGTTTCAGGCAGAGACAAGTTATGGTTTTTAGAGTGGAAAAAATGAAAAATGATACAACAAGACAACAATGCAATTAGTCATTACCTTCTAGCAATATGTTTCTGGCATCAAGAGGATCGGAAGGAAGAAGTAACACCTGCCACATGCAAACACAATATCACAACTTGAGAATCTTCAAATCAAGAGGGACACAAAAGGCATCTTCAAATATGTTCAGAATCAGCAACATTCCGAATTTCAAATGCCAAATAACTCAACAATGGGACCAAGCTAAAGGGTAATTGCCTATTTGTATATGCTGAAGGAAAAAAAAAAGGTGGTGTAAACCTTAAGTTGTTTTTCAAGCTCCTCAATTTCTTTAGAGAGTGAGTTGATTTCACTTCCTATCATTTCAGCCATATCTTCATCATCTCCAGCCTCTTTCGCCAAAACTGAAGCAAAATATTAACCAATCAAAACCAACCCCAGGGAACAGAAAAAAATTGAATATCAAATTTCTAGTAACTGAAAGGAGGAGACTTGAAGGTACCTTTGGATTCTAGTAACTGCTTCTCACAGTCCTTGAATCTCTGGAAAACGGATACAACCTAATAATAATCAAAAATGAAGTCAAATTTTAAGACTTTGCACCCACAAGTTAAAAACACTAAGTGTAACCGCATTACCTCGTCAAGCTCCGACATGGACTGTGCCAGTTTTTGGTATTCAGATTGATTTGAAACAACATCTGGGTCAGCTAGTTTCACCTACAATTCATTCCAAACTCGTAAGACGTTTCGTTTCCACTGAGAAAAAAACATAAAATGAAAGAATTGTAAGCACATACCGATAATTCCTTCCATGTCTTCTCAACAGACTCCATTTTCCTAACGAGGTAAGGTTCCTAAATCGAAAAATCGTATGAAATTAGAACCCAAAGTCTACAATTTGAAAATAAAGTCCAGTGTTGGGGTTATAATCACTTACGGCCATACAGACGAGTCGTGGAGTCCTGCGAGATGGAGAAAGCGGCCACGAGACCAGACATACTCCTGCCGGTGACTGCCTCGGAGGTGAAGTTAGCGGTAAGGAAGAGTGAAGATGCGTGAAGGCTCGGCTCGTCGTCATCGAGCTATTCATTGTTTACAGAGGTGGAGCAAGAGTGGCGCGTGATTTGTCGGATAAGGAAGGCTTTGGGTGATGCCTGCTTGTTTGCCTGTCAGGACAAGACTATCCAAAAGACCATTTTTCTCTTCTTCAATTTGTCCGGAGATTACAAGGATAGTGTAGTACTTATAAATTACAGTGAGTAAAAGGACATCAATGACTTCATGGCCCAATGGATAAGGCGCTGGTCTACGAAACCAGAGATTCTGGGTTCGATCCCCAGTGAAGTCGTTCATTTTTGTTTTTCGTTTCTGACTTTCAGTGAAACTGAAAACTTCTGAGAGACACAGAAGCTTTGCTCTTTTATCAGTACAGCTTTTTCCGATTGGAACATTCATTGAGCAGCTCCTCAAACAAACTTCATCTCCTTTCCGGCGACGATGTCTATTTACAGGATCGCTAGAGCCTTACCCTTCTCTGGGATCTTCAGGTCTCTTTCCTCCCTTCTCAATTGCGATTACCTTTTAAATTCCCATCTCTTCTCTTCCGGTAACGAAGGTGTGACTGTGATTTAGCTCGTAGATATTTGACGGATACGGATATTCAATTTTTATCAACTCTAGGGGTTTTTTTATTTCGTTTCGATTAGTATTACAACTTCATTTTCTGATTAACCTGGATGATTCGGGATCGATCGATCAGTACTTTAAGCCTGCGTAATGCTTGCATCTCGCAGAGAGACCTCTTTTTGAATATGTATTCATTCTCCCTTATACATTAGCATATCGTTGTTTTGTGTGTTTATGTGAAAAAAAATGTAAGATTTGTCATTGGACAGGCAGCTTGAGCAAGAAGCCGAAACTGTGATCAACGTTCTGCAACCTGGACCATTGGGAATCATAGAACACAAGTTCACGGCTCAAGAGATTCGTGAGGCAAAAGCTGCAGTCTGTAGGGCTGTAGATAACTGGAGGAGACTTTCTAAGCTGGAGCATGCCAATGGCGTTTTGAATGATTACATTTATAAGTGATCAAGTGAGTCAAATCTGTACTTTTTTTTCTTCCATTTTCATGGCTGCTCAATAAAGGCCTTTCGTTTTGTTGAACAATACTTAGACATCAATGGAAAAGCAAATGTTTTCTCTATTAGTTGTGATTGTGAATTAGCATTGCTTACACGTTTTCTTCAGCTTACATAGATTGATATGGTAATTGAGAATACAAGTTGTTGATCTTAGCACCAGGGTTGTGTGACTACAGACTTGCACTGGTTGAGAACATAACCCGAAAAAAAGGCAAAAACAAGTATATCATATATATAGTCTTCTCATCTTATTCTACTCTAGCTGCATTTTGGACTTTAAACCCATATGGCTCCGGCTCTTCTTAGCAGCGAGGCTAGCTGGTTCTTGACTTGGAGAGTCATGACCTGGTTAGCACCACCGATTAACTGCTGCCCTATGAACACAGCTGGTACACTGGGCTTACACCCCATCTGTACCAATGCTTTCTCCATCTCCTGACCGTTTGACAACTGGTCCAGCTCGTACACTGTCATCTTTGCCCCGAATCCTGAGATCAGTGTTTGGATCGAGTGGCTCATGCAGCAAGAGCTCTTGCTGAATATCACCACTGGTTTGTCTGCAACTAAGCTTCTAACGCTTTCCATTGGATGTGTAAAAGGGTGTGAGGAATGTTAACGGATGTACGAGTTAGTGTGAGAGTTTATGTTTGTTTGTGGTTTGATTTTAATACAAAGCTAAGCCTATTTATAGGGCTATGTATTTGGAGAAAGGTAAGATTGCATGAATCAGATCTTTGTCACTACTTTACTTCCAGTGATGTCGTGCCCTTTGGCGTTCTCTAAAGACTGCATGAGCTTAGATTCTTTTCTTTTTGGAAATCAGAATTCAGAACCAAGTGGCATATACAGTTCATGAGAATTTCTTTTTTTTTCTAAATACGGAAATATTCTTGCTATATGGCTTAGTAACGATCCACGGAGCCAGAGAGGTATGCAACAGTGTGATCTAATGTTTTACTCTATGTTGCTTTTTTTGTTTTTGCAATATCTTTTGCTTTTGGTGCATCCACTGAGGTGAAGATTGGATTATGGGTTTATCCAGTTAGATGCCTATCTTTTCAAGCAACAATGGATTCCCCAAAAGTTTCAGCCTCTAAAGAAACGGAAAGCAAGAAAGGAAACCAAAAAAGGATCGTCTTTGGGATACTTTTCTGGTTGCGTGACCTGGAGTCTAGAGAGCAAGCAAGTGTGTGCGATCAAACACAGATCTTGCCTTTTTTAGCTTTACACTATTGTTTCAAGTTTTACTCTGAATGTGAGAGTTTTTCTTAAACTCTTACTAGTCTTCTTTGTTGTTGCATTGACTCTTGAACATACGAATCCATGTTCATTGTGTCTTTTTTTAAATGAAAAACTTTGCAGTAGAATTTCTCTTTGATTTAAGAGGAAAAGGCATGATTCTGACACCAGATTTGGAAATCTAAAAAAATGAGGAATCTTTGGCAGGTTTGTGATAAGCCCATGTGTCGGTTTTTCCACCATGATTGACTTAGCAAGCTTATGGGGTGATACAGATAATAAGCATAGATTCCTCATCATTCATCTTTTCTTTTGTATTCTCTTCCCGATCTCTAGAACTGTCTACAAATTGGCTCGCAGATTTGTCCAAAGGTCATAGCATGTTTCTTCTACGTGTCATTTTCCCGTACGAATTGCGACATAATAGTTCTGTAACGAAAACATGTAACCGTATAGAATCTCAATTATGCATCACAAAGGAAAATTGAAGTTACATATCGTTTTTCTCAAATGAAACAAACACATTAAAGGAGAAGGAGTTTGAGTAAAAATTGATACAAAAGTACTTTCTTTAAAGCTTAAAAGAAAGTTCATTCGTCCACGTCGTTGTGGACAAGCACGACGGAGTTATAATGCTCGCCGAGCCCAAAAGCATGCATGTGATACGACAACATGATGCTCAATTCCTTCCCGGACTTGTACTCTTTCCCCATCTCAACATCCGGAAACGACCCCGAATACACCATTATGTGTTTCCTCAAGCAATGTGTCAACGCTCCTAGCTCCAGCTGACCTCCCCAAGCCGCGGTTGTCTCGACCTCTCTGCAGTATTTCTCAAACCGCTCTTCAGCATTGGAGTCATCATCCTCTGTCTCTGACAAGAAGAAGGGGATGAAGTTGTTCTTGTGCTCTCTCATGTACGCAGCAGCCATTTCTCTTAGCTTCTGGTATGTGTAAGGAGAAGCACCACCGCCTGAGAGATTGGCGAGCTGGTTCTCAACAGCTCTGTAAAGGCAATGCCCGTCTGGTTTTATCTCGTTGATGGTTAACCCCAACGGTTTAAGCTTCTTCTCGAGCTTTTGGTTCTCGACCATACGATCACTTTTCAAATTGCTCTGCTCCTCTTTGATCCTCTGCTCTCTGTCTGCTTCTTCCTTGGCTCGTTTCTCGCGTCTCTTGACGCTCTTGCTCGGCTTTGAGTGTTCTTGCTGACAAGTGACTGAGACTCCAGCGATAGCTCTCACTAACGTGTCCATGTCTCCTTTCTTCTCATCTGTTTCAGCCTTGGAAACGTTGCTGCTGCTAAAGCCTTGGGAGCCGAGTTCTTTCAACTGTTTCTCCTTAAGCTTTGTGGAGAGTTTTGATATGTCTTCTTCGACTTGCTTCTTCTTCGCTTTTTGCTCAGCTTTGCTTCCTTTCGCAGCTGCCTTTTTCATCTCCGTCTCTTTGTTCTGTAGTTGTTTTATCTCTTGCCTACAATCATAAACAACATCATCAACATAGACAAAATTGATACTTCAATTACAAAATTAGAGAGACACTGATGTAGTGCTATTACCTGTGCCTAGCAAGCATCTCATCGACTGTTTCATGTTGCTCCTGAGAAGCATCAATTGAGGTTTCCTCGGATACATTAATCTCTGCCATTGAAGGAGCCTAAGAAATACAAAAAGGAAGCTACAACGATGAACAAACCACACAAAGAAAACAATGATCTGGTTCTAGTGTCAGTTTCGTTTACAAGTTTGTGGATGTTTAGACAATAACAGTTGACAGTAAATCGAAAGAGCAAACTAAATATAGGGATTCTCAAAGCATAAACAAAGATTGAAACCCCAATTCCAATTCCAATTCAAAATTCCACAAAACTCAGTGAAACTCAACACTCAAGAGAATACACGAAACCGGATTTTCCGTTTATTTGAAATAACCAGACTTTAATTCATTACAAAGAGAAATTTTTGCACGGTTTCGACTATGAAAGAATGAAGAAACGCGACTGAAAGATCCAAAGTTAGTTCGTACCTCTTTGGTCGGAGGAGAAGAATCCAAGTTTGTGTGATTTAGGGCTAAACGGCGACCAAAAAGAAAACCGAACAAAAAAAAGGAAAGAAAAACTGAAACGTGATTGGGCTTTTGTATCAACTAGTAAATTAATTTAGATTTGGGGCTTAAGGCCCATTTAGATCAATCAGATCAGAAGAATTGTTGTAGATTCGATTTTCGACAAGTAGAGGCTATATATTATTCTGTCAACGCTTGTGTGGGCTATAATTAAAAGGGGAAGAGAATCCAAATCTACGGATGGTCGAGATGCGACCTAAGAAAACAAATATCAAAAGATTCAAAAATCTAGCTCTCTTACTTTTTTTCATCATACGTGTCATTATATTGTAGCATTGTGTTTTTGTTTCACAGAAAAAGCGTCACTCTATATTTTCAGTCGAGCGATTTATATTTTCACTCTTCTCTCTTTTTTTGTCTTTTTACAAAATGTCAACCCGATTTATAATTTCAATAAACTACTGGCTTTCTCTGGTAAGAAAAAAAAAAAAAAGAAGAAGAAATGAATATATATACACGTATAAATAAATAAGAGATCATTTTAGAGAGAAAATAAATGGTTACAGTAGGTCGGCCAAAAAATGGTTACAGTAGAACAAGACAAGTAGGCGACACATGGAGAGTATCTTCATTTGCACACACACATCACATATTGATGGAATAATTTAAATATACATTGCAGATTATTTATTCCTCATTACACACATTAGTATTCTGCACACATATTATATCTATATGGATGTGTGTGTATATATTCTTGGCGTGGGGTCAGATATGGATAAACTTCTTATCTCAGATTTTTTTCCATGTCAAAGATGACGCAACAGTCACCACCAAATCTCTGCTTTTTTTCTCCTCGCATTTTGAAATTTAAAACTGTTATGTTTTTCATATAATGTAAGCACTTTGAAACATTATGTCTATAACCTTTTTATATATTTTTAGTCAACAACCGCAGTGCTTATACATTCAATCCTATTACAAAATTCATGCATCTATCTACCAATTATATTATTGTCGATGGACTTTGTCGTCCACGTATCGTATACAGCCAATACGAGATGATTTTGTCTAGAAATGGATTGTCTTTTTCAGGTACTTAAGCTTAATCATGAAACAATTAACTTTACTATATCATTCGTATTATAAATACCATAACGCATCAAATATCTCCTTTCTGTTCATGGCATATTACCGCAAATTATTAACCTTCCACGTTTCCGCTAGTTTTTGTTCAATAACAATATCATTTATTTTTTGGGTATGCGATGCTATATTGCTATTGCCAGCCACGGACCGAAAGTGATACAAGTCCATCTCTCAACTGTTTTCTTGTAATATAATATAATACACATTCTAATACATGACAACTTTAATATAATCCCACCACTAGTATAAGTCCATTATAGATTTTCAAAATCAACGAAAATTAATAAATAAAACGGGAGTGATCTCATCAGACAAAATCATAAGGGTAAGCATTTCTTCTTATCCAAAAATTATAAACTTAGACTCTTCTAGGAATTTTTGGTTTTTGTGGGGCATTTTCAATTACAATATAGATTTCAAGTGGGGTATATATATTAACGGTTATATATTTAAAGAAAATAAAAAAGCCATAATAAAATAATCCACGATAACCATTATAAATAACAGCTGACCCAAGCATATATGTACCACATAACATAAGCCTTTCTCATTCCAAAAACAAACACTTCACTACTAACGTCTCTTGATCAGCTGCAAATGGAGAGAATAAGAGATTTGTCGTCGAAGAAAGCGGCAGTAATATTCACAAAGAGCTCATGTTGTATGTGCCATAGCATCAAGACGCTATTCTACGAACTAGGAGCTAGTCCGGCCATTCACGAGCTCGATAAAGACCCCGAAGGCCGTGAAATGGAACGGGCCCTACGTGCGCTCGGCTCATCAAACCCGGCGGTTCCAGCTGTTTTTGTCGGAGGAAGGTACGTCGGATCGGCCAAAGACATCATCTCGTTCCACGTCGATGGGTCGCTCAAACAGATGCTTAAAGACGCTAAAGCCATTTGGTTATAGCGTTCCAACCATCGTACATGTATGTATATATATGAATATGCATACATACGTGATATATACGATGTCAATAATCAATATATATATATATATATATATATATATTATCGGGAGGAAGCATAGATGTATTAAAATGCTTTGCTTCCTTCGCATGAAGGTGATTTAAAAATAAGTTATATACATGTATAGATGTATATATGTATCTTGACTTGGATTGTACGGAAGAAAAGACTAGTGTGCCTTTAAGAAACTGTGTGACACTAGTGTTATATTTCCATGTACGTGAAGAGTAAACTAAAATCTTAAAATCATATGATTAATGCTTCACTTGTTAAAATGCCAAAATATTATTAATTTTGTACGGAGGAATGAATATAAGTTTAATAGCACACTATCGAGATATGGTGATATGATAGAACGATGAAGTGACAAGACAAGATGACTATCAAGAAGGAATGATGATACACGTAGACGAGAATACTATTGGATCCCTTATCTTCGGAGAATCGTATACATTTCCAAAGCTTCACCCACAAGCACCGGAACATCGAACAACACTGAAGAAGCATGTGGTCAGTGCGAAAATTCACGTCGAGTACCGAATAATTTTCTTTGCTTTAGTTTTCTTTTCGTTAAACAGCAACAAAGATCGATTCCATAAATACATACATATTTCACGATCTTGTATATTATTAACAAAACATTTCGTCGGTACTTTTGTTTCTTCTATGATCACCTAAAATTTGGGGGTTAGTCGAGTCTGCTAAATACGTTCAACTAAATAGTATTTTGAAAGACTGGTCATGTAAGATTTTTTCTTCCGGCCGTGTTACACGTATGTAGTTGCGTCTGGGAGGAGAGACGACGGCAAGAGCAGAATCAAACATGAGTGTGTAAGAGTGAGATAGACAAAGAATATTTGTCTTTAGGCAAGTTGGTGGTAGGGGACAACTAATAAGAGAATAATCACTACATATTTACATATTTTGTTGATAGATGTATATCTTATCACCGAAAGCTAGAATCCTGTTTTGGCTATACGTATTCTTCTTTTAGGATTCGATCAATGAGCTATAAACGAGTTCTATCTAGCTCGGAAGAAGATCCGGCTACGAACAACAAGAAGAAGTGACAACCCCAATTCCGTTATACACTAGCATTCTGGCATTAAAAAGATGAGCGATGATACAAGTTAGGCTTGTGTTACATGATTTTATTATTTTTAAGTCAGGTAAATATTATAGTTATCGAATATGAGAATTTCCGGTATTAATTTGAAAGATTTATCAGCTTTATCATTGCAATCAATCATATATAAATTTGATATCAGTAAACGGTATCAAAGATAGTACATGAAACCTTATTTGGACTACTATCTTTATCACTACTTTTTACAGCTTTCAAATTAGACAAGTTTAAATGACTACTCAAATCCCAACAGCTTTTCCTTTCCAGACTTTTTGTCTTGGTTTACAAATCACTTACTATGTGAAAGCGGATTTTATTACTCGTGAAGCCAGCATTAGAAAATCTATCTAGATCTTCTCGTCTGCAAACATTTTTGTATCATATTAGTTGGTTGGTAATATAGTAAATATAATCCTTAAAAATTAGAGTAAATACTCAATAGAAACGTGATTTGTCATGAAAATTAATTATCTTGGATAAATTTTGAAAATCATTCTAAATTGTTGTATCCGTTCATTGACGTTCAGGTGGTCGACATTAGCTATTTCGTCGATGGGGGAAAAACAGACGTATTTGTTGTTGCTATATGCTTTTTCCTTGGTCTCTTTTCTATAACCGACAAGTTCAAAACAAACTTACCTAATTTAATTGCTGCGTCATTAACTACTAATCTTAATCTTTCATTATCAATGAGATTCGTCACAAAAAGCGTCGGACACCTATGTATATATACGGCCCATGTGACAAAGCATGTACGCAAACAACGCGCGTAACGTTCACTCGCTTGCCTTTGAGATCCAGTAATACGGTCGATACTGTTCACTTTCTCTCAGACATGAAGATTTTGTTAAAGGTCTCAGACATAAAGATTCCAAGTCATTACAAATTAAATGTACAATCTCTCGAATCGTATGCTTGATTAATTATGATCGTAGCATTCTTCAATACTATAGGTGGAAAATAAATCAGTTTACTTAAAAAAATTTCTGCAACTTGTTCATCCAGACAGAACATTACATATATTGGTCTTTTTCTCCCAAAGCCGCTTTATCTCTTCGGAAAGGAATCTGAATTAAACTTTCATGTTTTAAAAAAAGTAATCAATTTTCTTGTTTAAAGAAAAAAGAGCAGTCCACACTACTTGCCTTCCTATAAATAGCCCAAGCAGACTATCAAGTTTTCTATACGAACAAAGAAACATATATATATATATATATACACATCAAAGCTAAAGATACATAACTTCTCGATCGTTCGGAGCCGTCAGATCAGAACATCTCTGGTCATGGACAAGGTGATGAGAATGTCGTCAGAGAAAGGAGTGGTGATCTTCACCAAAAACTCATGCTGTCTCTGCTACGCCGTGCAGATCCTTTTCCGTGACCTTAGGGTTCATCCAACAATCCACGAGATCGACAACGATCCTGACTGCCGGGAGATCGAGAAGGCCTTAGTCCGTCTTGGCTGCGCCAACGCGGTTCCTGCCGTTTTTGTAAGTGGCAAGCTGGTTGGTTCGACCAACGAAGTCATGTCGCTTCACTTAAGTGGCTCTCTCGTTCCCTTGATCAAGCCGTATCAGTCATTTCATAACTAGATCATTAATCCATCCTAAAACAATATAATTAATTATGATGTTAATTAGACAGTAAATAATGATGGATAGATTACACGTAAATGTGTATCATGTTCTTATAATTATATATTTCGCTTACCTATGTCTACGAGATTGATTAGCTAATTTGTAATTCCAGCTTAATTAATCAGGTGATGTACTGATGTGTTATCTATATTAATGGAAATATTATTTTATCAAATTAATGTTGTAGGTGTACTGCCTTTCGTTTTAATCTCTGTTTTTCGTATGTACAATATTACTATCACGTTCCCTGGATGGTTTTGATGATAATTGATAACATTAATTTATAGGTCGATTAAATGACCATCACATGAAAATTAAGAAAACGGAGCCGGAGCTGACGAAATGTGTCTAGTAAATAATGATGTAGATCGAACTATAACCAAAAGAGACCCCAAGTTTTTCAATATTCCTCTCATATATAACACCTCTCTACTCTCTAGAAGAAGGTCTTTGAACCGTCCTAACACCAAATCTTAACAGAATTTCAACCAAAAATAGTTTTTACAAAGAATGCTACTCTCTTATGATCTTTGAAAAGAATCAGACCAAAAGCTAAACAGATTACAATTTAGCTCCATCTTAAGGCAAATTATGTCTCCCACTTCTCCTTCATATATGGATCTGAAATTTGATTTGCTCTTACACACCAAAAAATCAAGAACTAATTAGATTTCGAAAGAAATGCATGAAGAAAACCGGATTAGGTGTAGTTGAACCGTCGAGATAAACAAAGAGAAGTGCGTTAGTTGTTTTCTTTTGGTGGCAACAAAAAAAGGGCAAGAAAAAAGTAGTAAGGGGCTTTGCAAGATATGTGGAATAGATTTACTTTACTTCCGAGTTCTTTGGGGATCTTGGGAGAATCTAATGGGCAAGGAACGTGTAACAACTACCTTCACTTGCTGTCTTTGTCGGATTCAAAGATTCTTAGACTGGCGCGTGGGAAAAGCATTCCTGATCTATTATTCATATCAACTATCAGCTTCACACGTACGTACATAAACGATCCAATAATTCACCTTTTGTTACGTTCTAACTTCTAACCATCCCAACTTTTTAAATAATCGACCGACTAATTAACCTTATAAACATTTGAATCATCTGTTTCACCTAGTTAAATATAACACAAAAACATAGGCAGCTGATGCATGTAACATTTTTCAAAAATATCGTGAAGTCAATAATTAGGAGCTGATGGTAACGTTAATTGGAATTATAAAACACCAAAGCGAACCTATAAGCCAAAAAAAAAAGGATTGATTTGGTTCTATTTTGGTTTCATAGTTAATCTGGTTTTGCCCTAAAAAAACTTCTTCAATTGACGCTGACGCTGACGCTGGTTGGTTTTGGGCGACGAAGGACTGACGAAGGCCCAATAGCGGGAATATCCAGTGAGAAATTGACACGTGTGATAATTGTCTTTGCTCCGGCTCCGGCTCCGTTTTGGGTAATCTCACTTCTCCTCACTTAATTCGTCGTAGCGTGGCCATAGGTGGTACTGTTCAATGATGGATTCAGATTCTGCAATTCCCAGCGGCAAAGACTTTGGAAAATTCCAATTCGGGTGATTTCCGCTTTACCTCTTTCCATTATTCCAATTCGAGTATTCTGTTCTGATGTTGGAATATTGATCTCTTCATTGTTTTTGTGTGTGTGTGTGTGTGGTGGTGGATTTGGTGTTTTTAGCTGCCAACATTACAAGAGACGCTGTAAAATCAGAGCTCCTTGCTGCAATCTGATATTCCCATGCCGCCATTGCCATAACGACGCAGCGGTTCGTTCTTTCCCGAATTGCAGCTATTCTCAAATCAGAGTTTTTTTTTTTTTTTTTTTTTTTTTTTTTTTTTTTTGTTTTGGTTGCTGAGAAGATGATGTTTTCTTTGTTGTTTCAGAATTCTTTATCTGATCCTAAAGAACGACATGATTTGGTCCGCCAAAGCGTCCAACAGGTTTCACTTAATTAAGCTTCTGAATTCCTTCTCTGAAGTTAGTTAGTGAGAAAAGGTTTTTTATTGGGATTCTCTGTGGCTTTGTTTTTCAGGTTATCTGTTCAATATGTCAAACTGAGCAAGAGGTAGACACTGCTTTTGATTCTTCATCTCCATTTATCTACTTCTTTTGACTCTCATTATCATCATATTTTGAGTAATTTCAATTCTCAGGTTGCACAACTCTGCTCGAATTGCGGCGTCTCTATGGGGGAATACTTTTGCAATATCTGCAAATTCTTTGATGACGATGTGAGCTTTGTATATATATAGAAGGATTGCTATGCTTTCTGAAAGTATGTATGTGTAATGTGTCTATAATTGTGTTTGCAGATCTCAAAAGAACAGTTTCATTGTGATGACTGTGGAATTTGTAGGTGAGGTGTTGAGAGCTTGTTGCTACTGCTCCATAACAATATCATCTTCTTAGTTTATAGTTTAAACCTCAGACTTAATCTTGTGATATTAATTTTTCAGAGTTGGTGGGCGTGACAAATTCTTTCATTGCAACAACTGTGGTATGTAAATGTAGCTTTAACAACTTGCATGTCTTGGATTCTGTTTTACCTCTTTAGTCTAAAGAAACTCTGCTCAGAGATACTTTGGTGGTGTGTAAGATTTGTCTCCATCAACTGTGCTCTAGGAACATAAGAATCTATTCGTCAAGTGACAGTTGTATAGTGTAGGATCTTTTCATTTGATGCACATAGAGGTTTATCAGAAAGATTGGAGTTGTTTTGTAACTAAATTCTCTATAACTTGTTTTTAATGGTTACAAGCTTTTTTTATTCCTTTTTTCTGTAACTATAAAATCTTATGTATGAATAGCTTTATACACTTGTTTGAGCAATCTCGTATCGTATGTTGTTGCAGGAGCATGTTATTCAACAAGCTTGCGCGATAAACACTCGTGCATTGAGAACTCCACAAAGAATTCTTGTCCTGTATGCTATGAGGTAGTCTACTTCTATATGGTCTATTGTGCTTCATATTGTTAGTAATTAGATTCAATACATCATATTTCGATTTTGTCAAACCTGGCAGTACTTATTTGATTCGGTGAAAGTGGGACATGTGATGAGCTGTGGGCACACTATGCATATGGATTGCTTCGAACAAATGATCAATGAACAACAGTAATTACTAATCTTTCTGTCTATTCCTTGAGAGTATCAAACTTTGCTTTCTTGTACAAACGGTCCATTATTCTCTCTCTCTCTCAGGTATCGTTGCCCCATTTGTTCCAAGTCAATGGTGGACATGTCTTCGGCGTGGCAAACCATAGATCACGAGGTAACAATCAAATATTTTGGATTTGGTGTATTCAAAATGAGGTAAAGACCAACCAACATTCTCTTTTACAGATAAGCGCAACAGAGATGCCTCTTGACTATAAGTTTGAGGTAATGAATGACAATAAACCCAACATTTTGGCCATCACTTGGTTTTGATTTCCTTGTTCATGGTTTGGGATGACGAAGACGAAACTGTTTTTGCAGGTTGCAATTCTTTGCAATGACTGCAACAAGAGGAGCAATACAATGTTCCACATCTTGGGACACAAGTGTGGGGATTGTGGTTCATACAACACTCGCAGGATCTCAATTCCACAAGACCCGGTTTGTGAAACAGAGTGATATATAAGTCTCTGAATCTAGGAATGATACTTCCAACCATATAGCAATACGGCGGCTCTAACGTGCCACCTAAATGTTTTGCAATTGGTTTACGTTTAACAATTGTCTCTGGTTGTTTTAGAACTGGTTATACAATTTCTGGTTAGTCTATATTCACAGACATGTTTCGTGTAAACTCGAAGCGCAAGATTCTCTTGTTTCTGTGTTTGTGTTCTCTTTTAACATATTCGAGTAAAAAGTGTAGCTAGGGGTCCTGAGATTGAAGAACGATTAGAAAACTGCACTAAATTGTCTAATTTTTTCAAAATAAATGGCATAGACAAAGAGCGATAAAACAATTGAAAAGGATAAAAGAATCCAAACAAGTAGGAGCAGTTACATTTTTGACATTGTCGTTTAAAAAATCTCTTGTCCTCTCAAGAAAATACCCCACCAGGATCTCTCAGTAAGTACACAAACAAACATACAACAATATTAAAAAGAATAAGAAAAAAACAACCTTCTCTTAGATCTCTCTCTCTCTCTCTCTCTCTCTCTCTCTCTGTCTTCACTTATTCATTGCTCATGAGCTTGGTTGTTCTACGAAGCAGCCCAGTATTAGATTATTGGCGACCCAGCCACTCTCACTCTCTCTCTCTGAGTGTTCCTAAACTGGAACGGTTTATATGATGAACAACAAGGAGGATGATTGAAAAAATGTACCTCGTTTATTTGTGTTTTTATAATCCGTTAGTAGTGATGATTTGCCTGGAAAACCTCATGGTGGAGTGTTGGTCCATGTTCCAGACGAAGCCAGGCATGTCAAACCGAGGACCAGCCACTGTTCTGTATATGAACACTCTCTCCACAGGGCAGCTCTCTGGTCTGGAGTCGGGTGGGCCCCTTTCGTCGATGACTTCCACATTGAGCTTTGGCATCTTCTCTCCTAACAACTTGCAGGCTCCAAAACTCACCGAACAAGAAGACATCCAAAGGGATCGCATTGTCTCCAGCTTTGAAGCATTCGCCAAAAGCGCCTTGTCTCCAAACGGGCAGTCCCTTATCTCCAGCTTCCTCAAGCTATCGCAACCTGACAGAACATGATGCATCCCTAAGTCACTATCTCCTGCAAACGCCACTGACAGCATTTCCATCTTCTTGGCGTATGTCCCAATGTATTCGAAAACCTTGTCCGTCAACAGCCCTGATAAGGAGAGGCGTTGAAGATCCTTGCAGTGCTCTACTATGGCTCCAAATCCCACATCCAGTGGCTCTAGAGTCAGATAGTCAGGTGCTTTTGGCTCAATGATGCACAAACGGAAGCGTGTCATGTTGGGTCGGTTCCTAGCAATCGTCACCAACGCAGCATTGGTCATTTGACGGCAGAAGTAGAGAACCGACTCGAGCTTTGGACAGCCCTCAGAGACGGAGACAAGCCCCTGCTCCGTCAATCCAACGTTTGCTTCCATGACAAAAGGCTCAGACGGAAACACCCTCAGCTCACGAAGCTCCTTGCAGGTTGAAGCAAGCACCTCAAGTCCAGCATCCTCAATGTAGTCTAGCACCTGTGTCAATAAGTCAATGTAGTGAGCATTGAAGCATATTGTTGAGATACGTTAAAACTAGGTTAAAATGGACTCACCCAGAGGCGCTGCAACTTGGGACACTGACTAAGAAGCTTGACAAGATCATAGCTCTGGACTGTTGCATAACTCAGGTTCAAAGTTGTAAGCCGACTGCAAACCGAATAAACTGCTGGAAGATAGGCAGGAACAGCATCCCAAAACCCAGATAAGCCCTTCAACTTCTTGCACCCGGAGAGAGCTACAGATAAACCAGAGAACACATCTGGTCGCACTTCAGCAGTGTACCCACCGGTTCCCAGTTCCTCCAGTTGAGGTGCTCGTTGAAGTAGAGTTGCCAATTTTTCAAGAGGAACGGCTCGGTTAAGCTTCAGAGACTTGAGGTTGGGACACCTACTCACCAGCCTTTCCAGAGCAGAGAAACTGACCTCAGAGGCTAAGCATGAGATGTTGAGTGTTACCAAAGATGTGTATGTGTCTGGGAAATGGCTAAGCCAGTGCCCGCTGACATCATCAACATCACTCTCCCGCAAATCAAGCTCTTCCAGATTCCTGCATAAGAAAATCATATAATTAGCATCGAATGACTGATATGCCCGCATCATAAAACATAGACCATAAACATCCACAACCTCGATAAAAATAGAAAAGATCATGTGCAGAAACTTTATAAAATACCACTTAAAATGGCTAGAAAGTATAATAGTTCAAAACTGTTTTTGATGCAATGTGGACAATTTGGGGATAACTGTCAAACAAAAGAAGAATGATATATTAATAGTTCAAGTTCTTCACAGGGAAGCATTGTCAGAGATGCTAAAACAGAGCTAACGAGCAAAGGATGCGAATTAGAAAACAGATCTACGTTGCCTAATCAGGTAGACAGAAAAAACCCACAAAAAGAAAAGTGAAAGAAAGAGCCAAATTGACTTAATAAGATTTCCCACCTCAGGAGATTCATTGAGCGAATAACCCAGGAATAAAGATAAATACTTCCGTGAATAGACCCAAAAACAAAATAAGATTCTTCAGGACCAAAATAAGATTACAACATCTATCTTAAAATACGGAAAATATTCACCAACAAAAAAAACAAATTCACAAAGACCAGAGAAAGAATTTTTGCCCATATCGAATGAAACGTACAGAAAAACAAGTACATGAAATTCACTTGCTGAAATATAACACATACGCTACTCTGCTGTAGCTAGACAAGTGAGGTAAATGGTAATTGAGATTTAAGTAAGAGAAGGAATTTCCAGATTAGCACAAGAAGAAATGTTCAATTTGCAGAGTGAAATCAAGAGAGTAAGACCTGCAAGTAGCAGCGATAGCAGCGAGACCATCGGTGGAGAAGCCTTCGCAGGAAGAGAGGACGAGAACTTTGAAATTCTTAAAGGACTTAGCGATGAGCTCCAAGCACTCGTCCGTCACCACCATCCTCTTCAGCCTTATCTCCTCAAGCCACGTGTACGACGACGACATGGCCTCAATCCATGGATACACGTAACCTCCCCATCCATCAGGCACCAAATTGAAGTCAGCGAAGTGAGGCTTTCCCTTGAGCTCAACGGATCTCACTTTCGGGAACCTCCGGATCACCGTCGCTGGGGTCACGGCGTAGCAGTTCCCGATGAAGACTTTCCTCCGGCACCATCGCTCGATCTCGTACCACGACTTGCACACCAGCGAGACCGAGTTCCTATCCTTGTCCAGCTCGATGAACGAGAAGACGTGCTCCAGCACTTCTTCTGGGAACGACAAGGCCAATCGCTTATGCATTGCGCCGGAAAAACCTCGAGATCTCGACGATCGAGCAGGGACAACCCACAGTAAACAAATTGGGGAAACGTTTAGAGAAAGAGTTAAGGAGTTATGTATACAGGAGGGTTAGATCTGAGGCGCCATTAACGGAGACAATTAGCTGCGCAAAGAAGATGCAGAAGCAAAGGTGAAGGTTAGAGGAAAATGAAAAAGGAGCAGAGAGAGTGAGAAGAGATGGATAGGAGGGGAGAGAGAGAGAGAGAGAGGAGAGAGGTCAAGTTAAAAGGAACTCTGGTTGGGTTAAATGTTAACCATGGTCAAACATCTCCATGTGAGGCTTTTCGGTGATTGTGATTGTCTACTCCGATCGTGACACGTGTCGTGAAGAATTCGAATACCAGCCGTTGGATTGAATGAAAGCGGGAGATTATCTTATCGACTGTGCAGAGAAAGGGGCAGCCGCAGAAAACGGGACGAGAAATTGGAGGGGTCGCTTATCGCGAGAAGAAGTGGAAATGATAACCTGCGGGAAGGTGTATGGGAAGAGGGAATCTAATGATAGGGCTTGATACGCGATGCACGGCTGGATATGAGGGGAAGCCCCGTAAATTGCGGGGACCACAACAGAACGTAAATAATGGAGATTAATTTGATCTGACGGTTAGGAGAAAGCCACGGTTAAATTATGATGACATCAGAGCCGTCCATTCATGTTGTTTTTGATGTTTATTTACTTTTTACCAAACCACTTGGATCACCACAACAAGATTTAAGATTTTTTGTTCTTACTGAATTAAAATTTTAATGCAAGCTTCCTTTTCATATACAAATATATGTGGAGTATAACAGATTCGCCTATATTTGAAATTAAGTTTGATTGTAACATTATATAATTCGTGCAACTGATAAAAGATTGGTGTTGAATGTTAACTAGAATTGCGTAGAATTGAAATAATTGTAGGAAGAGAGCTGTGTTGTGTGTATGTGAGGGAAGTATCCAATAATTTAAAGTGTATAGCTTTATGAGTAAGGAGTAGAAAAAAAAAAGGTAAAGAAAGAGAGAATTGGTTACTGAAAATTTGAATAAAGTACGAAGAAAGTGCAGCGTCGCATCTTAATCACGACCGTCAGATCTGGGACCCTCTTTTTCACAGTGTACGGACACACACACACACAATAGTGACTAGTAAGAAGAAAAATTATACTACTCGTTAATTCTTTAGTTATTTTGAGACTAATTTACATCGTTGGGAGTGTAAAATCGGATAAAAATAAATTATCTCGGGCTTTGGCGCACGTACATTGGGTTAATCGCTAGAAAAGGAAAAGAAATAGGGAGCAGCGTTATGACGATAATGCCCTGCTGCTCACAGAGAGGATCCAGGGTTGAACTGTTTGTGCAAAGAAGGGTAAAACTGTCAATTTAAAAAGAACAGTGTATGATGGGCTTTGCACTGTCTCAGCATGGTCTCAATAGGTCTGTCCTCTCTAAATAAACATTGTCACAGATCAAACAGTGTATGCCCCTGATTGATATGAATCATGTTTGATTAGATCGTCACCGTTAATCCACTTAACCTACTACTATATGTTTTGTTTTTTTTTTATATTAGTGTTCTCTTAAAGTTTTATTGATAAACTCTTTATAAATGTAAGAAGTGCTCGGAAATTTAGGTAGAGAGGAGTAATTAGGAAAAACAAAGAGGGGATGAGTTGTCTTGCACGTAATACGCGAAGATTTTGATTAGTTAAATGTCGTCAGAGAAAGGAAACTTATTTAACTAAATGGGTATTAGAGGTCATTGATTCTTTGATTATCAAGTTTAAGGATATGATTAGAATAATAATCCCACGCATGGCTCCCCCGCGAATCTCTCTTATTTTTCCTCGGGTTTCGTACTCAGACTAGCTTGCACTTTGCTGTATATACTAATACTAGTATTAATTATCTCCATAATTATTTTAAAATTTTCTTCAGCAATACTAGATCCGATTGTGAACATAAAAATATTGATTTCCTGAAGGTAACTAGTATTACCGAAAATATGGTGCGGTTTAAACTGTTTTACAAGATAAAAAAAAGGTTGGAAGTGGTTTCAAAACGTTCGAGGCTGCTAACTTTTACCAAAACTAATCAATGCGAAAAGAGAAGACCAGTAAGGCTTAATCATTATGTGTACATATATTTGTGTTTAACCCTTCATTATGAAAAAAGGATATACGTAGACGGGTACGCATGTGTGGAAGATACATTTAACCCCAAAAACAATTAAAGATAAGATACATAAAACAAGTACAGTAGTACTAGTGTTTATGTAAGAAGATAGATGATGAGTGATAATGCAAGATTAATGAAGAGGTGGTGTACAAGTAAAGTGGCACGTGATGGAAAGCTAAGTCGGATTATGTTGATTATAATGACCTCTCTCCCCTATAGTGGAAGCCATCCTTTTCCGCTTTTTCGTTTTCTTTTTTTATTTTATTGTTCTCTTCTCTATATCGTTACATGATTTGTCAAAATCTAACCAATTAAAATTCCATAATCTTCGCTTTCTTATTTCTCAAACTCGTGCTCCTCCATATCACGGTTTTATTAAAATCCATTTCCCCATATTTTATTTGCCTTTTTATATACTATTGTATTTCCTAATTCCTATACTGCAAAAATACGTCACGCAACTATACTTTTTCATTATTGTTGTTTTCAAAATTAATATTGGACGGTTCTTGGTTGTTGGTTACGCATGAAAACCACATCACTTCAAAGAGAAAACAAAAATAAAAACTCTAGTCAACGCCTCCTAGTTTACTATTTACATGTCCGACGTTCAATAACATATCATTATGGAATATTTTATTTACTAGCCAATATATATGTTGGGAACAAAAATTAGAAGACATATGTGAAAGGAAATTATAGGTCTACGTATAAGCTAAAATGAAAAATGGATGTTAAAAAAAGGGACAATGACGAACGGATAAAAAGAAAAATACAGTTATTAGTTTTTCTTACCAGCTAGCAAAGCCCATTGGGCCGGCCTAGTGGGCCCCTCGAAGTAGGGTAGACGTCGTGTCTTGTATTGCCATTCTTGTTTTGTCCAATCACATATTTTCTGCTTTATTATTCTTGCATGTAAACTTATTACAAATCGAATTATTGTATGTCTAATAACATGGTTAATCTGTGAACGTTTGATATATTCGTTTTGGTGCGACAGATACAATTACAAACGCGGTGATGCTAATTCCTTTTTCTATTTCTGATATATACACAAACGCAGTGATGTGTTGTATCGTTGCGATAAGAAGAGTAGCCAGAGTTTATCCATTTTACTGAAAAGGAGAAATGATGATGACAGTATTAAGAACGAAAAACATTAAATGAAACTGAAGTTGAAAAAAGAATACTTCCGAAAAGTTATAGAAACCTTATTATGATTTGTCTCTCTTTTGTCCAACTTTCAGTCTCTCTTTTTATCCAATGGAGCAAATTTAAGAGGGCGTGTTAAAAACTCATTGGTCGGTTCCTTTAAACGTTGACGGGCACTTTTCGCACTTATTCTTTTTCACGATAAAAACTACGAAGCATATCTAATCATTCTACTACACGTGTCGAAAAATAACAGCACCCTCCTTGTTAATTAATCACGATTTAAAAATTTGTTGTTATCATCATCTCATTCACATCGGCTGACTATCTGTGTATAAACAATTTCCTCCACATTTTGACGCTAAGTATTTTTATTTGGCACCGATTTCACATTTTCAAAATATCCCTGGAGATACAGACCGATTGGTTAGTCGGACAACTGTGAGAAAAATAATAAATGGCTAAAACCCAATGGATAATCTACTTTGTCAAAATAGCGGTACATGATTAGTTAATCATCGAGGCTTCCAATTTTTAGAACAAAACCTACGATGGATGTGGATCATTACAAAGTCCCATATTATAATTCATATCATATAGTAGATGGCTTAATCCGTTGTTTCAATTTAATTTAGCGAGAAAGTAAAGGCCACGAGGTAAACATGTGTTTTGCATGATTCAATGAACCGAACATAAATGTTTGAAATATATGATTTACTTAAGATTTTATGTATAGTAATATCAAGCTAGTCCACGTAATAATATAAAAAAGTTAGTCCAAGTTTAAACTGATTAATAAAATATGAAATGGAAAGGGTGCGTACTGGTTTGGTGGGATGTAAAAGTTGTATGAGATGTTTGGTGGTTCCACTAAATCACAATTTATTAGGTTACGCGACCGAATGCCAAATTCTTACTCACGTCTCGTATACTTTTTGTTTACTATGAAACATTTTAAATTCACAATTATATCCTTTTTGGGTTTTGACTGCATTACAAACTGACTGTATCTAGCTTTGTTAACTTTGACATTTATATGTGTGTGGAACAGTGGAAGTGGTCGCTTTTGCCGACTTGTGCATTTCAAAATTGTATACAACCAATTTGCGTTATGTATCTTGTCCATACTTATAATCATGCAGTAAAACAAAATGATATAAATCCTGTAGCATATAATAACTACTAACTATAATAAACCAAGGTGACTAATACAGTAGAACCTCTATAAAACAATACTCGATAAAACAATAAACACTATAAGATAATAATTTTCTCCGGTCCCAACTCGGGCCAATGTAAAAAATAGCATAATGCGATAAGATGATAAGACAATAATATTTTTGAAACTCCTATGTAAAAATATAGTCCCAACAATAAGCTAAGATAATAATTATAAAACTAAGCATATATATCTAAGACAATTTAGTAAAATATGACTCCAATGTAGTTTGTCTTTTCTGAAAATTGGATTCCCGTTGGAGCTCATCTCGAATTTTTCTTATTGCATCTACAATTTCTGGTGGTGTATTCTCAACATGCAGCCAAAAGTTGTGAAGAGTTCTCGAAGCCACAATTGCTTCTTACGTGTAACTACTTGCACATGTCCTTTCCTCATCATCTTCAACTTCATCTTCACCATTAAGAACAGTAGACATAATTTCTTATAGACTTTGAACTTCTGAGCATGAAATATGTAAATAACAAAGTATAAGGAAAATTTGAATAAAAAAACTGAAAAAATATATTTCTATAAAGTTTCTTGTTTTTGATAGAATATTTCTATAAAATAATAATTATTGTTTTATCGATAAAATAATAACTATAAGATAATAAAATTTCAAAATCCCGACATTATTATTTTATAGAGGTTTTACTGTATCTCCCATTCAAGTCTTTTACCTTAGACGCACACAAAATGATTGGATCTTAATTTACTGATCGTGATTTATGCGGAAGAGTACGACGTCTGGTCGAGACTCTCCTCTCATTCGACTATTAATATTGATGGGCTGCAATGCATGGTCGATCACAGCCTCGTGTAAAACTTTATCACGAAAATACTATTTAAAGTTCAAACAAAAAAAAATTGAAGTTTTATTTGATATTAAATATGATACATCTATAAGATTAGATGTATTTTTGTTGATAAAGGGTTTTCAATAAGATTAGGTGTAGACAACGTCGAAATCTATCATTATACCTTAGGGGCCATATCAATCAAAATACTTTCAAGATCACTTATTCAATATTGCGATAAGAGTTTATGAATTCGTTTGTCTTCTCATGCTTTTTGTACAATTCGAATAATAGTATATATGTAGCACGTGGATTTACCGCGTCTGTTACAAGAAGAGAAAAACACAGTTTCTTGAAATCACTAAACAGGCCTCGACTAATAGATACATAAATTATACGAAATGAGAGAATAAACCATATTACCATTCCATGCTTGGGAAGATGGTGACGAGTGACGACGATCGGCAAGCGAGAAACAGCATTCGCCATTATTGTAAAGTCTTATGGGTCCACTTATTTATGTTTTTGTTTTAATCATCCTTTTGCTGCTACTGAACTATCGATTTCGTATGTCAAATATAATAGCTTTCAGCCTTTAATTTTAAAAATGGTTTTTTATTGTATAGAAATAAACAAACTAATTATGTAGATTTGATTCAATAAATGGCATGATCGAGGAATGTGGTCCTCAAAGAGACACACCATATAGTTTTCTCAGCCTTTCCTTTTTGGACCATTTAATTTCATGTAAATTGGACCACTCCTCTCGTATTATCCCCATCTATTCCAAAATATCATATCACTTCACTTACTACACGTCTACACCTAATACCTCTAATCGATTCATGTCTTCTTCTTGTTATTATAGCATAAATTAGTAGTTTCCGACGACATATAAAAACAAAAAAGAATCTAGTAGTTTCTATGTATTTTACGACGGGCGGCCTCTTAAAAGCCCATTAGCATGCGTGCGTAAAACAGAATCAATCCCATTTGGGTTAAGGAGCAAAATTGGAACTTAGAGAACGATGACAAATCCATTGCCGCCTTTGTTTCTGTAACAAGCCCGTGGAACGTAAGGGCTTGTAGCAAATACTGTATGGATATGAGGTGGTTTTAATTGAATTTCTTCCTCAAAAGTATCTACAACGGAACAACGTCCTGTTGTTAGTCTCAAGTCACACTTGTAATTCTAATTTATCAACGCATGCACGTAAAGTATATTTGTATTATTAAATAATTAATGGATTATGTGATTTATGATGACTTGATGAGTGGTACCAAATTATTATAGCATGAGACAAGCTACCACCTATATCTCTGACACTTGGACTTGCATACGTGTTGTTTGATCGTTCACTTGTTTTCCAGAAGGCTTGAAACAATGGAACGATATGAATCACATACTCCAATATTTGGTATTTTAATTTGTTTGGTTTTAGTTTTTTCTGATTTATAGGAACTTTAGTTGAGATGGAAACTGGAAATAGAAAATGGAAGTGCCTGTTTTTTTTTTTTTTTTTTTTTCATTTTACATGATTATATCTGTACTGTATCACTAATAAAGCATTGCTATATAATCTTATATACAAATAATTTATACACAGTCCTTCTAGAAGTCGAACCCCACATAAGCTTAATTGCATACAGTCTCTTGTCTCTTTTTGTTTAATTATATAATTAAATATGATAGCTTTATCAAAGTCCCCAAGAAATCTGATTTAGCAGCGTTATCTCTTCGCTTTATATCTGCTCTTATATATACACACATATAAAGAGGGATTTACATGATACTATAACTAAGTTTTGTGCTTAATTGTGTTTTTGTCAAAAGAACCATGAACACGAAGAACAACGTCGTTGAAGATGTGTCACCATTCTTTGTCTTCGAATCGTCTGCAGATTCCGAGACCCACGAAGAACGTAGGCAACATGGAAATGCCAATGATGACAAAGGTTATGGAGATTATGGAAACGATGCTGAGTCAACGAGTCAAAGGACGATTGGGGCAACGGGGTATGACTCGGTGGAGATGGATGAAGAAGAAGAGGTAGTCGTCGGAGAGAAAGAGGAGCACGATGACGTAGAGGTGAATAGTTATCGGAGGAAAGAAAGTGAAAATCTGACCGTTGATCGGTCTTCGACGGGAAATGATGAGAAGTTGATTAGGGAGATGGAAAAAAGTCGAATGTTTTGGGAAGCTTGTTTGTCTTCATAATCTGGGAACAAAATATGATCTTTAATTAGCGTGTTATTTTCTGGTTCTTTATACATTAAATTAATATTTTGGTGTATGTTTTGCATGTATTGATCAAATCTATATGGTAGATATGTGTGATTTATCGACTAATCGAATAGTTTCGTCTTATCCAATTTTTCATACGGTCAACATATATTTTCTCTGGCGTTACCGGTTTGAAAGACAAGAAAAGCAATTGGGAAATTAACAGTGAACCGGACCGAATTGTTGACAATAATGGGCTAAATAGTAAAGCCCATTATCGTTAGATGGGAAGCGCACCGTTTTAGGCAATCGTCTCCTTTAATCGATTCTTGCTTTAACTGGAACAAGAAGAAACAAAGTTGTTCGAATCTCAGAGCTATTCGTTCGACTCCCATCGGAACAAGTAAATCATATATACCTTCAAAACAATCCCACTTCAAGTATTTGCTCTATCTGCTTTACTTATATTTCGTTTTTTAGAGTAATTCGAAGTGGATTTCGAGATTTTCTCGGGAAATTTAGAATTTTCTGGGTTTTGATTTCGTTTGAAGGAAGATGATGATGCTCAGAATCCGAAGCAGAGATGGATTGGAGCGAGTGAGCGTAGATGGACCTCATATCACTGTCTCCCAACTCAAAACCCTAATCCAGGATCAGCTCCAGATCCCAATCCACAACCAGACCTTGTCCACCAATCGGAACCTTCTCCTCGCGAAGACTCCTGCTGATTTCCTGGGGTTCAGCGACATGACCGATCCAAACCTCCGAATCTCGTCGCTCAATCTGGGCCACGGGTCTATGGTCTACCTGGCGTACGAAGGCGAGCGCACGATTCGCGGAGGTCCCGCCGTGACCCCTGCCGGTTCCTTTGGGAGGAAGATGACCGTCGAAGATCTGATCGCAAAGCAGATGCGCGTTGGTCGCCAGGAGAAGTCTCACTGCGATTCCGTCTCGTTCGACCGCGATTGCGCAAATGCGTTTCAGCACTACGTGAACGAGTCGCTGGCGTTCGCTGTCAAACGCGGGGGTTTCATGTACGGAAATGTGTCGGAGGAAGGCGCGGTGGAGGTGAATTTCATCTACGAGCCGCCGCAGCAAGGGATGGAGGACAATCTGATGCTGATGAGAGACGCGGAGGAAGAGAAACGCGTGGATGCGATCGCTCTAGGGTTGGGGATGAGGAAAGTTGGGTTTATATTCAACCAGACAGTGACGCAGGACAAGAAGGAGTACACTTTGTCAAACGTCGAGGTGTTGCTTGCGACGCAGCTCCACGCAGAGAGTGAATTGAAGGAGTGGGTCACTGCAGTTGTGAAGCTTGAGATCAATGAGGACGGTGGTGCAGATGTTCACTTCGAGGCGTTTCAGATGAGTGATATCTGCGTTAGGTTGTTCAAGGAAGGATGGTTCGAGACTGAGATTGGATCTGAGGATGACCCGAAGCTCTCCAAGATGAAGAAAGAAGTAGTTGTTGGTGTCAAGGATGTTAAAGAAGTTGATAATGATTTCTTCCTCGTTCTCGTCAAGATCTTGGATCATCAGGTATGTTTCTGCTCCCTTAAGCTTCTGCAGCATGACTATAGTAGTTTAGTTGGTCTATGGTTGAAAAGATTGAAACTTAGCAGCTTCTGCTCTAGCAACTAGCAAGTAGACGTAGTGATAGGATGATAAAGTTGGAATAACAAGTGATATATGTACTTTTGAATGTTGTAGATTGAGGACATTGATGAGTTCTTAATGTTGATGCGTCGTTTGCTTCTCATTCCTCTTGTATAATGCTGTGGGAATTGGCAGGGATCGCTGTCATGTACCTTCCCGATAGAGAACAGGAACAATCAAACAACAATGAGGGCTTTGAAAACGCATATGGACCGTGCAAGGAGCCTCCCGTTCGTGAAGAGGATCTCAGATTTCCACTTGCTTCTCTTTGTGGCTCAGTTTCTAGACGTTGGATCAGATGTTCCTGCATTGGCTGAGTGCGTTCGTCTTCAGTCTCGTGTCCCTGAGGGCTATGAGCTGCTCATCGACTCCATGGCCAATACTTCTTAAACTTATATTTCAGTTTACGTGTTTGTGTTTATATTTTCCTTCTTCAAGGTTTATGTACAACTTTTAGATCTTTCTTTAAATTATCGTATTTTGACTCCGAAAATGAAAAGAAGAATTCAAAGGGAGTCACTTAGTAAGATTAAGTAAAGTTTTAAATCTCTGCCCAAATTTCATGAAATAAAACACGACCTGCAAAACTATTGTTGCCATTGCCAGAATATATAAAAGAGAACAAACAAAAATTGGAGATGCGGGGGATCGAACCCCGTGCCTCTCGCATGCAAAGCGAGCGCTCTACCATTTGAGCTACATCCCCAATTGTTAATAATTGACCTTAACGTAATATTGTAGTTGTCAAATATAGCTTACAATATGGAAATTGGTCTTGGGCCCTCTTGGCTTTAGAGTTTTGGTAAAAGGTTTTCATCTATAAGATGGAAAAAGAAAAACTAAACTAATTTAAGACAGATAGCTGAATTGGCATGTTACATGCGGGTTGTTCTTCAAAAATATTTGACATTTTTCTCCGTTGCTGTTGATAGTAAGTTGGTAACGAAGACTTGTAGGATTTGATGGGTTACCAAGAATAAATAAAATATGGAGATGCGGGGGATCGAACCCCGTGCCTCTCGCATGCAAAGCGAGCGCTCTACCATTTGAGCTACATCCCCTTTTGTTAAATATCTTTATATTTCAAAATTGGACTGACCCAAAGTTTATTGTGTGATGGTTTGCTACTTTCAAGACCAAAACACGACAAATTAAGCGCGGACAGCAACAAAATACAATTTGTCGTCTTCTTCCACTTTTGAAAATTCATCCGAAAACATACAGTATTAAAAAGAAAGGGTAGAGTGGGGAAGAGTTTGGGTAAAGCTCGTTTAAAACACATTAGCCTGTCCATGTCTACGAGGACCATGACAATGCTTGCAAAAGTCCAATTGTACTTGAAAGTGAATTTATGTGATATTTTTGGGGGGAAATTTTGCCCATTAACAATTCAGCCGATTAGTCGATATCCATTTGTAATTAAGTAAGGTTGCAGTACAATAGAGACTACATCGTTGTAGGTTTTTTTTTTTTCTTTCTTATGTCCATTGAACACTAAAACATCTTCCTTTTGGCTATAGTCCACTGGTCTATTCAATTCTCAATCATACATCTAATCACATCAAATTTCAATACAGTTGTATTTGTAGTTTCTACCACGTAGTCAAGTACTAGTAGAACAGTAGGATACTTTACGGGATCACTACCAAACGGGGGAGAAATATTAATGTATCTATAATACATTCGTTGATAAATATCTATGAATAAATACTTGTGTCGAAGATATTCTGTTTATTCCACGGCTTGATTAATTATGAGTTGCGATTTTCTCCATCGTAGGTGATAGTGGAAGAAAAAATATATTAATGACTGTACTTTTTTTAGAATCAATTTGAAAAAGAAAGGACAAAAACTAGAAAAAAAAAAGAAGTAAGGAGTGGAAAATGGGGAGCACACGTATCGAAAGGACAAAATAGATGACGACAAAATTAAGAAAGCCTCAAATAGACACGCGAATCATATACCTTAGCGTGTTCTCCTTTTATTCTTTCAATTTGTTTTTTCTTTTTCAATTGCCGCCTCCCTTTTTTTTCTTTGTACACAACCATTAAAATGAGCATGTCGTGGATTAATTGTAAAAGTTTGCTAAGCTTATGAAGCTAGTAAACCAATTTCGAACTCATTTATGTATCAATATGAACAAAATATCCCCTGATAATAAGAATTGTAATAAAAGAAAAAAGGAGGGAGAAAACATAATTTACTTATTAATTTGTCGGTCTGGTCACTGGTGACGTCTAAGTGGCATTAAATCCAGTTTAAAGCAGGATAATTATATGTTAGAGAGAAAAGGGGACAGAGAGCCTTTTGGGCAGCAATAGAAGGTATTGACAATGGACTTGGTCAGAGTCATTGGCGTGTGATGGCCACGCTCTTCTATCACAAGACGACGAAATCCGAAGCCCATTCACACACATTCTACCTAATAGGCCCCTTTTGAGAAAAAAGAACAAGTAAACTTATTCCGAGTAGGCGATACATTTATTTCGCTCTACTCTCGCAAATGACTTGTCAAACAAATCATGACGAATTAGTATTACAAATGGAAATATACAAACAAGAAGTCTGACAAATCGAGTAATTTACTTCTTTTGTTCAACAAATGCTTCAGAAAAATAACGGAAACAAAAATGAAACAACATTCTAGTTTCTACAACCGCAAAAAGCAGTTGAACAATACAAGTTTAATTAGACGGCTATACAATATTCCAAATGATGTTTTTTTATTTTTAGGTTGGGACAATGTTCCACTTAATGTTTTTCAAAATTAAAAAGACGACATATGAATATGATAAGTTAGGCGTACGTTCAGTTATATATTATTGGTTTCCACTTTTCAGAAAACATATAGTTTTTTTTTTTTTTTTAAAAAGAAGAATAATGGAAACGGAAAATAATGTATTTGTGAAAATCCAACGTTTGAAAGAGAGGGTCCCTGACTGAAGGCATGATGTCATTCGCCCAAAATAGAACACGTTTCGCCAGTAGTGGCAACACTCGTAATCTCGCAGACCGGTCGAGGGCATTTATGGTATTGCGAATCGGTTTTAAATAAGCAAAAGAAAACAACACAACCCTTTTGTCGCCACATGCCATGGCGTTGGTCGCACGCTGGATAGCTCTTTCTTTTGTTTTTGTCATCTTCCTTTAACTAATTTTTATTTTGGTTTTATTTCACAATTTGCATTCGCATTTTAATTTATATAAAAAAGAACCAAAAACCAAAACAACCTCTCTCTGTCTTTCACCCTATCATAAGTCACAACCATCATTTTATAAAACAAGATCCAAAACTTTATGGTTGCCTTTTCGCTTTATATATTTAAATAGTTTAAAGCTGCATAACCACATAATTTATATATATATATATTATATGATTAGATGATGAATGATCTTTTGATGGATCTTTTATTTTCTCACCTTTTTATTTTCTTACCTCAAATCTACCTCATAAATTAAATTGTCTTTATATAAACTGATAACTTCGTTTCCACTTTCCATCACATGGAGCCAAACGGGTAAAACTGAATAATAATACTAATCTGGTAAAAAAAAATCAAAATCGTGGAATGTAATAGAGGGATTACAAAAAAACAAAATATCAGTTTAGATATGGAAAATCATTGTACATGAATTGCAACGTCACAAACTGACAAAGAAGATATGATTTATTTTGTTAGGAGCATAGTTAAGACACATAATCGTTATGCCAACGCATATGAGGGAGGGATTGTTATATGCAAAATTGATTTCACAATTAAACGTGAAATAATCAAAGAAATGAATTGTCGGAAACTAAAACTAATTGTATACAGAGCCGTATATTAAAATAGTAAGGGAAAAAAGAGAGAGGAAATAGAAAAGGAGGTGGTCAAAAGAAGCACTAATGAGAGAGCGTGTCAGGTCTGGCGTGCCAATAGCCAATCCTCTCTTCCTCTTCACATGCCACCGTGGCCAATCCTCTCTTTCCTTTTTCTCTCTTATTTGTTCAAACACTTAAATATTTTATTTTTCATTATATAAATATTTAATCAGCCGACTGAGAATTAATGAGTAATTAGTAAATTACCTTATCGTCGTCGTCGTCGACAAAGGAAAAAAAGTAAAATGAAAATTAATAAGAAAAGAGAGAAAAGTGGATAGTCGAAGGGACCCTCATATCGAAACAGTATTACTCGATCGTCCGGTCCATTCGTCACCGTCCGATGGGTTCTTATTTCATCTTCAACCTCTCTCACCTTTGACCCTCCCAACCAGAGAGCTCTCTCTCCTCTCTTTTGTTCAACTCTGTACTTATCTCTGCCTCTCTCTTTTCTGCCCAGCTCCTTTAAATCTTCTTCTTTTTCTTCTTCTTCTTCTCCTGTTTTCTTCAGCTCAGGAGATCCATAGTCAGAGCGTGCGTTTTAACGGTATGAGGTCCTTTCACTAGCTAAGAGAGACTAATCCTCGCTTGAGAACCTTTCACACCTCGAGATTTTATTTTCTGGGATTGTTTGTTTTCATTTCCTGGCAATTCGGTGACTATGGCTGGTGGAAACGAAGTCAACCTAAACGAATGCAAGGTACTTTCTCGTTGATTCTTCCGATTGATCCATTTCTGAGATTTCCTCTTACTTTTCTTCAGCAACGCTTCCGCTTTTGTTGTTTTCGTTTAGTGTGTGTGATTTCTCGTTAGTCTCGTAAATCCCCAAAACTTAGGAATTAAATTTTAATTTGGTAGGAGATGAAGATCATCATCACCATAGATTCATCGTACGGACTGATCTTTTCTTTCAGAAAAGGATAAAAATAAAAATCTAAGACGTCCCATCTCATGAAAATCTTGTTTCGATTTTTTATTTGTGCTCCTGTAGAGAATTGTCCCACTCAACACATGGGTCCTCATTTCCAATTTCAAGCTCGCTTACAACATTCTCCGCCGTCCCGACGGCTCCTTCAACCGTGACCTCGCCGAGTTTCTCGACCGCAAAGTCCCCGCCAACTCTTTCCCCGTCGACGGCGTCATCTCCTTCGACCACGTCCACACTTCCACCAACCTTCTCACCCGAATCTACAAACCAGCCCCTCTCGACCGCGCCCGTTACGGTGCCGTCGACCTAACGGAACCACTCAGCACGACGGAGACCGTCCCCGTTCTGATTTTCTTCCACGGAGGCAGCTTCACTCACTCCTCGGCCAACAGCGCTATCTATGACACTTTCTGCCGACGCCTAGTCAGCATTTGCGGCGTTGTGGTCGTCTCTGTTGATTACCGGAGATCCCCGGAGCATCGCTACCCTTGCGCTTACGACGATGGCTGGAATGCTCTCTCTTGGGTCAAATCGAGAGTCTGGCTTCAGAGTGGTAAAGACTCCAATGTCTACGTTTACTTGGCTGGAGATAGCTCAGGGGGCAACATAGCTCATAATGTTGCTTTGAGGGCAACTCAGGAAGGTGTTAAGGTGTTGGGGAATATCCTTCTTCATCCAATGTTTGGTGGTCAAGAGAGGACTCAGTCTGAGAAGAGTCTCGATGGGAAGTACTTTGTGACTGTACAAGATCGAGATTGGTATTGGAGGGCTTATTTGCCTGAGGGTGAAGATAGAGACCATCCAGCTTGTAATCCCTTTGGCCCTCGAGGTCATGCCCTTGAAGGACTCAGCTTTCCTAAGAGCCTTGTCGTTGTGGCTGGTTTGGATCTTGTTCAGGATTGGCAATTAGCTTATGTGGATGGGCTTAAGAAGACTGGTCACAGTGTTAACCTTTTGTATCTGAAGCAGGCTACGATTGGGTTTTACTTCTTGCCTAACAATGATCACTTTCATTCTCTTATGGAGGAGTTGAAGAATTTTGTGCACTCGATAGATGATGATAGTCAAAGCAAGTCAAGTCCTTTGCTTCTAACTCCATTGCAACAGTAAGGTCTGCTCATGTTGCTGCTGTATACATAAAGAGAAGAAGTAGAAGATTAGAGGATCGGTTTGTTTTGACTAGCTACGATGGGTTCTTGTATAGTTTCCACAAGTATCGTCTAGTGTTCAGTTTTTGTGTCTTCGTTAGTCTCCGGAGGCATCATCAGAAAGGTATTGGTTGGCGCCGTAAGCAAAAACCAATTCCCTTATCGGCATCTATCGGTTTAGGGCTAAACCGGAAGATGGTACGTTGTTTGGTAGTATAGGTAGTCTTTAATTGGCTCTAGAGTACAGAGGGTAAATTACAAGACAACTAATTTGTCTTCAACATGTTGTGAAAAAGAAGAAAAGGGGAAAAACTTATCCTTGGTATGGATTTGTATGTTTATATTGCCTTTGTGTTATCATGCTATTAATAGAACGAGTCTGTTTTGTATTTGTAGTTTCTCACAATCTTCTTGTTTTATAGTTCATGCATTGAAGTTTTTCGCTTACAAAAGACAAAGAAAAAGTTCAAACCGTTTTTTTTTTCCTTTTAAGTCTTCCAACACTGAATCCTCCAAGCATTTGCTCTATCTTTGTTACAATTGTGAAAATATGAACAAATATTAAAATACAGAAAAAGAAAAGAAAGATCTAACGTGAAAACCCTAGGGAGACATGTGGCATGGCGTTTGAGTGAAGTGTAGAGAAAGAAGGAAGAGGAAATAAATGTGAGAGAAGAAAAAAGACAAGTAGTGTGTGTGCATTTGAGGCAAAAGCTTCATAATGCCAAAACAACACCCCATCCACCCAAATGAGAAAAAAAAAGCTTACACAACCAAAATTAATATGAAAAATAATGATTGGATAAAAATGTCAAAATCAACAAATGAATATTTCTTTTTTTAATCGTTTTAGTTTTCTTTGGCATCTTTTGCATATTGCCTCTTCTATATGCATGTATTTGATTTGGAATTTTTGGTGTTTCCTTGTAGTGGTTATGAACTTTGGGAGGATAAACATGGACCCCCTCTTAGAGAAAACTATCTCTTTTGTCTACATATGTTTGTTTCTATATATTTCTACATTTCTTTATAATAATACTATTTATAACCATGGCTTATGTGTGATTGTTTTTATCATACACTTATTCTTATGGATGCCAAGTGGTAGGGACATCGAGACTTGGAGGAAAAAAGAAAAGCGATTCTTTCTCCTTTCCTTTGTCTAGTTGGTCGTTCTTTTCAAATAAATAATGCTACAAGAAATAAGCGACATTTTACAGGTAACTTCTTACTTTGAAAATATTTTTAATTTCCCCGATTAACATTGACTTTTGACTATAGCATCTTTCAAAATTAATTTTCTAATACTAATATATTTTGTTTTTTTCTCTTTTTGTCAAAGTATTTATGACCATGCTTTTGGCTCATTGATGCGTGCGTGACAAAGACTCTCGTTTGTCTTGTAATGAAACTGTCTTGGCAATTACTTGGGGAGAGTGTCTCTATTATAGTGTGAATATTTTATTTACTAATGTAATGTTAAAATCAGTTAATGTTTCGTGTTTGGAAAATAATTTCTGGATTTTTCGCCCTTCTTTTTACAAAAGGTAGGTTTTTGGGTGTGGGGGAGCTGAATAACAAAGGGTCGTACTCATTTAGTTTTGTTGTCTTTAATTCTGACAAAAATAGCTTAAATTTGTTTGGTGATTTATCAACATCTTCTGGTTTCTCCATAATTCATTAATTTGTCGTTTACACTAAGATTCTTTATTTTGTCAATGGAAAGGCTTTGTCGTTTGTGGACTATATTCAATGCTTTGGATCCAAATTTACGAATTTAATATATTCATTCACCTAACTAACTTAGAGCTTAGAGGTTTGGTTTGAAGAATCTTTTGTTTCCTTCAAAAGGATACCAATGACTTTTGGGTATTATATTTCTCTAGTTCACATTATAGATTGTGGTACGTTCGGTAGTGGCAATTAGCAGATCTGATGGTGAATGAGGAGGTGTCGTTCGTTTTCTTTAGAAAAACAAGATACTGTATGATAGTTAATTTAGCGCTGCTGACTCTTGCTAATTTATCCAACTCGAACAAACCACGTCGTCAATACTTAAACGTTTAGGAAAAAAAGTATATCTGAAACTGAAAAAATGTAAGAAAATCAAGAACTGCGGTTTCTTTTTTTGGTATAATAAATAAAATGTAACTGAAAAACTAGGCTCAACTAAAAAGAATCTTCCAGATCATATACTAAGGTTTTATCTGACGTGGGATTGTATTAAACTCAAACCAAACGGATATTTTCTTTTTATTTTGGTCTTTGTACGTACATCATAGTATCATACATAGGAAAACATTTTTTTTTTTAAGACGAACCAAATAAAAAAAATCCGATTCATATTTCACCACAAAATAATCTGAAGAAACAAAAGGAGAGAAGGTAAAGGGAAATAATCAGATTATAAAATTTGGGAAGAGCTAAGAGTAGAGCTACTCTGAATGGAAAGTTTTATAGATGTGCAGAGATTTCATAGAAACGGAAGAAAAATAGAAAAAAAAAAAAAAAAAGAGAGAGAAGAAATGAAAGAAAAGACAAAAGCATTGAACAGAACAACGATGCCTTTGTCTTTACTAGCCTAAACCTAAACCTTCGAGATTCAAACAACAAGACACGAACCTTTCATCTTGAAAATCTCAAACTCGATCTAAACCCTACAAATCTCATTCAACACACTCTCTCTCTATATCTCTCTCTCATATCAATTGAATTCGTCGTTCATCTTTCTTGTCTCTTGTTGGTGACAACGTCCAATAGACTTTTTTTTTGTATGCACGAGGAAGTTGATGGTGAAGCAATACGTTGTTAAATATCGCAAATACATGCCACGTAATAAGTGTCATGCATGGCTAGATCGTTACTGAAATCATCATCATATTTTCATGTAATCTGGAAATATTCTCTGATCAGAGACTTATATGCAGATTTTGGAACAAATTTTAAAAAGATGCCACCCACCCACATGGATCAATGAATCGAGATAGTTAAATTAAGACTGCACGTCGTTTAATGGTCTAAACGAAGAAAAATTGTATGACGTGTTTTCCACATGAACAACACAACGTCCTTAGAAATATTGCACATCCCTTTTACCTTTTAGGCTTTCATCAAAGTAAATATATCCGGAGGAAAATGGAAGAATGCTTGTGGGCCGCCGAATCGACAGGCTTTTGAATATCCGTTCATAAGCCCATAGTATGAAATAAATGTAGCGTATTATGCAATTAGGGCAAATTCAAATTATCGTTTGTTTTACATCCGAAGGACCCAATTAAATGCTTTCATACTCTCGATCGGCATTGCAGCCCATTTAGTTAATGAAAAAAGCTTGTTTCCATAACTTAATGGAGTATATATTTATGTATTTGCCAATAAAACCCACATTTATTCACAATTTTATTTTTATAGATACGGAAAAGACCGTTAGAAAGCGTCACGTTTTAACGCTGTAGGAGAAGTCGTGAACGTTTACAAACGACCGTTAGCGATAAAATCCTGATATCCGTTTGCCACGCTGGCAAAACCTCAAACAGAGGGGGCCCACCAAATACTAGTTAAGAGGGCCCAACTTGACTTAACTCCGAAAAAATGTTTCGTATTCTCTCAGTCAGAGTTGCGATCGTCTAGAGAAGAAGGAAGAGCGGTTATGTTAACTATGACGTCACTCTCAGCGATTCTCACCGGAGAAGAAGAAGAACGGCGGTCGTCAGAGGATGGCACACCCACACATTCTCATCGACGGCGCTGGAGCACTCCGATCGGTTCCGGCGGGGAGTCATTACAGCGCGTGAGATCTCTGGAGAAAAACTCGGATCACGAAGATGGAGGTGTGTCTGGAGTTAATCTTGACGAATTTTTCTCGTGCTCATCGGATAACAGTTACAGTTTCTATCTAGGATCTCCGTGGGGACCGTCGGGACCGCCGCTACTTAGGGACTTGAGATCGAGATCAAACGCACCGCCACCGCAGAGGAAAGAGCCACGTGGAGACCAGAGGAGAGGAAGAAGCGTGACGAGGAAGCAAGACCTCCCACCATTTCTGACGACGCTGGATTGTAACGGACGGCCGAGATTCCACCACAGGAGGGTGCGAAGCGAAGGACGGCTGGAGATCGCCAGCGTGGCAGTCGATTCACCGGAGATCGTTAGTGTGCGTGGAAAAGAAGGTCTTAGAATCGGAACAGTGAGAAGCAGTCAACAGCACGGAGATGGAGATGGAGATGATGGTCAACAGAATCACTGAGAATCCTCCTCCTCTTTGAAATTTTTGTTTGTCTGCTAATTTTCCGGGAAAACGCGAGATTGTAGTCTGATCCGTTACAAACAGATTAGAAATGGCATAAACAAACAACAGGCCCATATAAATATATATATATTTTGGTAAAACTGTGGGCCAAAGGCCCAAACGTTCGCTTGCGCTATCTTGATAAACTGTTACGCTGACGTGTCAAGTGTAGGTTTTGTCTGTCACAGAGATACCAACGCACAGGCCGTGTGATTATCAGTGTTCGCAGGAGAAGCTTTGGGAAGGGAAGAAAAAGAAACTGGTCTTTAACGAAAAAGGAAGAAATCAGCTGTGACTTGTTCGTGAGATGGAAGAGGAGGAGATCGCGAAAACACCAAAGCAAAGAGCCAAGGTACTAAAGTAGTGTACCAATTACTATTTCGATTTGCTTATCTTCTCTCGTCGAACGTTCCCTAGCTTATAATATTCGGTCCAAAATGCATCTTATTTGCTGTCTCTGGGATCAAAGATCTCTTACTGTAGTTTCTTATTAAGACCGAGAAACCATATGATTCTAGGGTTTCATATTTAGGCTTGTAATTTGATCATACATAGAGAAAAAAGGAGTGGGCTTTTCGGATTGCATCTTTGGGTTGAACAAGTTATGGTTTTTTTTAGTCTTTGAAAATAACTTTTTTGGTAGGTTACAATGAAATCTTTGATCTTTGGGGTTTCGGTTTTGCAGAATTTCTTGTGATTCTCTTTGACATTTGAAAAGCTTTCTTCTTTACTTTGACACTTACTGAAGCACTAGTGTCTGGATTATGTCTTCTACTCTCACAAGTCTTGTGCTTTGCTTTACCAAATCGCAGAAAGACGTAGCTCAAGGGAGGGTGATCGATACCTATGCGGCACAATGCGACAAGTGTCACAAGTGGAGGGTGATTGATAGCCAGGAAGAGTACGAGGATATCAGAAGCAGAATGCTGGAGCAACCTTTTACCTGCGACAAGAAACATGTCCCCTGTGAAGGCCCTCCAGATATTGACTACGATTCCTCGAGAACTTGGGTCATCGACAAGCCTGGTTTGCCTAAAACCCCCAAAGGTTTCAAGAGGAGCTTGGTTCTCAGAAAAGACTACTCGAAGATGGATACTTACTACATAACTCCGTCAGGGAAAAAGCTGAGGAGTCGCAATGAAGTTGCATCCTTTGTTAAAGTCAATCCGGAATTCCAGAGTGCACCGCTTGGAGACTTCAGTTTCACTAACCCAAAGGTCATGGAAGACACTCTTCCTCTTGATGCTTCGCTTGCCTCTCCTGCTGCTACTACTACTTCCTCGAGGAACAGCTCTAAGCAACTCCAAGAATAAGAAACAGCTCATGATTCAACATCATCTCCGGCTTTCCAAAGTTTTCCTTTTTTCCCTCAAAAAATTGGTTTTGGAGTAGTGTGTAGATTTGATTTTCTCTTGAAGTGTTATGAAAGAAACATCGCCAAGCTTTGGCTTTCTTGTGAAGCTTAAGGCGCCTTTGTGAACTCAATTTTAGAGTAAAATGTTAATACTAGTTTCATTTAAATTCCTTACAAGTCCCATTTAATTAGAAGCATGTGTTATATACTCAAGAAGAAGCAGCATATATATGAATATGAATTGATGTTATATGTAGAATGCACATGTTACTTATGTATATGCAATAAGAAAATCTCATAAAATAAATACATGATATTTATGAAGAATGCAGACAGTGTATGTCTTTCGGTAAAAATGAATTTATGAATAACATGATGATACTTGAGTCATTAAGTGGATTCCTTGGCCATGTGAGCTGAACAAGAACATTCTCTTTGACTTGGTGGACTCTTCTGCAAAACAGAGTGAAGAAGGTTCTTTGCTATAGGCCTTTTCTCATCTTCTCGAGCCTACTCTGGATAAAAGCATCTGATCTCTTATTTATATCATTCGAAAGCGGCTTCGGATGTGGATTTGACCTCCCATCTTCAACCTTAGCAACAACTGGTCTCATAAAGTTAGCTTCACTCACCATGTTCTTCCCTTTTCCCTGTATCATCTTCTTTGAACCGTCACTGCCATTAACCAGCATGATCACTCTCTCTCTTTCTGATCTTGTAGAGGTATTGGTGAGATTAGCAGCGTTATCCTCTGAATCTTCTCTTTGCTTGAAGTAAATTGTGATATCAGAATTTGATTCCATCTTGATCAGTTTCTTCCTCACGGACTTATCTTCCTTCTCACCGGCCATGAGTTTAACCACCACGAATCTAATCAGCCGGCGACAAATGCCTCTGTTCTCATCGTTCGCTCTTCTCTGCATCTTTTCTTTGTTTACAAGAAGATATGTTTATGTTATGGTGTTGGTTTATATGAAGAAAATTAGTGGGAATAGACATTTTTTTTCTTTCTCCAATTGGTTTGCTTTGATTCTACGCTTTGAGGAAAAATGTGATTGTCTTTGCCTTTTCTTTTTCTAATCTATGAAAAGAAAACATAATTTGTCTAGTTTCTTCTTCATACTATTTTTTTTCTCTTGGTTTGCTTTAAGTAAAAAGAAATTTTGCTTTGTGCAAGTTTTTCTTCCACTGGAGCTGGAGATTCGCTTCTTTATTGAAAGATTAAGCTCCCCTTATCATTGAGCTTCCTTTGGTTGAGTGGACGAAAGCTTGAAAAGATTCTTGATACATTTTGGACTTCTTTGATCTCTAATAGTACTTCTCAACATGTTTCCACTTTTGTTATTGACACTTTTCGTTTCGCGTGAATCACGTGTTTCATGAAAGCTTGCCGTCGTTGATTAAAATAGACCACTTGCCGGGAAAAACAAAAAGGTATAGTCATTGGAAACGTAAGCCCCGTTCAGTTAATCCGGTGAAGGACCAAAGTGAATAACTGTCGAAACGAACGGCCATGATATCATCGGCAGAGAGACCACGAAAGCTCCACACACGCGTCTCAGCTAATTGGGTCTTCCCACCCGCATGATTCTCTCGTTACCGAGGCCGCATCTCTGCGGACAAGTGGCCCGGGGACTTTCCTGGGTCGGAACTTAGACAAGCCCATGTCACCCATTCACTTCGTCCAATGACTGTTGTTGCTAAGTTTCATTCTCAGACATATATATGGACATGTGATTTGGACTCCAAACCCGATGTGGGATATTTTAGGACTTACAAACCATGAATTATATAAATCAAGTCAAAATCAAATTAATCATCTCTTCCGACCATAACGGTATCTAGCCCATTGTGTTTATTTACGGGAGCAATAACATTGAAATAATTTGACTAAATGATTGGTGGGTTGAGCCAGGCCCGCGCAATAGTGCAACGCATGGGCGACTTTTGAAAGCCCAGATAGCAAGCTATCTTAATGGGCTTTCTCCCTTAAAAAATAGAGTTAATATCGTGTGGGCCGATGACCCACATATCAGATATTAAACTGATAAGAACAGATACTACACTTGATCTTAGCCAAAAGGCCGAGAAAGGTATGAATTGGAAGATTATCTTGGCCTCCTTTTTATACTAGCACGGAAATAACTAAAGCCTCTCAGCAAAGCGATGTGGGATAAAAACACAACCTCTTAGCAACTTTAAACAAACTGCCTTTGCTTCTTTTTCATTGTCTTCATACATTCGCCTCTGTTCCTTGTAAGTTCGAAAGTAAAAGTTATTCAATGGAATTGGAAGTTATTTCACCTGAATCGACGCTGATCCTACAGAGTTCACAATCAAATAGATTTTTTTTTTTTTTAATATGGGATTCGGTCATTAGGTTACATTCGATTGGCTTTTGTTTCCCTCTTACAACGCCAAAATATACTAAGACTAGACTAGACTCAAGGTTGTTTCCTGGTGAGGGTCCAATATCTTCCAAGCTGAGTCTTGTCTTCAAGGGCAATAAATCCTCAAAATCTGTCTTATTGGTTGCCGGCAAAGTGGACAAGTCTTCCCACGCAGCTTCGAGGAACATGTTATGCAGCAGCACATATGGCCACACCTACAAGTCCAAACCAAACGAAAGAGGAATCAAAAAGCTGCCATGTCTGATCAGTGAGAGTGTTGATGAGTTTTACAAGAAACAAGTGGCTCTTACTGTAGAAAAGCCGTGTCATACTTCCGGTCAAGGCAGATCACACAGAGATCAGTTGCAGGGCCATCTCTGCTTGTACCAACAGAGCTCTTCTCACGTTGCCTTGCCAACTCCAAACCTTGAGTCGCTCGTTCGTGTCTCTTAGCAGCTGCATCAACAGATCTGCAACAAAATAGCTTGATGAGTATTCATTTGCACGTATCCACATTTTGCTAAGCTGACTACGACCATACCTCTTCCGTAACAGTTGACGCCCTGTCTCTAGAAACTCTCCACTTCTTACTATAATATATTCAATGATAGGCCTTGAGATGAGAATCACACCAAGAAGAGCTAAACCCATGGAGGCATACTTGAACCTCCTGCCGAAACAGATGTTTCAATTAGACTAATGATTTTCATGGAAGAGAAGATAACGCAAAATGAAAAAGAAAAGAAAAACAACCGTGATGAGACCACTTTCCTAAGCTTGAGATGAGCTGATCGAGCAGTACAGGCGAGATGTAGAAAGGCCCTCCCTCAGGTTTTTGAATCCTGACATCCCCAGTACCATCCCTAATAGTCTGTTTTGTACATAAACATAAACAGTCAGCAACAAGATGAGATACAAAACATAAGAAGAAGCTTGTTAGACATAAGAGTACCTGACCAACAACGGTAAGCCGAGTACCAACTGGGAGAAGCCGCTCAATGTGCCTTACTCCAAGCATCTAAAAGACGCAATAATGGGAAATGGTGCCTCAAACATGAAAGCTAAGCAGATGAAAGAGAAAACGAAGAAGAAAGGAAAGACCTTGCGGCCTAGGAGATAATCAAGAGACGCTCGAACGAAGGAAGACGGCTCTGAGGTTTGAAAGGCTTCACCTCCAAGTGTCAAGGAAAAGCCTATTGCACCTTGAGCTCCCACTACGTTCACACGACCTGTCCCATCGTCCTATTTTCAAATACCAGATTTCAGATCTTTTTTTTTAAATGACTGACTCTGATAATGGGAGTGAAAGATCAAACTCAAATCCGTCAATGGATACCAGGGGCTTCCTTAGTCACGGGCTTCATCAATGCCGTTTCAGAAAATGTTGCTCTGCCTGCCTGACGATTCATTTTTACATAAATCAATGAAACAGAGAGCAAAGAAGCGCAATTGGGAAATCGAATCGAGACGACCACAAACCGTTTCCTCGAGAATAACACCGAGAATGCCACTACGCTCACACTTGATAGGCGTCTCAGAGCCAACTCTTCCTGTTACTGGGTGCGATGATCGAAGGCAACACCGTGCTCTCTTCTTCTACCATTTGCGCTGGAAAGAGAAGATCATTAGAAGCCCATCATCAACCTTTAATTCAAGTGCGAAATGGTCTCACGGAAGTGAACAACATTACCCAAATCCTTGAGGTGGTCAACCCTAGTGGCTGATTCGAGAAATTCAACATCTCTGGCCGCACGAAAGAGGACAAGAACATTAAGCACAACAAAACGCACAAGAGATCGCAATTCGCAAGTAAGTAAGAGAAGAAAAGACCTAACCTGCCAGTTTCCCGGCTGAGAAGATAAAAAGCGGCGGCGCCTAGGCAACATGGGTTGCAAATCCATCCAAATGTATCATCTTCTTCTTCCAATTTCTGACAAAGGCGCTTGCTTTTGCTTGTTTGCCGCCGACAAAGTGGAAACCGATCAAAGCAGCGGGAAGGGGAGTGACGAACAAAACAAAATGATCCGCCAAGTATTTTCCTGTGGATGGTTTTACTTGTGAATATTTCCAAATCAAACCTCAACCTTTTTTAAAATAACAAAAGTGTACCCAATTCTTTAATTAAGTTGAGCTGTAGTAGAGATGTTAGTATAATTTCATGTGATTTTCTATAAAAATTGTAAATTGATGTGATAAATTTGTTAAACTGAGTAACGATTAATTGGTAACGTTGATGCCAAATAATGGAGAAATCAATTTATAGATAGATAGCAGTTATGTTACAACAAAGGAATTTGTTACGCATAAATTATAATTACAAGCTAGCAGTATGTTTGAATAGAAACTTTTTTGTTTTAACAAAAAAACAAGTAATCTCTCATTATTAATTTAGTCAAAGGACACAATTCTTCTCTCTTCTCCCTGAAACTAGAGAGAGAAACAAAGGCGTGGATAAGACAGAACATAGAGAGAGAGAGAGAGAGAGAGAGATGGGTGCTTCGTTATCAGTGTCCGAGAAATCCATCCATCAATTCACCGTCAAGGTCAGGAATCCTCCTCTTTTGATTATTTGTTTTACATATCGAATTATCGATTACGAATGGTATTTGATCTGACGAAGAAATGAACACACACACACACCGAGAACATATATGAAACGTCATAATTCTGATTTGGTTTGTTCGCCGGGGGGGGGAATTAGGATAGCGCCGGCAAGGATGTTGACCTAAGCATTTATCAAGGGAAGGTTCTCCTCGTCGTCAATGTCGCTTCTAAATGGTCCCTTCCTTTTTCTCTTTTTCTTATTTCTTTGATTCATTTGGTGAATAAATGAATCATGTTTTTATAAATTTCTTAATTTCCGTTTGTTGAATTTGGGAACAGCGGTTTCACGGAAACCAATTACACACAGCTGACGGAACTTTACCAAAACTACAAAGATCAAGGTCTCTCTCTTCTTCATTCCTTCATCCTTGTCTCTCTCTCAATTATTATTTGATCTGTTTGTTTGGTTTGGGTTTTAATGAAAAGCAACCTTTGAATGATACCATACAATAATGTTTGTTCAGGGTTAGTGATCTTGGCGTTTCCTTGCAACCAGTTTTTGTTCCAAGAGCCTGGCACTAGCCAAGAGGCTCATGAGTTTGCTTGTACCCGGTTCAAGGCCGAATACCCGGTTTTCCAAAAGGTAAAAGCCACTTTTCTTGTGCTCAATAAACGTTTTTTTTTTAGTTGAAATGATCAGATGCGTGGAAATTTAGATTAAACTGTCTCTGCTTGCTTCACATGAACACCTATTTATAATGCCTGTATAAATGCCCTATGTAGGTGCGTGTAAATGGACAAAACGCAGCACCGGTCTACAAATTCCTCAAGGCAAAGAAACCGACTTTCCTGGGAAGTAGGATCAAATGGAACTTCACCAAGTTCTTGGTCGGGAAAGATGGTCAAGTCATTGATCGTTATGGCCCAACTGTTCCACCGCTATCCATCGAGGTCTGTCTAACTCACTCACTCGCTCCTTTACTAGTTTTTCTTTGTAATAAGATGATATGTCTTGTTACCTGTTGGCTGTTGCAATAAACATGTGTCTTAGCGGTTAAGTGAGTTAGTTTCTGATGTTTTATGCAAAACAGAACGACATCAAGAAAGCCCTTGGAGAGGCATGAGAGCTTCCTTCAAGTGAAGACACAGGAGATGAGGCTCATTGGACTGCTGCCTTGTGTCCTCATGAGACATCCTCACATGTAAAAGGCTTTCATAACACTCTTTTTTCTTCTTTCTTTTTTTATTCTGTAGAGAAGGATTTATGTCTTAGTAACTCTTGCTCTGACTCAATTTGTCGATGCTCTGGTCAGACGTGTGCATACAAAGTATGTTTCCTTATGAGCCTGGGCCTATTATTCATTCATCAATAATTAAATTATTCTTTTTATTCATTAGTTTATAAAATTAAGGTGAAGAATCTGGAATTGAATGTGTAATACTACAAGCAGTTGCGATCATACTTAAATTTGTCTCATGTTTGCGATAAGAACCTTTTGCCATCGGTAATGTATCGATTGAGTTTGGGGCATTCACTCTCACGTGCTCTGTTCGACACAAAGAGAGAGGGTACAGGTGGCAGACAGATAAAGAAAGAGAGAGTACGAAGAAGAAAAAGGCGTACGTGAACTCTTCCATTCATTCATCTTTCTTCTTACCTGTCAAATCAGTTTTCGTTTTCATTTTCATTTTCTTTTGCTTTTGTTAGAGATTAATCAAAACATACTATTATTCAATAATCTTTGTGGACAAACGACCAACCTATCCGGTAATCATTAATTAGACTAAGCAACTAACCTTATCTCTTGTCTGTCACCACGGTTAATCCCAATTCAACACCCCAAATTTGTTCCTACTACATGCTAGAACCTTGGTGTAGCCACCTCCATCTTCTAATTGCGAGAATTTATGGTCATTCTACAATAAACTATTAAGTAAACCCTTTAATTAGTGCCCTTTGGATCAGTTGGAAAGCTTATATATTCAAGGCCATCAAAACGAGTGGTTTGGTGGGATGAAATGAACATTCATGTACTAAAACTCCAAAACAAACCCATGATTAGTAAGTTGATTAAATTAGTCTCATCTCTTAACTACCAGATTAGATTGTTAATCATAGCATACCCACCCAACGCTGCAAGACATAAAGCCCCCACAAGCCACAGCTCCATCATTAAGTCTCATGTGTGCATGAACAGAAGTTTTCTGTTCAAACAATAACCTCACCGCAAAATCATACATCAAAACTGACAGGCATTTCCGAAAAGGAGAATACCAAATTAAGAAACCATTTTTTTCTGGTTTGAACATTTAATCAATGATAGATACTAATCAAAAGATTTTAGTTAAAAAGCGAAGCTAATGGGTAAAGCATCATGTCTTTTCTATTCATACTTAGAAACATGTAGGTCCACGTTATTCAATTCAATAATGTTATCTTTATCCTTATATACACTATGTACCAAATTATTTCAGTCAACTTCCATCGAGTCAGCAGCTTATATAGAGATACCATATAAGCAGTCTGGTCTCTAGAGCAGCCTAAACCCATCAAAAACATTAGTTACGTTTGAAGCTTTCTCGATGGCAGCGACAATTTTGTTGAGATGCAGCAGCAGTACCAAGGTTCAGACATGGAAGAGATGTTCGAAGCAGATAAAGGAGCAAAGAGCTCGTCTTTACATCATCTGGAAATGTGCCGTCTTCCTTCTCTCCTCCCATGACTAATCATCATCCATTCAGTTTCAGTTTCAGTTTCGTAACTTTCCCTCCTTCTCAGTTATGTAGTAGTTTAGATCCACGAGAAGGGAGAAATACAAAAAACATGTATACTCTTTAATAGACGGTGATTTCCATACTGAAATCCAAAAGTATCGAGACCTACTATAATGTAAACTCTGTTGTAATCATCGAAAATCGATAAGATCAACAATCATTTGATTATAGAAGTAGTTCCTAACATGCTAATCAGCTTCCGGTAGTTTTGTAACTGAAGGTCTTATAAGAACAAACGGCCAAAAGTTAAGCTGTGTAAATATAAGTGAAAGTGTTGTCATAAACAAACATTTTTTGTTAGATAGTTTCATACTTTCATTTCATAGATGGCGCGTAACGACGACTCGCTCTCATCACGCGTGGCGATGCCGTCGCATAGTTCCAGTCTCCCAGAGTTTATAGTGCATTTCCTCTGTGTAGATAAACCCTAATTGGTGCATGCATCTCTGATTAAATCAGAAATGTTGTTCAGAAACTATACCATTTGTTACGAGATCATCAGATCTCTGACTAATTCGAATAAAGTACCAATAATCCCCAGTTTAGGCCTTAAAATCAGATGGATATCGAGCTTGAAAGTGGTATGGAAGAAAGACACGAGGCTAGACGAAGCGATCGAGCAGGACAAGCGTTACAAGCTGTGCGCTCGGGTGGTGAAGGAAGTGCTGAACGAGCCGGGCCAAGTGATTCCGCTCAGATACCTGGAGAAGCGGCGCGAGAGGTTACGCCTCACTTTCAAAGCTAAGAGCTTCGTTGAGATGAATCCTTCTCTGTTCGAGATCTACTACGATCGGATCAAACCCAAGTCGGAGCCCGTTCAGTTCCTCCGCCCCACGCCCCGCCTCAGGGCTTTCCTCGACGAAGAACAGAGGATCTACGCCGAGAACGAGCCGCTGATTGTCTCCAAGCTCTGCAGATTGCTGATGATGGCGAAAGATAAGGTGATCAGTGCGGATAAACTGGTTCATGTGAAGAGAGATTTCGGATTCCCCAACGATTTTCTGGTGAAATTGATTCAGAAATACCCAAACTATTTCCGGCTAACGGGTTTGCCTGAAGAAGGCCAGTCCTTTCTCGAGCTCGTCGATTGGAATCCTGATTTCGCCAAATCGACGATCGAGCGGAGAGCAGAGGAAGAAACTTTGAAAACCGGTGTCCGGGTCCGACCCAATTTCGATGTGAAATTGCCGTCTGGGTTTTTCCTGAGGAAGGAGATGAAAGAGTGGACTCGGGATTGGTTGGAGCAAGATTACATATCGCCGTACGAGGATGCGTCTCATTTGGATCAAGCTTCCAAGGAAATGGAGAAGAGAACGGTTGGTGTGGTGCACGAATTGCTGTCTCTCTCCTTGTTGAAGAGAGTCCCTGTGCCTATACTGGGCAAGTTCTGCGATGAGTTCCGGTTTTCAAACGCCTTCTCGAGTGTTTTCACACGCCATTCAGGTATTTTCTACTTGTCACTCAAAGGAGGGATCAAGACTGCAGTGTTGAGAGAAGCTTATAAAGATGATCAATTGGGTGAGAGAGATCCTTTGCTTGCTATTAAGGATAAGTTCCTGAGCTTGTTAGAGGAAGGATGGCAAGAGAGGAAAGATAAATTGAAACTGCAGAGGGAACAAGTTCAGAGAGATAGGGAGATTTTGTTAGCATCCAAAAGCAAGGAACCAGAAGAACGTCTCTGTGATTAACTGACATTAACAAACAAACCTCTCGAATGAGATATGATAGTCAAGTCCTCTGTTCTTCTCTGTAGAGTTACATCTTGGCCTTGTTTGGTCTTTAGTGTGGAAGCTTAAGTTTGTGGGTTTTTGGCTAATAAGAAGAAATCAAACTTGGTCTACTTGACTACCTGGGAGATGGTAATTTATCTGCTGGTTTAAGCTAAAACTGTTTTTTGGTGACCAAATGATTCACATTCTTGGTGTAGAGAGACTTGTTTAAGTATCATCTTTTCACAATTTGTACATGTTCATAATCTAGTGCCTGGCTCTCTACCTACAATTACTCTGATTTATGTATACGAACGCCTCTGTTCTTCGCATGTGTTACCTTTTAACCAATCCAAATTTTTTAGTATCACTTTTCTTTGGTCATGCTTTTGGAATTGCAGCTATTATACATTTGTGATTTAATTGGCTCTGGAATTCGGAACAGGTCTTGTTGTTGTGCCCAAGTGAAACACTTTCTTGTAAGAATTAAAGCTCTACAGGCAACCTAACAAAGTCACGCAATACAGATGTAACGCTCAATTTTACCTAAAATCACTCTGCAACAAATCTTCCCACCCTCTTTGTGCCTCCTATATCGCCTTGAATATATAAAGAGGCCCACCAAAGATCTCTCTCTTCACACACACACACACGCTCTCCATGGACACACTTTTTATTGTAGCTATTCTGGTTCTCGCTTTCTCTTCTTCCTCTATCACACGAGGCCAGAGAATCGTTCAGATCCCACCACCACGTCCGCTATGCGCCTCTCAATACGCCCTCGCTAACTACGCCTGCTCACGCCTCCCTATGAACTCTGTCCCACCTCCTTCCCCCATTGCCCCTCCTCCTCCTCCCATCGCTCCTCCTCCTCCTCCTCACCATGATGACCACGACCATGACGATGATGACGACGACGACGATGATGATGACAATGACCACGACCACGACGATGACCACGACCATGATGACGATGATCACGACCATGACGACGATGATCACGACCGCAACCGCAACCGAAACCGCGACCACGATCGTGATCATAATGACCACGATCGTGATCACAATGACCACGATCGTGATCACAATGACCATGATCGTGACCATGAGCATAACCGCCACAACAACAGCGACAGCAATCACAACCGCCGCCACCACCACCACCACCATCATCACCGACACAGAGAAGAGACGTATGCGCAACAAGAGTGCTGCAAGTGGTTGAAGCAAATGGACAATGAGTGCGTGTGCGACCTTCTGGTTCGGCTTCCGCCATTGCTAGCCAAACCTGCTCATAACTATACAGTGTTTGTGGATGAGGCCTGCATCGTCACTTACACTTGTGGAGGCAGGCTCATTAGCTGATTCTCTTTCCTTTCTTTCCATACTAATTGTCTCATCATGTCTTCTTCTTCAAACACCCTTTTGTTTATCTTCTCTTCTTAGTTTGTAACAACGTTTTTTATTCACGCCCTCCCTTTAGCTTTAGCTTGATTTGTTGTGCGTTCACATTACTCCAGTCAAAAGTCAACCCACTTCAAGTTATCAATTTATCATTCGCGCGCTTCTTCGTCTTCCATTGCAGATGGGCCGAAATTGAAAGTGCATTAAGATTGTTGTAGGCCCATTAACTTTATACATCCCAGATTTATTCCAGGGCCGTTTATTGTATTTACATATCATTCGTCGCGTGATTTTAAGAACGTCATCTAAAATGTAAATTACCAGGAACACTCAACTCCAATCGAATCCATTTCTCGCAATTATGAAATTTCAATGGACAAAAAAGAAGAAGAATATATTACATAACACTAACAAACAAACAAACAAAATTAACTAATAGATGATATGTAAAACAAAAGATGATGGAGATTCATGGAATCTTACTTTAATTTGCTAAAAAAAAAAGTCGCACTGATGGGACCAATAATATAGAACTTTTTTTTTAGGGGTGCTATGCTCAAAAGATGTGATTCTTTTACTCGATTTTTTTTTCTTTTTTGGCAAGTTGATATTTGTCTTCTTCCTCTTTGTACCTTATCTCTTGAAACTAGTTTCAAATCCCAAGTCAAAACCATATACTGTACGTTTTTATTCACTACTACAAAAACGACGCAGCATGCCGTGGCCAAAGTAATGGTGAAACTTTAAAGTTAGAATAAGTGATCATTTTTAGGTACGAAAACAGTTTATGACAAACAAAACAAAAATTGGCAAACTGTAATTGATTATTAGTTTAATAGTGAGAGGGGCCCAGCATTACTAAAGAAGCCAATTGCAGAAACACACGGTGACGGGGCTTAAAAAAGAATAATAATGGATGGGTTCCAATTAAGAACGCATTATACAAAGAAACAAAGAAAGAAAAAAAACTTATGTAGATGTGGGAGTGGGAGTGGGACCCCCCGCCCTAATATAAGTATCGAATAATTCACATTATTGTCAACGGCTTCTCTGTACGGCTCCAGGCGCGTGATATTTGTTTCTTACTGTACGGTCATTCGTTTGCTTAATTTGCTTACATAATCTATCGCTTTTGTCTTTTTCTTCTTTTGTTCCGACTCAAACTCATTTAACTTTTGTTTCCAATGGATTCCTAACACACACACACACTATTTAAATCTCTGTGTTGATCATATCATTTGATATTGAAAGGTTTAGTACAGTTGGATTTTCTTAGCGCGAATTCATAAAATATTTCTCCCACTACTACTAGTCAATTCGTTTTGTTTTCATCACTACCATTCGAAGTTTTTGTAAATCTACTCTTAGTTACTAATTGGCATTTGTGTATAACAACTGAAGTTTAGTTCACTATTGACTCGTTAATAAAACAATTACAAATTGACAACAACACTCGTTATTAAAATATAAAATCGTACCAACTTTTGAGAGCCCCACTCAATTTAGTCGTTATATGATATTATTAGAATAAAATAGTTACATGGCGGGTAAGTCTTCACTTTCCAAATTTAGCATTCCACTGATAGTCTCGCTTACATCCAAAAAAGTAGATGATAATACTGAATAACCGTTATGCCAAAATTTCAGTATCTGACAATACTATAATAATTTATAAAGAGGATATAACTTTATTTGCTAACATTATTTTAATCTTTTTCCACCACTCAGCAGCGTACGTAGTCTTGTATTTTCCTGATTGTTGCCATGTCATCAGCACACAAAAAACTCTTAGCCGCAAATTACTCACGTTTCCATATATCAATCAAGCCTTATCTTTTCACTGATCACGCCACTAGACACCGTAACATCTCGCGTTCCCTGGCCGCCGCAATTGCTACAGCCGCGGTTGACGCTTCCGCCAGCGGTCGACGGCTAGCAATGTCCAACAGAAACCTAGAGACAACATCAGTGCTTGGTCCAGCCACAAGTCTCTCCCACGCCACGTCAGCATCCACCCTCGACCTCCGCTTTGTGAAAACAGGAGTCGCATCCAATCTCTGAATGCACCATTTCTTCACCTTTCTCAAACGTTCGATCTTCTCCCTCTGCCTACAAGCTAACCCGAAAGTGTTCCTCTTTACTTCTTCAACCACTTTACTCAACAGCGCTTCTCTCTCTCCCGCGCTTAAGAATGGTTCATTCCTGAAAAATCGATCAAACTCCGGAACTCCGATTGCTTTCTTGATCCCTGTCGAGTAATCAGAATCCGAAAAGTCGAAAAAATCTCTAACTTCCTCAACCATGCCATTATCCACCATCTTATCAACCCTCTCTGAAACAAATCCGTGCAAAACTGGAAGCGCCACGTCGACCCATAGGAAACAGCAGTCGTATCTTGATCTGAATTTGTAGTCTTCGTCGTCGATTAGAGCCTCCACGTAAGAGTTTGAACCTCCAACAATGATTGGAAGCTTTCCACGGTTAAGAACGGACTCAACTGAGAGATTCGCCATGTGGCGGAAATTTGCGGCCGTCAAGTCGGCTTCAGGCGGCAAGATGCCGAGGAGATGGTGGGGCACACCGCAGCTCTCCTCGGATGTAATCTTGTTGGTGACAATGTCGAGACCTTGGTGGACTTGGATCTTGTCTGAGTTTATGATCTCCGCGGGAAAGCGTGTGGCTAGATCGACGGAGAGTCGTGACTTGCCTGTTCCGGTAGCACCCATGATGACTACGACTTTGTCCTTTGGACCGTATGGGTTTAGAGTTAGCATGTTGGGGCCAAATCTCGCCGGAGGGAAGTCTAACGCTGGCGAAGGAGGCAATGGCTGTTTGCACATGGCCATAGATATCTTCATGATCATGGTTTGCAATGTAAACTTCAGGTGTTTTTTTGGTATGTGTGTATATTTTAATATGTTTGGTCGACGCTTATGAAATGTTCAGGTGGCTTTGCATGAAGGATATGATTTGTATATATATAGGGTCACACACTAGGGGAATGATATATAGGACAAGTTGGATTCGCTTTTTTAATTGGTCAAAACCTATTCTCTTCTTTTTTTTCTCTTTACTTTATTCTCCTCTTATTTGTTTTTTGGCTACTCAAATATTTGATACGCGTGCACTGCGCAGTGCAGATGATATACATTAATCATGTCTCAATCAAATGTAAACTTCTATTACGTTTGATGTGAAGTTAAGATACGATTTCTGTTTTGGCAAATAATGATCACAAGCACTTCCGTTTTTAGATCAAATGAACTTTTTTAACATACAAAAGGTCTTTATACTAATTGAGTTGAGTAGAGGCTCTATTGTGTCTTTTTAAACGAAAACTAGGTTGTAAGCTTGGATTTGGTTTTTATATATAGAGTTTTGTATGTTATTAGAGCAGTCATATATATATAATGAAATCATTTAACTTGGATGGATATTCCATTGTGTTAAGAACCAACTTAATTAAACAAATTAGGGTTATTATGCTTCCTCATGATCAGCCTAGTAAATATTATAGTATGTGTATAGATAAGCTATATGCCCTGATTTTATAAATTTTCATTAGAAAAGTCATGCAGATGTGATTCTATGTTTTATATTTTGATATTATGATAGTCTTTTATTTTCTTTTTTGTTGAATAATATCAAGATTCTGTTGGACCGTCCATTAATGAAACGGAGAGGCAAAATTGTTTGTCGACCTGCAATGGCCAAGACCTCGGCAACGTCCTTTATTACTCTCCCACTTAAGTATAATTATCTCGAGACGGGAAAACCTATAAATACTTTTTAAATAGGTTACTTTTACATTATAATTATTCACATAAGATAAGAAATATAATGGTCTGAGAAAGGGCCTTTAAAAAGATTATTCTTACAGCGACAAGTCATAGCTATTGCCTATTGGAATGTAATTTTGCTTGTGTGCCAACTTAGTATGCATGCTCCTACACGTCCATGTACGCATCTGATTCCTCCATTCCTATGTACCAAAAAATTACAGAATGACATTTATCAGTAAGATTTAATACAACCAATAAACACACCTGATACTTTTAACTATATATTAATTTTTACTATATCTATGATTTTATTTTAACCACCGTACGCTATTCACAAACTTGAATACCTATATACCAGGTGACGATCAAAACATATAAGTCCAAATTCCTAATGATATGTGGTAGTATCTTTGTTGTGTCCCCATCCAGGTTTTAATGTGCATCTTATTCCCAAACAACGGTACATTGACCAATTTTTGTTATGGTCATTTCTGATATTATATTTTAAAATTATTTAGTTCATATACTTTATAATCAAATTGAAACCAGCTTGTATGCGTTTCTTTTTAAATGGTAGTTTTTTTGTTGTCTTATCAGTTGATTAGCATTTTTTTTTAATACTTCTATAGAACTGTCATTTGATTACTCAATCTACATCACGCAGCTCAAGTTACTAATCAATACATCAACCCAAAATCAATCTCAATGGTACCACTTTTTTTTTAGTTTATTTATTTTCGTGTGAAAAGGGTTAACTTGGTTGTTTGGTAAAGTTTCTTTTTAATATTTTCGCATATATACTAAATCTAAAGAAGACTCCAAGCTATATTATTTCGTTTTAGTACAAAACATCTAACAACAAACCTGATAACAGTGTAAAATTTTATTTTATTTTATTTTCATGTCAGTTACATCATATATGCGTGCTATCTCGTTCGCCTGAACTCGTGGCCACCAACTTTTTCATTTCTCTAATTGATAAATGTTCATGATACATACAAAGAAAATAAAGTTAGGATAAGAAGTTTAATGATTGATTGATGTTAACCCATCACCCACGTTTATACAAATAAATGTATATATTAATCTATCATGATAAAAAGTAAATAATACGACCAATAAGGCAGTCACCTAGTCATGCCCACCTTGCGCATTAACTAACCTTTTTAATCTCTCTCTTTCGGTAATCATTTGCCCATTCATTGTAAGAGATATAACCTCCGATTTTGTATTTGCTTTTTATATCATTGCTCCAAATGTATAAATCGTGTTGCACATAAAAAAAAGACAAAAATTGGCGTAGCTATCCAAATTTGGGATAGAATTTAACGGTTTGATCTCACTTTTTTTTTTTTCAAGTCACATGCCTACTTCGAACGGCTTTAAAACCATACTACATCTTTAATCATTGTATAGCTCTTTATTTTAAATAAATGTATGTGCTCTCACAATACATTAGAAGAAACAAACAGCACAAGTAACCTTACAAAAACTGCATTCCAAATTTAAGCCAAACATGCACGCTTGAAATTATTGTTTCACATGATCATTTGATCAATATGGAAAAGGTTGGACATATGAGCGCTATAAAGATTCAAGCACACGTATATTAACATCTAAGTAACACGGTTCTCAGCATATATTTTTCTTAAATTCGTTTTTGTCTTCTTAGTTCAAATTATTTGTAACAATGGAAGGTCAACGTCCCCCAGTTCACGAGGTTCGTTTTTTATACCATGACCACGAGTTCGATATAATATAATAATCTATTGATATCAAAATGTAACAGCAGACTCGTGTTTTGAAACTGCAACCCAACTGCTGTACCGGATGTGTGCGGAAGGTGAAACGAGCCATGCTCAAAGTTGAAGGTGGTTCACATGCATTTATATACCGTTTCTGATTTCATGCTACAAGTTTAGTTGTTTGTTCCAATCTAATTAGCAGCAATGGATATATGTATATATATACAGGTGTGCATTCGATAAAGGTAAATGCAAATGAGGGTACGATAGAAGTGAAGAGCGACGTTGACCCACAATTGCTTATAGCAATTGCAGCCAAAGCCGGCAAAAGAGCTGAGCTTTTGTGGGAACCTCAACCGGAATCTTCTCCAGCCACTCCTCCTCCGGTCACCACACCATCTACAGACCATCTAGCCAGCCAGCTTCAGGTAAAGGTCAACAACTTTGACCAGACAGTAAATGTACAGGACTTGGTTGATAAAAACGCTCGTGGGATCAAACATATGGAGATCGTCGACAAGAGGGTCATCAAAATAATGTTTAAGGAGCCCAATCATGATGATCCCAGTGGCGGCCACTCGCGGGACACACCGTCGACCTCCAACTCTGGTGGTGGAGAAGCCAGAGTTTCTGGTGTTCGTGGTGATGTTGAGATCATTTCGGTTCCTGCTGCTGAACCACCAGCTTCAATACCGCATGAGATCAACAATGCTCCTACTAACAGCAAACCGGCAGAACCTCCGGTTGCTAATGTGAATTGCAAAAACGGAAGGAATAGTTGTCGTGTGATGTAAAATGAAGATCTATTTTAGGTTTTAAGTATCGAATGGAAACTACAATGTATATATAAACCCCTTAAAAGACTAAGAAATTTAAGAATTTGCACTACACACAATTGTCACAACAATCAATCAATCTTGCAAAAGAATCATCACTACCAAAAACACAAAATCCTATCTTACTACTCTTGCCCTCGTGAGAGTTCCTTTCCTGATCAGCGTGCTGTGGTTTGAGAGCAGACCGACTCTGGTGTGCTCTTCTGCCAAGTCTCTTTGTTGGCTCGACATGCTTCTTTTATCGGCCACTCGATCTGGAATCCGTCGCTGTGATGTTTCTCTAAGAGACAACAGTGCGTGTGAAACGTCTGAGGATCAACCTGAAGCTTGAAGTCAAGGGTGAACAACAACTTCATCTCCAACCTGTTCAACTCTCTCGTGCTCACACCTCCCACTCTCGCGTAGTATGCATTGTTGTAATACCTTCACACAACACAACAAAAGAAAGATCAATGAATCTATATGTTTAAACATTCAAATGTATACATCAACTCCAAACATCTCACAGCTGTGAAAACAAATTGTGACTGGCTCTGTTATGATACCTATCATCGAAGACTTTAGCGGCTAACATGACAGTCGTGATGATAAGGCGGTGGACATTGAGCGGTTTGAGAAGAGCTCGGGTCCGGTGGAGGAACTGGTCAATGTAGATATGCGCGATGACAAAGCAGGATGGGCTGCAGCCAGAGTACTTGAAGATGCGATCCAAGTAGTGTCCAATGCTGATCTCAGGCCGAGAGAGTCCGTCGAACACGGCCACAGAGTCTTTCTCTTTCATCTCTGGAGATTCATCAGCCAGTTTGTCATCGTCGTCATTGAGCAACACAGATCTCTCCAGAGACGAAGCGAGGCGTGACAGAACTGTCGGTGGCTTTTTCAATCGTTTGCCCTCTTCTATTATAAGTCCTAACCTCTCGTATACATCCGAGTCAATGAAATCCATTTTGTTCCTCCGGCGAATCTGAACAATTACGGTTGAAACTTGCAGATTATGCATAACAAATTCAAGTTGGTGAACTAACTCTTCAGAACCTAAATACTCTCTATTTCTCCTACCTACCAACAATCTGAAGAATTCGGATCCAGTTCACGTGATTCAGATTCCGAGAAAATGAAGACGGATGAGGGAGAGAGGAACTTACGAGATTTTCGGGGGAAGAAGAAGGAGCTTCTTCAACGGGGAACTAGAGAGTGGCAGAGAATAAAGAAGCTCCGGACATGGAAGAAAACAGATCTCTATCTCCGGCGCTTCAGCTTCACCATTCTCTGCTTCTGGAGCTAGAAGAATCCGCGAATGATTGTCAAGAAGAAGAAGAAGAAGGAAGTTTCCATTTTTACGTTTATTTAACGCGATTTTTAAATAATTAAAAAAAAAAAATTAAAAAATGGAGTGAAAGACAGAAGGAGACGAGAGAGTATACGTTGCGTGGATGAGAGGCGTCTGTCGACAGTTCACCGTCGGCGAGTCCATCTGGCGGTGGTGGCCCACCGTCTCCATTTGTGTCCTTTTTTAGTCAATGCATCTATTATGCTTTTCCTTCTCTTTAATGGGCCTTGTAAAAATCTAACAATAAAGGCTATTACTGGGCTTTTACATGGGTTTCTCTCTTCACTGGTGTAAGGGTTTTATTGTCATTTTACGTAAAGAGTAAACCCTAATCTTCCTGGATTGGCTCTCAAATGCCCAAATATTTTTTGTAGGTGTTAAGATTGGTTTTTGAATTTTGATTTTTTTTGAAAACGGAATCATTGCCTCCAAACTCCAATATCATCACGCAGATCAATGATTCTCTCCCCCCGCTTCTTATTTACGCTTCTCTGAGGAAACCTTCTTTTTCACTTTCATTCTATTGGTTCTCCGTCATCGGCAACTAGAGAGATCCATTTTGATTCGCTGATAAAAAAAAAAAAAAAAAGGTGAATGTGAACCCTAACCGTCGTATCTCTACCTTCATCGTTCTATTGCATTTCTGGGTTTTCGCCTCCTGTTCTTATTTTAATATTCTTATCCCCTGTATTCGGAAATTATAATTCTGAGGCTCTTGTGTAGAAATGGTTTAAGGCTCTTGTGTATCTACAATACAAACGTAATTAGATTCTCCTATATCTTTATCGCCTGGATCTACCCTACTTTCGTCTGTCTCAAAATTGCAATTTTTTGTTTTTGATGAAAACTTAAAATCATCAGATTGTGAAATGAATGTTTGTTTCTTGTCTTGGAAAATACAGGAGGATGGATAATTCAGTGGAAAGCACAGAGAGGCGTGTGTTATCAGTGAAGATGTGGCCACCGAATAAGAGTACGAGGCTGATGCTTGTTGAGCGCATGACCAAGAACATAACGACACCATCCGTCTTCACCAGAAAACACGGTCTACTGAGCCTGGAAGAGGCTGAGGAAGATGCCACGCGAATTGAAGACTTGGCTTTTGCAGTTGCCAACAAACATTTCCAGAACGAGCCTGATGGTGATGGCACTTCTGCTGTTCACGTCTACGCTAAAGAATCGAGTAAGCTTATGCTCGAAGTGATCAAAAGAGGTCCACAGGTAGGATCAGAGGCTGAGGTGAAGAAGGCTGGGGATGCCTTGTTCGATATATCCTGTGGCCGTAGAGCGTTTATTGATGAGGAAGAGGCGCGCCAACTCTTGAGGCCTTTGACTGAGCCGCATAACTCGTACACCAAGATTCGCTTTGGCAACAGGAGTTTTGGCGAGGAAGCAGCCAAGTTTGCTGTGAGCGTTTTGTCTTCCATAAAGGATCAGCTGACGGAAGTGGATCTCTCGGATTTTGTTGCAGGAAGGCCAGAGGCTGAAGCACTTGAAGTCATGACCATGTTTTCATCTGCTCTGGAGGGTTCTAAGCTAAGGTCTTTGAATCTCTCGGACAATGCTTTGGGAGAGAAAGGGATTAGAGCGTTTGGCTCTCTCATCAAGTCTCAGCATGACTTGGAGGAGCTCTATCTGATGAATGATGGCATTTCCGAGGATGCTGCAAGAGCAGTTCGTGAGCTGCTTCCTTCTACTGGCAAAATGAAGGTTCTTCAGTTTCACAACAACATGACAGGAGATGAAGGAGCAAGCGCCATTGCGGAAATAGTGAGGCAGTGTCCACTGTTGGAAGACTTCCGGTGTTCATCTACAAGGATTGGTTCAGAAGGTGGTGTTGCGCTAGCGAAAGCACTTGAATCATGTAGCCACTTGAAGAAGCTTGATCTTCGTGACAACATGTTTGGAGTTGAAGGTGGAGTTGCACTGGCCAAGACTTTATCAGTGTTGACTGATTTAACTGAGATCTATATGAGTTACCTCAACTTGGAAGATGAGGGAACCGATGCAGTCTCTGAGGCTCTATTGAAGTCTGCACCATCTCTTCAAGTGCTAGAATTGTCTGGGAACGACATTACTGTTAAATCCACTGAGAAATTGGCAGCTTGCATCGCCTCAAAACAGTCTCTTTCGAAGCTGAACTTATCTGAGAACGAACTGAAAGACGAAGGGTCAATCTTACTCGCAAAGGCAGTTGAAGGTCATGAACAGTTGGCTGAAGTTGACCTGAGCACCAACATGATCAGAAGAGCTGGGGCAAGAGCCTTGGCACAAACTCTTGTAAAGAAAAATGCTTTGAAGGTTCTCAACATCAATGGAAACTTCATATCCGAGGAAGGTATTGACGAGGTAAATGACATGTTCAAGGACTCCCAAGAAAAGCTTGGTCCTTTGGACGATAATGACCCTGAAGGAGAAGATTTTGAAGATGAAGACGAAGAAGAGGAAGGCGAAGAGGACAATGAATTGGGATCAAAGCTCGGTGGTCTGAAAATCTAGCAAGAGGAGGTAACATGACGCGATGCTTCTGTTGCTATGTAGGTAGATTCAGTTTTATCTCTCCCTCTCTCTCTCTCTCTCGCTTTCTATATGGTAAAACGTATTTTAAGTAGGTATGTAAGACTGTTCTCAGATCTATTTCCTTGAAACAAATTGTATTGCGGTTGCTCTTTTGGTTATGAATTGAAATGGTCTTTTTAGCTGAAATAATGTTCATCTCATATTGAGCTTGTGGGAAAAAAAGAGAGAGCACATGGTACTACAATATAAGAAACTCTTTGATCAAGCGGCCACTGTGGTTTTGAGGGCTTCAAGTATCTTATCATCTAGCTCGAACTTAATCTCCTTCTTGTCTCTGCCAATCTTCACATACTCGTCAAATCTCTCCTTGAGATCTTCGGGTAGATTCGTTTTACTTTCCCAGCCTAGAATCTCCTTAGCCGCTCTTGGCTCCGCATAGAAATGCTGTGATCATACAATGACAACAAAGTTATAAAACTAGTCGATGAAAGTAGAAGAAGAAGAAGAAGAGGAGGCTTTAATGGGTTTTAGTTTTACCATGTTTCGAAAAGGAAAGGCCTTCTTGGCGTCAACACCAATGGCTTTAGGGTCATAATGAAGGATCTCAACCGTTTTGCCAGCAGCGGCAGCGCAGAGCTTGGCCATACCGTCGAGAGTGACAGCTCTGTCACTGACGCAGTTGAAGATGTTGCAGCACGCAGCCTCGGGCTTCTGCACGGCTGAAGTCAGGATGGAAGACAAGTCCCTCACGTGCGAAATGTTGGTTAGCTGCAATCCTGATCCTGGGATTGGCACAGCTCTGTCCCTCACAATCCCTGTCAACAACACATTTCACAATTACTTGTTCTGTCTTCTTTGTGCTGGGGTTTCAAGAACAACTTACGGTCGAAGAACCATTCTTCGCAGTCTTTGTTGTTGCCGGAGCCGATCATGTACTGTGGTCGAAACGAAGCCCAGTTTCCGAATGTTTCTGCCAAGTACTTCTCCACTAGCACGTGACCTGCGTCGGCTTTCACTGCGTCCTGCACATGGGAGAAGATAGACATAAGTCAGTGGTGAGCATTTTGAGAAAGTGTGTTTAGTGTTGCTTAATGAATACGAATTGAATACCCCTTCAACGTGAGGAGGTTCTTCGGTGGACTTGTAGATGCCGGCGCTGCTTATGAACAAGAATTGCTTCACGCCGGAGCTTTTAGCCCAATCGACAACTGGCCTGTTCCCACATTTTCCAAAAGGATATGAAAATGATGATCATTTCTCAAGTCTCATCTTCTATGGAATTTCAAAACAAGGAAAGAGAAAACGCAGACCTAACAGTATCCAAATCCTTGCCATTGTTGTCAAGCACGACGTCGAATGTTTCACCTCCGACCACATTTGCAACATCGGCCGGGTTTCCCCACACCGTCTTTCCTCCGCCACTAACAATTTCCTGTGGACAGAGTGATTATTGTAGAAAATTGAAAACTCCAAAAGTGGGGAAATGTTTGTGTTTGGGAATGGGAATCTTACGGAGAATCGGGAGAAGGGAGGTTTCTTCATCTTGTCGGAAGATTCATCGCCGACGGTCATGATGGTGACGCCGTGGCCAGCGGAGAGAAGCTCTTTGGCGAAGTAAAATCCGATGACGGCGTGACCACCGCTGTTGGTGTTGACGATAAGTACATTCTTCTTCTCTGCCTTAACGGTAAATCCCTGAGGAGATGACTTTGGAGAAGTCCTCAGAGAGTATCTGAAGGGAGAAGAAGAAGAAGAAGAGAGAGACGAAAAGGAGGAAGATGAAGAAGGGAGAGAGAAGCGGTGGAGAGATGGCGGGAGGAGGAGAGTATTACTGATCGGAGAAGCTGTTTTGGAGGAGAAAAACAGAGAGGAAGATGATAAAGCCGCCATTTCTTTTTTGGGGCTATGATTTGTTGAATGCTCTCTGCTTTTAATCTGCTTTGATCCTCACTCAACCAACCAGTCGAATATGTATGGTCCATTCTTATTGCTGTACAAGATAACATTTAACGGTCGGTCCATTTTCCTTTCGTGTTTTACGTAATTCAAATATCTTTCTTTTAATCTTAATTTAACAACAGTAAGCTGTCTCCTACAGTAAACAAGAGTTCCACATCTGCTTTCGCATTTGGTTTCTTAATCTTAACAACGTTTAATGTGTTTATCTTGAAAGAAATCATGAAACTGTCGTATAACAAAAATGGTCTACACATAAATGTCTTGAGTCTTGACGGTGCCAAGTTTCAAAGTAAAAAAATACAGATCATCTAGTAACTAAAAATCTGTGGCGTAGGTAACAGAGATTTGAGGCCCACGCCTATTTTTATTATATACAGCAAAAGAGCAGAGGATCAAAATTCAAAGAAAGAGAAGAGCATGCACTAAATATTGTTATGTAGAGAGAGGCATATATGTTCAAGCATTCTTCCTTGCGGAATAAGCACGGTATGCTGCCAATCCGGCAAAACCAAGAGCTGTTCCAACTGCAAACAACAAGCATAGAAGCTTAACTAAATGATTAAAGACAATTCAAATGAAGAAAGAATATACAATTGAAGAAGAAGAAGAAGAAGAACCTGAGACAAACACAAGGGAGCTGTTGACGAACTGGCGGATATTCTTGCTTCTTCTTCCAGACTCAGTCTCTGGAACGCTCACGTGAGGGTTCTCTGCTGCACTCACGATTCTTGAGAATAGACTATTTGGGTCCCCAAGTTTCATGCTCAGCGACACTGGCACCTCTATTCCCAGTTCCATGCTTACCTGTTCGGTTATCAGGATTGAAACATCATCAATCAAATATCTTTTACATATTCCTCCTAGTTATCTACGGTCAATTAAAGAGTATATGTTGATTACCCTGTCAGACTCTTGCACGGACATTGGATAAGGATCCAAATCATCTTTGGCGGCAACAAGAAGACAAGGGCTCCCATTTCCGCTCTCTTCTCCCCTCCTTGCTACCTCCATCAGTATCTCCCTCGCTTTCTTCCATGAGTATACATCCGAACTGCAAAACAATAAGATATTTCTTGCTTCATCATATATATATATATATATATATATATATATATGTCATCCGAGTTTTTGCAAGCAAATAAACAACTTGTGAGCTTACCTGTCATACACAACCACAGCAACATCACATGCTGCCATTGATTCCTCATTCCCCAGAAACTTCTTCACTCTCTCTTCTGGTATTTCCCGCAATATCAGGGTTTTCTTTACACCCTGAAACATTGCATCCAAACAGTTAGATGAAAAAAGAAATCCTCATCAAAACATCCACAAGATTCACAACGCCACCAGTGCTACTTACCCCAGGCAGATCAATCACGTTTGCTGCATATCGTTCACCCATTGTTGCCTTATAGCTCTCCGAATATTTCCTGGATTTGAAACACAGCTTACTGAATATGATCTTGATAGAATCAAGTCATCAACCAAAACTCGGATATACTTAGCAATGTTTACCTTCCTAAGAAAGAATCGAGGATTGCAGACTTTCCAGATTTCTTAGGGCCAAATACAAAGCATTGAAACACATTCCTTTCTGTTCGCTGCTTCTTACGATCCACTGATCTTTTCCTCGTTACACAAAACGTTGAAGCTGGGTCGTGCCCATAACCGATATATATCAGGTTTGCCAAAGTTTTCCGAGGATCTAGTAGAGTCATTAGAGCCCACTACATTAACACACACATAACAGAGCATGATTAGCATGAATGTTGACTCTGATAGTTGATCATCATGATTCATGACAAAGAAAGCTGCATTCTAATTCAGCGTCAACAGAACAGTAGGCATATACGAACCTCAGACAGAAACCCATTGATTGTCAAATTTCCGCCTGCAGTTTTCTCTGCAGCATCTTTATAAGGAGCCTCAAGCCAAGGACTGAAATCGTAAAACCATATTGTACATGTAACCGAACTTACTCCAGACACAATACGCATATTCATGTCTAAAAACATTAAAGACATTGGCAGGAAAACTGAAAAGGAAGAAGGTAACTCACTAAACAATCAGCAAATTACCTATCCGGGGCTGTTTGAAACAAATCATCTATCTCAGCAGGCAGTAAGGCTCCATCCTAGATAGCAGCAAAACAAAGAAGCATTAAGGAACCACCCGCTTCTCCTTGAGGATCAAATAAGCTTTTTAGGTGATACAGAACAACAGAATCATGGTTAAGTGTTTAGAGAAACGATCATACACACATTATCAAGGTCATACAACCGGAAGATCCCACTCAGAAAGTCCATAGCTTCATTTGTTAGCTCAATGCTCTGCAAGTGAAACAAAGGAAGAGAATGCAAAACCTATTTAAAACCAGTCCAACCAGTTCATCACATCCATTAAGTACCAGAACAATTCCTTAAACAGCACACACCTGATCAGGAGAATGCTTAGCTGGCACTGGTAATAACTCGGTGCTGAGTTCTAAAGAATCATTGTAACCACATTTCCGGAGGATAGCCCATGCAGCCTCAGGGCGACCTCTCTCAATGAATAGAGAAAAAAATAAAAGGAAACCAGGAAGTGTAAGACCAAGATCAGTTACTCCATCTGGTTGCCTTTCTTGTACCATTCTCTTAACTCCCATCAGTTCGACGGGGTCAAGTGGGGCACCAAAACAATTCACCTGAATATGCAGCGAGAGATGATGAGGTAACTATCATAAATGCAACAGTCAGTGGCTAAGAGTAGTTAAAGGGAACCTGAAAATCATTCAACTCGGCGTCACTAAGGGCACCATCCAAATCATGATCACAGAGGTTGAATATCTTTTGTACTGCCCTGCGGAAGCGAGGTTTCAAACATTGTTTTTCTGGATCAAACAACGGAAATGTGGGATGAAGAACCGCTTTTGATGCATAAAAGAAAACATCAGGAGCCTGAGAAAAAAAAGACAGAATCAATCATGGACACGGTTCTGCTTCTGTTTAAAGGTGCCTTTTGCCAAAAGAGAAGATCCTAATCTTTGAAGTGTATCAGAGGATATTTGAGCCAGAGAATAAAAGCAAGAACATACCTGAATAAGGGTCAAGGCAGAACACTCTATACAGGTTTCAATCTCTCTGTATTCCTTCATGATTGGTGCCATTATATCCTCTAGTCTCGCGGGAGAGCGTGCATCCCGTAAATCAAGCTTGCATCCCACCACAATCACTGGTGCTTTGATCTAAGATATATATACATATACACACAATTATAAATTCGAATACTTTCTTGTAAAAATTACAATCTTTCACCAGTAAATGACAAACCTCCAAACGCCGGAGCTCAGGGAGCCAATAAGAAGCCAAGCGATCAAGCGTGGAAGGCTGATCACAAGCATAAGTAAGAATCACCACATCAGCCTTCCTGAATTCTTCGATGAGCTTTATCCTATTGTCAATACTAATCCCAAATAACATCCCAGATATATATCAGTAACAAAAAAAACCGAAAATCAATAACGAGAATTCGGAATATCTGTCGCCTAAGCTAGTGATGATTCATAAAGTTTCGACCAATGGACTAATTTTCTTAAACGAGAACAAACAATACACATTCAACTTCGCATATATTTTTTGCATTAATTGTGCATTTAGAGACAGAGTGAAGTATAAAATACCTTGAGGGAGTGTCGACGATGGTGATGGGTATATTGTCAGGGTAAGCGTTGGCGGGGAGAGTAATCGGAGGAAGGACACGCGGGACGTTATCCGGGAAAGTTTCGGAGGCGACGGCCGAGATCAGGCTTGATTTCCCCGTTCCTTTGTCACCAGCAACGGCGACTCTGAGGCTTTTACGCCCTCCGGCAGACGACTTTCCTCCGAATCCACCTAGCATCGGAGAAACCAGAGAAGAAGAAGAAGAAGAAAAAGAAAATGACGTTAATTGTTTCGGAGAGGAGGAGATTGATCTACAGACGATGGCCGGCCCCGACTGACGTGGATACTCAAGTAATGAAATCGGGTTGACCCGACCCGACACGTGCCCGCGCCATAAAGGATTTCTCATAATGGGCCTTCATTTTCTGTATCTATTCAATTCATCAACGACACTGTTTCATATTTACACTTCCCGTGACAAGTTTCTTTGCCATTTCTTCAAGCAGATTTAAACTCTTAGATATTCACTTTTTCTTAAACTTATTTTATATGCATTGTTTTGTTTTCCATTTTTTTTCTGTGTTGGAAAGAAACTCTTCTCTTTACATTTGCACATATATTTTAGCAATCGTCTCTTTACATCCAATTGGTCTCTGTTTCACATTTGTCAGTCTTTCTTAACGAATGACTGCAGTGCTACCAGTTTTTATCAGATCCATACTCAAAAAAAAAAAACAGCACTTTATCATTCCATAGTAGGATTTTATTATAAAAAAACGGAAAACCGAGATTAAAGAAAACCATCGTCAAAGCAATAAAACGGAAACAGATTACAGAGGAAACGACAACAGAAACACAACATTTGCTTATGAAATTGATATAAGAACTAATTATAACACCTCGACGAGTCTCCATGCTGAGGCTACTCTCAGCCTTCAGATGCCGGACGCGGGAGGAGCTGCGGCATCGTCGGAATCGGATTTGTCCTTGGAGAACTTCTTGAACAATGGCTTAAACACGAACTCTATCGCCAACCATCCCACCGCCAACACTCCCACCACAACCGTCGCTGTTTGTTTCTTACCTGTTGGTTTCTCCAGTTTTGGGAATTTGCTTTCTGTTGACTTGTCCATTGCTGCCCTATTCTTCTTCTTCTTCCTCTTCTTCTTTCCTTTCTGCCTTTAACCCTTCGTCTTCAGACTGGGTTTATCTTCAACTACTTTTAAATAAATAAAGGCAGCGAGATACATTTCAAAAAATATCTTGAGTGGTCGCGTTTTAGACCGTTGATGGAATTATCGACGGTCATAATTTGGTGTCTGAATGGGCCTCATATGGGCTTCTTGCTAGAAAACAAATTTTGGTGTCGTGAAAAAGACAATTTTGGTTGATTCTCATTTCTAAATGAATCTCAATCGAACATGGAAGATAAGACGCATATAGTGTTACCGACCTCTCATCATATCCCACCATATCTTTATAGTTTTGAGTTTGATGAATCGAAAGTAAAACCCGTTTTTGAGAAAAAAAACATAAAAAAAACCCTCCCCTCTTGTTTTAGTAATTACTAATTAGTAAGGGAATCTAATCTTTATATGTAAGACTGAATTAACATTTTTCAAAACAAAATTTATTATGTCATGGATGCAAATAATGAGTTTTAGAAAAAAAGAGTAAATTAGTCACGTGAAAGGAAAAAGAGTGTATCACTGGTTCATTTAAAGTGCGACGTACAGTACAGAGTACAACAGACCACAGAACAACAGGTCTTGAGAACCAAAATATAAACATGCAATACATACACATGCACACATGAAAGCCTTTAAGTAAATGAGAAAAGCCCAATCATAATAAGGAGAAGCCTAATATGCACACATGAAAAGCCTATCAGTAAATGAGGAAAGCCCAAAAAGAGAGGTGCAAGGTCACGTGCAATACACGTGTCAGTTAAACGAGCAGTTATTTTCGGTGAGTCATATGGATGGTGTGTAAAGTTAAGACAGAAAGAAAAGGGAAGAGTGTTGTGTAACAACAAAAGACCAAAAGTGAGTGAGGTAACAAACAAAGACGACGATGGTTTCGTTTCGCTTCCCTTTCTCGTTTTCTCAGCCCTCACTCCCCAAACCTCCGCTTGCCACGTCATCCTCCAGTTTCTCCGTTTCCGCCGTCGCAGTCACCGTCACCGTAGGCGCAGCAGCAGCCGGAGCTGCGATCGCGGCGTCGCGGAACCCGAGACATCCGATCCTGGACTGGGTCTTCTCCGGTCAGCGTTCGTCTCTGTCACCATGGGGATCTATAACTCTAGCCGAATCTAGCTCCGAATCCGTTGCTGAACGTAAGACCGGTTTCTCGTTTCCCGCTACGATCGGAGATTCCCGGCGATTACTCGGCGTCGGTCTGAGGAAGAAGAGCTTACTGGGATTGAAGAACATCGATGTATACGCATTCGGTAATTTTCAGTCGATTAAATTTCATTTCTGAAATTGAATCTGCTGTTATACTATTCCTTGCATTGCTATTCACAAGCCCATTTGGGAAATATTCAAAATCGATAGATTTGGGCGTACGATTAAAGGAATTGGTGAAACGCTTTTACAGTCTCCAAATTGCAGACTAAGCTTAAGTTCTTAGGAATTGCATTTTAACAGTTTATATGCCATTAAAGGACAAAACAATCTTCCTAGTTAATATCGGAGAATGCACTACATAAATTATGTTACCCAAGTGTCTTTTGCAATCAATTGATTTTGCATCTGTCTGTGTTTGCATCCGTCTCAGGCATGTATGCTGATTGTGACGATGTGAAGAAACTCGTGGGCGAGAAATATGGAAATATTCCAGCTTCGGAGCTCAGGGGAAACAAGGCATTCGTGGACGATCTCATGGAAGCCGATATAAAGATGACCATAAGGCTGCAGATTGTCTACGGCAAACTCAACATCCGATCCGTTCGCAATGCTTTCCAAGAATCTGTCGGAAACAGACTCAAGAAGTTTGGTGGCTTAGACAACGATGATTTGCTTCAGAGGTACTATTTATAAACACACACTCATTCAAAGCTTCGGTTTGCCAGATAAAAGTGTTTTGTGGTCATCTCTGAACTTGTCGTCTGATTTCACTTTGATAGCTTCACTGCCCTCTTCAAGGATGAGTATAAAATTCCAAGAAGCTCCATCATTGATTTGACAAAAGAAGCAGGACATGTACTCAGCGTTGCAAGTAAGATTCTATGATCTATCTATCCATCCTATTCCGATTCTCAACTAAATTGCCTCTGAGAATGTTCCTTTTTTTTGTTTTGTTTTCCAGTTGAGGGAAACCATGTCGGCAGTGTGAAGAGCCAACTCTTGTGTAGGTCAATCTTAGACTTGTACATTGGTGAAGAGCCCTTTGATAGGAATGCAAGAGAAAATTTTCTAGACAATGTGGCTTCTCTAGCGCTAGACAAGTAAATTAAACCAATGTTCCGTCTTTGTTATGGGATTTACTTATGTATACAGCATATAATGTTGAGGACTGTATTTGAGATAAAATAAATTGCTCGAGGGATGAGTTTTGTTAGTCTAAATATGTACACTATAGACCAATCATAATGTCGACCCAATAAACAACTTATAAACTTTAAACAAGATACCGACCCAACGCGTTTGCTCCCAAAAGAAGAGGGTACTGTTACTAACCATTAGGGCATATAGCTTAAATTCGAAGCTAGAGACTGCAAAAATGGTGACTTTATACGTCTGCTTCGATGAAACTACTACTTTAGCTCAGACAGGTGACCCGGACGCGAAGTTATGATCGGTGGCACGTTCCTCCCACAAACTGGAGATGTTTTTTGTGTCGAGCCAGAAGCTGAATTCTCTGTCTGGTCTTGTGAAGAAGGAACAGGTGATAATGGCAAGGCTCTGGTATTATTGCTGGCCTTAGGATTTGCTGCTTTGCCATGTGACGCTGAAGAAGAAGAGCCATCAAACGTCCCCGACTTTGACGGTGCTGCAAAAGAAATCTGAGTCTGTCCGTGTGTTCTTTTCTGATGTCGAGACTGGTACTGCTTGATATTTAAGGAATTGCACGACGTGAGTGATGACGGGGCCGCAGGGTTGTTCCACTGGGTTGACGTGGCAGGAACAGAGTCAGCCTGGGAATGAGTCATCGTTTGCCTCTGCGTAAGATGATGATTGGTAAACACTGAACGGTCTCCATTTATGGATGTTGCTGCGGGAGGTGGAGGCCAAGTACCAGAAACAAAATTGAGGGTTCTCGGAGGATTGTCGAAAACCAGCGTCTGACCATTCATCATGGCTGGAGGCTTCCCGGGGAGAGTCTTTCTCTGGTCCTCCGCATTGCTTGAACAGCTCCCACCTCCTATTTTTGAGTCACTCGCTTGGGGGATTTTCTGGTGAACAAGAGGAGACCCAGATACGATATGGTAGCCATTGGAGGAGAAATTCAAATTTGCAGGGGCAGAAGCGCCGCCGAAAGAGGCAAATGACATGGAAAAGTTCTGTGGCTGCTGAATCGGAGCTGTCATGATCTGGCCATATTGCCCTCCTTTCTGAGTGAGGCTTCCCCTTGAATCTGAGTAATCTCCAGCTGGTTTAGCCCCAGACTTTTGAGGATGTTGACGATGTTTCTGAACATTAGCTTGGCTTGAAAGACTATTCACACTAAACTGCAGTTGCGGTTGCCTGTGGGATGACGAGGAACAGTTTGCTGCTTTTGTCTCCCTCTGGCCTTCACTCTGTTTATGCAGAACCTGAGGAGGCTGAAACATCTGCGACGAATAAAAGGACCCGTTGAAGAAAGGCAACTGTTGGCCTGGACTCCCACCTCTGATGGTTGATGACAGTTGAAAGGTATAAGCATTGTTAGGAACAACTGCAAAGTATGGACAAGAAGCTTCGCTGGGTAATGAGCTTGGATGGTTAAAGTTGTTGGATGCTGAACTAACAGCCACACCTTGATTCTTCGTAGGGTGAGGTGCTTTAGAATGTACCGGTTGCAAATGATGGTTTGTAGGGTAGATGAAAGCTTGAGCAGGCTGCATTAAGAGAAAGAATAAAAAAAAAATGAATTTGTTCAGGAGAACTAGAAAACACTTTTGCAGTTTCAATAAAAATCCAATGCGATAAACACAAATTCGTGACAAGATAAAAGGCCAAGGAAGTACATACCATTATGCTACTAGGTCCAGGTGGTGGTGGTTGAGGTTTCTTCTGTCTGGTTGAAGCAGAACGACCACTTTCAGAGGTTTTATCCTTAGACGCAGAAATATTAGCCGTGATTCTATCTTGTGCCTCAGAGTTTAAAGTGAGAGTAGGAGAGCTTCCTAGCAAGGATGGGATCCCAGCGGCTGGCCTCAAGTCACCACCGTTCAGACAAACAGGACCTTTGTTTGGTTGAGAGAGATTGTTTGTTTGGACGAACTGCTGATGCAGCTGAATGTTCCGGGCAATGAAAAAATGTGTGGCACACCTCTTTGGCCTAGGCTGAGAGGCAGAAAACGGAGCACCCTGCATTCGTTAAGAAATCATGGTCCGAACCAGTAGATGAAACAAGGATAAACATCTATGAAGAGCAAATGCAACTACAAATATACCTGCACTGATGTAGAAGATCCATTGCTCCCATCCACAGGTTTTCCGTTCTGGATTACGGGTACATATCTGCCAATGTTTTTTCTTTACATTTAAGAGTTTGGCCATTATGCTAGTACAAGACAACACAAGACAGATGAGGGCTTTCAGAACTCACCCCTGAGGAGGTAAGACAACGCAGCCTATAGGTACCGGCAAAGGTGAGACTGAACTCTGCTGAGCTGAAATTGAGATAAAACATTTGGTCAGACAAAGTTAAATCTGTTTATCCTAGAAAAATCATCACCTTTAGAAGCCAGATGGTGGTTCATAATCATTGTCAAGGTTATTTACCAGATTTAGCCTGCTGAGGTTGGCTCCAGTCCAAACTTTGTAACCTTAGGCTAGAATCTCTGCCAGTCCCTTGGCTCAGTGTCTCTAGATCAAGATTCAACCATTCGCCTTTTTCAACCTTCTGTTTCACTTCTGCTAGAGCCATCTCATTCTTGACGAAAATCTTGTCATTGTTCTTTACAGAACTATCTTGCTGCATTAGGCAAAACAGAAACAAATTTATAAACCACAAAGTGGGAAAACAATGATCGTTAAATTAGTACATTTGCAACATTCAGATTTCAGAGTCTCGGTAGCTAAAATTCTCACCATCAGATCAATCTGGAGCTTACTACTACAATTACTCTCCTTTTCATTGGTTTCCAACTGTGGACCGTCTGATATCCTGGAGACCCAAAAATAGAAAAACAGACAATCAGATATCCAAACATGGATAAAAGAGGAAAATATCAATCAAAACACAGGATATCCCAATCTTGATTAATTTACCCTTTCGAATCCCGTGAATCTAGCCATTGTTTTTCCAGAACACCATCCAATGTGCTCGGTGTTTCTTGCCTTCGCTCTATATACTTGGGGATATCGGAGATTACTGGCGATATGTTAGTTCCATTCGTGGTTTTATCAACGTTCCCAGTTTCGATTCTCGCTTTACAAGTAATTAAACCGCCGATCTCTAAACCTGCGGAAGAATCATCGCCTTCCGGTTTCGACTTCTTCACACCTGCAAATCAAGCAGCCAATTAGCATCTTCCGATAAAAAAAAAAAATTGAGATTAGATAACAATTATCCTGATGTGTAACTGCGTAATACCTTTAACCTCCGATGATTTAAGGGAATTCTCCGACTCGTCTTCTCTCTTTGAGCTATGAGGCTGTTTCTTCAGCCCAGATAGAACCTCCGCTATTTCAATCTCCAAGTCGTCCTCAATCGTACCGGAGGATTTCGGTGGCTTGGGTATCCGGGATTTGGATCCATTTCCATTCTAGGAAAATTGAAAAAAATCAAAAAATGAAATCTGTATTCAACCATCGACCGAAACCATTTCTGTAGATTAGGAAATGAACGGACCTTCCTCTGCTTGACCGAAACTGTTGAAGAAGACGGTGAAATAACTTCAAAGCTGCAGCTCCCCGGCGAAGCTGGAGTTCTTCGACGGTCTTCTCCGAATCCTCCGCCACCGCTTCCCGACGATGTCCGGCAGTCATGCGACCTCTTTACACATGCTGCACCCACCGGAAAAGAATAAGAAACCGGAAAGCAAGTCTTAGGAAGAGATCTCGAAATCCGAGTTAACTCGGAAGGAACAAAAATCAACGGAGCTCCAACCTGAGCGAGCCTTTCTCGGGACAGGTACACCGATCATTTCATCGGCGACCTTCAAAGACGCCGCATGCCTGGGAATACGACCTGACGGGAAGCTCTTCCTGTGATAATTATGCTGAACTTCATCTTCTCCCAGACTCTCATCCGAGCTATCGTCTTCTACATCTCTCTCGTTCCTCGGCGCGAATCTCTCGCTTCTTCTCCTCTTACTCCGATTCAACGATTCCGGATCTCGCTGTTTCTTCTCCGGTCGATCTCTCACCGTCACCACCTCCTGATACATCTGCCCACGACTATTCTCTGACACGCAGGAACAAACACAGACAAAAATCGTCAAAAAAAAATTGGAAAAAATGCGAAACGAAAGAAGAAAGAGTAGGTCGAAGCAGCACCTGAGTCTCTCCGTCTCCGGTTAGTTACTCCATCTGAAGCAGCCATGGTTGATCTTCGAGCTTCCCGGCTTTTATCCATTCATGCAAGCTAAGCTACAACAACTAACCTCCCATCAGCTTCTGAGTATATAATAATGATCTTTCACTCTGTCAAAGCAAAATAAAAGTTTAGACTGGTATTTTAATATCGGTGCTCTCGTCTCTTCCTAAAAAATTTCTTCTGTAGCTTCCCTAGCAAAAAAAACCTACCCCTGGAAAAAGAAGTTGAGAGACGGTTCAGATCTTCAAATGACGACAATGTCTCCATCTTAGCCGTTGGATCATTCTCTAGTTTGGACAGTTACGATCTCGAGGTGCCAGCATGGCAGAAACGTCACTTTCTAATGGAATAAAGCCACTGCTCCATGTTTAGTCACACATTATTATTATCATATATTTATATATTCTATGACTTTGCATTTTTTACTTCTTTTATTTTATTTAAGTCCATCATACAGAGTATTATAATACTTTCTTTTGCCCACCCAAAAACATATAATTATAGTAATAAACATTTGTATTTAATAATAATATTTCACACCATGATCTTATTAAAATATATCTATATCAAATGAGTGCACAAAGATCAAATATCATAATTTATATGAATGTGCAAACAGCTGTATTACAAACCACGCGCCGTCCTTACGCGTGGGGAACGACTCCGACGTTACTATCGTCAGGAATTCACACGTGTCATAAGTTTCAGTTGTTTCATTGGAAAAGAGAAATCTCAATCTACTAGCATATCTTTAGTGACTTTTATAAACTCTCTCTCGTTTCCTGAATAATTTTTTCGTATTAATTTTAAATATACGCAAATTTAATAAATTAATTGTGAACAAAAATACTATACATTTCATAATGTTAATTGACTTAACTAATTGGATGCACTAGGACAACATGATTTTAATTATTTAATATTCGGCAGCTGAGCTGAGTATAGATGACTTGTCACATGGACAACAATTCATATGGGTTGTTTATGCCACGCGTACGGGCGAGTGTAGATGAACACACTTCGCGAGTAGCAGATGACTTCCGAAATTCATTAATGCCACGTGTCGAACACACCAAAGATCCACGGTGATTCGCTCTCTTGAGGGGATGGCCTCACATTACCGTTGGCCACGCCACAAGCAATATATAAACGTCATCAACTAACTAAATTATTATTTTAACTTGGTTTTCCACTTTTGCGTATATATGTGACTGGGTCCAAACGAATTGAATCATATCGAACGAGCTTTAAAATAAAATAGCGTAACTAGATAAAATCAAGAAGAAAATGATCGTTTTGGATAAAATAATGCAGCAAGATAATTCCAATGAAACAAGTGTAGCAAGATTAAATAAGTAGTTGTCCAGCGACTAGAGTAGCATGATGAAATATCAACAATTAAAAATGTTTTAACAAATAAAATAAAAACTTGATTATCGTAAAGTGTTGACTGACGAACACTGTCTTATGTAGTTTAATGAAGGGAGGAGAATCAAAGTGATTATTATAATTATTAGAAAATATGTTTAAAGTACTTTAGTTGTGTTTTTGACCCTACCCTATCTTACAATTAGTATATAATTGTAAACACAAATTAAAAAATATATTTGAAAGCACAAATTAGCGAAAGTTTCGTTGGAGTTCCGATGTAAGGAATCCAACATCTCAGCCACTTGACATACTATAACGATGCTTTAATGTAAAGATTAGTATAAATTGTATAATAATTAGGGATATACACTATTTTATCATGCAGACAGATTAAAATATACTCCTCCCATGAAGCCTACTAATTAAATACTACTATTCATCATGGGTTGTTTAAACCACGGTGTATGGCATCACTTATTTTAAACAAATACGTTTATAAAATTCAGATTTATAAATCTTCTGGAAAAAAACTATAGGAGTATTAAATAACACACCACTATTGATGCATGCATGTCTTACAGAAGTTTAGAACCACCAATAAAATAATAGAAGTTCCCGTTTTTTGGACATTTTTAATTCGTGTTGATGCATGTTCCGTACTCGTTCGCTATAGCAGGTGTATATAAAACATGAAATATTCCCCTTTTTAATTTTAAACAACAAATTGAATTACAATCGGGTTGAATTCGGGATATTCTTTAAATTAATACAAACTTGTTTTTTAAGGAATAAAGAAAGTATTAGCGATATAGTGATAGAAAAAGTAAATTTAATTTAAAAACGCAATTGTAGTAGGGCTTTGGTTAAGAAAGTCAAATTCGCCACATATGAAGGGAAAAACGTGAACAAAAATCCTGAATATAATCTAGTCGACGATTAAAGAACATATTTTTGAACCTTCCGGAGCATTGCAAGCATAAATTTTATATTGGACTCTCAATGCGGCGAGGAGTGACTGAGAAAATGAGAGGGTGTTCGAGGAATGTAAGAAATGACCAAAAAACGTTAGCGGCAAGCAAAAATCAACAAGAGTTTGCTGTACACTTCAGTAAACTAATAAAAAAGGCCTTTTTCTAATTTCTCCAAACAGAAAATAGACATAAACAAAGTCCATCTTGTGATTCCCAAAAGCATTCTTGTACCTCACGAAACAGCACATTTTTTTTCCGAGAAAACAAAAAATAAACAGAAGCGAAGAGTTGGGATTTTACCAGATGGTTGAGTTACGTCTCCTAACAACCATTTCACAGTTACACCTTCATCAATTCCTGTGGAATGTAGTAATTAATGGCTACTCTAACAGTACATAGATGGATCAAATCAAATTGGAAATCAGAAAAGGGTAGGCTTGTAGCTAATACCTTCTCCTTCTGTTTGCAGAGCTCCTCTACCTTCTTCATGTATATATCAATTAGTTTCTGCCATTATCATTAACATACAATTTTTGTGAGCCACACTTTTAACCATCAAGAGTTCTCTTGCTCGAATGTTCAATCCTTTTATTTTTTGTTAATTAAAACAAACTCTTGAGTGGTCGGATTACCTGCAAATCGCTGGACAAATCCTTCACGTTGTCTTCTGACAGCTTCTTCTCCTGCGAAAATGAAGCTCATTTCATTAGAATGACAAACGAATAGGAACATCCAACAAGAAAGATTAAAAACCATAAAAAGAGAGGTTGGAACCTTTTCGAGTTTATCATAAGATTTCAAGGCATCTCTCCTTATGTTCCTCAGAGAAACCTATAAGAAACACCATTATGCACCCTAAAGAGTGGAAAATCCCTACATGTCACTAAAAGAGAGAGGCAAACTCGACTTACCTTCCCTTCTTCAGACTGTTTTGCTACAACCTTAGTTAGTTCCTGCAGTGGTACAATGAACAGGTGAGGCAGCCAAAGAAGATGCACAATCAGTGAAAATATCATTCAATAAGGGTTTGCGTTTGGAAGGAAGAGAGAGAAAAACCTTTCTTCTATCGGAAGTGAGGGGAGGCAAGGACAGTCGAATAACATCTCCATCGTTATTAGGAGTGACTCCAAGATCAGAATTCACAATGGCCTTCTCTATAGCCTTCAAGCTGGAAAAGCCATTGGGCATGTATCATCAAACCGAGACCGACCAAGAGAGAAAGCAGAGAGCACACATGACAAGTCTTATCGGAAATGTACCAACCTAGATTTGTCATACGGCTGCAGCAATAGAGAGCTCCCATCGGGGGTGCTGATTTGGGCTATGCTTTTCAGACTTACTGGACTTCCATAGTACTCCACCTGCAAACCAAATATCAAAAAAAAAAAAAAAAAAAAACTGTAATTTGGGGGAAATGAATCAGCTGTAAAGAGAAGAGAATGAGTCATGCACTCATGCTTATACCTCAATCTTGTCTAGCATAGCTACATTAGCTCTCCCAGTCCTTATGGAATTGAAACTAGTCCGAAGCGTTTCTATTGTCTTCTCCATCTTTGACTTCTGCATTGCAAAACAACACAAAAAAAAAAAACCCAGAATCACATCCATACCTAAATTCCACTAATCAGTAACAATAACCTTGAGGTACAATACGTACAACATCGCTCTCAATTGCAGACTTCTCCGCTTCAATTTCTTCGATAGTTGCGGACCTTATCACCAACCTACAATTTCATAAACACATCAAGCACGAATCTCGGAATTAGGGGATTTAGCAAACCCAGAATTATTGGACCGTGCCTCTTCTGCAGTGACCGCTTGACAACGGGCCCACCGGAGAGATTAACGCCCGCCCCGAGCCCAAGCTTGTCGCTCCTTGAACAAGACGCGATTAAGCGTGCAGAGGGAGAGGGAGATCTCTCCGGAGTGATTGCCCTCCAGCACGAATCTGCCATGGAATGGTACACAAATCATTTCATAGAGTGAACAAACGAAATCGAAGGCGAGAGAGAGCCGCGTCGCGTCGTACCTGGGAGAAAGACGAGAGGCTTCGAGCAATTCGCTCTGAACTGAAGAACCGGTTTCGTGGGAGCAGGGGAAGAGAATGAAGTCGCCATGGCAGTAGAGCAGTACAAGGTACTAGTGAAGCGAGTAGTAAACTAGTATAACAACTTCCGTTTGTGCGTCAGTGAAAGGGAGGGAGAAGAAGAAAGGGATAAGGAATGTTTTGGACCTTTTTGGTCAAGGGATAAGTCTTTGCTCAACTAGGCTAACTCTATCATTATGGGCCGATATTTTGACGATTTAGCGGCCCAACATTCACTTCAAAATCACACGTGGACGGCTTCATAGATTGGGCTTAAGTGGCCTATGACGACCAATGCTCTGTTTTGTAGTTTCCTACCGTGGTACTAGTATGAAAATTGGTCATCGCGTAATTGTATATTTTTGTCATCTATATTTTTTTAATACATTAACTACCATCGGGGTCCTCTGATATGATAAAGAAAAAACAAGATTTGTTTGCCGGTTCGTCGTCGATTCCACGTCCTTCATTAATTAATGATGATCAATAAATGAGAATCACAAGAATTAAAAAGAGAGATTAGTAGGAAGGTAAGAAGAGGCAACAATATGATTAACTTGATTTATGGCGGAAACGGAAGCTGAGCCGGCAATGCAGCCGAGGTTCGCGCTTACTCCTTGACCCTTAAACTGACATGCCTACTCACACGTGCGTACACTGTCCTTAATTAGTCCTTACCACCCCCCATTAAACTTGACAGCTTGATTTTTATTTTCTCCCATTTAAATCGTGATATTTTAGCATTTAAAGATATATTCACATACCTGTACGATATTTTCTCTACATTTAAACAAAAATTACTGTCCAGTACATGTCACAGTTTTATAGTATTATGTAATTTGTCATTCTTTAGGTAAGAAGATAAATATATTGACTCTAGTTAATTTTGAAAGATAATTGTCATGGGATGTTACCAAAAGTTATATATATGGCCAAGGAACATTTTTTCCAATCTTTATTTTTATTTCTAATTTGAAAAATCAGATAATCAAAATTTAAGATAACAGAATACCCTCCCATTTTGTAAATGTAAAATGAGAAGTAAAAAAAAAAAAAAAAAAACTCTGCACCGTCAGTGGGAGTATATAACTACCACCACCCACTCACAATTCCGGAATTATCTCTGAATCACTAAAACCCTCTTTCTTCTTTTTCTTCTTCAACACACAGTCACTGAGAGTGAGAGATAGATACAGAGAAGAGAGAGAGGGCGCGCGCATTCCCCATTAATGCCTCCCTGCAACAAAGCGTGATAGACAGAGAGAGAGAGAGAGATAGTCATAACTCACAAGTCATAACTCGTTACGTTTTTATTCCTATTTGTTATCACGGATTCCAAATCAGAACCGTAGTTGTGTTTGTTTTCTGGATTTTACGTTTCATAGACTATGGAGATGGATCTCAGCAAGGTTACTCTTGATATTTTCACGAAGCTCGAACAGAAATGGCTCTCCCACTGCGACACCACCAGGAAGACACGTATCCTTAGCATCGACGGTGGCGGAACCACTGGCATTGTCGCCGGTGCTTCTCTTCTCCAACTCGAACACCAGATCCGCCTTCAGACCGGTGACCCTCACGCTCAGATCTCCGATTTCTTCGACATTGTTGCCGGAACTGGTATCGGAGGCATACTCGCCGCCCTGCTTGTTGCCGACGACGGCTCCGGGAGGCCCATGTTCACTGCCAAAGACGCGGTTAGGTTTATCGCCGAGAAGAACTCGGAGCTCTTCGAGATCAGGCACACCGGAGTATTCAGGAGGAGCCGGAGATACTCCGGCAAGAGCATGGAGAGGGTGTTGGAGGCGGCGTTTCGGAGAGAGGACGGTAAGGTGTTGACGATGAAGGACACGAGTAAGCCACTCCTGGTTCCTTGCTACGACCTCAAAACCTCTGCTCCTTTCGTTTTCTCACGCGCCGGCGCGTCCGAGTCTCCGAGCTTCGACTTCGAGCTGTGGAAAGTCTGCCGTGCCACGTCGGCGACACCTAGCCTCTTCAAGCCGTTCAACGTGGTGTCGGTGGACGGAAAAACCTCGTGCTCCGCCGTAGAGGGCGGGTTGGTGATGAACAATCCAACTGCAGCTGCCGTAACGCACGTGCTCCACAACAAACGCGATTTCCCGTCAGTTAACGGCGTGGATGACTTGCTAGTCCTGTCCTTAGGAAACGGCTCGTCGACCATATCCTCCTCCCCAGGAAGAAAGCTCCGACGTAACGGAGACTGTTCCACATCATGCGTCGTGGACATCGTGCTAGACGGCGTTTCCGATACCGTCGATCAGATGATGGGGAACGCTTTCTGTTGGAACCGTACGGACTACGTTAGAATCCAGGTATTCTTCTTCAACTGGTTTAGATAGATAGTGAAATCGCCATGTAAAAGTGGGTGAATGACGATGAATGACGATGCATGCAGGTGAACGGTTTGACGAGCGGCGGACAGGAAAATGTGGGGCCGGCGGAGGAGTTGCTGAAAGAGAGAGGTGTGGAAACGGCACCGTTCGGAGTGAAACGGTTACTAACGGAGACAAACGGAGAAAGAATCGAGAGTTTCGTGCAGCGTCTTGTTGCCTCAGCAAAGTCCAGCCTCCCTCCAAGCCCTTGCAAAGAATCTGCCGTTAACCCTCTCGCTGACGGCCGTTAAGTTATTTTTATTTAATTTTCGATAACCCCGTTCATGTTCATGTAAGTCTGTAACCAAACCCCAGGGTTAAATTATAACCGCGCATCCCTTTAATCTCCGAGTTAATTAGCTTTTTAATGACTTAATAAATGATAGTCTACTTATTACAAGTTGTCTACGTGTCTTCCCATTTTACATTTGCTATTCCCTTGGATCAAGGCCCGATGATCCTGTGTTTTTGCTCAAATTACCTTTTTTGATATATTGATTGATATTCATAACTTACAGAAGTAATATGCATTCTTTTAAAAAAAAAAAAAAGTTGATGTGGAAGAAAGTAAAGCATTAAAATAAACAGATATTCTTTCCTTAGATAGCCAGCACAGAGAGTTCCAAATCTAGAACTTGTCATTTTCAAGCAATAACAGTGACACACACAAAATATTTAAAAGAAAATACAGCTCGATATAGAGAGAGAAATGTGATTCATAAGTAGCGAAGGAGAGTGTGGGACACAAGTCTAATAAACACATCCATCGCCTTTCCTATTCTATTTCATATTTCACTGTTTTAATACCAAACTGGACCATCTCTGTAACTAACTTTTACTGTTACCTTTTTATTTTTCATAGTCTATGAAATCCCGTGCTAATTTATGCAGTCAAAGCATGTCTTAAGAATTTAATTTAGCAGTCCATATATGGAAAATAAATATGCCAGCCTTGGATTTTTTTTTTTAAGAAAAAATATTAGCATTTTCCTTTACCTCTGTTTTTATGCTGATGTTTTTATACATTGTACTAATTCAACTGATTTGTTGTTTTCATTCGTTTTATCGCTAACACGTTAGATTATGAATTTATGTTCTACTATAGTCTATAACTTACGCTAATGCCGTTCTCGTAATATTGCATCCACATATTCCATAGTTTTCCTAATTACTAATTAACCATCACAACATACATATTTTGTGAATATTGCTAGTTAATCTCGGTAGATTATAAGAACCCCGAGATGTCTAAAAAACAACAAAATATCGTAAATTGTTTGACAGACATTTCTGATGGCATAAATACTTGATGTCGTATACGCTGCCAACTTAAATAATTGCATTGAATTAGTATGGGAACAAAAAGAAAGAAAAAAAAAATGAGCATAAAACAACAAGAAAGCTTCCCTTTGTCCAACGGAATTATTGATGTTCAATGCATGCATTCCACACTTTCTTTGTTCTTTCGTCAACAAAATACATCAATTAGGGGGAAAAACTAATAACTATTGATTGATGAACTGTGTTCGTGATAGATAAATGTTGATCATATCGTTTCTAAATCCAAACCAGGAGATAAAGAATGCTTAGATTGTCAAATCCGTAGTTATATAACCTTGTCGGTCGTTTGATTCACTAAGCATCTGAAGAAACAAGTCAAGCAGTTTGATTACAAATTACCAGTACGCATGACTGACAAAAAAAACATACTAATTTATAAAATTGTGTACGTTAATTAACAAACAATAGTATATTTTGTAGGCGAGATGCAAAGAATTAGCAAGGACACCGCGGAAAATAATGATAAAGAGAACGTAGCAAATGCTATTATATTACAAAAACAAAATAAAAAATACTAGTATACGACTACCTTAATTTGACAAGTAATTGATAAGATTACGAGAATTATTGGAGTAGTATATTTTAAACTGTTTTGTTCCATCATCAAGTCTATCTTTTTATCCTCGTCGCTTTGGTATTATCTTTGCCCAAGTCTTTTCTTTCGTAAAGCATTCTGATTAAATAACTCACGTCTTGCCCATCCCACTTATTTAACTAAATACTGACAATGACATGTATCAAGATTATCATTACCCACCTAATTTGAAAATTTAGTGTCCGAACATATTAATTAGTTTTTTGAAAACGAGCATGGCTAATTAACCGGTAGTTAGAATTTAGAAAGATCTGAGTGGGTGGTAGAGCCACCATGACCTTAATAGATTGAAGGCACAGCAACATCATAAACTGTAATCATAATTTATACCTTAATCTGCTATAGTGCTCACTAATCTTTAACCTTAACTTGTCGGTTTGGACATGCAAAATGCATCCCACCAAGAAGCACATATAAATAACAATAGCTATTGGAAAAAAAAAAAAAAAATGAAATAATTAAGTAGTTGGTGGGAGACACTATTCATTCTTTGATGATGACCACGTAATTATACAACTTTTGTAGCTAATTAATTAATCTCAGTGTCACCTCCTTGGACCTTTAGTCCTTTTCTTTTTGCTCCATTACCGACAACTCTTTTAATAATCATTAGTTTGTTGGTAAATCTCTCTTAAGAAAACTAAGCAAACAGTCGCCTGGATTTCTAACGGTGATTTTGCTAAAAAAAACAAAAAAAAACTTGTACCACGATGTCGATCGCGGGTAATTTTGGTTTGGATTCCAGTAACGAGGGAATATATGAAGACATTACCGATTTTACTGTATTAGTTTTCTTTAGAAGATAAAATAAAAAAATAACCGGAGTGGAGGTAATCAAGTCTCGAGGATTTTCTTTGAACATTGTCGTTTTTTCTTTTCTGAATAAATAACACATATATTTAATCGACCCGAGCCGAGAATTGACTTTGGTATACACGTTATTGATATGAATAACTACTCCAGTTTTTATACTCGACTAAGTAAAATAATACTCCAGTATTGACATAATAAATGGAAAGGGAGTGATGAAAGCAAACGAAGAAAATGCGAGATATACGAATAGAGCACCAACTTATTTGGGACCATATATTCTCCCATCAGTACTGTACCACGATTTAATTAATATATATTCATATCACAACTATGCGTTGTGTCTATTGTCTAAGTGATCCAATTTAACCTAGAGCTCGACTACATTTCTTTTCATAATCCGTGTTTATCAAAGCCATTACAAAGATCTTGGGCGGGAATGATTTTTGAAGATAACATATAACGACCGGAATTAAAACTGAGAGGGAATTATATTTTATAAAACTAAAAGGCTATGGAAAATTAAAAATTAAAAGGCTGTGGTTTAAAGTGAGATGATAAGCTTAAAATTACGTTTTCCGTTCAGGCTATTCAATAAACAAAACCAGCACCGTTGAAAACTACTTTGTCCATTTTCTCTTGGAAAATATTTACTCAACTTTTACATATGGGACCAGTTGTTATTCTACTATTTTTGAAATAGATCTGTTTATATTTAAATGATATCTCCGTTATAATTACATGTATGGCCTGGTGGATTTATTTGTTCGTATAAGTGACCCAAGCAATTGATGTATTTGGCTACGGCATTATTTATCGAGTGACAATATACACGGGAGACAAAAAAACAAGCAATACGAGTCAACTAGCCAACGTCAATCCTATTTCCGAAACAGTACAAAAAAAATATTCTAAAAAATATTTTCAAATATTAAGTCGAATGTTGATGGATCCAATAATGCGAGTTATACATACCATATAATAATGTAATAGCGGCCATATTATATTGTTATTCGAACCACTTTTATTGTTGAACGTGAACGTATATTACAAATTATTTCTACTATATGCAAAAAATTGTGCTGTTTTTTAAATTCCCTCAGAGTTAAAATAAAACTATGTATGTATCGGTAAGTAAGTACTATCCTAGAACAAGTATTACTGTATTAGAACATATTTATTTGCTGATACATAGTTTCATTTTCATAATTCGTCATCATAGATACTATAATGGCCCAAACAAACTAAATAGTCATATCCTCATGACTATTACAAGATAATAAGTTTCCAGTATTAAAAAGGATGATTAACTATATAATTAACGAAAGAACAAAGAAACATGGCTATTTTTAACTATATAGTTAAAAAGGAAGAAACAAGAGCGAGCAAATAACCAAATACAAGTGGGTTGACAAATACAATAAAAGTAAGAAACAGCAACTACAAAGTGAAGCAATATTATCCTCACCGTCATGTGTGTACAATAGACCTGACCGCACACGTGTGGCTTTTTGTACTTCTCAGTTTTTGCTTTTAATGACATAATTTTTCTTAAAGGAAATGCAAGTCGAATCTGTAATTTTAAAGTGGAGCCAGGGGCAAACATATATAGTACATGGATCTTGCTAAGATCTTGTCTTCTTGAATTTATCTTTCTTTTTAATTATATAAAAAGGCAACTTGTGTTTACTGTTAGTTTTCTGAAAAAAAATAGAGTTATGTCGTGTAGCGACGACAATGAACATAATAAGGACGAAGCTCTGGCAGAAACCTTCCCATTCGGCTATCTTTTATATCGAAAGAGCAGTTTTTTTCTTTAGCACAAGATATTCTCTTGCAACAACTGTGACATATTATTATGACGAATCATTTATCTGATTTACCAACAAAAGATTCATTACATACAGTATTCCCTTTTCATTTGTTCGTTGCTCTTTATACATGAAATATGAAAGAGAATGGATAATGGTGTCACGAGAAACAACAAAGGGACGAGAGAATATACAATACAATTTATTTATTTGTGACAGCTTTGTTTCTTGTGTGTTCATTATTTCACGAATCGCTTGATTCACAACAAAGAATCTTTAGAAAGTACTATAAGATACTATCGTACATGATTTGATGAGATTTGACGCTGTTCAGTTCACCTGTATATTGATATCATTCTATCCGTGCTCTGATATCAAATTCGTGGTCAAAGAAAGGATCTTCTTGGGGTTTATCAGGAAAAGGCCCATTAGGCCTGTATTCTTTAGGGGGAAAATGTTGCGGTGGCGACCCGGCCTGATAAGGGATGATCAAGCCCACCAGTATAACATGGTTTGATCTGCGCTTTGGTTACATTTTGAGGGATTGAGTTAATTGCTTGAATATGCACAACAGGATGAAACAAAAGCTGGATGGCTGCCGGAGAGAAACCTTTCTCGATAAATATGAGTTTGAGTGGTAGAAGTGAAGTAAAGTGTAATCCCCGATTTTTGTTGTTTTAAGAACATCTTTGCTCCAATCAAGAAAATTACAAGGAAATCAAATGGACCTATTCCTATAGCAAATACTGTATTATTTAGTCTTTAAGACTCATGGAGCGAGATATTTTTGCAAAAGATAGTAACATTATGCTTTTATTCTGCAAACATAGGATATTTTTGAAGCTCTACAAGTCACTTTCATAGTAATAACACACACTGACACACACAAAAACAGGTTATCAACACTGTCTTTCTCTCTATCAATCTTTCATTTATCTGCATACCAAAAAAATAAAGAAAGAGGAGGCATGATCAGGGAACTAAAACTAAGCTAAAGAAAAAGAAAAAATACAAAAGCAGATTTCTCTGACCAAATCAAGAAGACAAAAATAAACAAATACAAGGGATGAGATCGAATGGGGGCCTGGGCCTGCTAGTCTGCTACTGGCTACTGCTAGGCCTCCAAATGGTCAAGAAGCATCTCCTGGGACCTGCACTCGCTGCTACAAAACCCTTTCTCTCCTCTGCACAACCAAACATCCATTTTCAAGTTAGGTTATGGAGCTCCAATGAGCTGACTGATGAATAAAGAGAAAGTACGATAAGGACCGACCTGTATATATAGATGTCCTGTTTGTGGTCAAGATTCTTGTTGCACGTGTAGCAATGGCTTAGAAAATGATCTGTTTTCTTGGTCTCCACGGTCCCTACTAGTGGTGGTGGTGAAGGAACAGAGCCAGGCGTCGTCGCCTCCACGAAAACAGAGTTGTCCAAGATATGAGTGATGGTCGGGTTTGGACCGTGAGATATGACGCGAGTGTAGTCCTCCTCCGTCTGGTCAATCTCGCTCACGGCTAAGACCTTTGCCTGGACGCAAGCAGGGCTGAGCTGTCCCTGTCCATGACCAGGATACCTCACGCCGGTTTTAGTGCCGAAATCGGCTGATGGGATCTGTACTCTGAGCTTGGACCCGAAGAGGACCATCTTGTTCACAGGTTTTCTCGAGTGGTCTCTGTTTTTGACGAGATCGGCGAGACCAAAGGCGTCTGGTGGGTGAAACCTTTGGGGCTTAGGGATCGTTGGCTCGAGATACGAAGTGGGTTTAGGGTTCTTGGAGCAGAAGATTGATGGGTTAGCTTCGAGGATGGAAGTCGGGCTGACGAGTGAGAAATCGGAGTCAAAAGGATTTATCTTTGAAGAGAAAAACCTAAACTTTGGAGAGGTAAACAGAGACTTAGAAGATGGTGGTTGATCAGCCATTATAGATACTGCTGCTCGACTCTTGCCTCTCAGCATAGTTAGCTAGTTAAAGAGCGTCAGATCCGGTGAGAGTAAGGATCATAACTCAGTAGCTTCCATGGAGACAAAACAGGATCGAGTTTCAGTGTAGAATACTAGTGAAGATAATAAAATGAAAGAGAGGTTGTGAAGAATTCAAGAGAGAATGGTACAATTATTGATACTTCTGACTGCTTCTGCTCTTATGGGGTCTCACTCCTATGAAATTGCTGAATGATGAATGATGATCAGATTAAAAGTTGCTTTCTCTTTTCTTTCTTTTTTTTCTTATTCCACAGAGAGTCTCGAGAGAAGAGACGTTGTGGATTTAATCAATTAATTCATAAGACTTTACGGATTTACCCCTACATTTATTAATACATTAACAAAACTATTATTATTAGTTCAATAATTTTCGACACATTTCTTTATACTACCGTATGTGGTTGAATGTTTATTGTACCTTTTCTCTTTGTAATGACAAATACTAATAGATTGATAGTACAAAAACTGGAAAACATGTGATTTGTTGACAACCATTGTATTTTTTCATGGATAATCTCTTTATCTTATACACTTAATGTCTTGCATTGATTTTCGGGCCTCTGTAAACATAGACTTTCTTTCCTATTGTTCCTTTTCAAATTATTTATTAGCAACTTTAGTCATTTTTATATAAGGCATTTTGTCATTATTTGATTATTTCGTTTGTCTTTCTCTAATCATATTCATCTTCGTTTGGATTTCTTGTTTAACTAAGTAAAGAAACAACGACGTTATTTAAAAATGTACGTATCTGTATTAGACCCATTATTAAACAAATTGTGAATTATCAGACTATATACATGTTAATCTATAATTTTAAAACAGTTGCGTGGATAAATAACAAATGTAATCAGAGCAGGTCCCACAACTGCACCTGCTTTGCTTAATCCAATAATTAAGATCTACTTAAGCACCACGTGTGTTTGTCCACTAAACGTTGATTGAAGGGTCTTGATGCGTTAAGGACAAATACACCATTATAGAACAAATAGTATAATACTACTAATCACTTATTTGACCAATAAATTATAGACGGAAGATGCAACTACTTTTCTTGTTGATGATCTTGTTTTTCTCGAATCCCATCCAACTGTCGAATTTGATTGTCTAAGCTCGTCAACTTCTAATTGATTATAACATTTAATGGTAATTTGCATAAAATGATTAGTCTGCAATGTTATCAATTAAAAAAAGGGTTTCTTAGCCATTGATAAAGTTTAATCAAACACAAAAGAAAGTAAAAACAATGCTTTGTTGATTTGGTGATAGGGCGTGGGGCTAAGAAAAGAGGGACCCACGTGAAAAGAAAGGAGTGAAAATGGGTCCTACTTAATAATTCGCGTTTTCCGCTCATACGTAATCGTATTGGGCTTTTCCTCTCCACCAGTGGGCCCCGCCGTTTCAAGCTGCTTTTGTATATAGTTCGTCGTAATAAGAGGAAGGAAATTAATGAAAGTGTGTGTTGTTTCCTCTGCATAAACACCAACTCCTTGTCGTTTTTAGGTGTTCTTGCTTCAGTTGGTCTGTCATTTGGAGTTGATTGCTTCTGTATTTATGTGTTAACTAATGAGGCCAGATTGAGTGTTTACGCAATATTCATCGGTTACGTATTAGGTTTTGTAGCCACTAAAACAACTTTGATCCCTTCTCTTCTCTTTGAACTTCAAAAGTGGGCTGGATTTAGTGGGTCTATGATAAACATGTTCAATGGGCTTTATGGGGACTCCGGACAACTGGCAATTAACACAGCATCAGGCTGGTAACTTGGACAAATATGGAAGACGCGATATTTTAGAGATTCCAAAGAGAATCCAAATCAAATGAATAGGTGGCACATTTATCAACTTATTCCATACGTGAAAAATGCTAAAAGGCTATCTAATATGGTAAAAAATATTCTATTCAAGAGAGAATCACACACCTAAAAGGCTAAAACCTAAAACGCGTTAGTTTTGTTATGACGTTTGTATTCTTTGTATACTTCCTTATAGGAAAATCATACGTGGTCCCACACAGTACTTTATATAAGTAGATATCGTTACCAACTTTTTTATTCACCTGTCTCATATAACTTGGAAATTCCTTTTCCTTTTTTTTTTCTACAAATCAGCCAAAACCCTAATTTGAATACCCCCAAAATCACCAAAGCAACAGCTATGACAGATCTAATCGTGCCGAGTAAGCGACCTCGAGTCCCAAGCATCGCCGATAAGCATCATGAATACTCGGAGACTCACGCTGCTGCCTCCTCTTCCGGAACGCTCCCGGAGAATGACATGAGTCAGGCTCAGATCAAAAACTTTCTTGAGATTTGCCGTTTCTGCAAGAAGAAGTTGTGTCACGGCGAAGACATTTACATGTACGGGTGAGTAGTTTCATTTTCCTCCTTTACTTTTAACGTTTCAAGCTAAGCTAGGTCGCTTTTTATTGGAAAGGATTAGATGATGGAATTATGCATGTATTCTCTTGTCGAAATTTTGGCTGTGTACATGTTACATTCTTTATCAGTTAATTAGGAACATGATATTGTGTGCGTTGAATCGATGAAATGATATGCTAAAACGAAACACTTGGATCGTGACATTTGTGCAAGTTATTGTGGAAAATCAACTCGTTTTATTAATTTTTTGTATTTGTAAAAGTCATTGAGGCTTACGGATTGTTGCAATTGCGATAAACGCAGCTACTTTGGGGCATTCTGTTCAACAGCATGTAGAGCAAAACAGATGGCATGCGACATATTTACTGAAAAATCAAGAGAGATGGCCAAAAAAAAGAAGGGAAGAACGTGTGAGACCAAACCAAAAGTGTCCAGAGATGAATCCTTAGGAAATCGAGAAAGAATCACATCACCACAGTTTTTTATTGGATGATATATGATTTCTCTCTTCAATTCAGTGTGTAGATTTGTGCAAAAATCAGCCACTGTCCCTTCTTTTTTTCCAAGGGATTTGGCTACCATTCCACATGTTGGCATCGACCTTATTACATCTGTCGGTCAATTTTTTTACTTCTTCTCTATTATTTGTACGACTCTTTTTCTTTTTAAATTATAGACTTGTTCGAACAAACTACATTTGCCCTCTGATAGATGCATCAATGAATCAGAGTCATACTCAGAGATCGCTTGGAACTGTTTACGAATGGGCCGTATTTTGGAGCCCATTGATACCAAAAAGGAAGAGCAATTGGACCGACATCATTATTTATTGTTTGTGTGTATACCTCTGGAGTCTGGACATTTGATCCAACCAGATTCACCATTTCATTCTACGATTTTTTTTATGTCAGTTTAAATTTAAACTTTGTAATCTTTCACTTACTCGCAAATCTGTTATAGCTTCTCGGCTTTTATTGTATCTTAAGTGTGTGATATTCGAGTGAGTTCTGGAGTAAAACAAGTAAAGTTTCCTTTTGCTGATATATAATATGGTAAAAAGTAATATATGATCGAAGAATATTCTAGATTCTTACATAAAAATGGGAAATTGGAAGAATCATCGCATTATTTTGAAGGTATATGACCAAGGACAATAGTCACAATACTACTTAAAAAAACAAAATCCAACAGATAAAAAGAATTTGGTTGATTTACCACAAGACAAAAGAAGAAGAAGAAGAAGAGAGTTTGACCGTATAATTGGAAAGGCTCGTCTGGGTGCAGTTAAACAATATAGGCGATGACCTCATCTGACGTAGTTAATTAGTAGGCACTGACAGTAAGCTTGGAACAGAAGCAAACTTCGTCGAGGCAAATGATAGAGAAGCAGCCTGACGTCATGCCCCCTCAAAGCAGCTAATTGATTCCTCTTACTTATTATGGTAACACTTAATTATAACTGTATTATTGGTTGCTGCTTTGATGTTATCTCTTGACTCTTGACACAAAATAAAGGTAGACCAAATCGATGACGCATGTCCCTGACCTCTTCTCTGCCACTCTACTCTCTTTTTTACCTTTGCTTTTAATGATAACTGGGGTATTTCCTTTACCAACATTTTGTTTTTTGTTGTTGTAGTATATATTTTCATTGTAATTCTAACCGGCTGAATGATATCACTACTAAAAAAAACTGTATTGTAATAAGATACTATCATATATGGATATGTGGTTGACCAAACCAAAACACAAAAGGATATATGTATATACTGTATATCATATAATAAGCGATGCAATGTCGTTTTGAGTTGCTCACGAATCTGTTTACGATCGATGGTGATGCGATTGCGAACTTGTAAAAGAAAGAGAGATACAAACGTCGCGTCTCACTTGTTCTCGACCACTTCCACTCCATTTACATGCAACTTCTATATCCGCTGACGCCATCGTTTCTGCCACGTCAGTTACCACATCCCTCTTGCAGAAGCTGATGACGTGCGTGGAATTATTATCTTCTAACTATTTAATCTTCACGCCCGACACGTGGAACGTAACTTCACAACTTCTCATCGACTTCAACCTTGCAAATTAGTTAACTAATTAATTTCGTAACGGAAAAATAGTTGTTTTGGTTTTCTTCATGTAACCAATTATGAGAAGCTTCAAGGGATCATCACATTTACATGGTCCATGTATGTCGTTTACACAATGGCTCGTATGATACTTCATACTTGCTTGCATAGAAGCGTAGAGTCCTATATTAAATCATACTCGGTGTATCAGTTAATGTGTCATTGTCTTTACAACTAATTAAATGTAGATATCGTATTCAGTGGATCAGTTAATACCTTCCAAAATCCATATATAGTTATCATGATTCGTAAACGAGTGGATGTATAAAATATAACTAGAGAAGGTAAAGTAAAACCGAGTTAAAAAGTGGACGTATTAAGAAACTGAAAGCGACTGGATCCAAGTGGAAAAAGAAAGAAAGAATGATTTGGTGCTTAGCAGAAAAGGTTGAGTAATGATACGACATAGCATGTGGTCGTGATCTAATTTAGAGGATCTTCTCTCATCATATCCATATCAAATTTGCGAAGCTTCTTTATCTCTATGTATATATAGATCCATCACAATTCACAAACCAAGCAATACATTATTATTCACTATAATATTCGTAGTTTTGTATTCCACTATATTGTAATTGTACCAACAATAATGTAAAAGTATATAGAAAAGGAAAATGTTAGTAAGACAAAAGAATTAAACATATAGAAGCAAAATAAAAAGGAGAGGATGGGCAGTGAAAGTGAGTGCATATGCGGCCTCTTACCTCTAATATCCACCGTCGGATACGTCTCCCTATCTATGCGTTTTATATTTGATTTTTATGAATCCACGAGTCGTCGCCGTCGGTATAACTTATGATTCAGATCGAGTAGCTCCGAAAATAAATTTAATGTAAATACAAGGAGGAGACAATCTCTGAAGGAATTGTTTTGTAGAAATAAAGTTTCCCACGTGGGTGACACGTGGCGAGGAATGTAGGGTTAAAGGCAATCCAAAAGACACTCTTTTATCTGATCCACTGCCAGACTCCAATCATATACGCACGTTTCCTACACTCGCTTTAACTTGGCGCGTTTGCTTTTCAAAAAGGACATGGAATGCACGGAAATATAGATAGAGCCAAGGAGAAGGAGGCCATTTTTGTCACTTCCTTGCAAAATACTTTTTAGATTTTGATCTTAATATTTTTTTTTTTTTTTTCCTTGTATCTGCTGAAAAGAATACTGTTGTTAGCAGTATACTTTTCTGGGGGATTTTATTTTGAAATTCATAAAATGACTCTGTTCATGACAACTATATTTATTTTTCGTTATTGATACATACTTAACAAAAAGCAAATAACTAATCCTGCAAACTTTGGAAAGCCCAGTATCGAGGAAAATAAAAAGCCAAGTGTAGAAAGAAAACAAATGGGTGGAATCGAAAGCAGAAAAGAAGAATATATAATTTTACGAGTTTGACTCTCTTTTTCTATCCTCGCTTTCCAAATCAAAATATTACATTTATTTTGATCCCTTTACATCGTGAGAATTTGAATTTGTTGCATTTGGGAAAATCATCCTATTAATAACAAGAAGATTAAAATAAAGGGAATAAAAACTTTCAAAAACTCTGAACTTTTTCCAATTTAAACCCATTGGTCGCTTTTATAGGAAAAAATAATTCATTGGTCATAAGACTCATAACAAAGAATCCATAAGATGTACAAGCATACACATACAGGAGATGTATATCTAATCTATACACGAGTTTGGTGAGTCCCTACACCCTACTTGGGTGTGAAAAGCACAAAAACTGGTCAATTCTCTATATAATCCTAAAGATAATATATTTGATCAGTTAAAGCTACAAGTTAATTACTTTCTTCTCTTCTCTTTTTTCACTCGAATCTTGCCCTGTTCCAACCCAAAAGCACAGGGAAATGCACAGAGATGTTGACCAAACCCCTGAAAAGTCCCGCAAGACCAGATGCTATCAGAACCACATGCAAGAAGAGCCAGCCTAACATTTCGTTGAATCAGTATGGGTTAAACTCAAACCGCTGAGGAAGAAGTTCCTCAACTTCAACCCTAGAGCTGGAGTAACTGGAGCTTTTCTTGATACGGTTTCTATAAACCGATTCAACCTCCACAGAGAACAAACTGTAGACAGGCCTGTGATCAGAGAATCTTGATTCCCCGCGAACATATGACAGCTGAGTAAGACCACTCCCATACCAGAGTATACGATCACACCTTCAATTTCAGATAAAATCAAAACTCAGTATGTTTGTGCTATATAATATGCATTCAAGTTATGTTAAAGAGTAGGAAGCAAACCATGCAGGAGTGCGTCGCTTGGCTTTTGGAAGGCGATCATCGCCGGTATATATATCTGAATTGCTGGAGTACTTGTACGTTGGTGGGAAATAGATGCTCCCTTCACTCCATCCTTCAAAGACTCTGCCTTTCCCTTGTTCTAACCGTAGCTGTCACACAATTAAAGTGGACTTTTAGTTTCCTTGTTTAGATTTTGAAAAAGGAAATGTAAGTAATTAGACCTACACCAACCTGGTCTTTCTGAAGCAAGGCACTCCAATTTCTCATCTCGACAAGGGCCTTTGCAGACCGGTAAGATAGTGCTATTCGGTAGTTCAAGTCTCCAAGCCATATCACCCGACTGAATAATAAAAAAAAAAAGAAAAAGAAAAGATAAGAAGAAGATGTTGCTGAGTGTGACCAAAGAAAGATTCAAGAAGCCAACAATATTCAACAAATAGCTCACTCGTGTTCTAAAATCGACTGAGGAGACTTGTCGTTGTTGTTGGTGTTCACTCTGGGGAATCTGGTCTTCCTAAGAATCTCCAAAACGTCAGAGTTTCGTCTAAGCTCATCCCCTTCTTTCTGACCGGATGACAAGTGGCTGCACACAAAGCACAAGCTCGTCTCCTGCACCGACATGCTTATCGATATCGAGCCCTGCAGATTTCAACCAAACTTTGATATACAAACAAACTCTCTCTTTCCCCCAAGTAGTGTTAGTGTATGTACATGCAAAGCAAGTGGGTAAGAAAGAATGATGATTATAAAAACACAATACCTTGTTACCGAGATAACCCATGAGGCCTCGGCCAACACAAGAGACTTTGAGGTTCTTGACACTGTCCCTTAGATCACTCTTCACCCACACGCTTAGGAATATCCCAACCATCTGCTTACTCGCCACCAGACAATACTTTGCCTTGTCTCTCACCGGAGAACACTGCTGATCACAAGCAGCCATACCTGGAGGAGGAGACTCTGCTTCCGAGGAGCCATACCTGAAGCTCTGCTCGTACAGGTCCTCGTGTCTATGACCACCCCCCATCATGAAACGGTCACACACGCTGAACCTCCTGTCAAGCTGCGGCTGCACATGCATGGAACATGATGATGATGACATTGACATGTCCTCGCCGCCGTTCATCATCCTCAGGCTCCTGCTCAGTGACTGAAACGACCTCCGGTGGTAGAATGAGGACGAGTTATTAGCCCCTTCGAAGTCAGAGTCGAGCTCGGCGATCGGGTGGGGAACCGGCGAAGGAGTCCGGCAGCTTCCGCCGCTCTTCTCCGGGAGGCTGTTTAAGGTTCTTCGGATGAGAGAAACCCATTTCCTGGCGGGTCCGTTATCCTCTGTGCCCAACACGTTGCCGGCGTTCAGAGGAACGATCTCTTGGAAGCTGTCAAAGATCGAATCAAATCGAATCAAATCAAATCAAATCTCGAGAGATTTAGCTGAGTCAAAATTCAATTCGAATAAAAGGTGAATTAGCTGAGGTGTATTGCGCGTACCCAAGAACGTAAATGTCAGAAGCAGGACAAGTGTGAAGCCAATCCTCAAGATTCAAATAACTCGGTGGTGACTTTCCGGCTACATTCCACGTTGCAGTGAAAACTCTATATATATTTTGTGTGTTTGTATTTAGAAACAGAGATAATACTACAGACAGTATATCCCAAAATCAATACTATTGAAGAGATGACGCAATAAATTAACCTGAGATGATCAACTTGTTTAACAAGTGGTGATTCGAATTCGGGTTTGTTTCGTCTCTGTCTTCTGCTATTCCTTTTGCTCCGATGAGTCTCTGCAAATATTTCCCAAAACATTTTAAGGATTTTTTTTTTTTTGGGTTTAGAAAAGGGAATATGGAAAGAGCAAGTACGGTCCAAAAAAAAAACAGTGAAATGGTAACTGGTAAGAAGAAGGGTAAGCAATAGCAGAGCATGGTTTATGAGTGTGATTAGTTACTGACCAGTTTTGCTTTTGAGGACAGAGCATGCTTCTTCTCTTTCCATGCCATTGTTCCTCCACTCTCCACCTTCCCCTGCAAAGTTTTTTTTTTTTTTTTAATTAATTAATACAAACAAACCCGTTAAAGTAGAGCAAACTAAAGCTGTTCACTTCTCACATTCCCACAAGAGAAATTACGACTTACTAATACTATTAACAAACTTTTATAATTAAGATTTAACTAGACAAGGACAAAGAAAAAACGGAATCAAAGGAAAAAAAAAAGGTAGGATTTGAAGTGAGTTTACCTCTGTAGAGGTCTCTGTCGTCAGCGTGGAAGTCTTCTGCTTTGGTCTTGATGTTGAGCCATTTCTTTACCAATGTTTTGGGCCACGAAAGCTGCATCAATGGATAGAAGATATATCAAGATTGGGTTTTTGCGATGATAACATAATCAAAATCATAATCAGAGATGTAAGAAAGAAAGAGCTTAACCTTGCTTTTCCTGAGACTAGCATCACCCATTGCTCTTCAGCTTCATACAGCAATGGATAGATCTCTGATTTAAAAGTTAATCTCTTGCAGAGACCCAATATATAAGCAGCCGAGAAAGACAAGACCCAGTAAGGGATAGTTGACGAATTTGAGATTCTTGTGGGGATACAAGAGGTCAATGTGAGACCACTTCTTGTGAAACAGAGGAAAGGGCGTTGAGATTAGGGATCTTTCACTCTCTTTACAGATTCCGATGGCAGAAACAAGGAGCCTCGTTTCTGGGCACAGAGAGCAGAGTCGAGAGAGAGAGAGAGAGAGAGGTTGTTGTTGTTGTTGTTATGCTGTTTGTTTTCTCTCTTTCTACGCCAAAATTGAAAAACTCAAACCGGGAAGAGGCAAACAAGAGATAGACAACAACTTTGGGACCCGAGTGGGATATAGATGGGTATTCGGGTACAGCCCGGATTTTACTCTTCTTCTTCTTTTACCTGCTTCTTCTTCTTGTTTTCTGAAATGTATCCTCCGTATTCTCTCTCTCTCTTTCTGAAATGACTTTAAAGAAGAAGAAGAAGAAGAGAGGATCATGAAACTGCCATATGATTCTCTCTCTCTCTCTCTCTCTGCAACTCTGCCTGTGGGTCCGACCCGTTTTCGAATACTAATAATGAATTAAAACCGATTTGTACCCGTTTTTGCCTCTATCGGGTCGTCCTCCATCTATGGGTAATGTAAAAACCACCCGGTAATTAACTCTTATCATCAAACATTAATGCTACTTCTAGTCCATAGTTATTGCACTTTCCCTCATACTTTATTTTCATATCTCTTTGATTTTGACGCATATAATTTTCTTCCCATAAATATGTAAACTTTTCACTTATTATGGCATGCTTATATATATCCTCCACCTCCACGACCTCTCTGAGAAGCTCTAATTTTTGGTAATAGATAGATAGTACTGACTACTACTGCGTGTAATTAAAATGTTTCCTTTGTGTACAGTTATTTTACATTTATTTCATTTCCACAGACTGATACTCCCTTTCCCTTTTTGATAGGTTGATATCAATAATCTATTCAATGTATATTGCATAACAGAAATCAACACAAAAATATGTTCTTCTTTTATAGAAACTGATTAACAAATCAGTGATATACTATATATCAAGCCGAAATATCATAAAGGAAAGTGATCGTAGTAAAAACAACAAGAAGAAGGAATATTGCAACCCACCATAAATAGACGATCAGTTTTGCCTTTTGGTTTGATACATTCCATATGATGTGCAATACAAATCCCGGATTTGGCCATGGGAATAACAAACACATACACAACAAAACGGAAATCTCAATTCTTGGGAATATGTCGAGAGAGTGGATTGGTGGAGCTAAGGTAGATGCATGTATGCATGTTTAAAGGGAGGAGTTTGAGGTTTCGGGAGACAACAACAACTACAAATCCCACTTTTATATTTTTTGTATTTTTTATCAATCATAGAAAAGGGAATTAAAACGTTTACCAAAATCATAAAAAGACCAACAAAACAAACGCATATATTTGCAATGCACTTTTTAGTAATATGTGAAATCTATAAAATTGAGTTTGTTGTGCGGAAAGAGGAGGAGGACTCTTTTTTGACCAAATCTAGACTAATGGTCTAAGGGACCATTGTAACATCTGCGGACCAGAAATCTAGAAAATGGCCGAAGGAACTGGTCCGGGAAGATAGTTTTGGCCGAGGAAAATGGAAGAATCCGAATGTACTGAGAAATTTGAGCTGGAACGACTAAGTGTCGAAGGAACTGAGCTGGATCAGTCAGCTGGCCGAGGTAGTGAGCTGAGTGGCCGAGCTAGCTGAACTTGTCCGAACGGATTGGTGAAAATTCGGACAAGTCTTGTCTTGTTCGGACAGGACGGTTATTCCTGTCGGGACGGAAATGACTTTGGCCGAGAGAATATTATTCCATCCGGGAATAATACGGCTAAGTGTCTGAGCGCGGGAACGGTTATGGGTTTGGCCGGGACGCGCAGAAGGGAAATGCGCGGGAACGGTTATTTCCCTTGTTCGCGAGCGCGGATAATGAAATAGGCGGGAACGGTTATGGCCGAGAGCCAAAACGCGTGCGTTTCATTAATCCGACGGTTATGGACGGGATCACGGGTTAAAAGACTCGGGGAGAAGGGATTTCTCATTCATTCAGACTCAGAAATATTTCTAAGTGTCCAGAGAGAAACGGTTATCGAGAGAGAAAGCGGTTTCCGAGAGTTTTCGTCTGTTCCGATCGATATCGACCGTATCGATCGTCTGTTCCGACCGAGAGCGCCTGTTTCCGATCGGTGGTCTGACCGAGAGCCGACCGTACCGAAGATCCGAGAGCCGAACGTTCGACGATCCGTCCGAGAGCGTCCGAGCGACCGTTCTGTAACCGTACGAACCTCCGTACGCGACTGTTCTGTTTACCGAAGGGAATCCGATTCCCGACTGACTGACTAAGGTGAGTGCGTGACCGTGTAGTCATAGTGTATGGTCGTTCTCACGGCATAGATAGATTCAATGGTTGATGATTGCTTGTTAATGTGTCTGATTGCTTGTCGTACTGATTCTGATGGCTTGGTCGGAATGGTCGGTCTATTGGCGAGGGTTACTCGGCCGGGTTAGATAGCCGACCGTTCGCGATAAGCGACTGTGGTTAACGGCATGACTGATTATTGAACTGTGTGTTCTGATTGCGATTCTCTGTACTGTGGCTTAGTGGGCGGGATGACCGCATTCACTAAGCAAACTTGTTTGCTTATGCCTCATTTTAATGTGGCAGGAACTGATCCGACCATAGGTGATGGCCGGACTGACTGATCTGGACGCGAGACAAGGCCGGGAAGGAAGGGATGGATAGGTCTGGGTAGACGGACTAGTTTAATGATGTAATAGCCTATAGCGAACTCACATTGTTGCTAGAACCGAATTTGTATTTCAAGTTTCTGCATTGTTCGTTTAAACAAGATGATTTAATCTAAGTACTTCAAGTTTCTGTATATTCGTTTGTGCATAAATGACTAAGTGTGGGAACCTCATGCAACTGGAAATGCTAAGTAAAAACCGGACCTAAAATTTGACTAAGTTAAATTTATCAGGAAAACCGGACTAGGGCGTTTCAACCATCCTCTTTGCGAGAGAGTTTCTGCCTCGTCCTCTTCTATCTATGTATATCTACATTTACTTTCTCAAGTTTTTAATTCACCATTTAATTACTGCAGTTATCCAGTTTTCTATTTACATATATCCATGTGAATGTTGGCTTATTATAAGATAGCCTATGAACAGTACAAGGTCGGTTTCATTAGTGTGCCTTCTGGTTTGAGCAGAGCTGAGCATTGAAATGATATAACTATCTCTTTGTTTAATCACAAGACACAAAGTTTTATTGAAATACTACTATAATTCATTAAGTTCATTAACTTTGTGTTTAATTAATTAGTTCTAAACACAAAGTTAGGATCTTGTAGGGGGCCCGATGCTCTCTCACTTTTAAGACATTGTTTGGTGAATTCGTGCGAGTTATTTTGTAAGGTAAAGTTAAAATGACACACATGCTGCATGTGGAAGACCGTGTCTGCTTCTTCAGACCATTACTTAGGTTTAGTAAATAGTAAATCTTTTCTTTTTTCTTGTCTTCAATTAATGTGTCTGTTTTTAATTTTCTATTGACAATCTCTTTTGTGTATCATAAAATAACAAAAATCAGCATTTATGAAAATATATCACAGTTATTAGTATCAATTAAGAAAAAATGAATAAAGGATGAAGGCTCAATAACTTATCTGTCTCTACGAAACCCTGTGCCAGTTGTAATTTCTTAAATAATTACGCTTGCATTGTTTTTCTTTTGTTAATTGCATACGACTCCTCTCTGATTAGAGAAACGTACTGATTAATTAAAGGGTTAACTTATTGTATTACTCCATCACGCCAACACAAGTACACCCAATAATAAATAATTCGATCATTCCAATTAAAGATACCGAAAAAACGAGCTACGTATTAAACTGATATAAAATAACTAGCAAGGTTGATGCTGTTTTGTGTCTCTCTGTTGTGTTATCTTATAAATGTTTTATCAAAAAAAAAAATCTTATAAATGTATAAAAGTTATAGTAATGAATAGTTAATAAATAATTCTGCTAACGAAGGCGACTTTGTAGAATATCCGGCACATGGTGGGTTATATAAAGATTCATGATCTAATACCTTAGAAGAACATTAGGATATGATTGGTAAGCCTGTCTTTGGATTATAATAATCTATCGCAATGAACAGACAAGTCAATATAGTTAAATATATTTATTTATTCCAAGAATCCAAGTTAATAGACAAATGCTTATAGCTCAATTTAGACAAGCAAATTTCATTTTTTTTTCAACGGGCGACGGATCACTTGGTCGACAGTAGATTTGGGTTTAATAATTTGCATTTTCTTGAAATCAAACCCATTTTTGACGTAAACTCCAATCTTCTTACTAAGGAACCTGTAAGCAGCATTATGTTAATTTATGTAACCGTAGATTACATATATACAAACTTCCCGAGGAATCAGCGTGATAAGATTTTAGGCAAAGGAAAAAACAAAGTGATAAGATGCGACGAAAGAAGACGTAATCGGGTATTGATCGAAGGGGGAAAGTTGTAAGGAATGATGGGTGATGTGAAAGTGTTTGAAGAAGCCTTTGAAGAAGAAAGAGGTCCTTTGGGTGCAAGTATGGTTAAACATCACTTTCATCAACATGTGAGTTTTTAGGTTTTAGTAGGGGTAAAAAAATACAGAATACTGTTTTTTTTATCTCTTGATGCATTGTTTTCTGGTATAATTGACAAGTCGATCAAATAATGCATGTGTGGTCTTATTCATCAGATGTCATAATTCCCCAACCGTACGGCACACAAGTACAAGGCCAAGGCTCACTGAAACCTGAGCATTGACATGTTTTGGGGATTTGTTTCTAGTCACAAGTCGAAGAAGCATTTTGAGCTACCTTTGGCTCTCATCCAATGATAGTCCGCTTTCGTCCTCGTTGTCTCATTGCATACCCAAAACAAGACTTGAGAAGTTGGGGTTGGGCAATTGTAATCAATTAACTCGCTAAGCAAATTAGTGTACAAGTTTTTTCCTGTTTTTTTGTTTTGATAAATGTCTCGCAAGGGGACTTGTTTCTGAGCCTTTGGAAATTAAAAGAAAAGCTAAAAGTGGACTAGAGTCTACTACTATGGTCTATCCCTGGGAAATTTTAGTAATTTATTATTTTATGGCAAGTTTAGAAAACAAAAACATTAATGTTTGGTACAAACACATGTATTGAGAAGAAGAGTCATAGAAGTTGAAAAAGCTAATGACGCGGAGAAGAAGATCTGCGGTGGACAAGTCTCTTGTGGATGGCTCTGATGGTGGTAGGTGTAGTGCGGCAGCAACCTCCAAGGAGAGACACTCCTGCATCCATCCATTTGTCTACGTATGATACAAAGTCTTCATCCCCAACTCCTGTGTTTTCAACCCACTCCTTCCGATCTGCATCATAGCTTTCTCCGCTGTTTGGGTACACTAGTATGGGCTTGCTCGTCACCTACAATCAAACAATGTTATGCAAACCCCTTAGTTTTAAGGGTCCTTAAATAAGTCTCTCTCTCTTTCTCTCTAGAGACACAAATTCACCTTTTTGATCTCCAAAACAAGGCCCTCTATGAATCTTGGAGGGGTACAGTTGATTCCAACCGCCACTACTTTGTCACAAGTTTCAGCTATGGCGATACACTCCTTGATCGAATCCCCGCTTACCACGTTCACGCCATCCTTTGAGTTAAAGGAGAACCACCCTGGAATCTTCACATCTCCCTCATCTAGCAGCTCAGCAAATGCCTTTTCGTGACACACGGAAAAACTTGTCAGACATGTCACCCCAACAACTTCAAGATGAGAAGCTAATCAGCTATAGATATGACACAAAATTACCTGAGCCTCTAGCTTGTTTGGAATGGTCTCAAATGCTATTATATCTGCACCAGACTCCGCCAGAACTTGGACTCTTCTGCGGTGGAAATCCTTGAGGGTTTCCAGCGTTATCGAATCACCATAGATTCCACTGATAGATAGAGTAGCACAACCACCAAACCAACATGTTGGTTAAAAGAGATAGAGATAGTTTCAAGGATATAAAGCAAAAAAAGAAGGCAGGTGATATAGAGGTTTTGAAACTGCTTCCAATCCAAACTCATCTCATCTACTAGTAACTAGTAACATAGAGTAAATCTGGAACAAGATAAAGGGAGGACTAAAACCTGTACTCTGAGCCATCAGCCAAGTATGCACCGTAGCTACCCACTGAAGCTGCAACTAAGATGGGCCGCTTTTTAAGAATCTTATCATCATCATCATCCATGGTTTCTTTGCATTTTGCAAGATACGTGTTGCGAGCTTCACAAGCTATTTCTACGCTCTTTCTAAGCATAGATTCTCCCTTTTCTCTAGAAAAGCCCTTTGCTTCAAAACCCTGAATCGTGGCCTGTTGAGATTCCAAGCTTCAGTGTCCAGAAAGACGGAGAAAATCAAGAGAAAGACGGAAAGGATCAAGAGATTACCTGATAAGAAGCGCTGGCGATGATATCAGCACCAGCTTCAAGGTAATCAAGATGCACCTGCTCCGTCACCAAATACAAAGCAGCTTTTAAAATCCATTCATAATAACTAAAAAACAACACTTGAATCTGGACACTAACAAGTGGGGGTCCAAAGAGTTTGACAGAAATTAAATTAGGATCAGTGGAATCCACCAAAACTGTATATCAAATGAGGATGCTTTACTTGATTCCAGTTCCAAATAGATAGATAATCACACTTTTGGAATCCCAAGCCATTTACTCAATCACTCACACTAAAATGAAATCTAATCCTAAAACTAAAAAAGTAGGTTTTATTCAGAAGAAGAAGCACACAGCTTTGTTCAGCAGCTGGGTTTCCACTGACCAAAACGTTGGATTCAGTGATGAGAGAAAGAAAGAGAGAAATCCATGGAGAAAGCGAGAGAGAGAGAGAGGGGTTTTACGGTGTGGATGAGGTGAGGAGAAGTGACGAGGCATTTGGCGCTCCAGAGAGGATCGTTGAGATCCGCTCCATGTCGCTCGAACTCCGTCGCAAGCCCGCCGTCTATAACCGCAAAACCGCCCGTCTGCTTGAGGAAATCTTTCATCGAGTGAAAAGCCGCCGCCGGCGCATTAGAGGTTTCGTTCACCATCTCAACGCCCAACAACCCCGTCTGCAACGTGTACACTGGAGACGTTACAAATGAAAAATGAAAAATGAAAAATGAAAGACAAACAAAAACTCTCTCTCTCTCTCTCATATGTGTACAAGCTTGCTTTGTGGATTTAGACCTTTATCTTTCACTTTTATTCCAAAATCGCCCCAATCCTTTTTTGACCCTCCCTCTGTTTTTGCTTGCTCCCTTACAAATTACACTTGTTTGAACCAACATTTTCAGACTCACAAAAAAAGAATCAAGCTTTTCTCAATTTATACACGAGCACTGTGTGACTGTGTGTAGTAGTATATAAATATAAATACATAAGAGAGTAGAGTAGAGTAGAAAGAGAGAGAGAGAGAGAGAGATTCTTATGACAAAAACCACACCAAAAGTCTCAATAAAAGATGACAAAATCAAACAAGAATCACGCAGCTCTCAGAGAGATGAGAGATCAGGGGCCACGAGGTCTGAAGAAACAGAGGCAGCCTTGAAACTGGTCTGGAGCTATCATTCCACCGCCTTTGCTCGTGTCTACCGCTTCAAGCATCTTCACCACCTCCTCCATCTCCGGCCGCCTGTCAGGATTCGGGTCCCAGCATCTCTTCATTATGTTTGCCACCGCTTGTGGGCAGCATTTCGGAATCTCCGGTCTCAGATTCTGACCCCAATATACACACAGATAGTGAGAGGATTACATTTTAACATAGGAGAGCTTATTATATAGAGATTATACAGGGATTAGAGAGAGAGAGAGAGAGAGAAACCTTATGAACAACGGCGTGGGAAATCTCAGCAAAACTACAGTCAGCGTAGGGCATGTCACAGCAGTATATTTCCCAGAGGCAGACCCCAAAGCTATACACATCACATTTCCTGTTGTACGGCTTTCCTTCCAGAACCTAATATGCACCGAAAAACCAAACCTTTTCTTTTTAGTATTGGGGCTATCTCTCTAATCTCTATAGTCTATGAAAAGAGATAGATGGGACATACCTCTGGTGCCATGTACCCAAGAGTCCCAGTTTCACCGGTCATGTCTTGAGGGTTCTGAGCTTCGACTCTAGCAACCCCGAAATCGGCAATCTTGAGGGTCTTGTTAGTTTCTAAGAGCATGTTCTCTGACTTGACGTCCCGATGTACAATCGCCTTGGAGTGCAGGTAACTCATCCTGACAGGACCATGTATGTATGTATGTATGTATGTATGTATGTATGGGTCAACAAAGATAAAAGCAAATAGGTAAGTGATATCGATATTGATATTAGATACCCTCTAGCGAGATCCAGAGCGAGCTGAATGACATCCTTGATGGGCAGTTTGGTCCTATATTTCCTGATGAGGAACTTCTTGAGCGTGCCTCCGGCTACATACTCCACCACCACACAACATGCCCTCGCTGGATGTGCTCCGTTTCCACGTCCCCCTGAATCCCCTGCTGGAGGGATCTTCAGATCAGAGGTCCCCATGGATGCTCCTATAAACTGCAATTCCAAAAAAAAAAACATTCAAAGCTCAGAGCTTGCTTCATCTTCTTCTTTTGGGCGTTTGGCGTAATAAAGAGAAAAGCAGCGATACCTTTGTAACGTTGGGATGATCGAGCTTCTGCCAGACGGCGACCTCTTGCTCGAAGGAAGCACGCAGAGCTGTAGTTTCAGCTGCTGTGGCGTACCCATCTTCTCCCCAATCCAACACCTTCACTGCGATCACGAATCATATCAGCCACGTGTAACCTAAAAAAGTCAAGTCAAAACCCTAAGTCCTAAGAGATGATGATGATACGGACCTGCGACTTGTTGGCCGGCGTAGACCCCGCGGTAGACAGTGCCATAAGTTCCGTGGGCGAGGACGTGCTTCATGTCCAGTTTGGAGAGGTCGATCTCCCATTCCTGCATCGCCGGCGCCGGAGCCGGAGCTGGAGCTTTCGTGGAGCCAGACTTGGCGACAGTTGAGCTTTGACCCGTATTGAAATCCCACTTAGTGAAATCCAGGGTGTCCGCCCTGACGTATTGTCCTTCTCCGGCGCTCCTGCTCCCGACTCCGCCTAATTTCGAGTCGGATCCGATTTTCACTGATTTATCCGCCTCTCCGCCGCCAGACGCCATTGATTTCGCTCTCCTCTGTTTTTCAGCCACCAAAAATACAGCTCGCGATAAAAAAACCACAGATGAAGACCCGAAAAGGGCGGAAATTAAGATGTTCAATCAGTAGGTTGAGGACAAGGCCTAGGGCTTTTCCTTTTTTGAATTCCAAATTATGTGGTGGAGAGAGGATGGAGAAACAGCAAACTCGAGTCGAGAGAGAGAGACAAAAGACAAGAAGACTTGAGAAAGAAAGAAAGATGGGACACGCCGAGTCGAATTGAATTGAATTGAGTTGAGTTGAAACAAGGAGAAGAAACCAATTGATCGCCGTGTGTCCACAAAATGAGTCTTATAGTTTTCACAAGGAATGATCAGAGAGATTAGAGCGTAAAGAGGATTGGTGAAGGAGTGGGTGAGAGAGACCAAATCATCTGTCTTTTTGACAGTTTCACCGGCCAACTCTCTCGAGATTCGATCATTCCTTCCTTCCTTGCCCTTTTCGATTATATTATTATACACATCATACAAACTCAAACACACAAAGCAGAGCTCTGTTTTCTTTGCTTGGAATTTGATTCTTATTCGCAGTAAATCTCGATGATCTTGGGAAAAGCCTCGTTGAATAGTTTCCCCCAAATTTCAACGTCTCTTTGGAGCAGTGAAACGCTGATAACTGCTTCCTATATATTCGGTCTATGTACAAGATTAAATATATAATTTGCCCTTGTTAGTAGTAGTACCATAGAGTTACCACTTACCACATAAAGTTACCCCAGAAACAAAAACATATGTTTTGTCTCTTTCTTTGGTTCAATGCGGTTGACTTTGACTTTTCAATAGTAGTGAACCACCGTCAAACCATTCCTGAAACTGGGAAATCTAGGCAACAACACATGGCCAAGAGAAGAAGAGGCCCTTTCCTCTCATTCCTTGTGGTATTTTGCAAATGGTCTTGCATTTCTTATTATTATTCATTTCTCCCTATGTATGGGTCTAATCATTTAAAGTGAAAAACTTTGGTACATGATTCTCAATGGAAATATATTATCACACCACACATTAGGGTATGTATATTTATATCCATATACAAGAGCCATTTTCTTGTAAATTTACATCCGAATTAAATAAGAGAAATGAGCAACTTTTTGGGTTTGTGACGCTATCTATCGAAACCAAAGGTCCACTGTTAACAACCGCATCAGGCTCTCTCAGATTACTATATCTAATTATTATACATTCACAACACTAAAAATCAAAAGTGCTATGAATCAAGTAATTTTTATAGACTAGTACTATACATAGTTTTCAAGTGTGCGTCATGTGAATATGTTGGGAATCTTCGTCCGTTGTTACTTGTGAGCACAAAGAACCAAAACGATACGCATCCGTCAAGCATATACCCTTTTTCTAGTAGACTTTTTGAATCACAAATTTTCAACGCAGAGAATATAAAAACATAATGGAACCCAACTACTCAAAACTAGAAGCAAACACCAAATCAATTAATATCTACTTGGGCCACACACATATAAACTTACCAAATCCTCTTTCTTACAAGATTAGGTCCAAAACGTAATCACATTTCTTGGGCTTAATCAATGGAGTTGGTAGGATGCTCACCTCTGCAAATACTCGGTCAGATATCCTCTGAGCTCATTACCAAGCGGCTCCCTCTGCTTACAATACCGGTCTGCATAACCGGAGTCGTGATGACCCGACAAAGGAACATCCTCTTGCAGATAATCTCCACAGTCGATTATGATGTTATGCAATAAACAGCACACAAGTATTATACTAGGCAGTTTCTTCCTGTCCGGTCTCCACATAACCTTGCTCAGAATCCTCCAGCTTCCTTTTAGCTGCGCAAAGGCCGTAGCTGCGACTGACCTCACCTTCTCGTGCCTGTCGTTGAAGGCCATCATAGCATCGGAAGGATCATCGCCGTCGTGAGGAGTTATAAGCCACGGAAGGAGCGGGTAACTGATCCCTCCGACCACATACTCTCTAACCTCGGCTCCTCCGTATAGAGTTTTGGCATCTCCGTCTAATATCTGAGCGGTCTCGCAGAGTTTGAAGAAGCCTGAGAGCTTGAGGAGCTTGGAGACGGTCATGCCCCCAGGCCAGCCTGTAACCATGTTGAGAAACCTCATATCGTGATCAAAGACGCCTTGTAAGAACATGCTGTAGTTCTTCTCGTGGTCACACCAGTCATCGGAAGCTTGCACCGCCGGGAGGGTCATGATGATGTGCGTTGTATCTATGGCTCCGCAGCAATTCGGGAGGCCGTACATTTCCTCAAACTTTGACTTTATCTCTTGTATTCCCTCCGAATCTGGCCATCTGAGATGGTGCTTGCCCCGTTCCTCGAGCGCCTCGATGAATCTCCATGTCACCTGAGAAACAGTGGATTGGCCAACACCAAAGGCAGCTCCGACGGAGACCTGAGATTCACCGGAGGCCAACCTTCTGAGAGCAATGGCGACTTGTTTCTCGACACTAAGAAGCCTTCCCTCGATGTTGATGAGTCCCGAGGGAGGCCTTGAGATAAGATCCTCTCTCACCAGCGAACATATGTAGCTGAATGTCGTCTTTGAAGCCCTGAAGAAGTACTTGAACGCATCATCTTCCTCTACGGGGATCGACACACCTGCAAAACAATTAAACGAACTACAATCTCACTCTATGCTATTGGATTCTACGATTTGATTACAGGACGAAAGCCCAAGGAAATCAAAAGTGGAGAGGATTAGGATTTAGGAAGAGAACCTGAGAGAGAAGAGTTGCGGTGCCAGAAAGTGTCCCACCAGTCGCAGTCGATAGCCTCCGGATCCAAAGGGACGAAGTTGATTCTCTTGGCCTTATCAGGCTGCTTCTTCTTCACCGGAGCCATCGAGAGAAATGGATCGACTGTAACAAGCAAAGGTTAAAAATGGGAATTTAATTGAATTGAATGTTAACGACGCCGTACCTTCTTGTAGCGTACAGTATCATCAAGTGCACGCAACGCACCTAATAGATGCCTCCTTCTTGGGCCCACTGGGCCAAGCTCGATTTTTTTTAGACAAAACTAATTGAAACTCCACCGTTTTTCAGAAACAAAATCCCTTCTTTTGGTAGTCTCAACTCTCAATTATCAACTGCTAGTTTGCTTTAAACTCCACCAATTTTTCAGTTACAATTTTCATGTAAAGTTTTGCATTAAAAGACGGTTCTACTAACTAGGACTTGATGAGCAAATCATTTTCACTTGTCAAGAAAAAAAACTGATAAGGCAAAGTTTTGTTTTTTTTCTTCTCTGACAATCGAAAATCCAAAGCAAAACATAATTTGAAATTTGAAAAAGAGAAAACCGTGGAGGAAACTGTCGTTTTGCCGCTCTCGTCAGGTTCTTCATCTTGCTTCTTCGGTTTCTCTCTTTATCTGTCAACCTTTGGCCTTTGAAAATAATATTCTTTCTTTCTCTTTTGATAAAGTAGAGAAATAGTGTATTTGATATTCGATTCGCTGCTCATCTACGAGGGTGTCGGTAAGTAACGAGTGAAAGTAGAAAAATTAGTAAACAAATTGATGTGCTTTTGATGATTACGGGAGCTGGTTCCCACTTTTCGCTTCTTCTTTTTAATACCTAATAATGATTACTGTTTGATGAAAGCAATGATAAATCTTGCTGAAAGCTACGGTTGATTTGTTTACATGACGTGACACTGATTGCCTATCCAATACAGTAGTAGATTCATTTTTCCCAATTATATGTAATATGGTTTCTGTTTCTGTCTGAAGTTTCTGTGCTGCAAAATCCAATCCAATGGAGCGGTATGAAGTTTTGGAGCAGATTGGGAAAGGCTCCTTTGGCTCTGCTCTTCTTGTCAGGCACAAACAAGAACGAAAGAAGTATCTATCTGTCACTCCTGAGTCCTGTCTCTCTCTCTCCTTGTTGTTGCTTCTGCTGGTTCTTTTGATCTTTACTTGTGATTTTTCTGCTTTTTCACAGATACGTCTTGAAAAAGATTCGTCTCGCTCGCCAGTCTGATAGGGCTCGCCGATCAGCTCACCAGGAGGTTTGTGTTTCTTTTTATTTTGATGTTGGATCCCTTTGGCCTTTTAACTTTTTAAGATGATGATGATGATGATGAGTTTGGAGCTCCATTAATTGATGTTTCAGATGGAGCTCATTTCTACTGTCCGCAATCCATTTGTTGTCGAGTACAAAGACTCATGGGTTGAGAAGGTCTCTTCTTCTTCTTCCTTGGTCTCTTCTTCATCTTGTTTCTTTCTGCTACTCATCAGTCATCTATCTTGTTTCCAGGGTTGCTATGTCTGCATCGTTATTGGATTTTGTGAAGGCGGAGACATGTAAACAAACGGTTTCCACCCACTTTTTTGATTGAAAATATTAACAAGTGGCTCTTATTTTCCATTTCCATTTCCATTTTGCAGGACAGAAACCATCAAAAGAGCTTTTGGTGTCCATTTTCCTGAAGAGGTTTGTCTCAGCCATTATCAACTCTTCTTCAGTTGTTATAATCCTTTCAACTTTTGAATATTAAGCATCACTTGCTTCAGAAACTATGCCAATGGCTTGTTCAACTCCTAATGGCACTCGACTATCTTCACTCCAACCATATCCTTCACCGCGATGTCAAGGTTTGAAATCAAAATAAATAAATAAAAGCTCTGTTTCTTTCATTGTCTCAAGCATCTATCTAAGTCTCGTTTACATTTCTTTTCAGTGTTCTAATATATTCCTGACAAAAGATCAAGACATACGGCTTGGTAAGTTTTGTGGTTTCACTTTTGTCTTTACCCTTTTGAGAGCTACTAACGCATCCACATTCCGGTGGTTTCAGGTGACTTTGGCCTCGCTAAGATTCTCACTTGCGATGACCTTACCTCATCTGTAAGTTGTAAACAATGACACTCGACAAGTTACAAGTCTCGTCTTGTTTTTTTAGCAAAGTTAAGAAAATCTAGTGTGTTGTGTTTAAAATCTGTATAGGTTGTTGGGACTCCAAGTTACATGTGCCCTGAGCTTCTTGCTGACATACCTTACGGATCAAAGTCAGACATTTGGTCTTTGGGTAATAAACAATACATTCTTCAATGATATATTTGTTCTTACAGCCCCACGCTTGTGACTAAACCTTTAAGACATTGTGGGAAGCAGGATGCTGCATGTATGAAATGGCTGCTCATAAGCCTCCATTCAAAGCTACTGTAAGTGTCCTTTTGAGTCCATTGTTCTGATCAGTCTTTTCTTTCCTTTTGAATTTTTAAGATTGGGAGTAATATTTTATGATGCGAAATGTTGATTACAGGATGTGCAGACATTGATCAGCAAAATACACAAACTGATAATGGATCCGATTCCTGCCATGTACTCCGGTGCATTGTAAGTCTGAAATCATTATCATATATATATATATATATGTTGACATTAACTGTTCTATTCTTGCTGTACCAACCGCTTCTCCTCCGTTTCCCTAATCTGCAGCCGAGGCCTCATCAAAAGTATGCTGAGGAAGAATCCTGAACTCAGGCCAAGTGTATGTCTCATCTCCTTTTAGTTTATAAGATTTTAAGAGATCCATTGTTGTTGTTGGTTAAATCAATCAATCAATAATTGAGAGCCAAGTTTTATTGTTGGTATCCTTACTGCAGGCAAGCGAGCTGCTTAACCATCCTCATCTTCAGCCTTACATGAGCATGGTTTACATGAAGCTTGAGTCTCCCAGACGAAGCACTTTCCCACCCCAATGGTCTGAAACGGGCGCCAGAGTAGTCAAGGAAAGAAGGCGTTCCTTTAGCAACGACAGGAGATTGAATCCGAGTGCCTCTGATACAGAAGCAGGCTCTGTGTCTTCTTCCGGAAAAGCGTCTCACTCACCAATGTTTAACGGAAGAAAAGTCTCACAAGTAACCGTTGGAGTCGTCAGTGAAGAGATCGTTGCGAATAAGCAATCAGGTGCAGCCAGAACACCGAGAGTGGGTGGGACCTCAGCTAAAGCATCTGTCATGTCGAGCACGCCTCGTACTGTCTCCAAACATGAACTGGTAAGAAGACAATTACAGAGCCTTTTTATTACAAATAAACAGGGAGTGATCTCATTCATGAATCATGATCTGTGTGTGTACTTTGGGGTGTTTGAACAGAATCCTACTACAGACAGAGGGAGAAGAACATCTCTTCCATTACTTGTGGAAGACCCTTACAGTTACACTTATAAGCCGGATGTCACTGCTCTTTGCGGCCTAAATTCACCGGATGTTTCTGTGAACGCTCCAAGATTCGACAAAATCGTTGAATTCCCTGACGATATCTTGCACTTGCGGAACAGAGAGACAGACTCGAGAGCAGTAGCTTTGAGGCGCTCTTCCTTTTCTTCTCCTCCTCCTCCTTCTCTGCCTCCTCAGGAAAAGTGTACTGTAGAGACAAGGTCAGCTTCGGAGGTGAAACAGAGGAGGTTCGACACGTCATCGTATCAGCAGCGTGCGGAGGCTCTGGAGGGATTGCTGGAGTTCAGCGCAAGGCTTTTGCAGCAGGAAAGGTACGACGAGCTTGGCGTTCTCCTCAAACCCTTCGGTCCCGAGAGAGTCTCTCCCAGGGAGACCGCCATCTGGTTGACCAAGAGCTTCAAAGAAGCTTCCGTCTAGATCAAGTTAATAAATCAAATAAGACGGCCATGCTTTCGACTCTCACTGCTTAAAACGGCATGTTGTGCGATGGTTATTTCGATTTTAAAAATGTGTGGGTCGTTTTGTAAAGTTTGATTAAATATCGGGTTCTTATTGTCATTACTTCAAAAATGGTGAGGCATTTTCGTAATTTTGTCTGTTGGTTTATAAACAAAACAAGGAGAGAATATAGGAGGAATAGGAGCAACGGGGAAATCGGAGAGGACCCACTTATCAGTTGGTAGTGATAGCTATGAACGGAGCAGACAGAGTTGAATCAGAGATTCTAGAGCCCTTCGAGCTGTCCTTGTCGGATCTTCGTTTGTTCTCTCGCTTTCATTCTTCTTCTCGGAGAGATCGAAGTCGCTGTCAATGGATCTCGAGAAATGTGATGGAAGCCCTTGGCCCTACCGGTCCAGGCCTGCTTTGCATCACCGGCGTTCTTGGCTCCGCCCTTCTCCGCCGTCAACTCCTTCCCATGGCTCGCAAGCTCGCTCTGCTTGATCCCGACAAGCGGATTCGCCTTCTCAAGGTAATCCACCAATTCCAAAGAGTCAAACTTGTATTTGGCTAGTTACTAGGTAGTAGGATTGGTTTGGTGCTTTGTTCTCAAGATTGCAACTTTTACCTTTTAGTGTTAGTGTGTTCTTCGTCTGATTCTGTGTGTTCGTTCATCCTTACTGGGAAAGGAGCACCGCTTGGGAAGCGACGTTCCTCTGAAGAATCCAGAACGGCATGTCTCATCTTTTGCAATGCAGCTCAATCATGAAAGCACTTGTAAATCAAAGCTGGACTTGCAGGAGGAGGAGGACGGTGATTTCAGAAATCTGGGAGTTGCGTTTAAGGAACTAGGGTGTTACATGAGGGACTTGGGTTTGTCCATAGCCCGAGTATGCGACAGGGAGATTGGGGGAGGCTCGCTGGAGGAGAGTTTATTAGAGTCTTGCACTGCAAAAGCACGTCTCATACATTACCACTCCGCTGCAGACCAATGTCTTCTCAGAGAAGCAGAGAGGAGAAACCGTTCTGGTAAACGAGCATCAAGCAAGAAAGGAGCCGAGCATAGAAATGGGGCTGCTCACTTCAATCTGTGGCAACAGTGGCATTACGATTATGGCATCTTTACTCTTCTCACGGATCCTATGTTTCTGTCATCTTATTCCTACCAGGATTCCACTCTGGTGACCAACCACTCTTATCTGCGGATCTATCATCCCAGCAACAACACATTCTACATGGTCAAGACTCCACAGGACAGTTTTATAGTTCAAATTGGAGAATGTGCTGATATTTTGTCTAAAGGGATGCTAAGGTCGACCCTTCACTGCGTTTGCAGACCAAAGAAACTGGAGCACCTAAGCCGTGAGACTTTTGTGGTCTTCTTACAGCCCAAGTGGAGCCAGACTTTCTCAGTCTCAGAATATACAATGGAACATCTTAGGTCAGACTGTCTACAGAGACAGATTCCTGATACAGATGAGGTCACTAAAGTAGACATACAGAAAATTGTTCCACCTCTATCGTCTCGGTTAAGGGATGGGATGACATTTGCCGACTTCTCTCGAGAGACAACAAAGCAGTACTACGGAGGGAGTGGTTTGCAATCAAATAGATAACCCTTCTACTTCAGGAGACCACAGGTAATGAACTTGTCTCATTTTTTAATTAGGCAGTCAAATTCAGAACAATTTGTTAGTTGAAGCCAAGAAGAAGGGGCCAAGATGAGAGAGATTAAAGGGAGAGTTGGCATTCGTCTTTGTGTACTTCGATGTTGGAGCCAAAACAGTGAAAGCTGTTACATCGTTATCACAGTCAAAAGCTCTCTCTTTTTTCTTTTTTGCTCTTCTTTAGTCTCTCTCTCTGTGACTCTGTTTATGTTCCTGTTGTGTCTCCCGCGATGCTGTTCCAAGCTTACATCTCCTTGTGTTTGTTTTCAAGCGCTTGCATTAAGACAAAGTGGTGTTAATAAAGTTAAAGCTGCCTCTTCTCAGATTCCTTTTAGGGATTCAGTCTTCTTTATTCTTCAATTTTTTTTATTTTTGATTTATGGTTTTTTTCATGAATTGTTTGTACGTGTAGATTAAATCGACAAAAAGGGTTTAGCTCGCAAGTCTTTTCTTTAGTGAATTCAAAACAAAGTTTGAAACTTTCTGGCTTGAAAGATGCTTGCTTTGACTGTGAGTTGCTTTTGCATCGAAAGGGAGCTTGGGTTTCATAACCATAGAAGAAACGGATACGGTGTAGAGTCTATAGGGGGGGGGCTCTCTCTATTGGAAGCATCTCGAAAGCAAAAGACTCATCATTCAAAGTGCTGCTGATACATTCAATATCAGTTGGTATAATAAAATACAGAAAATGTCCAAACAAGCACAATGATTGCAGGCAAAGGAATAACCAGAGAGACAAAATGACAATTTTCAAAGGGATTTTTTATAAAGAATATATGAAATGTTGGGTATCCCTAGAATTAGACAGAGCAAAAGGGAATAAAGGATGTCTCTTTATTAAGTGGTCACCCACCCTTGAATTGCAAAGTTATATGCATATATTGAATATCCTGATATAATGCCTTTTATTGTGATTAATACTAACACTTATGCTGTACAAGAACAAGAGAGAATCACTAGTTTTGATTGTCTAGCCTGAAGATCCATATGCTTGGTTTATGATTATATGGAGAAATATATTTACCAAGTTGCCATTGAAGTGGAAGTGACAGAGAGAGAGAAGAAGACGAAGGTGACGTAAGGGAAAGCACGCGAAGCAGCATTTGTGAGTGTACGCAGCTTTGTGTTTCAAAACCAAAGCAAAAGGGAACAGCGAGGGACCAATTTTAGGAGACTGATAATCAAACACAGTCGTTTTCACCATTTTTAGCACCAAACTTATTAGTTTAGTTAACCAACAACAATTCTCTAATACAACCCATGATCATCACTTAATAAACAGCTAAGTAGATGCTTGATCAACATGCGCATAAATAAATAAATATTTCTTTAGTTATACAAACACAAAATATTGTCATTTGAAACATTAATGTTTTATAAAACTTATAACTACTTTAATTTATAAAAGGCAAATACAACAACGACGACTTTATTCCCCTTTAATTTTCAAGACTAAAGGTGTGATACGCCTAAAGTCATTTGAAGTGTTAATTAAACAATTGGGAAGATGCGGCCTTATTATTGGAAAGCTACGTCTTTTATGTGGTATCCCATTATTTAAGCAACGACTACATATTGCAAGAGGTACTATCAAAAATTACATTTTCTATAAATGAAAAAAAGAAAAAAGTGAGACACCTATCTATACATGTAAACGTTTTTTGTCTATATATATACAGAGAGATAGAGATAGTGTGTGAGATACACACTCACAACACACACACGTTTCCTTGTGAAGAAACTCTGAACTCTGACGTCAAGCTTTAAAACAAGGGATGGAGAGAGAAGTGAGACGACCGAACCCAATCAACAGCTCTCGTCGACCGGAGATGTTTTCTTCAGGGGCGGGTAGTACTCAGCTGCCGGAAAGCCCGCGAGGTCCGATGGAGTTCTTGTCTAGATCCTGGAGCGTTTCTGCCTTGGAAGTCTCCAGAGCTCTCCACACCGCCAAATCCACCACCAGAAACCCTTCCATCAACGCTTCGATACCGGAAGAAACCAACCCTGAGAAGGAAGAATGTCCGCCGGAGAACAGCCAGTTCTCGTTCGCCGCCTCTGCCACTTCACAGCTTGTTCTTGAGCGCATTATGTCCCAGTCGGTACGGTTAGTCAAAATAGTTTCAGTTTCAGACACTCGCTCTGTTTTTGTGCCTGATATTCGTCATAATGAAGGAGGTGTCGCCGTTAACGTCGGGGAGGTTATCACACAGCAGCGGGCCACTCAACGGCGGAGGTTCTTTTACGGAGACTGACAGTCCTCCCATCTCTCCCTCCGATGACTTGGACGACGTCGTCAAGGTACTTTCACTCTCTCTTTTTTTTTTTCATTTTTTTAAACGGTCACAAAGATAATATCTAAGAGTAATCCTTGTTTTATCGAGTCCACAAGAGATGTTTTACTAGAAGAATGCAAGTCTCAGTCTTTAGTCTTTAGAGTTTATTTGTATTATCAAGTTAAAAAAAGAATAAAAACAAACGAGTAAGAGAATCGTACAGCCATCTTAAAGCTGAGCCACACCCAAATTGAAACCTTTAATCTTTTCCAGACCAGAAACAGATTTGACTTTGACTCTCCACTTTACAACCTGTGTTTAGCCTCTCACTTACATCACCCACACCAAAAGAAAAAAAAAAAAAAGAGGAAACCAAAATTGAAATATATACTGTATTGTTTACCTTCCAATTAACCATACATGTAGATTAATGATAGGGCGTATGAGCTACATACATGTGACCAATCAATCGTTTTAGACTTTAGTTGTTGGTACAAAAAAAAACAAAATTGGTCTTTAAAAGCTGGGCGGTTGGCATAATTTAAAGAAGTGCAGCGATCAGCCGAATTGGTCTTGGGACTATAAGACGCACTCAAGCCTGTCGGCGATCATTAAATTGATATGACCCAAATAGATATGCCATTCAACAAACCTTCTTCTTATTAAATGCAATGCAATGCAATGCTTAATCTCTAGTAGTATTTACTTTGATGAATTGTGGAATTGATCAACATTTTACTAAAGCCTTTTATGTTTGGCTCATTTTAAGATTTGTATTTTTTTTCGGAAAATACTACTTTCGTAACTACACTCGCTTTTTACCTACAATTGGATAATTCCAATCAATTGATCTGCTCTCTCGTATTCCACTAAAGCTAATGAGACCAACTTGTTCATATAAACCAATCTTTCTACTCTTGTTGCCATTGCAGTATTTTCGCACACACAACACCATTCAGCCTCTCTTCTCTGCCACTGGAGGCAGCCGTGGCAGTGGCACCACCGGAAATGGGAGCAGTACCCCAGTGGCTGGAACCGCCCCAAAGACTGTTGGTAGGTGGCTCAAGGACCGTAAAGAAAAGAAGAAAGAAGACAGTCGAGCTCACAATGCACAGGTCCACGCAGCTGTCTCTGTTGCCGCTGTTGCATCCGCTGTGGCAGCCGTAGCTGCAGCGACAGCAGCCTCTTCTTCACCAGGTAAAAACGAGCAGATAGCCAGAATTGATATGGCCATGGCTTCTGCGGCTGCACTCGTGGCTGCACAGTGCGTGGAGTCTGCAGAGAACATGGGAGCAGAGAGGGATCATCTGACATCCGTCGTGAGCTCTGCGGTGAACGTCAAGTCTCATGACGACATTGTCACGCTTACTGCAGCTGCCGCAACAGGTATTGATTGTATTACAAAGTAGACAAGGTTACTTGTAGTTTGCGAATCCATACGTGATATTCAACCACCACTTTTGTTTTTTGGCAGCTCTGCGAGGAGCAGCTACACTGAAGGCGAGAGCGCTGAAAGAAGTATGGAACATAGCAGCTGTGCTACCACCAGCCGAGAAAGGAGCAAGTTCAGCCTTGTGTGGCCAGGTTGAAACAAAGCACAGCGATAGTAGCTTTAGCGGAGAATTACCTATAGCTGGGGAAGACTTCCTCGGCGTTTGTAACCAGGAACTACTCGCTAAAGGCACCGAGCTCCTCAAACGAACTCGTGGAGGTACACTCCAAAGCTTAAATGATCTATAAGATAGAACACAAAAAAGTGAAAGAAAAGGTTGATGAGCTTGAATTCTGAAAGCAGGTGATCTCCACTGGAAGATTGTGTCTGTCTACATGAACAAAGCAGGCCAAGTTGTGCTGAAAATGAAGAGTAAACACGTAGGAGGGACCTTCACAAAGAAGAAGAAACGTACGCACACACATTTCCTCTCTTTCACTAGCCAGTAAAGCTAATACAGTACAATACAAGTCATGACTCTTTTTTTTCTTGGTTTGCAATTTGTGTTGCAGATATGGTGCTGGAAGTAAAAAGAGAGATACCTGCATGGGCTGGGAGGGACCTCTTCAACGGAGACAAGCATCACTACTTCGGCCTAAAGACGGAAACAAAGAGGGTCGTTGAATTTGAGTGCAGAAACCAAAGGGAATACGAGATATGGACTCAGGGGGTTTCCCGCCTTCTTGCCATCGCTGCGGAGAAGAAGCATAAAAGCTCCATGTCCAAGTGGATGGCACCTTAATAACACAAAAGTAGCAGACAAGTATAAAGTAGATGCTTTTGTCGAACTTGCTATGAGAAGAATAGGTTTTAAAAATCATAGTAGTAGAAGAAGAAGCCTTTTCCGTTTAGTAATATCCTTTTATTCTTCCATTGATGACTTCTAAAGGTAACAACAAGTTTCACATATCCACTGTCATGTTACAGCGTTCAACTTTTCTTTACAAACCACAAAGAATTTTAAGAATATAGTATGACTCATATCAATTAAGTAGCTTAAAAGTGTAAAGGATGGTGGCCTAACTATCAGCAGCCCTCAAGAGAGTGACCAGAGAGAGGAAGAGATTGATGACGTCGAGATAGAGTGAAACTGCAGCCCATATGTACTCGTCGTAGGAGTGTCTCTTGATCAAATTGTCCGTATCATAAACTATGTACCCACAGAAGATGATGGATGCCACACAACCGTAGATCATCACCGATATCTTCCCAAGAGGGAACAGAATCTGCAGTCACAAACACACACATAGGATTAGGATTCAGGCTCTATTAAATTAATAGAATATAAAGCAAAAGCAAGAGGCACAAGGGCTTGTGAGATCATTAGACCTGGATGAAGGAGAAGACCATAAGCACAACGACGGCACCGAACAAGAAGGGTCCGAGGAAGTTGAAGTCATGGCCTCTTTTGGCAGCCCAGAAGGTGTAGAGAGTGAGGGAAATCACCACCACAGAGGTCAGAATCACGGCTTCCAGAATCACTTTTCCTGTTCCACAAAATCATCAATCACTCAGTCAGTCAAGTCAGGTAGGCTTGCCATCGTGAAATTCGAAAACAGAAGGAAGGTTCATAAATCATACCGCTTGTAAAGGCGCAGGTCAGGCCGACCGCAAAAGCAAGAGAGACGGTGAAGATGCCGAGTAATATATAGTTCACGGGATGCTTCTGGTGATAGTAATACAAGGGACACATCACTGCACGCAAACCAGACTAATCAGAGAGAAATTCATAGAGAGAGAGAGAGAGAGAGAGAGAAGCGTAGAAAGAGACAGAGGGGAATTGGATTCGTACCAATCAATGGAGTGAAAATGAGAAGTATGTAGAGAGCAAAGCCGACGCCGGTGGTGGTGAAGAAGACGGAAATAGGAGGAACCTTGACGACGGTGGCGGCGACGGCGATGGTGACGAGAAGCTGGATGGAGATGATGGAATACACCTTCCGGATGAAAGACCACCGGAGCTCGGGGCTCTCCATCATCATCGGGTACAGAGGCGTTTGAGCCGACTCCAAATCGTGCTTCCCATAACTCTGGTTCCACATGACGATATCGGAGTGTGAGTATGCCAAATTGCCAACGCCGGCGATTGAATTGAGAGAAAAAAATGCGAGGGAATTTGTGCTCGCTCGGGGGACGAAGATCCACGACTTGTAGACACAAAGGGGCGGCTACCAGAGAAGCTTCCCGATACGTCGAGCTATTAAATTAATCTGACGGTTCGGATTTTGACACGTGCATATTTCCACGTGTCGATCAGATTGGGCCTCTCTGGAAACACTCCTGATTAAGCAACAACGTTTTCAATTTTTCATGAGCAAATCATAACTTAGTTTCGTCTTCCATCCACAAATGGTTTCTTTTAATCATTCTGTTCCAATCCACATATTGACCTTTACACCTTGTTCCTGCAAAAACCTTGCCAAATCCACAATTACTGTCGTTTTTATTACATCATAATTCAACTTTTACAACCACGAGACAAAAGTTTTATATTTCTGTTTTTGACGGACATAATGGTGCATAAGCCTTAATTCTAGCCTCCTGACTCCTCCTGAGCATAGAAAAGAGGTAGAAATATTTTTCAGTTTTCCACCTAAATCAGTCCTGGTTACAAGTTTTAAAATCATACAAGTGGTGTTCAAGATAATGGGATCTTGAGCCTGTGTGGAAACTAAACTGTATCTGGAAACTTAAAGCTCTTTGAAATATTAGAGTACACACTAATACAGATGTTTATAAACATTTGAGAAAACAAATACTTGGACACGCCACACGGATTAACTGCACAGCTTGCGTTAGTTTTTTTTTTTTTTTTTTCATTTTTTTTTTATAAATTTCCATTTTATTCATCTTATTCCAAAGAAGGAAAACAGTTACAAGTAGAAGATGAATAAGGACAAATTACAAAAAGGAAAAGAGAAAGCTAGAATAAGGTCCGCACGGATCAAGTTAATTGGATAAACTCAAACCAAATATGAATGAGACTTTCCTGAGAAGATGACTGACGGAAATGGAAATTAGCGGTTTGTAGAGCTGCTCTATCAATCTCCGAAAGTTTGGCTCGCAATGTAAATTTTATCTCTTTCACCAAAGTGTGGGAAGTCTTTAATGAGGGAGAATGAATTCTTGTATTATGTTCTACACATAAGTAATAAACCACTGTTTGGAAAAGAAGTTTGCAGATAGTTCTCAGGTTGGAAGAATTAAGACAAGTAGATATCCAAGAGATAATATCGTCGAAGTCCGTCGGCGGAGATAAAGTCCCATGAATGAAGAAAGAGTTCTATACAGTCTATGAATAACCACAAGAAAAGAATAAGTGGTTTCTCGATTCAACTAAAGTTCCACAAGATAAAGCTTGCGTTAGTTGTGTGTGTGTTATACCGTATAATTTTAGTTTCAGTTGTAGAATCAGTTACATCCATAATCTAAAGGTTGCATAGAGTGGCGTAGCCGGGGCGCATGCTCACCATGTTCACGAAGCACACTCCACGAGACACCGTACTACGACGTGGCAATTTGCATTTTTCCACGTGTCAGCTTCACATCCCAAACTTAATGCCAAAGAAAGCTTTGGAGTTCCAACTTTGGAGTGTACTGCCTCTTGGAAACATCCAAATGTGACCAATCAACTTGTATAGAGAAAAACTCAAAAGGTTGTTTTACATTTACAAATTTACTTAAGCTGATCCGGTTACCGGTACGAAACTTATGAAGCATGTTTTGAATAAATATAAGTTGATAGTTTCAATGAATTATATCTAACGTAGATAATACATAAGAATCATGGGTTCCACAAAAGGATTTTACCTTACTCTCCTCAAAAGTATAAGTTCCGGAATGTTCTATGGAACAATCCATTCCGTCCTCTTTGTAAGTTGTTCCAGAAAGTTCGAAATCCACTAACTAAGTAATGACCAAACTTGTGCACTAGATCGCTGCTATATATAAATCAACTCCTCTAATTGTAAGACACATACGTGGCCATCCTCTTCACCACATTTCCTTCTCCAACTGCCATAAACCAACTGCCACTTAAACAACACCAAAAGCAGAGTACTCTGTTTCTTTATTTTTTCAAAAACAAGTAAAAGAAGACTTACTTCCCGCTCTTTTTCAAGATCGTTTTGTTTCTGTGCTGTTGGTCACAACTACTCACCCTTCCAAATGATCCTTTTCCTTTCTTCAATTACAATTTACAAAAAATCCAAACCTTTATGACCAAAGCTGTCATCACCTGAGATCTGCTGATCAAGATACGGAAATGGAGCCGTCGTCAAGCTCGAGAGCGCGGTCAATACCGGAGCCCATGGTGGGGTTGCAGGAAGCAGGGCCTTCTCCGTTTCTAACGAAGACGTTCGAGATGGTGGATGATCCAAACACGAACCACATTGTGTCTTGGAGCAGAGGAGGCATCAGTTTTGTGGTGTGGGATCCACATTCATTCTCAGCGACCATCCTCCCTCTCTACTTCAAGCATAACAACTTCTCCAGCTTCGTCAGACAGCTCAACACTTATGTAAGTCATCTCTGCTCCTACGCTTACCGACGTTGCTGTGTTTCTGTTTTCACTCTCGTGTTCCCTTGGTCTTTATAGTTTTGGAAGAATTCAACAATGCGTCCGGCCTCCATTTACCGCAAAAGGGTAATTAATTTGGGTTTCCTCTCTAGTTTCAACTCTAAGCTCAGTCACAGTCATGGCTGGTGGAATAATCTAGACTCTGCTAGTGGTGAAAGAGAATACTTTTTCACAAGTTCTAGAGACTTTATCCTTATCAACTTGAACATAAAATATTCAATATTCAATATTCAATAGACACTTGTGTTCCTCCCATTATTTTATATCAGATAAAAAAGGTTTTTTTTTTTGTGTTTTTTACAGTGCAGTAGACTGGCAGGGGTTCTTTTATCTGTTATAAAAGAAGACGTGGCAGTAAATTAATCTTGGTTTTCTATTTATTTATTGAATGTTCAGGGATTCAGAAAGATCGAGGCAGAGAGATGGGAGTTTATGAATGAAGGTTTCCTGATGGGTCAGAGAGACCTTCTCAAAAGCATCAAGCGGCGAAACTCCACTTCAGCCCCTCCCTCGCTCCACTACCCTCAACCCGACGGTCATGACCCCTCCGCCGAGCTCCGACAAGAGAGGCATGTCCTAATGACGGAGATCTCGAGGCTGAGACAGCAGGAGCAGAGAGCGAGGGGCTACATCCAAGCCATGGAGCAGAGGATTAACGGAGCGGAGAAGAAACAGAAACATATGATGACCTTCCTGAGGCGCGCGGTGGAGAAACCCTCGCTTCTGCAGCAGCTACTCCCGCAGCAGAGGACCGAGCTAGAGGAGGCCTCGAACAATCAGGATAGCGTGGTCAAAAGGGAGGCGGTGGAACACGTGTCGGAGCTGGAGGCTCTGGCGCTGGAGATGCAAGGACATGGACGCCAAAGGGTCGAAGACGTTGATAGGGAACTCGACGACGGGTTTTGGGAAGAGCTACTGATGAACGACGATACATTTGAGGATGGAGAAGAAGAAGATGAAGAGGCGAATGTGAACGTGTTGGCCGGCAGAAACTAATTAGTTAGGTTTTCTGAGTTCCTGTCCGGGTCTTGTAGTCAACAAATGAAATATATCGAGAGGTAATAAATAAAGATGAAGACAACGTTGGATCAATCGAAAGAACAAAATAAACGATATGTGCATGACCACACATTACATGATTGTTGTTTTTTGATCAGCACAATTCACAGCAACCAGAGTCACAAGCGCATCAAAACAAAGACATACATATACTTTTTTTTTCTTTCTTTCTTCCTTGTAACAGAAAAACGGCTTGCCTTGTTGGAAATATTACATGTCTAAACTGTAGTATGTGATTGAGACACGAAATGAAAGAAGGGTTTAGGCTTAGGAGCAGCCGGCCTTGCGACAGAGGCAACGTTGGGGGTTTGAGACGCAGACGCCGGTAATGGCTCCTTCCTTGGTGCAGAAACTGTGGCAAAGGTTATGGCCCACGTCACCCATCCAACACTTGAAGTTTGGTAGATTCTGGCATTCCCACTCGCACCCCTGCGCTTGCGCTTCACCTTTCTCTATTAATCATACATGGTATACACTCATACGGATCATTTTCAACAAGTTGTTACTATTCGAATTGGAAATTAATCGAGTATATATATATGTACCTGTGGAAACCAATAAGACTAGGAGGAGTATGACAAAGAAGTTAATGATCTTCACCATTTTTATCGCTCGACCACTTCTGTGTTTTCTGAATGAACGATTCTTTCCAGCTCAATGAAAAGGAACTTTGCCTTATGTAGTACAAAATTTCGTTGACTTAGGGGTTTGGTGGTACAGCAACAGCAAGAAATGTCGTTAGAAAAATGAATCAACGCTTGATTATATAATAACGATCTGATAAGTTCCCATGACGTGCAGGACACATCGTTTCCTCAAGATGTCTCTCTTTTAGTTTATAATTCACTGAAAAACTATTGAGATATGTAGAGGTTAATGGGCCAGAAAGGCCTTAATCTCTAGAGAGTGTGCAAATAAAGTCCCACATCGGAAGTGGGAAGGGACCTGGAGCGATATATAAGGGACTGAGGCCACTCCACCTATTGCCAATTGGTTTTAGGTTGGGTGCCGAGGAAACTTAACAAAAACCGCGTAAGTAAATTAACAATGTTTCCTCTCTGTTTCTTGCCAACCTTGTGATTGTGATGTTTAGAAAAAAGGTATTTAATTCGGCCGTCGACGTGTCCTCCTTATCGCAAATTGAATGCTGCACAAAGACAAAAGTATAAACTGAATATGAGATCAGTGAGCAAAAATTTGGGCGTCCCTTCCAAAAGTAGTATGATTATTATGTTCTCTGCTTCTTCGGCCATCTCCACTCCAACGCGTTGCTGTTTTCTTCCCACATGCGGAATTCAGAAGAATTCATCTCTCGTCCAGGTCCCTTCTCCGAAGCTCACTTGCTTCGATGGAGCCCTGAACGAAGAAGCTTTTCAACGGCTGGACGACCAAAGCTCTCCTCCAATCGAAGCGTATGCCAACCTTCTCGAGCTCTGTGCCAAGAACAGAGCTATCTCTCAAGGCCGGCAGCTGCATTCTCACATTTTCAAGTCTTCTCTACATTATTTGGCCGGTAAGCTTGTGTTCATGTACGGCAAGTGTGGGTCTATGGATGACGCAGTGAAAGTGTTCGACGAAATGCCTGTGAGAACTGACTTTGCATGGAATGCAATGATAGGAGCCTATGTCTCCAATTCCGAACCTGCTTCTGCTCTTTCTGTTTACCGGAAAATGCGGCTTCAAGGTGTTCCCGTCCATCTCTACTCTTTTCCTCTCTTGCTTAAAGCCTGCGGCCTCCTTAGAGACATCCGGAGTGGCACTGAGCTCCATTCTCTGGCCGTTAAACTTGCCTACGATTCTACAGATTTCGTTGTCAATGCCTTGCTTTCCATGTATGCTAAGAATGATGACCTAAGCGCAGCAAGGCAACTGTTTGACGGAGCTCAAGACAAAGGAGACATCGTTCTCTGGAATTCTATCATGTCTTCATATTCCACGTCTGGCCACTCTTTGGAGACTTTAGAGCTATTCAGAGAAATGCAGATGATTGGTCCTCCCTCCAACAGCTACACTCTTGTTTCTGCTCTCACTGCCTGTCAAGGCTTCTCACATGCAAAGCTAGGGAAAGAGATCCACGCTGCTATCCTGAAATCTGCAAGCCACTGTTCTCAACTATATGTGTGCAACGCCTTGATCGCAATGTATGCACGTTGTGGTAAAATGCCTGAGGCAGGAAGGATCCTTCGTCACATGGACGAGGGTGATGTTGTGTCCTGGAATTCCCTCATCAAGGGATATCTACAGAATTCCATGTACCAGGAGGCCTTAGCTTTCTTTCGTGATATGATCGCTGCTGGCCACAAACCCGACGAGGTTACAGTGACCTCTGTCATTGGAGCGTCAGGAAGATTAAGCAATCCGTTGGTAGGAATGGAATTGCATGCTTACGTGATTAAACACGCCTGGGATTCTCATTTGCAGGTTGGGAACACGTTGATAGATATGTATTCTAAGTGCAACCTCACAGATTATATGGGCCGTGCGTTTCTTATCATGCATGAGAAAGATCTTATTTCATGGACTACAGTCATCGCTGGTTATGCTCAGAATGATTGTCATGTAGAGGCCTTACAACTCTTCCGAGATGTTGCTAAGAAAAGGATGGAGATTGATGAAATGATGCTTGGAAGCGTCCTTCGAGCTTGTAGTGTGCTAACCCCCATGCTCATTGTCAAAGAACTTCACTGTCACATCTTGAGGAAAGGTTTACTTGATACTGTGATACAGAATGAGTTGGTTGATGTTTACGGAAAATGCAGGAACATGGCCTATGCTACTCGAATATTTGAATCTATTAAAGGTAAAGATGTTGTCTCTTGGACAAGCATGATTTCGTCTAGTGCTCATAATGGTCACGAAAGTGAGGCTGTTGAACTCTTTGGGCGCATGGTTGAAACTGGTATGGCGGCTGATTCTATAGCACTGTTGAGTATACTGTCCGCTGCAGCGAGTCTATCTGCTCTCAAGAAAGGGAGAGAAATTCATGGCTATTTACTCCGGAATGGTTTTTGCCTAGAGGGGTCCATTGCAGTTGCTATTGTTGACATGTATGCAAGCTGTGGAGATTTACCGAGTGCACGAGCTGTATTTGATCCGACTGAGAGGAAAGGTCTACTGCAATACACAAGCATGATCAATGCATATGGAATGCACGGCCGTGGAAAAGCATCTGTTGAGCTGTTCAATAAAATGAGGCATGAAAAAATCTCGCCTGATCACATTTCATTTCTGGCACTTCTCAATGCCTGCAGCCATGCAGGTCTGCTTGACGAGGGTAGAGGGTTTCTCAAGATCATGGAACATGAATATAAACTGGAACCATGGCCTGAACATTACGTGTGTCTGGTTGACATGCTTGGTCGTGCAAATTGTGTGTTGGAAGCCTTTGAATTCGTTAAAAAGATGAAGACAGAACCGACCACGGAAGTGTGGTGTGCACTCCTTGCGGCATGCCGATCTCACTCAGAGAAAGAAATTGGAGAGATAGCAGCTCAGAGACTCCTTGAGCTAGAGCCTAAGAATCCGGGAAATCTTGTGCTTGTATCTAATGTCTTTGCTGAACAGGGACGATGGAATGATGTTGCAAACGTGAGGGCCAAAATGAAAGCAAGAGGATTGAAGAAACACCCTGGATGTAGTTGGGTTGAGATTAACGGCAAGGTTCACAAATTTACAGCAAGAGACAAGTCTCATCCAGAGACCGAAGAGATATATGAGAAACTTTCTGAGGTTACTAGGAAGTTGGAGAGGGAAGCAGGTTATCTAGCTGATACAAAGTCCGTTCTGCATAACGTAGACGAAGAGGAGAAGGTTCAGATGCTGCATGGACACAGTGAGAGGCTAGCAATTGCTTATGGGCTCCTCAGAACACCTGACAGGGCGTGTCTCCGGATCACAAAAAATTTACGCGTCTGTAGCGATTGTCATACTTTTTGTAAGCTGGTCTCTAAGTTATTCGGACGAGACATTGTGATGAGGGATGCCAATAGGTTTCATCATTTTGAAAGTGGACTATGCTCCTGCCGAGACTCTTGGTGACCAAAATTTGACAAAGCATATGTACATTAATGACCAAGATTATTATCTCATTAGTTTAACATAGCTTCATAAGGTTTGCATATGGTTGATTTCCCGTATCCCACCAAGAAAGACAAGTGAAGTTGGAGTAAATGATCTCTTTTGTTTTGCATTACAGAAGGGAAAGAGAGAGAGAGAGAGACTGCAAGGGAATTGAAAGCAGGAGACCTGAAAAAGGGGAAAAAAGTAAAGGCATAGCAGCATTTAAAAGCAGGAAGCAGAGACCTAGACATGAAGCTAGGGATAGGGATAGAGTCGTCTGACTAGGCTGTTGAGCAGAGAGAGAGACCCTGTAAGCACTCTGAGAGTAAATGTCATCAAGACACTCATCTTTCTTGTGATTATGTTTGCTATTAAACCCACACCTACCAAACCCGTGGATGAATCTTTCATTATATTTGCATCGTGTTTTTAAGAGAATGATGGCTTATTTTGTGGGACAGGAAGAGCGGAAACATAGGAGGGTGGTTAATGCAAAACCTAAAGATGGAGTCAAACTAATGGCGAAAGCTTCTTCAAGGAATACAAAAGAAACGCTCAGATTTATAATAAGGTACGACACTGTGTGTACGTGGGAGAGAGAGATTATAGAAAGAAAGAGATGTATCACAATAAAGGAGTTTATTTAGGGTCACAGGTGGTGGAAATATAGGTATGCAGGGCCGAGGCTCTAATCTCTTCATAGCCCTATTGATTTTGTCTCTTGCTCTCTTAGCTGTATGCATTATGATGCTTCTTTTAATTCATTGTTTCAGGCTTCTTTAATTCGTGGCGTCTCTCTACTTTTTACCCAACCATCTCTTTAATTTTTTTTCCTCAAATGCTCTCTCCTATCTTTCTATATAACCCCTCTTCACACCATATAGCACCATATCTCTATCTCTCTTCTCTCATCTCCTTTCTTTAAGTGTCATGTCTTGTTTGCTTCCTTTGTTGCCATCACGTATGCACTTCCCACTTCTTCACGTTTCCAGCTTCCTTCCTTACTTTCTTCCGTTTCATGAATGATGATTAATTAATCCCTCAAATATGTGAGAAATTCGCACTAGTTTTTTGAAGACAAGTTCACAAGGGAACAAGTGAAGCTGCCAGCATGATCTATCTTTGGTTAAGAGATGAATGTGGAAACATATTGCTTAAACCCAAGCTAGGTCATGCTCTGACAGCCTCACTCCTTCCTGGTCTAGGACCATTCGCTGTTATAACATTCCACATGCCGATTCAAAGGAAGTGAAAGTCCCGAATACACACAGTTGTACTACATGTATCCGCTGTAAGTGTTACTCTTTGCTTTGTCTCCCTCTCCTCTTTATATTCTCATGTTTTGGAGCTATAAATCTATCATCATGTTTTAGTGTTTCAAACAGAACTTAATCTGTGCAAAGCCAAGCTTTTAAGAAAAAGGAAAACTGTACAAAACCAGAACGTTGTCTCTTTCCAGTATTCACACAAACATTACAAGACAAGCAATACTTTATTTCAAGGCAAAACTTCTAGCATGCTTAGTTAGCTTTGAAATGTATAAACAGTGTAATTTACCCTAGCGATTTTTCAGTATATAGAAAAATTAAAGTTAAGCTTACTATCCACCACCAACGGGTAACTCTCACAATTGTTTTTCCTCAAGGTATCAACAAATCTTCCTATACGAAAACTGGTAATGTCGTTTTATGTTTCTATACAGGTGACTGGAAAGCCACCTTGTTGCAGCAGTTTGAAGTCAGTGACCCTAACCTTGTTGTGTGATCAAACACACTAAATTTCCCCTTTATGGATTTGAATATTTTGATCGTTCAGAGGGATCTGGAAACTGCTTTACTCTGTGCTCTTGATCACCAATTATCTAGCCATCTGTTGCGGTGTAGGCTGCTCAAGGTCTCTTGTGCGTTGAGCTTCTTGAACCCTTAAATAAAGATCTTGGATTCTTAAAGTAGTTGAGGAAGGGTGTCTCAGAAACAGGTATGAATTTTGTGAAAAAGCCGATGGGCCATGAAAGAGATGCAATGGCAATGCAAGTCCCCCATTGCCACCCATTAAGCCTTACTGTATCCGCAAACTTCTTTAGGAACTCCACCATTATGACTTGAAGCACGATGGTGATGGCTATGATTCCAATGAACAACCTGTTTCTGTGAATTCCTTTTAACACATTTTTCTTCTCCATCTCCCTTGCGTTGAATTCGTTGAAAACTTGGCACAGCACGAACGTGTTAAAGATGAGTGTGTCCTTCACTTCCTTGCGCACGTTGAAGATAGACAAACCCTTGAACTGTAAGATCAAGAGTACGGCTATTTGATATAATGACTGAACCAGGAGATTCCTCCACATGACGTTTGTTATCAGGGCCTCTGTTCGGCCAACCGGCTTTCGCTTCAGGAGCTCGTTGGTTGGTCGCTCTGTGGCTAGAGCCAGAGCACCCAGAGTGTCCATGATGAGGTTTACCCACAGCAGTTGAACTGCTGTCAAAGGGACCTCACCAGCTGAGATCGCCGCGATGAAATTGATCACAAGAGCTGCAACGTTCACCGTTAGCTGAAACTGAATGAATTTCTGGATGTTGTTGTAGACACACCTTCCCCATTTTAAGACTGTAGCAACGGATGTGAAGTTATCATCAAGAATGACAATGTCTGAGCTCTCTTTCGCCACTTCCGTGCCCTGGATCCCCATAGAGAGTCCAATATCTGCTTCTTTCAGTGCAGGCGCGTCGTTGGTGCCATCCCCTGTGACGGCTACCACGTGGCCTTTCAGTCTCAGACACTTGACCATTAGAAGCTTGTCCGAGGGAGACGACCGAGCCATCACCCGGATCTTCTCTACTCTCTGCATCCTCTCCTCCTCGGTATAGTTTCTGAACTGAACACCTTCTACAACAGCCTCCTCTTCATCTTTGTCATTGTGGTCGAGGATTCCGCATTCAAACGCTATCGCTTTTGCAGTGAAAACATTATCTCCCGTTATCATCTTGATGGTGACCCCCGCGAGTTTGCAAGTTGCAACAGCTTGTGAGACACCAGGTCGGCAGGGATCTTTCAGACCCACGATTCCCATCAAGATCAAGTCGTCTTCCTCTAACCCCGACTCGTTTGAGGATCCTTTATGAGCGAATGCTATGCATCTGAGGCTACTGGCCGCCATACCTTGGATTATCGCCTGAATTCTGTTCTTTGCGGTGGAGTCCATCAAGTCAACGGATCCAGTGCTCGTGTAGTAGTGAGAACACATAGCCAGGACCATTTCAGCTGCTCCCTTCCAGTGCACATGAACTGTATTGTCAGACTTTCTCCGAACCAAAACTCCGCTTCGCTTCTTTTCTGAATTGAAGGTTTCAACGCGGAGAACATGGTGTTTTTGCTTCACTGACTCCATATCCATACCCAGGTTTAGCACAGACCAAGACAAAAGAGCCTTCTCTGTTGGACTGCCAGAGAACTCAGGCGTTGGCCCTGAATCTGACACGCAGACACTACCAGTAGTGTTCAGACCAGTGCCTTGGTAAAGCAGATCGAGAACGTCAGATGAGATCATTTTGGTAGAGTCTTCATGGATTGACTCTTGGCCAAGCCAAAACTTTGTTACCTTCATCTCGTTCAATGTCAAAGTGCCTGTTTTGTCTGTGCATATCACTGTCGCTGAGCCCATTGTCTCACACGCCGAGAGCTTTCTGACCATAGCTTGATCAGACATCATTCTCTTCATGGAGTAAGCCAGCGTCAGAGTCACAGCCAGGGGCAAGCCTTCCGGGATAGCCACTACGACAATGGTGACCGCAGCTGCCACGATTCGCACTACGGAACTGACGACAGTGTCAACAGGTGTTTTGCTTCCGTTGTATTCTCTTTCACCATCTTTCTGTGTGTTTCCTGTGAAGTAACGGACTAGCAACACTAGCAGGACAAGTGCAGCCACCGTAAGACCAACTTTTCCGATGGTGGAGGTGAGCGTGTCAAGACGGACCTGCAAAGGTGTTCTATCGCCAGAATCTTGGTTTATGGAGCTCATCGTCTGCCCCCACGTCGTGCTCATACCCACAGAGACGACCAGCATCTGAGCAAAGCCGTCGACTATCTTCGTCCCGGAGAACAAGAAGGGGTTATCCTTGTGATCGATTTCAAGATGGTCACTCTCTCCGGTCATGCTAGACTCGTCCACCTGAAGTGAGTGCCCATCCAAGAACAGACCATCAGCCGGAATCTGGTCTCCGATCTTCAAGAAGACAACGTCACCAACAACAACATCAAATATGGAGATATGTTGACGCCTGCTGTCTCTAAGGACTTCCACTTTGATATTATTGCTTATCTTGGACAGCTTGTGGAACTGTCTCTCCTGCCTGAAATTGCTGAGAGCAGAGACAACTATGACCAAAAAGACTGCTACGAAGATGCTTCCACCTTCATACCAGCCTTCTTTGATGCCGTGTTCTTTAATACCAAAGCCAAGGGATAGAGTGGCGCAGACCAAGAGGATCAAGATGGTTGTGTCCTTGAAAGCTTCATAGACAAAGAAGAGAAGTCCTTTAGGCGGTGGCTTGTGGTAGGTGTTAGAGCCAAAGAGGTCACGGCGTCTACTGACCTCTTGCTCATTCCCGTGGATTCCTTTGGTGGCGTTTGTCCTAAGGGAAGCGGCGACACCCTCCACGCCACCTAAGGCTCGGATGCCCGGTAAGTCCTTAATCTTCATAATCTCAACAAGTCGTTCCTGATCGATAGCAGGAACATAAGAGAGAGGCATAGAGTTGTTGTTTGCAACATCACCGGACTCGAGGGCTGTGTAGGAGAGAGAGAAGGAGGCATCAGAGGCTTTGGGATCAATCCTTCCGGGAACTATCTCTTTAACGAGAGAGAGCATAGCCCTCACGGAGTAGATGGCAGCGTAGGCAATACGCCAACGCCTCTGGGCCTTGTTGAGGCTGGTGGTGGTAAGGTTGAGCAACAGAGAACTGTAATCACTTCCCTTGAAGTCTCTCATGGTTCGTGTGTAGAAAGAAAGAACGAGATGAAAGAGTTTTCCTTTTTGTTTTTTTTTTAGGGGAAGAAATGAATCTAAAGGCTTGGCTCTCTCTGTATCTCTCTCTCTCTCTCTATTTCCTATATATGTGTTGTGACTTGTAAGACACTCAAGACTCACAAGGAATGATTCACCTCTTTCCCTTCGTGCTACGATTTAAATCCTTATTGGCAGCCGCCATTTAATTACTAAAAAACTTTATAAAGTAACATTAAGTTTTAATCTTTTTTCTCAGGCGGTGGAATCACGAAGGCATGAATTTCGATCAAATAACATGGGCAGCAGCACATCCTTTTTGTACTTAATTTGTGTTTGACTAGTTATCGTATTGGCTTTGGTTGCGAACCATTGTGCTCATGAAAGTAAAAAGAGAGAGTTAGTTAATCGTAGTTTTATTAAAGCAGTCGTAACTCGTAAGTAGGTAGGATCTGATAATATTATCTGATGCGTGTGTGAACAAAGCCGTCATTGTAGAATGAATTGAGGCATAACGTGCGTGTACCAACTTGCTCAATGCCTTAGTCCGTAAGGACAAAATATGAAGAAATGGCCTCTTCTCGATTAGTGATATATACAGTATACCGTTTTAGCAAAGAAGATTAAACCTTTTGAAACTTCCACAATCCACAGCAACTTGTTTGCAAACTATCTATCTATCTAGCAAGTGAATCTACACTTGATGATGAATAATGAATCAAAACAAAGTTTCTCCTACTTTTCCACACAAAACCCATTTTTCCTCTCATGTAAATGGATATTTAAATAGAGGAGCGTGTGAGAATCGTGTAGGACAAAGCTATCATCGGTTGTAATTGTCTTCAAGACGAAACTTCGTAGCAGTTTCCAGTTTCCTTGTCAAGAAATGGAAGCCTGTGACGACACCGAGACTGACATGAATAAGTTGACTTTTGTAATTAAGTTGACCTCTCCACCAACTCTAAATCTAAATCTAGATGTAGACGTGAGCAGTAATCGCATAAGAGATAAGCGTAAGAGGATTGTTGGCTCAGCATTCAACAGATTCTTATATGATGTAAGCGCAAAGAAACTGCGCATAAGATATCAAAGTTTGCAGTTTACACAAAGTTGATAAAAGCAGCTGCTCACAGGCATACATTTCAATTTCATCATGTGGATTTAGAAAACAAAGAGACTTTGCATTTTGCATGAATATTGGACCGCAATCCTACACATGTACATGAAGTAAAAAAAAAAAAGTGCAAATTTGACCAGAAACCATCCAAGCTTAGCATATCCAACAAAATCCCAACAATGAATGAGAGAATGGACTGAGACTGACTGACCATATATGAATGATGAATGATGTAGTTATCAACTTGAAGATTTCTTGGGTAGAAGATCCCTGGCTCTGCAGTTGGTCCACGTGCTGTCCTCTGGCATTGACGCTAGCGACACCGCGACTCGGGCGTCTAACAACGCAGCAGAGCACTTGTCTTGGGCGAATCCGGCGCACTTGTCCTTGGCGGCAACACAACATTCCTTGAACTCCCGCTCCTCGCACTTTTCTCTTTCTCTCATGTCACCGGAGCCCCGCCACCGCCACCACGGCGGCTTACAGTTGTTGGATGCGGAGACGGCGCACCCGATTCTGGCACCTTCCTCGCACTGCTCCTTAAGCAGGGTTTCGCAACGCTTGAAAGCGGCTGCCCATGAATCCATGGATCGGAAGGCTAGAACAAATTCCGAGCCACCGGCGGGAATCGGTCCCCGGAGCAACGGGATCGGACGGTCGAACACAACGGTGGTCGTTGACGCTGAGTAATCATCATCTTCCATTTCTCTTCGGAGGCCCATCAGGCCTTGACCCGAGACGACCTAAATTAATATTGTATCTACTTCCTTTCTGTTCGACACGTGTCGACCCTTGTGACCGTAGATCACCCACCGTTGTTGGTAAATAACTGTACACGTGAATGCACTGGATTCTTATTAAGCACTCTTTCCTTGCCAAAGCGGCGCTCTCGAGTGTCGTCGGCAATCTTCATCTTCATCTTCTTCCTCATCCTCCGCTCTTATAGGATATAGCCGTCCGTAAGGTATATCCGACCCCCCTGATTCCTTATAGGCTTTGTTGTTTTTCTTCTTAATAGATTACGATGCCTTGCTTCACCTCCAGATTCGAAAAAACCGACTCATATGTGGAATTTGAAGTTTGTATTGATGTTATCGGAATCAGCTCAGCTCGTGTTTCTCGACTACTCTATTTTTTTTCTTTATTTTGGTGGGGTTTAGGGTTTATAGTGATAAATTTTGATAGATCTCGTATTTCAACTTTAATTCTGTGTTTAGATCAAACCTGGGATTGTATTGGTAGGCTGGGTAAGTGCAATCAAGCTGCTTGCAATTGCATACGTTCTAAATTTCTTGTATTACGAGTGCTTATTGTACTCTTATTAGTGTTTTGAGTTTTGAGTGAGGCCATAAACCATTCTTCGCTCTTGTTAGTTGTTAGTTGTTACTCGTATTATGACATCTTTAACCTCTCCCTGTGTCCCTTGCTTAGGCTTAGCAATGGCTAAGAAAAAGAATCCCACTGTATTCTTGGATGTCTCAGTTGGCGGGGATCCCGTTGAACGGATTGTCATTGAGGTATTACGTTGATTTAGCCTCCTTTTTTCGGTTTCCTCTTTTCTTTTCCTTTTCGACTCTTTTAAGCGTTTTCTTTTGTCTCCTGTCTGTCAATGGCAGCTTTTTGCTCATGTTGTTCCCAAGACATCCGAAAATTTCCGTGCCCTCTGCACAGGTACCTTAAGCTTTCTCCCTACATTTATCATTCAACTTTATAGATTGTTTTGGACCATAGCATCAGTGATCTCGTACAACAAGTTATTTGTTAAGTCTTGTGTGGTAAGAATATCAACATGAAAGATAATGGGTTTCACATTTCCTTCTTCTCATGTTTTACCTGCTGCAGGTGAGGCGGGCGTTGGAAAGACCACTGGCAAACCTCTACATTTCAAAGGAACATCTTTCCATCGCATTATTAAAGGATTCATGGCACAGGTATCTATGCATTCCACTTGTCTTCGTCTTTTGTTTTTTTTTTTCTGGGCTTTCAATTCCTTCCCAATGCTCTAAAACTTATAGTTTGTTCTCTATCATTTGATGGAAAACGAATTCTTTATTCATAAGTGCTTCTCTTTTCTTTTTTTTTGCAGGGTGGTGATTTTTCGAATGGAAATGGTATTCTTCGAACCTGTAATCATTTATACTTGGAATCGTTTTGTTGTTGTTGCAAACATGTTACGTATTTTCCAAACCGTGTAAAAATCTTGGCACCTCATTATGCACTATTTGATGTCATATATTTTCCGTGATGTATACCTTAAAGTCGTAGTGTCGATCTAAATAGTAAATAGTGCATAGTACATAGTTAACACACAAGTTTAAGGAATTGGTACAATGAGCTAAGTTTATGATGCGCTTGTAGAGATACTTGTGGAATGCTATTACTCCATGTACTCAGCTACCCTTATAACAATGCCCAGATTTTTAAGGACTTTGGCTGGTTTGCACTTGCAGGCACTGGTGGGGAGAGCATCTATGGTGGCAAGTTTTCAGGTATAATTTTTCTTTTGCTCTATTTTCAGCTTTGTAGACTATAATTTGTTTTCTCAATAGATCTTGTTTTCCTCGTAGATGAGAATTTTAAACTGGACCATGATGGAGCTGGAGTCCTCTCAATGGCAAATTGTGGCCCAAACACCAACGGGTCCCAATTTTTTATACTTTTTAAACGGCAGCCACATCTTGATGGGTAATCTCTCTGCTCCTAGATTTGTTCGTTTCGGGAAATTAGAGCAGTCAGAAAGATTATTGCATTGTCAAGGCTCCTGATTTTCCTCAATCATACTGCAGGAAGCATGTTGTATTTGGGAAAGTAGTGAAGGGATTGGAAGTAGTTAAGAAAATGGAACTTGTGGGGACGAGTAATGAGAAACCTACCAGCCCTGTGAGGATAATAGACTGTGGCGAAATGTCTCAGATAAAAGCTCAGGATGCTACCGAAAAGGAGAAAGGTAATGAAGTTAATTTTTGGATGTGGAAATTGCTAGATTTATGATGTGGTTACATTGTTGTGTTTTCAGGAAACTCGAAAAAACCAAGCATTGGCCTTCCTTCCGGTGACATATCTGATCGTGAAGCTAGAGGGACACGTAGGAAAGAATCCAAGGAGAAGAGGATAAAGCGAAGAAGAAGATACTCTTCGTCAGATTCATATAGCTCAAGTTCTGAGTCAGAGTCAGATTCTGAATCAGACACAAATTCATCCTCCTCTAGTTCTTCCAGTGATGGGAAGCGTAGGAAGAGGAGGTCAACAAAGAGCCGCAAAGGCCGACGCGGGGAAAGAAAGATAAAAGGACGAAATGGGAAAAAGAAACCTCGGCGCAGGTCTGACTATTATTAGTTCATAGTAACTTAATGTAATCGTTACCAGTTGTTTTGCTTGATCTAATTAGTGTTTCCTTACAGAAACACGGACAGTTCAAGTGACACCGAGCGTAGCAGTTCTGATGACGACAGAGTGGGCCACAATAAGGCCAGAAAGTCAAAGAAAGCTAAAGGTAAGCGTACCTGTTACGGATCTTGATTAGTCCAACCTATTCATGGCAACTATTCGATATTGCACGTTATGAGAATCATATTCACAGATGGTGGAAAACTTTCTACAACTGTGCCTGTAGGGAATGCTGCTGATTCTAGTCCCGCAGAGAGGAACTTTCGAAGAGAGGAACCAGATTCTCTCCTCAAGGACGATGAAGCCGTAGGTAATGGAAAGGCCACCAAAGCTGATAACGCTGATCAACTTGCCGACTCACTGAAATCCAGGTTTATCCCCTTTTTCTTTTATGTATTCCATCATTCATCTCTGCTTCTGCATTTTGGTGCTCCTTGAGCTTGACAAACTTTGCCTTTTTTTTTGTATTTGCTAAACAGGAGTATGAGCCCAGTTCCTAGTAGGAGCCCTGTTAAGGATTTTGGAAATGGAAGCTCAAGTCCTCGCGAGAAGCTTGCGGAGAAAGCTGTGAGGAAATCTTCCAGAAGCCCATCTCCAGATGGTGCACCCAAGCGCATCCGGAAGGGGCGTGGATTCACAGAACGCTATTCCTTTGCTCGCAAGTACCGCACGCCTTCTCCTGAGCGTTCGCCTCCTCGACACTGGCCGGACAGAAGAAGCTTTCAGGACAGGAACAGGGATAGGTAACTGACTTAAATCTATACATATACATAGTCACAACAAAGTCGAGATAGTACTAAAGCCTTGTTTTGTTTGAATTGTTGGATAGGTATCCAAGCAACAGGAGTTACTCTGGACGCAGAAGCCCACCCAGAAGAAGGAGCCCTTCAAGGTTCGCTCTCTTTCGCGCTTTTAGACTGATTCTGGCTTAGGGATATAATTTGTGAAGAGCACCTAGAGCCACTTAAATAATTTTGTCTTGCATAGGTACAACAGGAGGAGAAGGAGCACTTCTCGGAGTCCAGATGCGTACCGCAGACGTTTCAGAGATAGAAGCAGGAGCCAAAGTCCAAGGCATCGAAGCCCTAGAACGAGGCAGCCAATTAGCCAAGACCTTAAATCTCGTCTGGGGCCACCACACAGGTCTCCCATCAAGTCTCCTGCAGAATCACTCAGCCCTTGTCCCTCAATCTCTCCATCCGGACAGAGAGGTCTGGTTAGCTATGCAGATTGATCACTCATCCAGAAGAGATTTTCTTGTAATTTGCCTGTTTTAGTACAAGCAATCGGTAATGATATTTTGTTGGGACACGAGAGTTCTCTCTACCTATGTAGTAGACTACAATATTTTTTGCAGAATTGAGTTTCTCGACATGGAATCAAGTAATACATGTTGGTGTATTCATAGATACTGGACGGGATTACAATCATACATTACATTGGGACTACAATCATACATAACATTGTTTCATGTCCTAGATGATGCGAGTTGACTTGAGCAGATCAGATGGGTTGATCCTTGGGAACGATCGTATCCTTGATCCACATGTAGATTGGGATTACCAAGTACCAGGCAGCGGCTAGGGTTCCCAAGAGGAAGCAGCGATTGTTCACAGGCTTCTCTGCATCCTCTTCCTTTGGACCAATCTGCATTTGCATTTCAACGAGGTGAGGAGTTTGCAAAATAATTGGTGAAAAGGGTGTTGAATTTAGCGAACTATGTTTCCATGTGTTAATTGACTAATTGTACTCAATTTAGAAAAATCAACAATACCTTGAAGAATAACATGTGCAATTAGCAATTGGTAATAAAACGTGCAAAAGTTGGTAAAATTTGAAAAATAAAATGAGCTTTTCCCATTTAAATCTGTGGGTTTTGGTGGTCATGGTCAAAGTTGTGTCCTTAACGGTCCCTTTCAGCAGCTCAAGTATAAAAAAGGACGCCTGAATTTGATAATCACAGCATTCTCTTCCGTATAAAGATCCATCTTTGTACCTTTTCCAACAGTTAAATCACAGTGCTTGGCCACCCTCGAACATGGACGGTGCTGGAGAATCACGAATCGGCGGTGGTGGTGATGGTTCTGTTGGAGTAGAGAACCCACAAACCCGGAACGTGTATCTCAAGTTAGGTTACCATTACATAATCTCAAATCTCTTGACTTTGTGTTTACTCCCTCTCGTCGTTGTTATCTCCGTGGAAGCATCTCAGATGAATCAAGACGATCTCCGCCAACTCTGGAACCATGTCCAATACAATCTGGTTAGTATAATCATCTGTTCGGCGATTCTAGTCTCCGGCTTCACGGTCTATGTCATGAGCCGAGCCAGAGCCGTGTACATGGTGGATTTCTCGTGTTACCTCCCACCTGATCACCTCAAATGTCCTTCCACTGCATTCATGGCACAGTCTAGACTCGTCGGATGTTTCGACGACTCTGCTCTCGAGTTTCAACGCATGATCTTCGAACGCTCTGGTTTAGGAGAAGAGACTTATCTCCCTGAAGCAATGATTTGTGTTCCACCAAGAATCTCAATGGCTGCTGCTAGAGAAGAAGCTGAGCAAGTCATGTTCGGGGCTTTAGATAACCTTTTCGCAAACACAAACGTGGATCCAAAGGATGTTGGGATCCTCGTAGTGAACTGTAGTATCTTTTGCCCGACGCCTTCGTTATCCGCAATGATTGTGAACAAGTACAAGCTTACAAGTAACATCAGGAGCTTCAACCTCGGCGGAATGGGTTGCAGCGCCGGAGTTATCGGGGTGGATCTTGCCAAAGACATGTTGTTGCTGCATAGGAACACTTACGCAGTTGTTGTCTCAGCAGAGAACATTACTCTCAATTGGTATCTTGGTACCAACAAGTCCATGCTGGTACCGAATTGCTTGTTTCGAGTTGGTGGCGCTGCGGTTTTGCTATCCAACAAGTCTGGGGACAAGAGACGGGCTAAGTACAGGCTTGTGCATGTCGTCAGGACTCACCGTGGAGCGGACGACAAAGCTTTCCGTTGCGCTTATCAACAGGAGGATGACACCGGAAGAAAGGGGGTTTTCTTGTCGAAAGATCTAATGGCGTTTGCAGCGGAAACTCTCAAAACCAATTTCACTACCTTGGGTCCTCTTGTTCTTCCCGTAAGTGAGCAGATTCTCTTCTTTATGAAAAAGCTTTTTAATGGTAAGGTTGAACCGTATATTCCCGACTCCAAACATGCTTTCGAGCATTTCTGTATCCATGCTGGTGGAAGAGCTGTGATCGATGAGATAGAAAAGAATCTCCAGCTTTCTCCGGTTCATGCGGAGCCTTCGAGGATGACTCTTCATAGATTTGGGAACACGTCTTCGAGCTCCATTTGGTACGAGTTGGCTTACATTGAGGCCAAAGGAAGGATGCGAAGAGGCAATCGCGTTTGGCAAATTGGGTTTGGGAGTGGATTTAAATGCAATACCGCTGTTTGGGAAGCATTAAGGAATGTGAAGCCTTCGAACAACGGTCCTTGGGAAGATTGTATTGACAAGTACCCGGTGACGTTAAGTTACTAGCGGAACTTGGAGACTCATCATCCATGCTTGTTTCTGTTATTTTAATTATGTTTGGGAGATTTGAGTTACATTTTCTTGAGCTCATGCATGTATTCAGATCTTACTTGTGTAATGAAGATAAATAAATAATGAAATGATGTATAGCTAGCTCTTGAACTAGATTTGCCACATTTTTAGATGATGACAACAAAGTCATCATTTATGGTAAGTGGTAACTATAGATCACTTTCTTCAAACCATAAATGTTGACTTTGTTGTGATCATCTAAAAATGTTTTCAAGGGTCTACCTTGGTTGCTTTACAGATTTGTGGAACATTTATAAAAGTTCAGACAAGATATTTTGGTAGAGTTGAGTTTGAGCTGAAAAAAAGTGGCATAGGCTTGTAGACATGAAATGTGGTTTATCATAGATAAGGAAAAAACGGTTCTCGGTTATACAAAAACATACATTGTTTCACGTCCTAGAAGAAAAGCAATCAGATGGGTTGATCTTTGGGAACGATCTGATCCTTGATCCACATGTAGATTGGGATGAACACGAACCAGGCAGCGGCTAGGGTTCCCAAGAGGAAGCGTCCCAAGAAGGCGAAGGGGTTGTTCACAGGCTTCTCCACATCCTCTTCCTTTGGACCAATCTGAGCATTTGCATTTGCATTTCAATGAGGTGAGATGGAAAAAGCTGTCAAGTAGATAGATAGATAGATGAGAAGGGAGGGAAGAGGAAAGCAAACCTGGAGAGGAGAGTCACCGGAGGCAGGTTTGACACCGGTGACGGAGCAACCCATGATGAGACCGTGCCGGCGGACACCACGGTACCACTTGGGGCCGATCCGCTTGAGCTGGACGTCCTTGAAACCAGCTTTGGTGAACCAATCAATGTACTCTTCCTCCTTGGGGAAAAGCATCCAAACATCAGCAAAGAAGCGAGAGAGCCAGAAGGTTGGGTAGACAGGGCCAATGAGGCATGCTTTCCCACCGATCTTGAGCACTCTGTACGCTTCCCTTATCCCTCTCTGAGGGTCTGGCCAGTACTCAATGCTGTGGAAATGTGTCCAACACAATACAATTAAGGACCAAGAAGAAAGCCAACCAAAGCAATCATGTATAGTCTATAGTCTCTACAATCTAATTCGACTAGTCTTTTTACCTTCCAGCAGAGACGTATCTGTCGGCGTAATCAGTGGGAAAAGGGAGATCCTCAGCGTCTCCTTCCACGAACTTGCACTCCTTCAACGGCTCCTTCTGCTTCGCCTTGGCCAGCTGATGCGGCGACTGGTCCAGGATGGTCACATTCTTAGCGTTGACTGTCTTGACGATGCCCAGGGTAGTGAATCCGGTTCCGCCGCCGACATCGACCACGCGCATGTCCGGATGGCTGAGATCCGCCGGCTCGAGAGCGTCGTCCCTCATATCCTCCGTCCAGTGGCCCGGATTGATGATGTGGTCGTAAACGATGGATAAGAACCTGTAGAACCAGTAAGCCTCCTTTTTGTGCTGGATGAACCTAGGTTGCGCCGATGGCCGTGACGCCGACACGCTGCATCTGGTTGCCACCGAGAGCCTCGGCGACGGCATCGCCCTAGTAGTAGTTGGGGACACGGAGACCAAATTGGGGCGATGAATTGATCTATTGAAACCAGGAAGCCCGAGCCCCTTGGGGCAGGTGATGGCCCCGTTGAGCATCATCGCAGAAACCATGGATGACGATTTGGGAAAAAAAAGTCAGTAGAGGAGCTCACAGACACAGACCATAGAAGAAATCAGAAATACAGAGAGAGAGCTCCGAGAGTGATGAGTTGACTCACAGCCACATACTTATTTTCCGGGAAATTATTTGCTACTTATTTTTCAACATCATTTGTGATACGGTCCATGGGCCTAATATTATTGGGCTCCTCGTCACTTGTGGAGAAAAGAGGATTTTTCTGGAAATGGAAGGGAAAAGTGAAGTCGATTAGAGTCAGAGTCAGAGCGTGAGAGAGAGAGAGACTTGGGAAAATTCAAAGCTTCTTTTCGAGCTGACGGTGTCAGATCTGCGAGAGTAGGATGCGAGTCGGTGATAATCGGTAATCGAGAGCAAAGTATCACTGCGCGGAGATGGAGGAAACGGCGGAGCAGGAGGCTGTTTCTCTCGGTGGGGGGAAGCACAGGATCCTTGCAGAGCTTGGTCGCGTCCAACAGGAAGTCACATTCTTGGAGGTAACTCCTAACATCGACTCGACTCTCTGACTCTGACTCTTTTTTTCTCCTTGAGAGCAACTATCCATGATAACTAGAATTTGCGATGCGAATATATATCTTTGAGAATTGAGATCTGATCAAATTAGTAAAAAAGAGAGTGGGTACGATTACGAATGTTCCGTTGATAATTCGTTACCTGCTTTGTGGTACACTTGTTATACTATTGTAGTCTGCTTTATTCTTCTAATTCCTCAAAGTTGATGGCTGTTTCTTTAGAACCATTTCATTAATTCTCTGCTTATGTAGAGAATACTTAATCACACTAGCCTGAGCCAGCAGTGTCCATTTCTTCCTAGTGTTATTAAACTAGCTTCCTTGTTTATTTCATCTACTCTTACTCTCTCCAGACAGAGTTGGAAGAGCTCGAGCAGACTGATAATGTATCCTCCGTGTGTGACGAGTAAGTAACCGAAACTCATCCTATGTTTGTTTCCCTTTACAATTATATTATATGACTTCTTGTACCAGTTTTAGTCATGAAATAACAAGTGGTTTCCCTCTGTGCTGTGCTGAGTCGTGAGTGATCAAACTGTATCTTGTCTTGCTTCACACTTCACAGGCTGCTCCGTGTCATCGAGAAAGCACCGGACCCTCTGTTGCCACTGTGAGTGCTCTGCTCTTACCCCTAGAATCTCTCGTCTGGTGTTCCTTTGGACTTGGACTCTGACTCAGTAGTAACTAATTGGATGTTGTGGGGCTCTGGTTATTTGGCAGAACCACTGGACCTTTGAACTTATTATGGGACCGGTGGTTTGAAGGACCTAATGGAGGAGAAGGCTGCAGATGCTTTATACTTTGATTCGGGAGACTAATCTTAACACTATTACTATACATCGGTTTTAAAAAAAAAAAGATGCAACTATAGCAGTTTCAACATGTGTGACTATGACCCTCCCAAATATAAAAACCGTACGTACATATGAGCATTGGATTAAATAGAGTGGTTTATAGTTGCATGTATGTAACAGTAGATGTATCTGTATATGTATATGTATGTATGAGAACCGAATCTGACATCCGAGCAATGGCATTTGGGATTCCTGTTTCTGAATCTCGTTTTAAATAAGATGGGATATTTCTTACTTGAGCAGGTGGGCAGCTCTTGAAGACCATTAAGTGTGTCTCCCTTTTTCTTTTCCAACTTTTGTCCCCATGAGATTCTTCATTTCCTACACTAATTCCGAGGCTTCAAAATACTCTCACGCCCATTTTTACATGTATGATGATTGTTGTAGATAATGGAAATCCAGAGCACATGCATCCTCCCCTCCCTTTCTTTATGTCTTTACAGGCAATTTTACATGTAGGTGTCTGTAAAAGTATAACCTCCTTCGGGTCTTTTTCTCTCAGAATTATTGCAAAACAGTGACATTTTTACTGAGAATGAATCATAGAGTGTTGTAGGATGCTTACTCTGCTAGGTAGTGACAGTGTCATATATGTTGTTTATTCGATATAGCCACAGGTTGTTTTAGATACCATTTTTCAGCATTCCCTAAATATACCTCGACTAATCGCTATGTTGAATAAACAAATAATACTTATGTTGTGTATATAAATATATTACCCTCAAATCTGACAATGTGGCTTTTTCTGACAACTTTGAATATCTGTCATCTACTCTTATTGGTCAAAATCAGAGTTGATGATAACTTCAATATAATGATGACCTCATTTTTGAGTTCCTTGATAAAAATAATAACAACAAAAAAAAACTGGTGAAGTTTATAATGTGATTTGGAGCCGAATTAAGTTGGATCGTTTTATGGCACGCAGAAAGGAGAAAGAAACACAAATTGGGGGAGATTAGAATAATAATTGAGGAGGAGCCGGAAGAAGCACGTTACAAAATCTGCATCTCTGGTCAGATGAGCACAGTGCACAAATATGAATATGAATATTGATTATATAGCAGAGCTTCGATACTGATTAGCTCGTGATGAAACCAAAACATTGAAACATGCATTATAGCCTCACTCACATAGTCACATGCTTACATTACATCCTCGCTTAACGCCAAAACCCTTCCCTTTTCTCATTTTTTTTTTCTTTCTTTCCAGTATTCAGTAATTAATTGATAAATGACTAGGATTAGTAAGATAGCCGTTGTCTCTGAACTTGTAAATTTCGAGTAAAGTGGTCCGTATAATGAAACTCATAGAACCATGTCGTCCCTACAATACATAATAGTATAATACTACATGTATGATGTGTCTTCACATTCACGTTTTCCTATGCAAATTATTTATAAATAAACAATGCAGACGCAGTAGTTACTTACATCTGAACGCAGCCAATACTAGTCGAATCGCATATGTTGGGTGTCAACCGCAACCGCAACCGTATCAGTTGCGGGATTTCTTCTTCTTGTCTAAATCTCTCTAGTCTCTACCAAACTCCAAAGCTGCGTGCGTGCCTTGGGAATAGAGTTAACGGTCATACGTATGCATTCCACGTGTCAGCTTCGAAAATGCCACGTCGATGTCGGTCAACAGTGGGGTCCGTACGTTCTCCCATTCCCATTGGCCCTTTCTCTCCTCAGCTTCCGTTCCTTATGTTACACCTGGCTGTGGCATTTTACTCCTTCGAAATCTCATAAATGATGTTTGACTACAAAACTACTGATTGATTAAATAAACTAAACAAATTAAGTACAGATAAGTACACATTACTACTACATTACTACTAACTACTACTAGAAGAGATGGAGCTATACTTTTCTTTTTAACAGTATTTCTAAGGAAATTGAATGTTTTTTTTATATGTATATGAGTTAATTAATAATAGCAAAACACGTTGGATGAGGATAAAAGTGGAACGACGGTGTGGAGGAAGAAGAGTCATACTCTGTAATTTGGTCCTTTAAATTAAAGAAGCCGAAAAGCGGGAGAGTAAAGAGAGCAACAGTAATACTATTAAGAAGAAGAAAGAAGAAGAAGAAGAAGAAGGGAGAATGTAAGAATGGAGACAACGACGATGAAAGAGCAAGCTCTGGAGAAGCAAATCGGCGGTTGCATGTCCGGCTTCTTCAACATCTTTGATCGTCCTCATCTTCTCTCCCCGAAACGCTTTGCCTTGCCCAAACGTCTCTCTTCTTCCTCCTCCTCCTCCTCTCCGCTAACTGCTGAATCTCGACCTGCCTGCTCCCCCTTGGATTCAGGGATCCAGAAACAGCAGAGTGTGTATTCTACCCCAGAGCTCCGGTCTCCGGCGCCGGATCAGAAACTGTCGAGATCGCCGCTCACTCTTCCAGTCATGGAGTTGAAGCAAGGATCTCCAAAGTCACCCTGGAGGTTCTCGAAAGAAGCTCCTCGGCTATCGCTGGATAGCAGAGCCGTGGTGGATGCCAAGGGAAGCCTCAAGCCGAGACAGATCCGCACGGAGGGAGGCTCACCAAGCGTGATCGCACGGCTGATGGGATTGGAGGCATTGCCCGCTGCAGATTCCCAACAGCCTCTCCAGAGATCTGCATCCGAGTCGAGAGTCAGCAGAGATTACCGATTCGTCGACACCTTGAGCTTTCGGGAAGAAGAAGGCCCGGCGGAGGCGGAGTTCCAGGTCAGGAGCGGCAGATCAAAGCCAGCGAGAGCTCCACCCCCGCAGAAACAACTTGTCCGGCCAAAGAGTTTTTTCGATTCCGCGGATTTCTTCCCGGAGCCCAGACGGTGTGGAGGTACCAAAATGAGTCCTCCGAGCGATCTGGAAACCCTGAAGCAACTTCTGGAAGCTCTTAGGCTCAAAGGACTGCTGCACTCTTCATACAGCGGAAGGAATCTGGTCCATGAATCTCCGATCAAAGCAGCTAGGCCTACCTTTGGGATCAGATCTGGAGCCGGAGAATCGCCGTCAAGAGCAAGACGGAGGAGAAGTGAAAATAGCGTCAAGAGTCCTGATAGGAGACCATCACGGAGAGTCTGTCCTCCTGAGGAAGAGGTGAAATAAATAAAAAACCGTTTCTAAAACGGAAACGAGAGAGAGAGAGAGAGAGAGATGTGAGGTTGCTAAAAGCGGATTTGATTGTGCAGATGTGGAGGCTGGATGAGTATAACAGTAACAGACAAGGGAAAACTCTACTGGAGAGGTGCGACAAGCTTCTCAACAGCATAGCCGAGATGGCGGCGGAGGGTGAGGCCGGAGAGTCGCAACCGAGTCCCGTCTCCGTTCTTGACGCCTCACTTTACCACGAGGAGTCTTCTCCATCGCCGGTCATGAAACGCAGCCTCGATTTCACAGGTACTCTCTCGTCTCTTTATTTGTCGACAGAATCCTGGGGTGGCTCGTTGGTCTCAGACGAATATGTATACATCTCCGACATCCTCCGAGCCTCCGATTGCATAGCACAAGAGTCGGACATGTTCTCGCTGCTGGAAAAGCAGCAATACCGGTACCGCAACTTATCAGCTGAGGAGAGACGGCTCATCTTCGACGCGGTGGAAGAGATAGTGGGGCGGAGGAGGAGGTTGCCGCCGTGGAGAATGGTGGGAGAGGCTGATGAGAATAAGATGGAGGTGATCTGGTCCGAGTTCCAGAAGATGAGAAAGAAAAGGTCGTCGGCGGAGGAGGAGGAGGACCTTGTTGGATACGTGTGCGGGGTCCTGGGAAGAGATCTATCAGAGGACCGGTGGCGAGAGTGTCAGGTGGACATGTCAGATGCGGTGCTTGACATCGAACGGCTCGTATTCAAAGATCTTATCGGTGAAACCATAAGCCATCTGGCTGCTCTTAACAGGTCCCACTCCCACTCGCTGCGTAGGAGGCTGCTCTTCTGATACCAAATAAATCTCTGACGAAATTACGTGAGAGCGCGATGGGTCTCCGTTTGTGGCTTTATTTTTGTACCATCAATTGAAACGTGTGAAAGCTAATGAAGATATTGGATCTTGGATTTTGTGTACTTGCCACTCTTGCCTAAATGTTTGCCAGTAGTACAATTAACCACCATCTCTTAATTTCCTAATCAAACTTGTTTAGTCGTATCGTATTCGTATCATATGCGTGGGCCGCTAATTTTTCTCTTGTTCTGTTACCAGTAAACACTGCCACTCTTACCAGACTTTCCAATTGTTCTGGGCTTCAATTGGACCGATAGTTCCCAAATTTATCTACTTCAATGGGCTTTATGAGTGGCCCATTGAGACCCAACAAAGATTTTCCTAAGAGAAACTCCCGAGTGTGACATTGAATTTTGCTTTGTGAGTGGAAGGAGAGTGGAACACAAGAAAAATAAAAAAAATATGCCAAGGCAGAGAGAGAGAGAGTACCAACTACCAATAACAGAATCATAATATCTTATAAGCGGTAAATAATATGTTACGAATTGGGTTTGGGGTGTAGAAAAATGGTAATGGGAAACAAAGGCACGTGAAAGTGGAAGGGAGCACCAATGAGAATTTAAGCTGACAAGTCAGCAGAGGCGTCACAGTCGTGGACCAGTCCACTTCCCACACACCACCACAGTCCACAGCCGTCCCTTCGAACCTTTGGCTGACAAATGTTCAAAGGCATATTATATATATATATATATATATATATATTTGGGACCAAATCTTTGCTTAGGGACAAGCTATGCCCCACGACTCTCTCCCTAGTGCTCTCTGGTCGCTTCTCCTTCTAGAGACCAACCATTTTAGTTCACACCATGCCCACCATCGCACCAGTGAGTTGAGAAGAGCCCAACTTCTTTCTTCTTCACTGTTCAAAACTGGACTGGTCAAACTCTCGAACCCATCACTCTCTCTCTGACCCTACGCCTACACCCGAGATTTCTAATGGGTGCACAATCTTCACTAGGCCACCTTTTGTCCCCAGCCTCTCTCCCTCTTTTCTTTTCTCCATCCTTTATGGTTACTATTAAAATGCTCTGGTTCCTTACACCATTTCCTCCTTCCAAAGAGGATCCCAGTAAAGAGAGAATAATATTATCAAACAAAAACAGTGAGCCCCTCTTTGTTATCCAGCTGCCGGATGTTTAGTAAAAGTACACTAAAACATAATTTAAAACCCAATCTCATAATAATGTCTGATTATGAAAAGAAGAGATGATTCGTTTACTTTTGTCAGCTAGCTGCAATGGAAGGCCTTAAATCAGCAACAGAGAGACTCGCTCATTGGTTGCTTTGCTTTGAGCTGTCACAGCCTCATTTAGTTTTTGCGCTACAAGGATTGTTGGGGTCCCATCATGACTGAAATTGCCTCCTATTTTCCCACAGGGATTGCTTTCCTTCCACGTCTGCTGACCCCCGATCACCATTCTTTTTCTCACAGATGAATCACAAACCAATCCTTTTGCGTTTCATCTGAGTCAAAAGCCTGGAAAAAGAGAGTGGAATACAATCACAGCCTAAAAAGCCAAATACCGTACCTACGACTGCAAAGGGATAAATATGGGATAAGAGGATAAATAAGGAATCCTTCAAATGGTAACTTTCAAAGTTACAAGTGTTGAGGCATGATCTTGTCTGCCTTTTCTTCGAAAAAGCCAAGATTGTGGGTGTAACTGTTATCAAAAGATAAAAAGATTCGTGAGATCTTTCTTTCTTGTGACTTTTTCCTTCAACTAGGCACCTGCTTTATGGCTTCTCTCTGCCAGGAAAGAAAGAGAAAGGCCTCAGCGCTTAAAAGTTATATTTCTAAAGCTATTTATAACCCTTTGTAGACAGTCAGTCCCCATTCGGATTCTCACAACCAAAAAGATTGGTTGCCTCTCGGCCATTCCGAATCACTCTACCTTTTTCCCACCTTTCGATTCAATACTCCATATGAGCTATCTACATGCATGCCTCCTCAGAAAACGGAACATGCTTATAGTAAGAAGTTTCACCGTCTTGCTACTCAGCTGCATAGCCTTTAGGTTAGCTTGCTGCTTCTCCAGCAGCATTTCTTCTCTCAAGGCGCTTCCCTTGGTAGGCCACCTGGAGTTCGAACATGTCCATCACGCCTCCAAAGATTTTGGAAACCGATACCAGTCGCTTCCCTTGGCGGTCTTACATCCCAAATCTGTAAGCGACATCGCCTCAGCCATACGACACATCTGGATGATGGGACCTCATTCAAAGCTTACAGTGGCCGCAAGAGGCTGCGGACATTCCCTCCAAGGCCAAGCACAGACGAGAGACGGAGTTGTTATCCACATGGAATCACTCCAGATCCAGAAGCCGCAGGTGCACAGTGTGGGTGCTCCTACTCCATACGTGGATGTGTCTGGTGGTGAGCTGTGGATAAACATCTTGCACGAGACCCTCAAGTACGGGCTTGCGCCAAAGTCATGGACGGATTACCTTCATTTAACTGTGGGCGGTACTCTGTCCAACGCTGGAATCAGCGGCCAGGCATTCCGACATGGGCCACAGATCAGCAATGTTCATCAACTGGAGATTGTCACAGGTTAGTTCTAAGTTCTAACTAGATGGAAGAATAAAGTCTATATGGTGAGCAGCAAAACCAAACCCGGGAATGTAAATGTGCAGGAAAAGGCGACATCCTAAACTGTTCAGAGAGGCAGAACAGCGACTTGTTTCATGGTGTTCTAGGTGGGTTAGGCCAGTTTGGCATCATAACAAGGGCAAGAATAGCACTGGAGGCAGCACCAACCATGGTAAACAAGAAACTAAGTCCTAAGTCCTTTGAATCGAAAAGGATAATCACAAAATAACTCTGTAATACTAATAATGGACAGGTGAAGTGGATGAGAGTCTTGTACGAGGAATTTTCTGCATTTGCGAGGGACCAAGAGCGTCTAATATCGGGGGATAGCAGCAAATTCGATTACGTGGAAGGGTTCGTGATAATAAACAGGACAGGGCTCCTCAACAGCTGGGGGTTATCCTTCACCGCACAAGACCCTGTACAAGCCAGCCTATTCAAGTCTGATGGCAGGACTCTGTATTGTCTGGAAGTGGCCAAGTACTTTACATTAGAGAGCAAGCATGTGATCACCCAGGTGAGTAGAGTGTAGAGAAAGAATAAGAATATCATCATGGCAACTCGATAAATAATGCTTGATTTGACTTACAAAGCATATTGATGACATTTCTCTTGGAAACAAACATGCAGGAGGTGAAAGCATCACTATCTGAGCTAAGCTACATGTCGTCGACACTGTTTTCGGCGGAGGTGACATACGAAGAATTCTTGGACAGGGTACACGTGTCTGAGATGAAGCTTCGATCGAAAGGGCAATGGGAAGTTCCACATCCATGGATCAATCTCCTTGTTCCAGGAAGCAGAGTCGATGATTTTGCCAAAGGTGTCTTCGGAAACATCCTAACCGATACAAGCAATGGCCCGGTCATCATCTACCCAGTCAACAAATCAAAGTAAGACCAAGTAACAGATACAAACATACTATATATTATATCAGTAATCAGGTGGAGATGGAGGAGCTAATAATAAAAGTATGTGTTTACCCTAAATGGCTAAATCAGGTGGGACAATCGAACGTCAGCAGTAACACCGGAGGAAGAGATATTCTACCTGGTGGCGATCCTGACATCGGCAGTTCCGGGGAAGGATGGAGTGGACCAAATCGTAAAGCGGAACCAAAGAATACTCGACTTCAGTGAAGCAGCAGGTCTGGGGTTGAAGCAATATCTGCCCCACTACACCACAAGACAAGAGTGGAGATCCCATTTCGGTGCCAAGTGGGATGATTTTGTGCGCAGAAAATCCAGGTATGATCCTTTGGGAATGATGGCTCCTGGCCAGCGAATCTTTGAAAAGGCAGTCTCCTACTCATGACCCGCCTCCAATTTAGGGATTTGTACATACTTGGCCGTCGTTGCGTATATGTCTCATATATTCATATCTCCAATTGCTCAATTGCTCCGCCTCACTCTCCCTGTAATCTATTATTTCCACCAAGAAGAAGACGACGACGATGCATTACAATTCCAAATACAATTACTGCTGCGGCCCAATACTTCCGATTTGGGTTGGGCTTATTAATTCTTTCATTTGGGCCAACTAATTATTTGGTGTCCATTGCATCAAATTTTGTATGGACGATGATAAATGACAGATAAACACCACCACACTTTAGAGTTTAGAGGAAGTGGGAAAACGTAAAGAGATGTTTGCTTTCGTACACTTAGTGGGGACAACGTAAAGAGATCTTTTGCACCCCAACACAATCCAATTTCAACACTCCTTTCTTTCTATCTCTTTCCCTGGAGAGTGTTGGATTAACCACTTACGCTTGTGTTCAGATTGTCAGTCATATGCAGAGCCGTGCTCCATGTATTAAAAAAAGTGCATTTGCACTGAGCCCCATAATATATAACTTTAAAGGGGCCTCCAGGTTTAATAAATTTACAGTAGAGTAATGGCTTTGACATCTTATTTGAAACGGCAGAACCTGAGTTCGAATCTAGCTTTACACTTTTTTGTGGTTTTTTTTGTTTTTTGTTTTTTCACAAAGAAAAACGAAATTACAAAACCAAACCGGGTGAAATTAGTTATATTATAAAGGCCCCCATTTTAAAGTTTGCCATGAGACTCATATGTAGAAAGATTTTGAAATATCTTAAATTATGGCCTTATAAATTGAACGCTAACTTATATACCATGATGTGATGAAGCCTTGTGGGTCCCGTTTTTCTGTGCCGGATTGGAATAGAAAAGGAGGAGCTGTGGTTTTTTATATATATATATATATAGTTCCTAACTAATAAGGCTTGGACAATCTGCCTTTGACACGTGGCACTCTCTTTTTTTTTTTTTTTTTTTTCGCCTAACACCAAAACGACGTCGTTTTGGGCTTTATTTTTTTTTTTTTTTTTTCGTCTTACACCAAAACGACGTCGTTTTGCGCTTTATCTTTTTTTTTCGTCTTACACCAAAACGACGTCGTTTTCGTATTAAAAAAAAAAAAAAAATCTAAATCAAAATTATGTGTAATGCTGTTCGTTTTGATGGCTTGATTATTTATCGGACCTCTTCGTTTCCATGGTAGCTTTAAATGGGCTTACTGGCTAATTAGCTCATTTCATTTCCTTTTAAAAAGGATTGCAATTATTATTATCTATGAGTCTGTAGGATAATAATCAATCTATAATGATTGTTAGTATAAGGAAAATTAGAAGAACTCAACTCCAGTCGATAAATTATTGTATAAAAGAACAAAAAACATATGAAACTATTCACTATGAGTCTATATAAGATTTCACGTAAATAACAACTAAATTTTAAAACTATATGAAAAAAAACAAAATGCAAAACTTACAGAATCTAATATATTCGAGTAAAAAACAAATGATATATTCGAATCTAATGTTCTGAATAATTAAATTAAAAATATTTGGTTTAATAAACCCGCGCATTGCGCGGGTTCTCTCCTAGTGATTAAATAATACCGTTGTGAGACGTATACGGTATACCACGTGAGTGATGAAGAAGCGATGAAAAATAGACCGACTGACTCGAGGGAGGGTTCTTAATTAGTGCTTGGGCGCTGTTGCACTTGCCTATTCTCATTCTCATATGTCAATTGTCAACTGTCAACAACTTACTTAGTATATGAAAAGGTAAAGAAAAAGGAGAAAGTGTCAACTTGTTTCCGATTAAAATAAAGGGATGGGATCGTGGTGAAGAGTACAGTGACATTATTGACTCCCAATCTGGATCTGGGCACGTTTATTGTTTCTTGAATCTTGAATTTTGATTCTTGATTCTTCTTTCTTCCTCCAAGATGGCGGAAATGGTGGTGCTGAGTCAGGAAGCGAAGAAGTTGACAGAGGCGTGGGGTTTGGTGATCGTGTCCTTGTGTTATTGTTTCGGCGTTGGGAGATGGGTTGACAAAGGAAGCAAGAGGCTGATTCTGATGACTCCGGTCATGTTCCTTTTCTTATTGGTTCCCCTCCATCTGTCGACCGTGCATCTGATCGGCACCACTGGCTTCTTCATCTCTTGGCTCGCCAATTTCAAGCTCTCTCTCTTGGCCTTTGGCAAGGGCCCTCTCTCCTCCCCAAATCTTGCTCTCCCTGTATTCCTCCTCGTTTCTTGCTTCCCCATCAAAGTCCAAGTCCAGCTTGATGATCCACCGGAAGAAAAGAAGAGCGCAAGAGAGGGCCCTCTCTTCTATGGAGTAAAGGGACTCCTCCTCCTGCTCCTCATCAAATCATTTGATTACAGCCACCTGCTCCCCGAGAAAGCCTTGCTTTTGCTCTACGGCTTCCACATGTATTTCTCTCTAGACCTCATCCTAGCCGTCACCGCCTCCCTGGTCCGGGCCGCGTCCAGCCTCGAGCTCGAGCCTCACTTCAACGAGCCTTACCTGGCCACCTCGCTTCAGGATTTCTGGGGGAAACGATGGAACCTGATGGTCAGTGAGATCCTGCGCCCCACCGTGTACGAACCGGTGCTAAGGTGGTCAGTGTTGCCAAGGAAATGGGCATCGGCTCCTGCGGCGTTTGCCACGTTCGTGGTATCGGGAATAATGCATGAGCTCATCTTCTTCTACATGGGGAGGCTGAGGCCCTCCTGGGGGATGATGTCTTTCTTCCTCCTACACGGAGTCTGCACAATGGCTGAGATCGCACTCAAGAAGGCCGTCAACAGAAGGTGGACACTTGCAACCCCCGTGGCTCGGACTCTCACCCTCCTCTTCGTCTTCGCCACTGGGGTCTTGTTCTTCTTCCCGGAATTTAAGAGGTGCAAGATTGACCAGAAGGCCTTTGCCGAGTACGCTGCGGTAGGCGCGTTTCTCCAACAAGCTGCTCCAAGACTTCGAGGATATGGATACTCCCATTAGGGCGTCTTCTTTTTTTTTACTTTAGTACCAATATTCTGAGAGAGCCCACAGTGTATCATTATTATTACTTCACCTGATTGACGCTACTTTTTTTTTTGCGTCATGTCAAATTTCATGTTTCCATTAAAGGAATATACACATGCTTCTGTTCCTTGGTAAATCAAAACTAAACAGTATTATAAACAGCCTAACGAAAATCGTAGAAAGAGAGTCGAACAAACTTGCCCGGTAAGGTAACATCAAAACACTTGAGAGAGCGTCAATTGTCAAGCAATCTGATGATCTAAACAAAAGTGTAACTGATGCAGAAGATTGGTTCATAAATAAAAGAAAAGTTTGGAGCAGCAACGGCGTTTGAAAAAAGAGAAGCCCAAAAAAGAAAAAGAAAATTAAGAAAGCAGAGGGAGTCTGATACACGCGTCTCTCCTGTGGATTTATAGTTTTGCTGAGAGCCCAGAAAGAAGAAGAACAATCACCGCACATTCTGCCTGGCCTTGATCATCCGCTTTAGTGTAGCCAGCCAGAAGTTGCATTCGTCCCATTCGCTGGTCGTCAAAAGTACCTGTTTGAGTCGCACGAAAGACACAGATTGGATTATTCTACAACACCAAATAGGAAGAGGACGCAGAGAATGATCAATCAATCAACCAATTCACTAACGTACCTGTATCTGAAGGGCTGCGCTGAAGTCATGGTTGTCCAGAGCTTGACAGAGCTGTGCGAGTTTGTCCGCAGCATTCTTGGATATGTCTCCGCTATTGAGTTTCACAAACAGAGCACCTAATTTTCTTGAGTTGTCCTCTATCTCACGCTTCTTGGCAGGATTTGCACGTGCGCCTCCCAGTGCTTCCGATGTCTCATTGAAAAGCCTTGTCAACGTTGCTATCACATGTTTCTGGTGGGCTGCATCAGTTTACGACAGGTGATCATTTCTCGTCACTCGTAATCCAACAAATTTTCAAATAAAAAATGGCGCTGCAATACCTGGAACGTTGGAAGTATTCGCAGTCTGAACAGTTGGTGGCGGAGCTGCAGGTGCAGCGGCTGCCTGCTGTGTTGGAGGACTTGCTGGTTGCACAGATCTTGTGGCAACTACTTGATTTGCCATGGGCGTAAATACTGTGGGTCCAACTGCTGGAGCAACGACTTGGGGCATCTTGGGGTTAGGATATTGCCCAGACCCAGAAGGTACATATTGACTAGGACCGGGGGGAACGGGGTATGCATTGTTAAATTGTCCCTGCTGACATACATTGCTGTCAGTTTAGTTAAACTATTTAGTGCAGACAACATCAAAGCACAACGGAGTCAAAAGTTCACGTACATTGAATGAATGAGAAGTACTGCTTGGCTGCTGGTATTGGTCTGCGTTCTTCAGTGCAGGGGGAGTTGAAGGAACAAAAGTAGTTCTCACGGATGGTTGTGCATTGCTTACAGGAGCTGGAGTAAATGATTGCTGCATATACACACCATAGTCAGTACGTTGGCACAACAAACCTATACTTTACAAACAAAACGCTTCCCCCACCACAAACTAGGATATTATTTTCTTTCTTCTCATGAGCTCTAGGATATTATAGAGAACTGATATGAACTTCAGAGGCTGAAACCTTCGGTTGTGAGGGGTTTTTTATATTTTCCTTTTTCCCCTCAAAGAACCAGATACCTATAATCCTGATATTATGACTCAGAAAAATTCACACAAAAGAGGAAACTAGGCATTTGGGCACCATATACATATTCCAGATATGCCGTCCTAACTCAAAAACTTGACCAATACGCTATACAAAAACATAGCAGCAAACGGAAAATCTCTTGACCTAGACGTCTGAGAATTGCTAGATAAGGATGAACATTAATGCAAGATGGTGTAAAGACAATAAAGTCAACATTTCAGATACCTGCACAGCTGGCTGAGTTTGGTGAGGCATAAACATTGTTTGTTGCTGCATTGATGGTACTGCAGCATAAGGATCAGTGTATGGTTGTTGATACTGATTATCATATGGGTTAACAGCAAAGTTTGGTTGCGCCTGAGTTGGCTCCTAAGCCACAGAAGAATAAAGGCTAAGTATGTTATCCGTAAAAGCTTAATAGATTCCAGAGAGCTCCAAGTTCCGATTTAAAAATAGTTGCAAACCTGATTATACTGCATGGTGCTTTGAGGCTGAGTGTTGCCTGAAGCCACGGTGTTAGTCTCTACAGAAGCAATATTTTAAATGATAAGCTACTTTTATCATCAGAAGTCCCGTAAAAACTAATCAAACACAACTGTATACGCACCAGGTTCTGCAGACAGAGAAATACGATCACGTAATATAGAAAGTTCAGGTGACAAGCCGCCAGAATCCAGAACTTTCAAGTATTTCATTGCTGTTGTAAGAAGCCCTTGGCTGGCCAAAATCTCAGCATAACTCTCAAAGAGTTTACACAGAGATGCGCTGAACCTTTTGTTGCCAGTTGCCAAAGCAAGGACAAGAGTCTTCTCCATAAGGTCCTATTAAAAGAAAAGAGAAGGGCAGAAGAAATATGAGTAGAGAAGCCCAACTCAATTTTTAGATCAAAGCATAGAAAGTGATACACACTTGAAGAAGCTCAGCATAAGATCTTCCATCACGCTCATTCGCAAGGCTCCTCGACCAAATTTCTACTGTACTGTCAACATTGCCTGCGCAAATGTAGCACAGAACTGCCGCCAAAGTGTTACCAGCAGCCATCAACTTTGAAGCAAGGACATCGCACAGGCTGGTCCATTGTTCTCCTTGTGCAAACTGTTTGCCAATGAATAAAAGATGATTTGTAACAAATCAGATATATAGTGATCAGACCAGAATAACGTAATTGTTCATCTTGGTTCATGAGTCAAGGGAAGTAACATATCACACTACATTGTCAGAAGATCTAATGTGATGAGAAGGCAGATCCTACTTCTTTTATTACTTGAGTTTATTATAAACTGTAGTATCGATTCATATAATTCGCCCTTTTTTGCTAAGTACTTTTTCCTCAGTTTTTAAAACTTACAGTACAGAGGAGAGCAAGTGTTTCTTTCCAGAACTTGAGTGACCTCGTATAGACAAGGCTCGTGAGATCGTTGTTCACCATTGCAGAAACAACCTGAAACACATTAAGTTGAGATCTTGCGACCACAAACAAAGATGTAGATGGCACTTAACTAGACATCAAGTTGGAAAGGAATATCCATATACCTTCATGTAAGGTGCACTGCTCGTCTTCAAATATTTTTCACGAGTACTTTCCCACAATGCTGTACCACCAACATGAGCAATAACTAAAGCATCAGCCATCTTATTTGCAGATATACACTGATCCACCGCTTCCTTGTAATCTCCAACAACCAAAGCACGCTGGATGGCATCATCAAATACTGTTTCAGAACTTTCTTCCTCGTCTTCTGGCATTTCCTGAGTTTCTTCTACTTTGGCAGCAAAATCTGTGTCAGGAGGCATAAATTCTTTGGCAGATGTAGATACAGGTGTATCCGGTTTAGCAGGAAAATTGTTAAAGAAGTCTTCTCCGTTGTCCATAGCAAATGCAGCTGCCTCGTTAGTATCCTCAGGCTCTGGTGCATGCGCTGCAGTATCTTCTAATCCAATGCCATTCAGATCGGACGAGGTCTGATCCTTTTCCTGAGAAGGCAAACTAAAGCCAAGATGGCTGATCAACTTTGTCCTTGAAGTTCCTTCCTCTTCAAACATGATTTTCAGCAATCCCCATGTCTCCTTCTCCTCTTCAGATCTGCGAAATCAGTGAATTGAAAGAAGCAAACTGAGTTGTCGGATGAGTTTGATAAGGGGAAATGTAAACACTTAGATTCACAAGGATGGCATACTCAGTCTCTTCAGATTTTTTCTCACACAAACCCCTTAGAGAATCTTGATCTCCATTTTCTATAGCAGCTTCGAATTCAGAAGTTCGACTCACCAAACTCTGTTCTGTTACCAAGCTGTGCAAAATAACCTGAACATGACATTTAGTCAGATTAGCATTGACGAGAACGGGTTAAATACGAGGCAGTATCATCCCGAAATGCCTACCTCAGATGGAATGCTCGAAGCACCCTTCAGAGGAGCCTTTGCGTGAAAGGATACAAGCTTTCCTCCAAATCCAAAAGATGCACCAACTGGGCGCTTATACCATTTTGGGGCTCTTAGCGGAGCTGTATAAAGAGGATTATAATAAGTGATTTTGGTTTTGATGTTATTCTATCCTCCAACATAGGAATGATAGAAGTAATCAACGGTAAACAAATTGTTCAAAATGGGTAAAAGCATTACCAGTACCAAAATTATTCTCTTCCGCCCCATAGTGACTGCAACCCTGCACCAAAAGCGTTGCATACATATTTTTTTGTAATTTATTCTTGGTGTGAAAGGGCAATCTAAAGTTCAACAAGCCTTACTATAGGTAATTCTCAAATGGAAAGTGCATAAGATAAGACCCTATGAGGCTATAACATTTGATCTCCAATAAAAAAAGTTGGAACCCGAAATCTAAATTCATTGTGGGTTAACAGTCGAAGGCTGGATTCAGGTTGATTCATTATTCCACATACGTTATTAATTTTCATCTAGAACAAAACAATGTAGATATACTGAAGGGAAAACTATCAAGATACCTCAATGTTGTAGATGCCAATTTTCCCATCAAATGAAGATGCTGATATAACGCCAGGTATCTTTGGGTACCAATGAACATCAAAATTCCAATTGTTGCCAGCAGGTAACTCAGCCACAATCTGATATGGTTGGATCAAGTTCAGTCAAATTGAAGATAGGTAAGCTACATGAAAACTAGCAAAACTGTATCTTTGACCAATTCCTTCTTTCTACCTCTGCTGTATTTGTGTCCCAGCAAATAGTTCGGTTGTCCTTAGCACAAGTCAGAAGATATGAGCTGTCACTTGGACACCACTCCATTGCAACTACACCTGTAAAATAAGAAGCATCACCACTACGTTTCAGCAAGACGTTAACACTAGAAAGAATGAAGACAGAGCAAGCCTATGAGATTCTGGCACCACAAAATGGCTAGATTAACGACTAAGATAGGTGATCTACAAGGCTTTTCACTCATCAACTATGATGATGATGGAGAATTATAACGAGATAATAAAAAAGGTATGTTGATAGCAATGATTTAAATATACCTCTTTGGTGGCCAGTAAACTCGCGCACAGGTGACATTGTATTCCTCATGTCCCAGAGCTGATTGTAAATACCTTACATCACTAAAAGAACAAAATTTGAACTAATATGAAGCAATACGGTAAATGAGACCATACCTTCAGAGTAGGTGAACCATCGTCATCTGATGCAACCATTATCTGAGTAGCAATGTCGGGGTTCCATTGTAAAACAGAGCAGCGGCGTCGAACTGAATCTGCAAAGCTGTTGATTGAAAACGGTCAGATCAAGGTTTTGATGACAGGTATTGAACGCATCAATAGAATCACTTTACTTACTTAATTATAGGTTTTTGCTTCCTCAAGTCCCATACAACTGAGGAAAAGATAATAAAAAGACCGATGAGCAGAAGCAGAATTAGAGTTGACATCAATGAACTACTAATCAACCAGTTAGAGAAAGGGAGAGAAACCCTAATTCTCACCAGTAGTTCCATTGTATGAGGTAGATGCTAATATCTGTTGAACTTTTCTATTCCACGATAGAAAGGAGATTTCACCTTGTGTAGCAGAACCACTACCCTGCATAAGACCCTCAAAGAGTTTAAGATGCTCGGTGCTCCAGGATTTAACTCATAAGATTGAAAAAAATAGGTTTATACCATCCAACTCCAAGTTTCCAACAGTAAGGTAGAGCATGTACAAGGAAAATAAACCAAGGTTTTTGACCTGTAAGTAGTGGACCTAGAGGTATACCTTCAAAACTGGAAAATGAGAAGGCACTGAAGGATTTGCTAGATCCCAAATGTAAGTTTCACCATCATCAGCGCCAGAAGCAAGTAGATTTGGGGTGATAGCATTAAACTCGAGACCACGGACCTAAAATACAAGGAAAGGGAACGTAGCACCGCATACATCAAATGAGGACTGTTAACACAAAACAGTGTTTAGCAACAGAATTTTGCAGAAAGAAAAAAATAAAAATAATACTCACGGGCCCTTTATGAATCGAAAGATGTCCAACGAGTGCATTTTCACTGGACTGGGAACTGGAAAACGTGAAAGTTGTTCGAGTTAGATGAAAATTCGATACCAAAAAGCAAACAAAAGACAATGGTTCAGTAAAAGTGTCTTTAATGGATCCAACGTGATAGCTAGGAGAAACAAAGAAATTCAAATGGAGATGAATTCAGGATAACGGAAAACAGGGATAGAAAAAGCACCCGATCAAAGAGAGCGGGTTCCATAGATCTATATTTCCATCGACAAGGCCGCCGGCAATAATACCAAGGGAGAATTCGTCGGATCCAGATCCGTTTCTTCCCCATGCGAGTCTATTGAACCGCTCGGAGCTGGGGATTTCCCCAACCGGTACCAAGTCGCGATCGTCAGACTGAAAGTCGAGCTTGAAGATCTCGAGATTGGCGGAAGAGCTAAAGGACGAATCCACGGCTCCGGCCATGGTTCCGGCGGCCATGTATGGAGCGTCGGGGGCCAGAGCGACGGAGGCGGATCTGCCCACCCCCTTGATGCAAGCCATGTTAGATGAGCAGGGAGGGAAATCAATGGGATCGCCGATCGGGGAGGAAGAAGATTGATGGGGGAATTAGGGAGTCGAGTTGTTATGTAAATTGGGATCTGAACAAGACACAATAGTAAGAATGAAAGGAGTTACCATCATACAAATAAAATTATCACTATTTATTTATTTAGACTGAAAAGAAAAGAGAAATCCTTTTAGTAGCACAAATCACTTCACCAATTAATTGGTGACATGTGGCAAGTCAAACAAAATTAAGAAAATAACATGTATCTGATCTGAGAGGGCTGATACCGCCGTACACTTACCTCTATAGAGCAAGGGCAATCCTGGAAACTCCTCTAAGGTTTTCAGAGCCATTGCAAACATGACACGTCACCTATTCTTTGAGGCCGCCTACGACCCATCTCATTTGGGCCTAATTATATCCTTGTAAGAAAAATCTCATATGGGTTAGGATTGTGTTTATGTGTCAAGATATAATAAAATTAAGATATTTAAAGTGGTCAATGGCATTGTTAAAATTTGAAATAAGGAATTTGCTGAAACATCGGATCTGGCCAGTGGGCTAGTACAACAAAGTCCCATGTTCAGCTCATATCATTGTCTTACATTTTCCAATTTCAGACTATATTAAAACACTGGGAAGAGGATAAATAAACTATTGTGATGTGTTTATTTATATTCCTGTTAATCAAATGTTTTTCTTCGAAACGCAAAAAAAAAGAAGAATAAGAGACTACATTTAAACAAATATTACCGTAATTAAATATACGGTGCGTAACTGATTTTTAACGGCGCTGTTGTTTGCAGTTTTTCTTGTTCTCGTTCTTACCGCATGTTAAATGTATGTCTGCAGATGGACGTTTGTAGTTACATCGATGTAATGTAATGTTAGTCCAAAAAAAAGGAAAATGTGACAGTATTGCGGATAAATAAAAAGGGGAATCATATAAAGTACGAACTATTAGGATTGTAACATCGAGTCACAATCACATGGCATAACATGATCGCTTAGAGACGTTGACATTTTCTTCCCCCTTTTCTTTTGGGTATCATTTTCTGAATCTGAAATCCACCTCTCCATTTATTATTAGGGTAATGCATTTCTTAGCAATCAGAGACAGTTATCAAAACTGCAATTCCTTTGGAGGTTTTTTGTAAATATATATTATATATTTTGAAAAAGAACAAACAATCATTCGTATAGTTGGAGGTTTTGACCCAAAAAATAAAAATTTGATTTAAGATCCAAACCCACACAATCATTTCATTTGAACTGTCTCTTTTTTTCTTCTTCAAAACCTTGTTCTTCTCTCCCTCCCACCGTAATCCAGACATAACAGTATGGGGAAAGGACAAGCCTATTCTGTAGTTGCATCTGTGTTGATGTTAGTGTATCTGTCGTCTAAAATCGAATGCAGCAACCAAGTGCACGCCCTGAGCCGCCTCTACATGTCGAAGCGAGGGGTGGGTTCCATGGACACAAGCCATTTCAAGGCGGTTAAGGATTTGAAACCGTCTTCGCTCCGAGGTATCGTCAACCAGGAGGAGTTAAGAAAGAGAGATCTGATACGGAGATTGCCCGGACAGCCTTCGGTTGATTTCGATCAGTATGGCGGCTACGTCACCGTCGACGAATCAGCGGGCCGTTCCTTCTTCTACTATTTCGTGGAAGCTTCCTCCGACTCTAAGGATTCTTCTCCTCTGCTTCTCTGGCTCAACGGGGGTACGTTTCTAAGTTCTAACTTTGTATTCTATTCACACCAAGATCTTCTTGAATTTCACTCATTTATCTCGGTTTAAGCTTTACATTATCTATAACTATTTGTCTAAAAGTTCATAGCAAAAGAGAATAAAGATGAACAAGCATGTAAGTTTGATCTCGACAATTTTAGGTTGTCTTTTTCCCTGTGTTTTTATTAATAATCATGTTATATGATTTTCATTGCGAGGGCCATACCTGCGGTATGCCTGCTTCTCCCCTCTCTGTTTTACCTTTTTATCCGCACTAGTTAGCCTCACACTAACATTATTATATATTTTTATAATATAAAGTCACTGTCCCCCAATCCAAAATATTGAGCAAAGAAAAGGAAGAATATGATTTGCCTTTTTCGACGAGTTTCAAAATGTCACATGCTGAGGAATTCTCCGCGTGCTTTGTTGCACATTTAGCCTGGCTACTCCGTATAATTGAAATATTGAATATACAACAGTATATAGTTCCATATTATTTATTCGTTCAACATGATGATAATTAATAATAGCTCAGCGGTTAGTTAATTATCAACTCTAGATGACAAAATCGACATTATTAAATTGACTTGTGATTCATAAATATATAGATGTATAACTTTGTTTATGCGTTGGGGAATAATGAAACAAACAGGACCGGGATGCTCGTCACTGGCTTATGGAGCATTACAAGAGCTTGGGCCGTTCAGAGTGCACAGCGACGGCAAAACGCTTTTTAGAAACCGATATGCATGGAACAATGCTGCGAACGTGTTGTTCTTAGAATCTCCGGCGGGAGTGGGGTTCTCGTACACGAACACAACGTCGGATTTAGAGAAGCACGGGGACAGGAACACGGCGGCTGATAACTACATATTTTTGGTAAAGTGGCTGGAGAGGTTCCCTGAGTACAAAGGCAGGGACTTGTACATCGCCGGGGAGAGCTATGCTGGCCACTATGTTCCCCAGCTTGCCCATACTATCCTTGTACATCGCCGGAGCTCCCTCAATCTCAAGGGCATTCTGATAGGAAATGCGGTGATCAACGACGAGACCGACTTGATGGGTATGTACGACTTTTTCGAGAGTCACGCTTTGATCTCAGAGGATTCTTTGGTAAGGCTCAAGAACAAGTGCGATCTCAAGACGGAGTCTGCGAGTGTGATGACGGAGGAGTGCGCGGTGGTGTCGGACCAAATCGACATGGACACGTATTACCTGGACATATATAACATATATGCTCCCTTGTGCTTCAACTCCACGCTCACTCGCAGGCCCAAGAGAGGAACCACAATAAGGGAGTTCGATCCGTGCAGTGACCATTACGTGCAGGCCTACCTGAACAGGCCGGAGGTCCAGACCGCCCTGCACGCAAACGCTACGAAGCTGCCTTACAAGTGGGAGCCGTGCAGCAGTTTGATAAAGAAGTGGAACGACAGTCCAACCACAGTGATTCCTCTCATCAAGGAGCTGATGGGTCAGGGCGTCCGAGTTTGGGTGTTCAGCGGAGATACGGACGGGAGAATTCCGGTGACGTCCACCAAATACTCGCTCAAAAAGATGAATCTAACGGCCGAAACGGCTTGGCATCCGTGGTACCTAGGGGGAGAGGTGGGAGGATACACAGAGGAGTACAAAGGGAAGTTGACATTTGCCACCGTGAGAGGGGCTGGTCATCAGGTTCCCAGCTTCCAGCCTAAACGCTCTCTTTCACTCTTCATTCACTTCCTCAATGACACTCCACTCCCTGACACCTCTCGTTACTGAATATTCTATCTCCAGATTGTAATTCTTCTCTTGATTAATTATTAGCATTTTTTTGGTTTTTTAACAACATCCTCCCAATCCATTCTTTGTCTTCTCCATCACTTTTAATGTTAATATCTGTCTTGCAACTTATCTCTTTTAACATCACATTCTTCTACATTACCAAGACAGTCTATTCACTTAAAATCTATCTTTAAGATGTAAAGAAAGATGCATACCAAGAACTGATGAGCCTTGACATCTTTCCAACCTGATCAGATTCGTGATTCAGCAGTGCTTGTTCCCGAATACTCTTGTTTTCTGTTTCCAACTGCAAAGAGGAGACAACAGGGTAGCTTTGCATCAGGGTATTTACTATTATGTAAATGAATCCCTGCAAACCCCTATTTCTTTTTTACCTTTTTGACTTTCAGTTGGAGCTCTTCAACTGTCTGCTGTAAGGATTTTATAGTTTTCGATACAGTATCTTCGTATGCTGTTTCCACTTCTTCCACAGAATCTAGGCTGAAAATGATCCCTTCCTGTATGAACATTTCTTCTAGCATTTTGATGTCTTCATTGCTCATTCTCTCTTTCATCTGTATACAATTACAATAATGCATCTGTCTTCTAGATCCCGTTTTCTGAATATTAGACAGAATGAGGAAATCTTTACCTTCTCTAGGATCCTCCCACATTTTTCATCTTTCGCTACGGAGGAGGGTTCCTCCTGTGTCTTGGCAAGTTTTACTTCACTGATACGTGGTGATGCTTTTATGTGCTTTGCCCTGTACAGTAATTGGGAGTACATCGGTGTTTGACACATTCAATATTGTAACACAGAGAACATGAAAACGTTAATTTTCATTCTAATGTGACACTGCAAATGCATACCTCATGCCAAACCTGAGGGTTGAGAGCGTCTCAGATGCATTCGAAATGCTTGGTGAGCAACAGCAGAGCAGTGCCATTCGAGAATTCCCACCCTGTGCCGTGAGAAACCAAGATAGCACTGAGAACAACAGCCCGGAAAATAATACAATAGAATCAACCTGAGAAGACATACTACTAACCAGTGCATCCTGCAAGATGCGAGTAAGCTTGGAGTCGCGGTATGGTATGTGATTCGCTTTACTAGTTGAGCCACTTGTAAGAGCGTTTATCACATTCCCTAAGGCGGAGAGCGATTTATTGATAGTCTTCGCCTCTTCAAGAACCCTACCTTCTGCTCCAGTTTTGTCTGCTTTCTCTGAGCCAGCCAGGTCGACAAGAATCAGTTTTCCTGTTTTTACCCTGTTCAAATGCCGAAATCTTCACATAAGGTCCACCATTACATCATCACACTCTTATGAATAATTGTGAAAAAGCTTTACCTCTTATCTTTCACTGAGTCCTGCTGGATTGTGAATAAGTAAACGCAGTGGCTTCTACTGCTGGACATATTCATTTCTGTGGTTCAATGTTAAACTGGAAACATTCTTCAAGACGACTCTCAATAATCTATAACTTTTCAGTCAATTCGGTGTAGCACATTCTCGGTCTCACTATTCCTTATATGTGGAAACACTGAACAAGTGCTAATAAACAAAGAGGATACGGGTTTCCCCAACTGCGCGGTTTGCCAAACCGGTCTGAAATGGCAAATGGCATCAGAAAAAAGAATGTAGTATTAGGGAATCAAGAAAGTCAGTGTAGCTGCTATCTTACACATAGATGTTGTAATGCGTCGGCCGAGTCTGATACAGGCACCTGAAGCAACGAATGATAAAAAAAAACTTATCTACCCTGCAACATTTATCACGACAGTAACAGATGAGATTAAAGCAGTAAAGCTAACCTCTGTAACGCCTGACAAGAGTATTCCTTGCGTTTTATTCTCCTTGATCTGTATGTTTCCTTTTGATAAATCCAACAGGTCCCTGAGAGAATTAGAGACATATATTGAATTATTGATAAGCTATACGGTAGTAGAAATCAGAGAGAATTATAGGCATACACATTACCTGACTTTCTCCATGTAGATCTCTACCTACAGGAGACAAAGTCACTTAAGATAGCTTGTAGGAGAGAGGTTAAACTTGTGTAAACAAGTGCAATTAGATCAGTACCATAGACAATTTAACAGAGTATCTTGCAATATCGTTGGAAGACCTGATTTGCTCAAACATCCCATCGACCACTCTTGGGAGTAATCCTTTCTTGTGCTCATCACAGTCATGGATGCCTGGTCCCTGAACAAAATTGTTGAGAAGGTAAGTAAGGTTGTACTGCTACAGGTAAAGCTCAAAATATATACTAAGGTTGTTTAGGTGACCTCCATGGAATACGTCTTTCCAGCCCCTGTCTGCAAAGTTAAAAAAAAAAATGAGAGGATCAAAATTGAGATGCCAACAATGAGAAGCAGCTTAGAACAGACATTGGAAGCATTTCAGGTATGCATTCGGGAAAGAGATGACCCGAACAAACCTGTCCATAAGTGATGATTGTTCCGTTTATAGCGTTCACAGCGTCTGGAAAGTAAAAAGATATAAACCAGCAAGGTAAGAAGATGCAAAAGACGAGGTATGAAAAAACGAAGTGATCAATGTAACATGTTTAGATCTAGAGGAAATGTTTTCATAAGAGAATAGAGTACCGATCATGATTGGCAGAGCCAGAAACTCATAAACCGCAGCTTGAGCAGAGTCCTCATAAAAAGTTCTATCTAGACTGAAGGTAAACTCATCTTCCTTGTCATCCTACACGCAAGAAATTCGAGATGACAAGTCGTGAATCGATTTTGACAAAAACGAAATCAACCAGAGTACAAACTTGGAAAACGAAGTTTTCAGCGTCGATGCGTCGAACGCAGACACCATCTCTGTGATCTCGCATCTCTTTTGAGCTTAGTGGCCTAAATCGCGCACAGACAGTTACGTTGGACATGTCTCCTAATCGCTGCGAGCCCAGTCTAGTCTACACCCAAAATCAGCAAGCGGAGGGTGAAGATGAATCAAATTGCCGAACAATTAGTCGTTGGTTCCCCAGAAATCGAGACTGTGAGAGAAAATGGCTTACCTCAAAGGAAGTGCAGAGGGTTTCTTCGACTGGCGGGAAATCAGATTTGGGAAAAGTGGTCAATTCGTAGAAGAAGATGATATAGGTCACGCCCGATTGGAATTTTTAATTTAAGAGATTGCAATCGCCATCGAATGGTCCAAAATAAGACAGCTGTACAGTAGGAAGGAAGCGAAACAGCGTAGCAATGGTGCGCCATCAGGCAGAGTAATATAGCTTAGAAAGAGGAAAGAGTGTTATCCGGCCCCTTGTGGATTAGGGAGCGAGCGAGGAGTCTTCTTCTTCATCTTTTTCTTCTTCTTCTTCTTCTTCTTCTTCTTCTTCACTCTCACAGACAACAATGGCTGCCTGCACCACTCACTCGTCTCTCATGCTAGCGTACGCCGCACCCACTCGTTCCCAGGACCTTACCCTGCCATCTCTTTTCTCCTTTGCCAACCCCAGACCCTCTCTCTATCCCCCGCTTCTCCTCCTTGGGGGGAGAAGATGTGCTGCTATTGACAGAGCTTCCAACCGATTTTTCCCGGTAGTTGTCTCCGCCGTGGCCGCAGAGGCTGACGTCGACACGGAGGATGAAATCGCCAGCGCCAGCGCCACCGCCGTCCTTGATCCGCCCAAGCCTAAGAAAGGAAAAGCCGCTCTGGTTCTCAAGAGGGATAGAGTACGCATTGCTTCTGCTCGCTCCTTGTATCTCCTTCATTCGTCAATTATGGTATCTAGTATCTAGTATATAGCTCTGAGGATTCTTGTTTATGTTACTCTTTGCTTGATTTGGCAGACAAGGTCAAAGAGGTTTTTGGAAATCCAAAAGCTAAGGGAAACCAAAATGGAGTATGACGTCAAGACTGCTATATCTTTGCTTAAGCAAACCGCAAACACAAGGTTTGTGGAGTCGGTAGAAGCCCATTTCCGTCTCAACATCGATCCAAAGTACAATGACCAGCAGCTGCGAGCAACGGTCAGTTTTGGGTTTTGCTGGATTCATATGATAATGATACTATTGAGCAAGGATTCTGAATGATACTGATCTCTGAATGCACCATTCTATATATTTGTTCTTCTTGTATAGGTGAGCCTGCCTAAGGGAACCGGGCAGACTGTAAAAGTGGCTGTTCTTGCCCAAGGTAATTGCCAGCAATGTTATGTTTGTGGTTTCACTCAAGGGATTATGCTGCAATTTCACTGTCACTGCTTATGCATTTAGTAGATCGGAATCAGATTGGGAAAACATGTGTGGTTTGTTCTTTGCTTAATGCTTATACATTGGCTTGCACCAGGTGAGAAGGTCGATGAAGCCAAAAATGCAGGGGCAGATATAGTGGGAAGTGATGATTTGATCGAACAGATAAAAGGAGGGTTCATGGAGTTTGACAAGTTAATTGCATCCCCTGATATGATGGTCAAGGTGTGTGTGTGTGCGTGCGTGAGTCTGATGACATAAGGTTGCCAGCTGTTAGAGGCATATCTAACTTGTATTGTCAAAATTTGCGGTTAGGTTGCTGGTCTGGGAAAGATTCTTGGTCCACGGGGACTCATGCCAAACCCCAAGGCTGGTACCGTTACAGCTAACATTCCCCAGGTAACCCTTCCCTACTCACTCACGCTGCCAACGTATCCTCTCTGTTTCTGGTTTAAGGATTTGCATACATGTCTCTCAGGCTATAGAAGAGTTCAAGAAGGGGAAAGTGGAATTCAGAGCAGACAAAACTGGGATTGTCCACATTCCCTTTGGCAAAGTTAATTTTACAGAGGAAGACCTGCTCGTCAACTTCCTTGCAGCAGTGGTACGCCATTATTCATTACTTACTAGTTACTGGTACTCTACTACACGTATTTGAACATGGGAGATTAAGTAAAAGGATGATTGCATTGCAGAAATCGGTGGAGACAAACAAGCCAAAGGGAGCAAAAGGAGTGTACTGGAAAAGCGCGCACATATGCTCGTCAATGGGGCCATCCATCAAGTTGAACGTAAGGGAGATGATAGACTTCAAGCCCCCTCCAGCTGCCAACTAACCAACAACCAACCCCATTTTGTAAAGTGAGGTCCTTTTAGTTATCTTTTTATACCTCACCGGTTGTATCACTATGATGGCCAGTTTGCTTCTTGTCGTTATTTATAAGTTAAAAAAAAATGGCAAGAGCTGTACAGGTGGATGTTGCGCTTCAGACCCAAAACTCTAATTGAAAAGACCTTGCTACTATATAATCCATCTTTAGATTGCATACGAGCAGCCGAGTAGGAGAAGGAGGGAGGGTCTGTGCACATATTACATGCATCATTACTAGTACAAATATATAAAATATTACAAGGCAAGGCTTTGGTGAGCAGCCCTCTCCTCTCTTCCTCCATTCTCATTCCGTTGCCTCTTTTTCCTTCTATCATCATCTGTCTCTCCCACAATCTTTTCCGTCTTCGCCATTGCTATTCGTTACATCCCCTCTGCTTCTCTTCTTGCGTAATTCTCACAATGTTCTTCAAAACCTGTGGAGATCCCCTTTTCAAACCTGTCTCCACTCCACCACATATAAAAAACTACGCTTGTTTGACAAAGCCGTCGAATTGCAGAAGCATTGCTGCGTTACCAAAACTCTTATCTGTGGATCTTCATTTCTGACTAGACACGTATTTCACATTGCTACGACAAGAAAATTAGATGATTCTTTTCTTGTGTGGTCAAGAATTTTTATTAAAATAAATCCACCGTTAAAGATGACGGAGAAGGTAAGAGCGCTCTAAGGCCGTTACGTTGTGACGTGGCAGCGTATCCGCCAAGGAAGCAGGGCTCATATCATCGCATTTCGCGTCTCGCGTTTCGCATTTCTCAATTCTCAATTCTCAAATCCTTGCTGCAAATTCATGGCGGAGAAGCTCAGTGATGGCATACTCTCCGTCCATCCTAAACCTTCCAGGGGTTTCTCCTCTAAGCTTCTCGATCTTCTCGAGAGAGTCGTCGTCAAGCTCATGCACGACGCTTCCCTTCCTCTCCACTACCTCTCCGGCAACTTCGCTCCCCTCCGCGATGAAACTCCTCCTGTCAAGGATCTCCCCGTCCATGGATTTCTTCCCGTGAGTTCCCCTTCCCTCTACTTTGAATACTTTCCCGGGCTTCACGGTTCTGATTAGTCCTCTGTTAATTTTCCAGAGATGCTTGAATGGTGAATTTGTGCGGGTTGGTCCAAATCCCAAGTTTGATCCCGTCGCTGGATATCACTGGCACGTTCTCTTCTTCCCCCTTTTTTTGTGTGTTTTTTTCCCCGTTTCCTAAGACGATCGCTTCCTGCTTATAAGATACTAGGATCTCCCTCTGCTCTTTTCAGGTTTGATGGAGATGGGTACGTGAATTGTTCCCTGTTTCATCTTCTTATGAAGCTCAGTGATGGCATCAAACTGAAGGGGCTTCTTATGTTTCTCTTTAATTTTTATCAGTCTCTACTCTCTATGCTCAACTACTCTCTCTCACATGATACTGCAGAATGATTCATGGTGTTCGCATCAAAGATGGGAAAGCAACTTATGTTTCTCGATATGTTAAGACATCACGTCTCAAGCAGGAAGAGTTTTTCGGAGCTGCCAAATTCATGAAGGTGAGCTAATAGATAGATGTATAAACATGTTGTGCACCTAATCCTGGATTTGTGAGGGCCAATTATGTGTGTTTCCTTTTCTCCTGTTAATTTTGCAGATTGGGGACCTTAAGGGGTTTTTCGGATTGCTTATGGTCAATATTCAACAGCTGAGAACTAAACTGAAAGTATTGGACGGCTCTTATGGAAATGGAACTGGTTCGTTACTTCACTCTCCTAGCTACTTTGTACTTTGTATTCGTCCCTTCTACTTTCTCTCCTATTATCTTAAAATCACACTCTCTTTTTCCATAAACCAGCTAATACAGCACTCATATATCACCATGGAAAACTTCTAGCATTACAGGAGGCAGATAAGCCCTGTAAGCCTCTAATTCTACTACCTCTTCGTTTTTCTTTTGGGATGCATTGGTCCAAAGTTAGCGCAAAAATGTGATGCTGATCTATTTAGAAACCGAATCTTCTGTTACGTTGGCTGTGTTTGTCTTCACCCACTTGCTTGTTAGAAATTCTGATATAAACGAATAGCAAGGATGGAAGATTTATGTTTAGTTTCCTAAAAGTCAAAACCACTCTCTTTTGGTTTGTAGATGTCGTCAAAATTTTGGAAGATGGAGACCTGCAAACGCTTGGCATGATAGATTATGATAAGAGATTGACCCACTCCTTCACTGCTCACCCAAAAGTTGACCCGGTTACAGGTAAGTCTTCACTTTACCATGAGAAACAAGTTACTATATCTGCTGACATGATGACCCGTCGTGGACTCTCTCTCCAGGTGAAATGTTTACATTCGGCTATTCGCATACGCCACCTTATGTCACATACAGAGTGATCTCGGAAGATGGCATTATGCATGACCCAGTCCCAATAACTATAGCAGAGCCTATCATGATGCATGATTTCGCTATTACTGAGACTTATGCAATCTTCATGGATCTTCCTATGCACTTCAGGCCAAAGGTATGTTACTCATCAAGCTTAAAGGTTACACAATGATATTTTTCCTCCCATGTGCTTTTGTCGAAATGGTGTAAGAGAAGATGATTATAAAGCAAATAATGTTGCTTGTTTTGAGTTTTCTTAGAGAATCGTAGAAATTGCCTCCCCTATACGTTAATCTGTCTTTGAAATTGATTCCAAGGAAATGGTGAAAGAGAAGAAGATGATATACTCATTTGATCCCACAAAAAAGGCCCGTTTTGGTGTTCTTCCACGCTATGCCAAGGATGAACTCATGATTCGATGGTTTGAGCTTCCCAATTGCTTCATATTCCACAACGGTGTGTGCTTTCGTGTGTCTGTTTAAGTGTTCATATCATCAAACTGAATATTCTATATATACCAATCAAACTTCTTTGAATGACTCCCTATATCCAGCCAATGCTTGGGAAGAAGAGGATGAAGTTGTCCTCATCACCTGTCGCCTTGAGAATCCAGATCTTGACATGGTCAGCGGGAATGTGAAAGAAAAACTTGAAAATTTTGGCAACGAACTGTAAGAATCCGTGACCCGTTACATATGTTGTGCACTATCGTAAACCATATACCCTCCTCAACGATTGCTTGTGCAGGTATGAAATGAGATTCAACATGAAAACGGGCTCAGCTTCTCAGAAAAAACTATCGGCATCTGCAGTTGATTTCCCCAGAATCAATGAGAACTACACTGGAAAGTACGAGGTCACCCTTGTCCGTGTGTGCTGATAAGCATTGTGTGTCCTTTAGCAAGGAAACCTCATCATGCCCAACGTTTTTTTGTTTAGGAAACAGAGATATGTATATGGAACAATTCTGGACAGTATCGCAAAGGTTACAGGGATTATCAAATTCGATCTGCATGCGGAAGCTGAGATAGGCAAAAGAGTGCTGGAAGTGGGAGGCAATATCAAAGGAATTTATGAGCTGGGGGAAGGGAGATATGGTTCAGAGGCTATATATGTACCGCGTGAGGCAGCAGAAGAAGATGACGGTTACTTGATATTTTTTGTTCACGATGAAAACACAGGGTAGTTGTTTTTTCTTTGCTCTACTGCTATTGTCACTTGTTTCTTCTTTGTCTCTGATGATTGAAAATGGGCAGGATATCATGTGTGAATGTGATAGACGCAAAAACAATGTCAGCTGAGCCAGTGGCAGTGGTGGAGCTGCCGCATAGGGTCCCATATGGCTTCCATGCCTTGTTTGTTACGGAGGTACTACTAAACTCTAAACCAGCAGTATGTATCTCCTCCTTTACAAGCGATGCATCTCTAACCTCTAGTGGGTCTGGTCTTCACAGGAACAACTCCAGGAGCAAACTCTTATATAAGCCAAGTTGTGCGCATATATATAATATATTATATGTATATGTAACTACTACTCCGGAGACAAGTGCGGAAGTTAAGGCAGTTGGGGCAAACCCAGGAAACTGGATGATACCGATACTAGTATTATACACAGACTATCACTATGGTATCATGTATTCATTCGACTGTCTTATTTTCTCTTTACGTATAAATTTCTCTTTACATTATCTAGTTTTAGAGCCGCATCATCCACTCTCCAAGTTTAGTGGACTTGAGTAGTCACACCTCAAATGATCAAATGAACTGAAAGAAAGACCATTTGAAGCCTAAAGTAGGGTAGGGGGCGGGAGAATTGAACGAGAGACCTGTGTACCATCACCATATGCTTGGATTCAGCTTTTATATGTCTTAGCATTTAGTATACAATACGAGTGGGAGTGTTAAAAAGCACAGACAAGCGAGAATGGAAGTAGAAGAAAAATTACATGTACAGAGGACTGAACATGAGAGACTATAGTGTAGACATCTTTTAGACTAATATATTTTTCGGGTTTCCACTACGCTAAAACAATTACTTGATGAGCCTCGATATAAAAGCCAAAAACGAGGAGGAGCTCCTTGTGCCAATCAATGGAAGCTGGGCTCCCCAAAGACCTCGCTGTTGCACACCGGGCAAACCTGCAATCCATATGCACAGAGTTTCAGTTGTGCAAAACCATATTATTACTATCTGTAAGATCAAATAGTGAATACAATACCTTGTTGATGCTTAGCCATTTGGAAATGCATTCGGAATGGTAGACGTGCTTGCACGGCAGATTCATTTGCCTCTCCCCAATCTTGTACTTGAGCTGGCATATCACACACCTGAAGATGATCAACACTTTTTCAGTATGTAAATTCTCAAACCAACCTTTTTTTAATGTGATTATGAGTTGTCTACCTTTCCCCTGCTCTTTTCCTGGAGAAGATGCTCCCAAACTTATATTTTCTAGTGGGAAGCGTTTCTATGAGTTCCTGAGACAGCCCCCGGCTTTCTGTTCCTACCGCTTCCCCGAGCTCTACTAGTTCCTGATCCACAAACCAAAATACTCACTTTTTTTTTTATGTGTGTTCTTGTCCCGCATTTTAGATGCTGCGGATAGTGGAACAAACCTCATAGGTCATTGTATCGGGATCGATGTCATCTTGCCAGGATACCTGTGGCAACAGGGCATTAACGAGAGCATACAGAATTCATATCAGTGTTTAGATCACATCCTGCACGGATACACCACTATGGCTTCACAAAGATGGGCAAGAGTTATGTAGTTGACAAGGATTCACAGAACGTGTGCACATACCTGAGGACTGTCGGGATCGTGCTCATTTGCAATGCCTGCGAACAACACAACACAGACATATGCTTCTTAGCTTACATTTACATTTACACTTACATTTACAGGAGAAGCAGTAAGAAATGACTAACATTCTTCAGCTTCAGAGTGCTCATCCGTGTCCCCGGTTTGTTCAGGCACATGAACGTTAACCATGGGATGGTACTCCCAATTCGTTCTCCCGATTGACATCCTCGATAAATGATCGTTCAAGTCATAAGAACCATAGAAAGAAGCATTATCTGATCCTGAAAATCCAAACTTGTATGCATTTGTATTCATACTCCAGTACAGATTGTCCTGAGAATAGGCAAACAAGGAAAGTTATGACTTGTATGTATCCGCTTTCAAAATCATTAGCTCATCTAACAAGGGACGATAATCACCTGCGGATGCATTGTTCCGGCATGAGCATAGTTGGGATTCGGAGGCTCCTGAGACGCAGGACCATAAAAATCCATGTAACTAGCAGCAGCAGCAGCAGCGGCATAAGGGAATCCCGTCTCCGTGTAGTGAGCATCTTCCAATTGTCTATCTCCATTCATTTCAGCTGCTAAGAAGAAGACTGTGAGATATGTTTAGAAGAGACAAACACACAAACAAAAAAGAGTAAAAGGGGATAGTTGAGCAATGTCAGACACAGTGTTGTTGAGGTAATTGGGAGACGAGAGTAAATAAAGTCAGTCAGCTCGACAAACTAGGAATTGACCAGGGGAACAAATGAACAAAGCGAATCTCTAGATCTTCAATGGCTTCTGCATAGAAAGCCTTATAAACAAAAACAAGGTCCAGAAAGCAGTAGAAGCCGGGGAATAGAGTCAGGTGGAAAAGCAAAAAGAAGACGCAAAAGACATTGAAACACGGGGAGGGGTAAGCGGAGACATACACTCGAAGAGGGTTAGAGCGAGCAAGCGGCAACTGGAGACGGCAAGGGAGGCTCTCGACACCGGAAATCTAATGAAAACAAAAAGGATGAAAAATTCAAAAGAATGAGAGAAGAAAGGGAAGGATATTTGTTTAGGGGAAGAAGAAGACGAAGGAGATGGGCACAGAGACGGAGGAGCAGAGAGAGAGAGAGAAGAAAAAGAGGGTGGAGACAAAACGACGTCGAAGGAAGGGGAAGAGGGAAGAGAAAAAGCCGTTGAAGAAGCCGGCAAAAAGATATGTGGTTCAGTGTGGGGAGACGCACCCCTCCACAGATTTCATCTCAACCCTACACCTGTCTCCTCTGACCCACAGACAAAGATTTGCTTCCCTTTTTTTTTTGTTTTTAATAAATGAGGTAAAAGGAATATAAGGATTCATCGATGGATTTATCATCAAATATTTAAACCAAAGTACAGCTTTCGGCCTTGAGATTATCAAACCACAAGTTGCTTGTCTGTTTTCCCTCAAAAGGAAACCTGTATCCTTTCTTTATTTATTTGTGTCTTAATATATTTATGTTTATGTAGTCACACACACAGATAAACTTGGTAGGTATGTAACATTTACTTCTTTTTTTTTTTGTTAAAAGTGTAACATTTACTTAGAATTGTTTTTTTGGGGTGTAAATGTTTTAAGGGAAGAGAAACTTAATAGTAACCTGAGGTGAACTTAATATATACTTATGTTAGTTAGAAATTTAGGTCTGTTTAAGTACAAAAACGTGACTTAGAAAAGGAAAAGAAAATCAAAGGAAGGGTGGAGAAACTCTTGGGCGTGGTAATAGTAACCTATGTCCTTTGCTTGTCGTGGTCTCCGTCTTGTCTAGTCTCTTGTCCTATATGTAGAAGGGCAGCAAGTGAAACTCCAATGAATGCATAAAGATAGACACTTCATCGTGCGGATGCCGGGAAAGTTGCAGACAAACAAATATATATATAAAAAAATCAGGCACATTTGGTTTCTCTATGTTCAAGGCATTTGCTTGTTGCTTTAGAGTTAAGACTTAAGAGAACAACTCCTGAGCCTATTTTTATACCAAAATCTTACTATGGTCATCATCGCCAAAACGGGTATTTCAAAGAAGTTATGAAAAACTCGCTTCTACTCCTTTAAACTTTGTAGCTATACAAGAGGAAGAAACAGTTTCTACTGCCTACGCATCGATTAATAGCTTTGAGCCAGACTCGCCTCTCCAAATCTGATTTGGCTCTCTTTTGCACCGGTAAGATAGAGAAACGATCAAAACTTTAAGCATCATTTTGTTAGCTTAACATGCCCTCATTGTAGAATCATCAAAATTACTGTGCTTTTGTCCTTCTTGTGTTGCTTTTAAACTTTGTTTAGGCAGAGATTGATGCTAGAAGTTGGATCTATGGTGCAGGTTTTGTAAAGGAATCTTAACAATAATGTTATGGTAAACAAGGATAAAGATGCAGACTTGTGAATATAGAAGGTGACCTGACTTTTAGGAGATATGGAGAAAAGAAGAGCTGAGTAATCTGTAATAATTACTTCCCAGTTCTCATGGTGTAACCATCATCATATATTGTTAGTCACCTAGATAATTCCTTCCCAGTTCTAGTTTAGCTGATATAAAAGAAACAACATATCACCTGGGAAGGAATTATGACTTTTGTCTTAGTTTATTGCATGGAATTCAAAAGCCTGAGTCGTTGAAACTTGATGCTGACTTAACATAACTCGCTCATTCCTTCTCTGTATTGCAAGTGAGATGAAAGAGTAGAAGAGAGCATAAAAACTGCTAGAAAACAAGATATGGAAAACAATATACTTATCATGAAAATGGTGTATTTTGTACAAACATATCAAACTTGATTTCAAACAAAGCCATATCATAAAACGGGATTCTTCCACCTCTAAAGACGATATTATCAATGATTAAAGAAAAAAACTGAAACCGGAAAATGTGTAGTTGTATTTTAAGAAGTTATCAAAATCCTTAAGCTCGCTTTGCAGTCCTTTATCACCAACTTACGTCGTCTTATCTCTGTTTCTTTTTCGGCCAGTAAATTGGCTGGCAAAGTTTATAATTATAATGGTTGCTAGCAGGCAGGATTTCTTTAATAGCATACGTTAATTCTAAGCTCGGGACTGAAAACAAATGATTGGGATTCTGGGATTTGGTTAAATAAAAGATGGAGCAAGATAAAACATTTGGCTGCCTATGCATATGAATGCCTTGCAATCACCTAGGGGTATATCACGCAAAGATATCCTCTGTGAACAAAGCTTCTTCACCATTCACACAGCCTTGAGGTGCACACTCAATTTGCTCATAATTTAGCTGTCTGGACGCTTCATACAAAGCAATCCCTACACTCACGGAGAGATTCAGACATCTCACATAAGTTTCTACCATGGGAATACGTATGGTACCACCTCCATATGTTTCGCTTTTGCAGTCTGAGAGCGCTTCAGGAGGTAGACCGCTTGTCTCTGACCCGAAGAGGAGGTAATCGCCTCTTCGGTAAGAGAATTCCTGCATCAAGTTGAGGACAAAGCAAGTAGTGTATATTCATACTGGACTCCTCCTTCTAGGATATATATATAATATACTTGAATTGATAAACAGGCAAATTATACTTACTGAATGGATCTTTGTTCCTCTTTTAGTGAAAGCTATCATCCGTTTTTCTCCCTCCTGTATGTATGTATGTATGTGTCAACTGTCAAGTCACAAAGGCCATATACACTGAATTGAGTTATCAAAAACTATAACGGAGACGTGGGAGACCTGTTGCCTGAAATATTCTCGAAACTCGGCCCACGAGCTATGCGCTTTGACAACCACATAGCTATGCTTTAAGTTAAGAAGAAGAAGAAGAAGAAGAAGAAGAAGAGAAGAAGAAGCTAGATGAATGAAACCAAAATAAACGAATTCGGATTAGGTAGGAATAGGATACGGCCAATAATCCAATCCAGCTCGCTTGACTCTCGCGTCATCCACTTGAAAACCTAAAGGCTGAAGCAGTAGGATCAAATGAAGATGAAGAAGCCGAATTTGATTGATCGAAACTCGAAACTCGAAACAGGGGGATAAACACAAAGACGAATTACCCCGACTAAATGCAGGCCAACAGCTGACGCCGCACATGTTCTTGCGATGCAACCTGTATTTCCAGGAATCTGTCTGTACAAGTTTAGCCACTCATCTAATAAAGTTGCGGTTATCTTGTGTCACTCGGATTGCTAACTGCAAACCTGGGGAGAGACTAAGACTACTTGAAGCAGCTTACTCCTCGCATCTTCCTTGACTCCTTCTCCCGCACCCCGCGGCAGGGGATTTCGATTATCTGACTCGCCTACACCACCAACTCCGCAAAATTAGATTACAAGTCAAATAGAATTGAGTTACAGGGAGAGAGAGAGAGAGAGGGAGAGAGTGTGTTACAGTCTTACAGAGAGCAGGTCGAATCTGCGAGGAAAAGGAGGTGATGGAGAGAGAGAGCCTGCGCTTGAGATGAATTAGGCTAAGAGAGGGGAACAGACGGTCACATGATTGGAGATGGAACGGCCTTGAAGCTATGAAGCTCAGACTGCTCCGGCCACAACTCTCCATTCCCTGCTCGCCTTTCCTTCTCCTCCGCCGCCGCAGAATGATAAGATATCATCCTTTGGGCCTCAACTGTTTACTTAAAAGGCCCATTCAATATCCAGTTTTCAATTTAGAAGACAAATCGATGGGCCTGTAAAGGAGTATAAAGACCAAGTGAGTCGTATATAAATTATTATATTTAACACGTACTCTCACATTATTCCTCCTCGGCACATGCAAGGGTTGATTAGATTTGGTATCTCACTATTTCTTGAGCAGTTGAGATGTAAATAATATTATTATTATAAAAGGCAATGGAATGGAAATGGATCATCATCATTGTCTTTTAGTTTTATTTTGTTGCATTGACGAAAGGAAAGAAATACAGAAAGATTTGTGAGAGAGAGAGAGATCAAATGGAAATACTATAAGGAACACCCATTCCGGTGACACCGGGGTGAGGAGAGACGGGCTTCAAAAGCTCGTACTTAACTACACCAGCTCCTGCTCTGTTCTTTAGAGTAACGTTGACGTTCCTCTCATCTATCACTCCTTCTAGATATTGGAGCCTTCCTTTGAATCTTTCATACGCAGCATTGATTACAGGATCGTGGACCCAAGATGCTTCTGGTACTTCTCCTATGTACTCTTCGTCAGGTGAATGGGTCGACAAAAGATCCAGAGTGACCATGACTTGCGTCGCCTGCTTCTGCGACGGGAATGTCTTAAGCATCACCCTTTCTGGCGTTTCGTAGAACTCTCTGAGCTCTTCCTCTGTCGGATCTTCCACTGGCAATTTTATCCTTGCTGTGGTTGGTCGGTTGGGAAAGTATCCTCCGTACCCGTACTGTCCGAAGTTTACAGCTGCATGGTGACCCGAGGCTACCCACGCAATCGTAGTCACCACCCCGATCAAGTCCTCCGGTGTTTTGAGGTCAGGCCACCATGGTTCGTCTTTCTTGTCCGCATGCCCTTCGTTCCTCACTTCCCTCCACCATCCTTGGAGTTCCTCATCCAACATCACCAATCCTGCATTTGGATAATAGTGATTCACATAGTCTGTTATCCATTCCTTGAGTGCATCCCACAGCACTAGACCGTCGTTCGCAAATGGGTAGTCTGGTATCGTCAGGCGTACCCCATGTTCCGCGGTCTTATCTTCCACAGCCAGCCCCCTGATATATATATACAAACACACGTTTTTTGTATGTTAATCAATGTTGTGGTGATAATGATATATATATATATATATATATATATATATATATATATAAAATACAAGAAGCAAACCAGCAAGTAAGAATTACCTCCTGATGAGGTCTGCAGGTAAGCCTTCCTGGTCAAACCTCCACAGTTTACCATATACATCCGAACTTAGCTCTAGTGAATACTTTCCGGGCCAGAAACTAGTCTCAATGATTCCACCTGCGTTGACCAGACTTTGGCGTGCACGAGCATTGATCTCCATGGTGTAGCGGAAGTGGGGATGCAAAAGCCTATAGATGGGATGCACCGCACTTAGTTGTCTGTTTGCCGCTATTATGTATGGCTCCATACAGCAGTGAGTCCTCAGCCTGTAAATGATTTCTCCAGTTAGCCCATCACATATACACATTATACTACTGTCTCTATGCATTGTAAACCAAATTTTGTTCATTACCAGTGGGAAATAAGCTGGTGATAACCAGCGTCATGAGCAATAACGTGATTCTTAGAAAGATTCCATAGCCAGCAGGAGGTAGCATCATATCCTGGCGTGAATACCTGCTTCCACTGGGGCCTGTTGGCATCTGGTGGACGAGTCAACTCAACGGCAATAGGCCTCAATGTGCTATCATCGCTGAGGAAGAAGATTGTTCTAGAAGCATATAGGGTTGTATCCTCCAGTTCCCTTACTTTGTTCACGTACGGTAGTAGCAAATCGTGATAATCCAACATGAACAATCTCTTTTTCTTTAGAGCCTGCATGCATACATATTCATTCATATAACGAAATCCTCCATATGCACACATATATAGACAAAACAACATCTCGAAATTAATCTAACCTCGTCCACTGACATAACTCCTCTGATTTCTTTTTCCACGACTTCCTGAGTAATGAGTGAGTTGGGATCACCATAAACCACAGGGTCTAGTTTGCTTTTCAATGGCCACTCCTGTCGATCAAGCAATTCATATATATAATTATGACATCTTAACTCTTTTTCCTATTATCCAAATATCATTCATAATAATATAGGCAGCTTACTTGAACTAGCTGGATACAGTAGGGATTAAGGCCTGCAAGGGTCTGGCGACCAAACTCGTCGTCCCGAAACCATGAAAATCTATCCTCTATATCAATTTGTGAATGATATAGGAAAAAGAAAAAAAAAAAAAAAAAGAAAAAAAAGTGAGATTAAATTGTAGCTATTTGGAATAATATATATATATATATTTGGAAAGAGATAGGTTGGTACGTACTGTTAAGGAGACTAGGGGAATGAAACTGGAGAAGATCATCTTGAGCATTAGCAGCAGCTTTGATAAGTCTGGGGATCATAGGTAAAAGGCCAGCATCCTTGGGAAGCTTGATGCCTTGTTCAAAGAGATCTTCAATGGCCTTGAAGTGTGGGAAGGGCAAGTTGGGATCCAGCAGAGCAGACTCGATCTGTGGGAAAACGGAAGGAAGAGCTGCCAAGATGGCCTTGCCCGTGAACGAGGTGCCCTTGGCTGTAGAGAACTCCTCGTCTCTGGGGACATAGAACTCCCCGTGGCGTTGCTCTGTGGAAGGGTCCTTGACGCAGCGTTTGCGACCAGTCTTGCACCGCCTTGGGTACGGATGAGAGAGGCCTCCAATCACAGGACGGGCAAGTGCCTCATCTCTGTCAGGGTCACCCACATCGTTGTACACGTCATAGTCGTAAACGCGCTCGTGCTTGGCGAATTCACCAACTTTCTGCCGGTTCTTGCCTTGCAATGTCTCCAGCTCCTCCTTTCGCAGCTTTTTAAGAGGCTCCGGGGTTTCGGAAGGCAAGTAGGACTTGTTTGAGAAGAATATTCGCTTGGCTGGGTCAACGGACTTTGGGCTCACCCATGAGTTACATGTAAACGTGACGGAGCCGCTGGGTAACTCAAGCTCCATCTCCTTGATGAACATCTCTCTATGATGCTGGTTTTGAACCCTGATGGCCCCCACCGTTCCAAAGTCTTCGGGCATGTCAAACACGCACTCGTACTTCTCATCAGGGGCTTCGAACCATACACGTTGTGCGTAGTCTTCTACCGGATCCTTCTCCATCAACGTCCCTTACGTTACATACGTGTACTTGAGGGTTAATTATAATTATGTTAATCGTAAATAAAAATGTGTTAGCTAGCTTTTTTTTTTTTTTTTAAATAAAACAATGTTTGTTTGATTAATTATGTACTCACGGGGGTCAGTATCGGTGCTAATAAGCTCGACGAGCAGTGATCTGCCGCGGATGTCGGCAATGTCATCGAGAGGTCTCGACCAACCTAGGCCCTCCAGCAACCCTTCTTGGGCCGTTATGTATCCCTTTACTTTTACATTTTTAACTTTTTGTTTCACTATCATACCTTTCTGATCGATATTAGACTGTGAGGCCGTGACCTTACATCGTCCTCCGAGGTTTGGACGACGACACAGCTTGTCTCGACGTCCTGCCGAAATTGGGTTAATGAGTGCTGATGGTTTAACGAACAGAGAGCTGAGACTCTTCGCTATATTCAAGGTCTGGAGACTTGACGACGACTCTTTACAAAACATCTTTTTATCTCTTTGCTTCTATTTTGCTTACCCATCCTCTGCATCCCCGCTTCATCTATTTATACAAGTCTAAATATATTTTCTTCTTTTTTATTTTTTTGGTCGTTTCTAAAAATAGTAGTATCAAATATTGTACTCATGTGAAATTTATGAACTTTTATGGGGGTTATTATAGCCCATGTGAGCTTATGGCAAGCTCAATTATTATCTTAATAATTGTCCCCAATGTTCATATTATTCATTTAACGTTTTTTTTTGCGTAAGTTAAAAGTTGATTATATGTGAAAAATGACGAGGCTTTACAAACAAATATGGGTTCACTGTTTCCCTTTTGGACATATAGCAAAATTGATGCAGTTGAAGAAACCCTCTTTTAGGTAGAACTTAAAGAAAAAGTACCAACTTGTGCGGTGCTTCAAAGATGCATGGCGATTGGCAAACCAGGTCGAAAGTTAGGACTAGGAGTCTTGTGGAGAGCTTGACTTGAGGAAACTGAGCTTGCTGCGCAGGAGTTTGCTTGTTTCACGACAGATCGCGGCTGTTGACCGAGATTCAGGGTGGTGAATGAGACGGTTAAACTCCTTCCAGTGTAGGAATTGAAAGAAGATATTTGTTGGTTACACGCTAAAACCACGAATAGGCACATAATTATTAGAGATAAAACTTAAAAGTATGTGGTCCGTCGATCTGAAAGCATTATCATATACGCAATGATCTAATCACTATGATTTTTTTTTTCTCAACATCTAATCACTATGATTAAAGAATACAAAAATCAATTTTCTTGGTAAATTATGCGCGTGTAATAAAAAGGAAGCAAATGTTGTTACGTTACTAGTTTTGTTGTTTCCTAGAGAACCGAAATGGAAAGCGCGCACGTTTTTGTTGTTGTTTCCCAACTTCAACTAAAAATTTACCCCCACAAACCGTCCGGGCATTGACAAATTTATGCGCACCATACATGTCTCTGTCTCAATCTCGTCTTCCCATCTCATTTGAACGCTAATTTCCAATAATTATGGTCGCCAATACAATCAATCTGTCATATCGAAAGAAGCAAAAATTTAGTTATATGGGACCACCTGCAAATTAATTGTACACGAGTTTACTGTGTTATTTGCGTAAATGGGAAGATGGCAGTTCTGTGATGGTCTGGATAACAAAAATTGTGTTGACTCAATCTATCGTAACTTGTTATTGGCTGCTAAAAGGCAAGTTCACTCTTTTATATTTTCCCTTTTATTAATTGTTCACATAAAAAGGAACAATAAGAGGAATGAAAAATTGTTGCCACTATATTTGAATTACGTGGGTTACATACTCGTTCTTTACGGGAAAGGATCAAAGATAATGACCTTTGAGGATCTTGTACTATAGAACAAGGAGAACCAGGTGATGAGATAAGAGATGGCAATGACGGATCCAGAATATATTTTTTTTTCGGAGGGGCACAGAATGATTGAATATTTATTTTAGTCACAAGAAAACATCATGTCCCTACAATATCAAATTTGATATCTCGACAATGTAGATGATGTACATAATTTTTCTTTTTCAACTAAAATTAAAATTAAATTCAATTTTTTTTTCCTAGTAAAAATAAATCGATCCAACAATTTTTCATTGTAAAAAAGTATCTAAGAAAGACTATAACATATTATTTCATTTTTTTCAAAATTTGTCAAAACTCATAGGTGTTAGCCCACAAATATTGACAAAATTAATGAATTTGGAGGTTTCTCTATATTAATTATTAAAATGTGTTTAAAGTGAAAATAAATAGATCCAACCTTTTTTCCTTGAAAAATAGTATCTAAGAAAGACTAATAACACATTCTTCCAAATTTTTCAAAATTTGAAAAAACTCGTAGGTATTAGCAAAATTGATGAATTTTGAAGTTTTTTAAAAATTAATGACTGGAATGTGTCTAAAGATAAAATAAATTGATCCAACTATTTTTCATAGTAAAAGATTATCTAAGAAAGACTAATAACATATTATTCCAAATTATTCAAAATTTGTCAAAACTCGTAGGTGGTAGCCCACAAATATTGGCAAATTTGATGAATCTTGAGGTTTTTCTAAATTAATGATTCGAAGGTGTCTAAGGTGAAAATAAATTGATCCAACCATTTTCATAGTAAAAGAATATCTAAGAAAGACTAATAATAAACTATTACAAATTTTTGAAAATTTGTCAAAACTCGTAGGTGTTAGCCCACAAATATTGGAAAAAATTGATGAATTTTGAGCCATATTATTTCAACAAAATTTATAAAAACCCGTAGGTTAGCACATATTGACAAAATTGATAAATTTTGAGGGTTTTCTAAATTAATGATTGGAAGGTGTTTAAAGTAAAAATAAATTGATGTAACCATTTTTCAGTAAAAGGGTATCTAAAAAAGAATAATAACATATTCTTCTATTTTCTTCAAAATCTGTCAAAACTCGTAGGTGTTAGCCCACAAATATTGGCAAAATTGATAAATTTTGAGGTTTTTCTAAATTTATGATGGAAAAATGTAAAAATAAATTGATCCAACCTATTTTTCATAGTAAAAAGGTATCTAAGAAAGACTAATAACATATTATTTCAATTTTTTCAAAATTTGTAAAAACCCGTAGGTTAGCCCATACATATTGGCAAAATTGATAAATTTTGAGGTTTTTCTAAATAATGATTAGAAGTGTCTAAAGTAAAAATAAATTGATGTAACATTTTTCATAGTAAAAAGGTATATAAGAAAGAATAATAACATATTCTTCCATTTTCTTCAAAATCTGTCAAAACTCGTAGGTGTTAGCCAACAAATATTGGCAAAATTGATAGATTTTGAGGTTTTTAAAAATTAATGATTGAAGGTGTCTAAAGTGAAAAAAAAAATTGATTCAACTATTTTTCATAATAAAAGAGTATATAAGAAAGACTAATACTATATTATTCCATTTTTTTCAAAATTTGTAATAACCCGTAGATGTTAGCACACAAATATTGGCAAAATTGAGTTTTTTTTGAGGTTTTTATAAATTAATGATTGCAAGGTGTCTAAAGTGAAAATAAATTATTTCAATCATTTTTCATAATAGAAAGGTATATAACAAAGAATAATAACATATTATATCAATTTTTTCAAAATTTGTCAAAACTCATAGGTGTTAGGTCACAAGTATTGGTAAAATTAATAATTTTTTTAAAAATTTTAAATGATTGATGTTTTTTAAGTGAAAATAAATTGATCCAACAAATTTAAAAATTATACTAATCTTTTAGAGTCAATTAGATAGACCTATAAAGTTCTTAATATTTACATAAACACATCCTAGTAAAAATGCACAAGTTATTCAAAATTGATGGGTTTTAAAATTTTTATATTATCAAATTAATTATAAATACATACAAAACTAAAACTAGTACTATGGAAAAATAATATGGTAAGATTGGATTATTATATGGGCGGATTAGTTTAAGGGCAATAAGGGTTTCGGAAAATAAGGGTTTAGGGATAGGGTTTAGGGTTAGGGTTAGGGTTAGGGTTAGGGTTTAGGGTTTAGGGTTTAGGGTTTAGGGTTTAGGGTTTAGGGTTTAGGGTTTAGGGTTTAGGGTTTAGGGTTTAGGGTTTAGGGTTTAGGGTTTAGGGTTTAGGGTTTAGGGTTTAGGGTTTAGGGTTTAGGGTTTAGGGTTTAGGGTTTAGGGTTTAGGGTTTAGGGTTTAGGGTTTAGGGTTTAGGGTTTAGGGTTTAGGGTTTAGGGTTTAGGGTTTAGGGTTTAGGGTTTAGGGTTTAGGGTTTAGGGTTTAGGGTTTAGGGTTTAGGGTTTAGGGTTTAGGGTTTAGGGTTTAGGGTTTAGGGTTTAGGGTTTAGGGTTTAGGGTTTAGGGTTTAGGGTTTAGGGTTTAGGGTTTAGGGTTTAGGGTTTAGGGTTTAGGGTTTAGGGTTTAGGGTTTAGGGTTTAGGGTTTAGGGTTTAGGGTTTAGGGTTTAGGGTTTAGGGTTTAGGGTTTAGGGTTTAGGGTTTAGGGTTTAGGGTTTAGGGTTTAGGGTTTAGGGTTTAGGGTTTAGGGTTTAGGGTTTAGGGTTTAGGGTTTAGGGTTTAGGGTTTAGGGTTTAGGGTTTAGGGTTTAGGGTTTAGGGTTTAGGGTTTAGGGTTTAGGGTTTAGGGTTTAGGGTTTAGGGTTTAGGGTTTAGGGTTTAGGGTTTAGGGTTTAGGGTTTAGGGTTTAGGGTTTAGGGTTTAGGGTTTAGGGTTTAGGGTTTAGGGTTTAGGGTTTAGGGTTTAGGGTTTAGGGTTTAGGGTTTAGGGTTTAGGGTTTAGGGTTTAGGGTTTAGGGTTTAGGGTTTAGGGTTTAGGGTTTAGGGTTTAGGGTTTAGGGTTTAGGGTTTAGGGTTTAGGGTTTAGGGTTTAGGGTTTAGGGTTTAGGGTTTAGGGTTTAGGGTTTAGGGTTTAGGGTTTAGGGTTTAGGGTTTAGGGTTTAGGGTTTAGGGTTTAGGGTTTAGGGTTTAGGGTTTAGGGTTTAGGGTTTAGGGTTTAGGGTTTAGGGTTTAGGGTTTAGGGTTTAGGGTTTAGGGTTTAGGGTTTAGGGTTTAGGGTTTAGGGTTTAGGGTTTAGGGTTTAGGGTTTAGGGTTTAGGGTTTAGGGTTTAGGGTTTAGGGTTTAGGGTTTAGGGTTTAGGGTTTAGGGTTTAGGGTTTAGGGTTTAGGGTTTAGGGTTTAGGGTTTAGGGTTTAGGGTTTAGGGTTTAGGGTTTAGGGTTTAGGGTTTAGGGTTTAGGGTTTAGGGTTTAGGGTTTAGGGTTTAGGGTTTAGGGTTTAGGGTTTAGGGTTTAGGGTTTAGGGTTTAGGGTTTAGGGTTTAGGGTTTAGGGTTTAGGGTTTAGGGTTTAGGGTTTAGGGTTTAGGGTTTAGGGTTTAGGGTTTAGGGTTTAGGGTTTAGGGTTTAGGGTTTAGGGTTTAGGGTTTAGGGTTTAGGGTTTAGGGTTTAGGGTTTAGGGTTTAGGGTTTAGGG